CTCGGGCTCCTCCAAGTCCTCAAAGGAGTCCTTTTGTGGCTAGGCAGCTGTCTGAACACTCCTAGTCCTTATGAACCTGGCATTGGTGACAGGATCCATTTGTGCCCTCCTTCAGCTGGCTGAGTTTGGGGGTCCTCCAAGAATATGGCAAGTTGATGGAGGGTGACATGTTGCAGGGCAATGAATTGAGATTGGTTGAATGGGTAGGGACAGAAGGGGAGGGGGCAGGAGTAGGAAGACTGGGGAGGGGACAGAGCCATCTCCAGGCAGGACAGTGTGTTGGCTGGGACCTGGAAAGACCCCAGAGGCTGTCCAGCCCAATGGCTGGCACTATGAGGACCCCAGTCTAAGGTCACATGCAATATCCAAGAGGCTGTACTCAGCACAAAGTGGGGTACAGGACTGGGCAGGAACCTGAGGGCCAGGGGTAGATGCAGAGACCCTGAGAACTGGGTGACCTCAGGCCTCAGACACAGAAGCAGATATGGCTTGGATGCACCCAGGGTGAGAGATCAGAAGGTGGATAAACTGGGCCTGGGGCTGACCTAGAGCCCAGAATGGGAGGGAGGTGAACCCAAAGACAGCTGTCCCCAGGAGCCTGGTCTGGTAGGTAGGAGTAGCTGCTCTCTCTACCTGGGAGAGGTCCTTACTCTGAGTCCCACGGGAAGTTCTCTTGGCGCTGACGCAAGACCTAGGCTAGGACGTCAGTTTGTCCCTGGAGCCCCACCCCTACTCCTAGGTCAGGTGGCGCCGGAAGAGCTCGGTCTTCGCCTGAGGAGTCTGGCGGCACAGCCCCGATCCCGAGTCAAGTCAGGGATCAGGTAGGAGTCTGCTGGAGGCTGGGTTGTGCACGGTTGGCTGACAGCCAGGTGCGCGACTAGCCCAGGAACCGACCCTAGGCAGAGGCGGAGCCACCGGCAGCGGAGCGGAGCCGCCTACTGTGCCCTTTCTTGGACGGGGAAGACTTTTCGATAGGTAATGGCCGGTCGTGAGCTCCGCTGTGCTTGACCCGAGGTGAGCACTGCAAGGGGACATCTCCCTTTGCCCATGTGACTGTCACCGCTGCTGTCATTGTTACCCGGGAATCAGGTCCCACCTGCCCATCGCGTCGTGGGGGTCCCCAGGCCTGATGAGGCCCGCGCTGAGAGCCGGAGCCCACGTGTTCCCCTCCAGGTGTGCGCTGGGATGCGGGGCCAAGGGGTGGGACACCTGGGTGGTGCGCTGGGATGCGGAGGCCTGCACCGAGAGGACAGGGCCCGTGACTACTGGGCTCGGGCATGCGGCGGGCGGCGCCGCCGCGCGTCCTCGCCCCCGCCCGGGGCTGTCCTCCGGGCGGCTCCCAGGTAACCGTCCTGAGCTCCCAGAGGAGTCTGGCAGCGGCGACGCCGAGGGAAGGGACCTTGCCACCTGGGTGTGTCTGGGAGGTAGGAAGCCAGAGCCGGCTCCCGGCGGGGTACCCTCCCTCGGCGCTGGTCGAGCAGCCGGTGCTGGGGGCCGTCCCCGCCCCGGCGCTGCACTCTGACCGGGTCGCCAGGTGGGTGGGGCTGGGTGCGCACGCACTGGCCTTGCCCTCTCGGGGTCTCCGGTGCGCTCCCTGTCTGGTCCCTCCTGGCGTCGGTCCAGAAGTCTTTGGGGTGTGGGAAGGGACGCCGAGGACAACACGGACCCCTGCCGCAGCCCCTCCCCCGCGCTTGTTTTGAAAACAGCGGAGGTTCGGATTTGCCGGCGCTGCGGCCTGTTTTGTTTCTCCTGATTTGTTTAACGCTCCCGGCTAATTGCAGATTTGCATAGTCGTCGCGAGAGCAGACGCCCCGCCTCCTGGCCGCCAGCTGCTGGCGGGGGAGGGGAGGCCTCGGCTTCCCGGTGGCTCTGTACCCCAAGAGTGATCGACCGCTCAAACGCCCCCCGGCCTGGCCTTGGGGTGGCGAGGGTCCCACCCTGTGTCAGAGCCCCTGCACTGGGGGTAGGAATGCTGGACCTGTATTTCCCCAGTCCATTGACCCCCTAAACGGGCCGCACAGTGCTAGGGCCCACCCCTCCCACACGTGGGCCTGACATTCCCTTTCTCTCTGTCTGCCCATGCCTGGACCCACATCTTGGTCTCTGTTCCTTTCTGGTTTTGCTGGCCTGGCCCCAGGGATACTCAAGTTGAACCCTTCTCCCACTGGGCCTCACTGCCTGCTTTAATTTGATTTTAGCTTTAAATCATAAAGCCCCATCGTGCATTGCTGTCATTCCAGGTGTCTGGGGGACTGCAGCAGGAAGATCTTGAGTTAGAGGCACAGAGGATTCAAAGTTAGCAAGACCCTATCTCTTAAAGAAAATACAAGACAAAAGTTCTGGGGTGTGACTTCAAGCTGGAGGCCATGGGGTTCAATTCAGAGAGAGAGACAGACAGAGACAGAAACAAAATGCCACCTGTGGGGCTGTTCTGCAGGAGTGTGGGAACTGGGCCTGATTGCCCCCAGCCCTGGGGTCTGTCTGGAACAGGGACTGTTTTTGCCTTCCTTGGGGGCAGGGTGGTGGCCAGAGCCAGCTTGTAAGAGGCACCTAGAGTGATAAGTAGGAACCCAAGGAGGGCACCCAGCTGGAGAGGGGCTTTTGCTGCTCCCCACCAAGACCAGGGTGTGCAGAGAAGCCCAGGCTTCCTGGCCATCCTTGGCCCACCCTTGAGCGTTCTGACTGGGGAGGAGACACTCTTGTAAGTTCAAGGTCTGAGGACGTGTTTCTCCAGGTCCTTCCAACGCCCAGCCTCATCTCCTAGTCAGATCTTGCCCACAAATGGTTCCTCAGTAATGATCATAAAGGAAGAGTAACAGTGCTGCAGGGCTCACCAGGGAGGACATCTCAGTTCTGAAGGATGTCTAGGAGTTTTCCAGCTTTTGAAGCAGGTGCTATTATCCCCAACTTACATATGGGAAAAGTGAAGCACAGAGCAGCTTCGTAAATAGTTTTAGTAATCCAGCTAGAAAGTGGCCAGGCTAGGATTTGAAACCAGTAGTCTGGCTGCAGAGTTGAGCTCTGAGGCCCCTGTGTGCCCCAGCACTGAGGTGGGACCATACTTTCCTGGGGATAGTCTGCCATGTTGTAGGCTTTTGGGGACTCGGGAGGGGGTCTTCATCTGGAGTTTGGGAAGGATACTCCCTAGGAACAGGAGATTTCAGGGTGGGAGCAACAGGTCAGAATTTGGTGACCCAGAGGGCAGGAGGGACCTTCCTTGGCCCGGAGGAGTCTGATGGTGGGAGGAGGGGACAGCAGGGAGCAGCACTGCCTGCCTTCAGGAGAGTCTGAGTGTGGCACTGCTGCCTGGCTTGGAAGGGGTATATCTGCATATGATGAGGGCATTCCCTTAGGAGAGGCCAGCCTTCTTCGGCTGGCCTTGCCTGCAGCAAACCCCCAGTGGAGAGCTAGGGGTTTGGGGGTCTGCCATGGGTAGAAGTTTGGGGGGGGGGTGGCTAGAGGAGCCTGAGGTGGCTGTCCCTAGGCACTGAGAGAGCACGAAGAGGCTGCAAGGTGGCAGATTTGCATGCCCCAGGTCAAATGTAGCCTCCTCCATTGGCTGCAGCCTGCAGGCCAGCCAGGTCCTGGGGTTCTCATGGGGCTGCTTCTCTTCAAGAGGCCTGACGATGCCCTGTGGTTTGGCTGCTGTGTTTTAGAGGAGCAGCCCACTGGTTTGTTTCACAAAGGCTGCGTTGAGATGAGGAGCAAAAGGGATGTCCTCTGCCCCCTGCACCCTGTAACCTTCCCTCTCCCCCCAAGCCCCTTTGCCAGGTCAGCAAGAGTCTGAGGACACAGCACACTGTGGTGCCTGCCTTGCCCCTGCTGGTCTGCTTGAATTTACCATAGGTCCTGCTGTCCAGGGGTGTGGGTGGGTGGGGACCATGAGGGACTGTACTGCTCAGGGTAGGCAGAGGATCATGGAGAGGTAAACAGGAGGAACAGAACTTGGGGGAAGAAGTGCTGGGGTGCTTTGTTAGCCCAAGGTTAGGAGCAGACCTTCAGTGACCTGGACTGGAGGCACGGTGAACCTCCAGGTAGGAAGTCTGGAAAGCCATGTCTTGGGGTAGAGTAGAGCCACAGGGTATGGAGCTGTGGTACACCCCTTTTTATTTGGACAAATAATACTCAGATATATTCTTGTTTTTTAAAAATGGCAAATAAAGTTTCTTACTGTTCCAGACCCCTATAACCTGATCCCCAAGGCCCACCATGGTTTTCAGATGGGCTGAGGGCTGTTAGACCTCAGCAACTGATACACTGTTGGAAATGGACAGGGTGCAGAACTGCAGGGTCCACACTGACCAACCATTCACATCTGCTGTGCAGTCTTCCAGGGTCCTCTGCTGGATGCTGGGTGGTTGCCAGTTGTTTCCTACTGCACACCATGCTGAGAAGTACACTTGGTCTGTACCTCCCTGTGGGTATAAATGAACTGTGTTTCTGGAATGAGAGGATACAATTACAAGTGTTCCTGAGTGCTACAGTGTAACACTCTCAGGCTTTTCATGAATGAATTCATTTAGTCCTTAAAAATCTTCAGGGATAGCTCCCTATTACTGTCTCCATTTCACAGATGGGGAAATGAGGCACAAAGTTAAATAACTTGCCCAAGATCACCCAGGGTGATCTCATGATCTCAGGGTCATGGGTACATATGTTTTTCAGAAGGCAGGTAATTCTAATCAAACTAATACACATACCTATTTTTAAAAGGCAATGAATAGTACCAGTGGACTTACAATGTAAAAAAGCTGCCCTGCTTCTGAGCAGAGGAGGAGACAGCAGCAGGCTAGGCTTGTGTTCCCAAAAGAACAGATGAATGTCCTTGTTTTAGGGGCTGGGCTTAGAGGCCTGCAAATGTCTGAGAGAGGGGCCATGAGTGGAATGGAAGAGGCCGGATGGAGTCCTGTGGGCTATTTTCCGTCTTCTATGGCAAGGAGCAGACAGGTGAAGGTGGGCCAGCCTCCCAGGGTGACTGCTGTCTCTCCTTTACCTCCTAGAGAGTCCTGATGCCAGCCTGGAGCAGAGACTGAGCAGGACCACTGGATCCTTGGTGAGCAGGTGGTTGGGGCTATGCAGAAGTACTGCAGACAACCCCTTGAGGCTCTGTCTGGGTTGGTTGTGACCACACACATCTCTCTGTAGCCCCTCTCACAGTCTGGTCTGGGTGGACATACAGATGTCGTATGGAGGAAGAAGAGCTTAGAAGGCAAGCATGGCTCATGGTGACCTGAGAGGGAGTAGGGGAGCTTATGCCCATGGCCTCCTTGCTACACCCCAGTTCTCAGAGGCAAGATCTTGCTCAGGTGGCCTGGGTGCTGGGGCACTGGGTTCTAAAACATTAGGGCTGGGAATCTGGACTGGGGGGGGGGGCGGGGAACGTCTTTCCATCCATTTTTTGGGCCAGCAGCCAGAGTTGTGTGGCTTCTTGGAAGTGTACCTCTGACTTCAGCAGGAAGAAGGCCAGCTGGTGCCCCTGAGGAAATCCCCACCAGCCTGCAAGTAGGGGTCTGGGACCTATTTCAAAACAGGAAGTTCCCACTGCCGTCCTCCCATTCCAGGAACTCCAGTGGCAGGAAGCTCAGCTGGCTGTACCTGGTGTGTCCTGCACGCACTGCCAGAGCTCTGCACTCAGTCAGGTGCCCTTTGCTCCGGGCCTGGCCAGGCAGGTCATCCAAGGCCTGTTTGTCCAGGAAGTATAAGGGAGCTGCCACTGGTGGAGTATGGCCCTGGTCCTTTCTGCTACCCAGAATGCACTGGGATTATAGCCTCCCTCTGCCCACCACCTCCTGGGAAGACCCTGGCCTCCTAGGGTGCCTTGGCAACCACATGGTGTCTGAGCAAGTTTATCAGACTTTGACTGCACACATGGTATTTATTGAGCACCTCAAGTGTGTGGCCCTGGGGCTCAGTGAAGTTGATGTCAATCAGAGGGGCGGGAACAACCCTTACTCCCCCAACCCTACAGCTTAGTGGTCAGGCTTCCCTGGGTTTGAGCTCCAAGCATGAGTCGGGGTAGCTACTGGAGCTGGAGTAGGGTGCTGGAGAAGGTACTGTTAGTGTGAGGCTAGGGCAAGAGCTTTTCTGAAGGGAGGTAGCTGAAGAGCTCCCTCAGTTGGCCAGCTTTGGTTCAAGCTCTGTCCTTGAGCTTGTGGACCAGCAGCAGGTCAGAGGGGGAGGCTTGCACCATACACCAGCCCTAACTGGGTGAGGTTTTTGCTGAGGCTGTGGCTGTAACCCTTCCCCGCCTGCTCCCTGCCTCCGCCCCACTCCCTCCACCCCCTCTGTGGCTGTGAACATTCCATTCATTCCAGGCTTCTGGGAGCTCACAAGCAGCAGCCAACAGGGCAGGACGGGTGAGCTGCTTGGTCTGGATGGCTTGCCTGGGTGCCCCTGGGTGAATTTTGGGTTGTGGGTGGCCAGATATAGAAGACCTGCTTCCGGAATGGACCATGGTTAGGGGGTGTAGGAGGACTGTCCCTATGGTGCCTGGACCCCCTCAGGCCAGGGACTGGTGGAGGTCTGGGTTTGTGGGCACTCAGGAGATAGGCCTTTGTCTGGAGTACAGGAGGGAGGCTGGCTTCTCCCAAGGGGGCACCTCATTCTGAGCAGTCACACCTATACCAAGTGAGCTCTCGTGGCCATACCACGAGTGTCTGACTGAGTGATCCACTGACCAGACAGGGCCTGCCACCCAGATTCCTGAAGGCAGATGGGGCTGCTCCCTGCTGTTCCTCTTTTTCACCATCAGGCTATTCTGGGTCAACATTTCCTTTTTTTGGAGGGGGTCAATACTTCCTGGACAATAAAACTAGGGTCCCTCCAGTCTTTTGGGTCAAGACCTGGCCTGCTGCTTCTACCCTGCCATCTCATGCTCAGAAAGGCACCAGTTCTGAGCAGAATCTTAGAGTCACATGGGTGTCCCAGCTCTGCCCTTCCTCCTCTTCCTGGTCAGGCATCCGAGCCAGAGAGAAGGACCCTGGGCTAAGCCCGTCAGGGTCAGGATTCCCCCTGCCCTGGGGGTTCTGAAGGGCTTGTGAAGTCTTTCTGTCTCTGACTGAAGCCTCTGTCTTCTATCAGTCTGTTCACCCTTATCTTGGCGAGGCCTTAAGTCACCGTGGGTCTTTGTGTCTTCCCTCCACAGCTCCCATGGTCCACGTTCTCCTTTCCCCTGGCACTGTGCAGCCTCTCTACTGCCACTTCTATTGTCTACCCTCTTAGACACCCTGTAGCTGGCCATGGTGTTTAGGATAGTGGTAGGCATGTGGGGTCACCAGAAATGGGGCAAGAACTGAGCATGGTCTACCCAGGGCAGTGCAGGGTTCTGTGCAGAGATGGGAGTTGCCTGGCCACAGGCATCAGGAGGCCAGCCAAGTTCAGCGCCTCTCCTGCTAATGTGAGTCAGAGAGCAGTGTGCATCTTCAGTTGGTTACACTTCTCAGGAGGTGTGAGGAAGCTATAGATAAGCAGAGAAGAGCGGAAATAGCGAATGTTCTTAGCCTAGTCAAGGGCTTTCTGGGGACCTGAAGAAAGGCTAGATGGCAGAGCTGCAGGATCCTTGAGAAGAACTCATGCTGTTACAGTAAACTCAGACATACCTTCCTGCCCTCCTGGGGCAGACAGATACAAGCTGGGGGTGTGGCGGGAGTGACAAAGGGGAGGAAATGCAGTGGTCAGAGGCAGATCAGCATCCCAGTCAATTTACTCCAGCCAGATGGCCCTAGGCAAGTTACTTCCCCCTCTGTGTCTCAGTTTCTTCACCTGGGAAATGGGTCAAAGAAGAAAGTCTGTGGAAAGGACCCCAGTCAGAGTCTGGGACACATGACATGGAAGAGTTGTTTTTAATGTTTACATCTTACCCTTTCTTTTTTCTATAGATAATTACTTTTTTTTTTGTGATACTGGGCTGGGGTTTGAACTCAGGGCCTACATCTCTGCCAGCCCTTTTCATGATGGGTTTTTTTGAGTTAGGGTCCTGTGAACTATTTGCTTGGGCTGGCTTTGAGTCACAGTCCTCTTGATCGCTGCCTCCTGAGTAGCTAGGATTACAGATGTGAGCCACTGGCACCCAGCATATAGCTAAAAAATTTTTTTTTTTTTTGACTTTCCTGATAGATTTTTTTTTTCATTTTTCTTTTATTATTCATATGTGCATACAAGGCTTGGTTCATTTCTCCCCCCTGCCCCCACCCCCTCCCTTACCACCCACTCCACCCCCTCCCGCTCCCCCCCTCAATACCCAGCAGAAACTATTTTGCCCTTATCTCTAATTTTGTTGTAGAGAGAGTATAAGCAATAATAGGAAGGAACAAGGGGTTTTGCTGGTTGAGATAAGGATAGCTATACAGGGCATTGACTCACATTGATTTCCTGTGCGTGGGTGTTACCTTCTAGGTTAATTCTTTTTGATCTAACCTTTTCTCTAGTTCCTGGTCCCCTTTTCCTATTGGCCTCAGTTGCTTTAAGGTATCTGCTTTAGTTTCTCTGCATTAAGGGCTAGCTAAAAATTTTTAAAGGACGGTTTTTCTGGGAAGTGCAAATATACAAGTAGATGATGTTTCAGGTGGCTTTAAAGGATTGGTCCCTGGGCAGAAAATGTGTGCCATCAGATCTGGCCATACTCAAGTACTGTGGGCAGGCTGCCCTAGATAATGGGGAGCCCCTAGGCACACTAAGTAAAGACCAGGAGTGGGGTGTTTGTAAGCATTAGGAGACCTGAAAGCTGGTGCAAGAGCTGTAACCAGGACAGAGCTGAGTCCCCAGAGTGGGGATTGGTCGTATCCCAGCCTACCACTTCAAGTTTTTCTAAGATGCTGCTGCCCAAGTTGGGAAGGGGATCCTTAAAGCCGAGCCTCGGCAGTAGCAGCTCACCTCCTTCCCACGTCTACCCCATCCACAGAGGCCCCGGCCCTGGGCAGTGTACACATATACAGGGACATGGGACAGGCACACTGATGAAGCCTGTCCCAGCCCTGCTATTGGGACATGGGAGTCTTTGCTGCTCTGAGACCTGGTGGATTTGGAGATGTTTATACCTCCCCCAAAGCCATTCCCAGAATCCCTTTCATGTTCTCATTTCTGATGCCCTGGGGAGGGGAGGGCACGGGACAGGTAAAGAGATGTGGATAGATAGGCTGGCTTTTCTGCTGGTTCACTCAGGTTAGGGTCTTGTGGAGGGGACCAGGAGGCAGCCACAGAGAAGAGCTCCAGAGGTGGGTGGGGAGGTTGGCTAAGGGGCTCTGGTGGGCTTACAAGTCACGTGTGGTTGGCTAGGTCATGCGCAGTAGCCCATCGCTTCCAGCGCTGCTCTATTTCATCTCAGGCTCACCTGACCGTGTGTGCAGGGTCAGGTGAGGAGCTTGTGTGTGGTCCACCTGTTCATAGTGCAGGGTCTATCTGTCAGCCTATGGTCTGTGATTACCAATCATTCTTGGATAGGTACCATGTGCCTGGAGATGTACCCTGTCACTTCCTAGAGGGACTGGCTTGCAGGCACTTGTGTTTGAGTACCTGGAGTCTGGGGTGTTATCCTCCCAGGTGATCATGTAGCATGCAGTGACAATGACTTGGTCCTGGCCATAGGTTAGACTACAGGGTGAGCTTCTTGAGAAAAGCTGGGTTTTCTTCAAGGTCTCCAGAGGGAAATGGGTATAAAGGCGAGATAGGGTTGGGGGACCATGACCGTTTCTGGCCTGTGTTGCTGCATTCAGGTCAAGGACGGGTGAGCTCCAGATCCCCTGACCCTTCTCTCTCCCCACAGAGTTCCAGAGGCAATGGCTATGCCACTCTGGACCCTGACCCTTTTGGGCCTGATGGGCATGGGTACGAGCCTGCGGTCCCGCAAGCTGGACTTCTACCGCAGCGACACAGAGCTGAACCACCTGGTTGTGGATAAGGCCTCAGGCATGGTGTACGTGGGAGCAGTGAATGCTCTCTACCAGCTGAGCGCCGACCTGCATCTCCAGCAACAGGCAGTCACAGGCCCTGCCCTGGACAACAAGAAGTGCACGCCGCCCATCGAGCCCAACCAGTGTCATGAGGCAGTGCCTACAGACAACATCAACCAGCTGCTGCTGCTGGACCCGCCTGGGAAGCGCCTGGTCGAGTGTGGCAGCCTTTTCAAGGGCATCTGTGCCCTGCGAGCCCTGAGCAATGTTTCCACGCGCCTCTTCTATGAGGACGGCAGTGGCGAGAAGTCCTTTGTGGCCAGCAATGACGAGAGTGTGGCCACAGTGGGACTGGTGAGCGCTACACGCCCTGATGGCAGTGAGCGTGTGCTATTTGTGGGCAAAGGCAATGGGCCACATGACAACGGCATCATTGTCAGCACCCGACTGCTGGACCGAGCTGAGGGCAGGGAGGCCTTTGAGGCCTATTCAGACCACACCACCTTCAAGGCCGGCTACCTGTCCACCAACACACAGCAGTTCGTGGCAGCCTTTGAGGATGGCCTCTATGTCTTCTTCATCTTCAACCAGCAAGACAAGCACCCTGCCCGCAACCGCACACTGCTGGCACGCATGTGCAAAGATGACCCTTCCTACTACTCTTACGTGGAGATGGACCTACAGTGCCATGACCCCAATGACCTCCAGGGCCGTGACCCCAGTGACCTCCAGGGTCCTGCCTTCGGTGCCTGCCTGGCAGCCTCTGTGACCGCGCCAGGGGCTGGGAGGGTACTCTATGCTGTGTTCAGCAGGGATGGCCGCAGCAGTGGGGGGCCTGGAGCAGGCCTCTGCCTGTTCCCACTGGACGAGGTTCATGCTAAGATGGAAGCCAATCGAAACACCTGCTACACAAGCACCCGGGAGGCAGGCCGTGACATCTTCTACAAGCCTTTCCACGGCGAGATTCAGTGTGGTGGCCATGTGCTAGTATGTTCCCCGTGTCTTTGTGTGTACATGTGCATTGTAGCTGAGGCCTGGGGACTGTCCCTTTTCAGTATGTCACTTGTCACTCCCACGCCAGGCCCATGCTGGGTGTTGGTACACATGGGAGTTAATGTGCTGGAAGGGGTCACCCCTGTGTGGACCCTTGTTCCCAGGGATGTCTGTAGAGCCACATGTTCTAGAAGGTAGGGCCTGCCCCCCAGCTCAGACCCCTGATGGGGAGGGACGTTGGGGGCAAGGAGGTCAGTGCCCCCTGTTGACACCATGATTCGCAGGGTGCCAGCTTCCCGTGTGGCTCAGAGCACCTTCCCTACCCGCTGGGTAGCCGTGATGGACTCACTGCCACAGCCCTGCTGCAGCGTGGGGGCCTCAATCTGACAGCGGTGACAGTAACTGCTGAGAACAACCACACTGTTGCCTTTTTGGGCACCTCAGATGGCCGGATCCTCAAGGTAAGGTCTTGGGCTGGGTGTGGTGGCTTCATTCACTCCTGCAATCAGCTATGCAAGAGGTATAGATAGGAGGATTCCTGTCTGAGGCTAGCCCTGAGCCAAAAAAAAACCCCACAGGACCCTATCTGAAAAGTAACTAAAGCAAAAGGGTGTGGGGGCGTGGCTCAAGTGCCAGTGTCTACCTAGCAAACTTGAAATCCTGAATTGAAAGGAAAAAAAAGTGAGGCACTGGGCCTGGAGGGGCCATCTGTGTGAGCTGGCCCTTCCCTCATGCATCTGTCCTGGTGCCCACAGGTGTATCTTGCCCCAGACGGCACCTCCACGGAGTATGGCTCTATCCTTGTGGAGATCAACAAGAGAATCAAGCAGGACCTGGCACTGTCTGGAGACCTGTCCAGTCTGTACGCCATGACCCAGGACAAGGTCAGCCCAGAGAAGTCCCGGGAGGCTATTGTGGTCCAGGTCATAGTGACAGATCTAGAGAGTACTTTAGAGTCTGGCCTGGGTCCAGCCAGTATCTCTAGCCCAACTCTCTGCAGCACCATCCCTGCCTGTTTTTGTCTGTCTGTTCTGTGTCTTGACTGTCTTCTTGTCCGGCCCTGCCCCACCCCTTTGTGATGGAGGGGGCTTGGCTCATTGTCTGAGAAGGTATCCCATGGGGTGAACAGGAAGGCAAGTAGCCTTGCTGCTGTGAACTCAGACACTGGGGGACACAGCCCTGGCCCTGGAGCTTATAGGGGGTTGGTGCAGATGCCCCTCAAGCTAGCCTTAGGATCTCCCAGGATGTTCAGGTACCCCCTCAGAGAAAGCAAGTGCAGAGGACCTGAACTGGTCCAGGAGAGATGGAGCCTGGTTTGTGGCTGCTCCTCACTCCTAACACTCAAAAGCCTGAATTGTGCCTGAGGCTTTCAAGACCCAGAGCTGAATGAGGGATGAGGTGGTAGTTACAGGAGTGTCTAGGGTCTGAGGGAAGGGCCTTGTGTCTGTGGGCTATGTCTCCCAGGTGTACCGGCTCCCAGTGCAGGAGTGTCTGAGCTACCGGACCTGCGCACAGTGCCGTGATTCCCAGGACCCCTACTGTGGTTGGTGTGTTGTAGAGGGACGGTGAGTGCCTTGCCCTGGGGGCCTGGTGGGCGGTCGACTGAATCTGGGGCGAGACAGATACAGCCATGTCCTGGGGAGAGCACGAACCTACTGGAGGGTGAGGGGTGCTGGGGCTGAGGCTGCCCTTTGTCTTCCAGGTGCACCAGGAGGATTGATTGTTCACGAGCTGAGGAAACTGGCCATTGGCTGTGGAGCCGGGACAAGTCCTGCGTGGCCATCACTGATGCCCAGCCACAGAATATGAGTCGGCGGGCTCAGGGGGAGGTGTGTGGTAGGGGGTGGGTGGGTGCTGTGGGTGAGGTGCAGGGCAGAGACGGGGCCAGATGTGGCCCCTGCATTCTGGGGCCTGGGCAGGTGGGTGGAGCTGTGTGCCAGGGCAAACCAGACCCCGCCCCAGGGGCTGCTGGGCCACCCACGGGAGCGTTGCAGAAGATGCAGAGTCAGGTTGATCCACTGGGGCATTGGTCTGCATCTGTACGGGCCACTGGGAGACAGAACAGTGTCCTGGGTGGGGCCAGCACTGGTGCCCCAAGTCTCAGATCTGGGTAGTGGGGTACTGGGGTCAGAGGTGACCCTGTGTGAGCCATTTGTCCCTCCCACAGGTGCAGCTGACCGTCAGCCCCCTCCCCACCCTGACTAAGGAGGATGAGTTGCTGTGTCTTTTCGGTGAATCGCCACCACACCTTGCTCGCGTGGAGGGGGACGCAGTTGTCTGCAGCTCCCCAGGCAGTATCCCCAGCACACCACCGGGCCAGGGTGCGGCACAGCTCCCTTTCCTGCACGCAGCCGTCCACTTGTTCAGGCTGCTTTGGCAAGGGCTCATTCCACAGTCTGGGTGGTAGGGTACTGGGGAGGTGTAGGTGCAGGCGCCATCTGCCTGAAGAGATGGCAGAGGCCCCGGGCAGGTGATTTTGAGCACCGTGCACCACCCACAGTGCTCAGAGGGCTCTTCATCTCTCCCTGCTTTGTCCAGCCTGATAATAGGTAGGGCTGTCCCCAGAGGCAGGGGCTTAGGGAAGGCACCTTGCTTGTCCCCTGAGTGTTGGGGGCAGTGGGGCCATTCAGTGACGTGGGCAGGGACCTGACAGGCCTTCCCACCCAGACACCAAGGAGCCTCTGCCCTCAACACCCACTGGAGCAGAGACAGGGTGCGAAAGCGGCCGGCCTCTTGGGGAGAAATGCGAGCCCAGCCCTGCCTGGGATCTGACACCTGAGCCCAGGTCTGACGACAGGCCTAGCTAATCCCCAGTGCTAGGTGTGTGGGGGTGGGGGTGGTGCAGGGAGCTGCCAGGGCTCCACTGCAGACTGGATCTCCGCATTGGGTCCTAAATCCCCAGGACAGACCTGCTTTCTGTCTCTGGTGGTCAGTACTAGGGAAGGCCCATCTCTAGACCCTGGCCATCTCCTGCCCCTGGACCTTCCGCTCTCTGGCTGCCATCTGACACTCTCTACATACTCTCCGCAGATCATGTGGCCGTGAGCATCCAGCTCCTCTTCAGACGTGACAATGTCTTCCTCACCTCCCACCAGTACCCCTTTTATGACTGCCGGGAGGCCATGAGCCTGGTGGAGAACCTGCCGTGAGTCTTGTGCTGCCGTTCAGATCCCCACTCCCAGCTCTGCCCCAGCCCTAGGCGACCCTCACAACTCTCCCAACCCTCTCCCCAGGTGTATCTCCTGTGCTAGCAACCGCTGGACCTGCCAGTGGGACCTGCGCTACCACGAGTGTCGGGAGGCTTCCGTCAACCCCGAGGATGGCATCATCCGTGCCCACATGGTGAGTCCTGAGAGTATCTCAGCTATGACCATGTGGTAAAGGTCAGGGCTGGGGCTGCGGGCCTAGTTGCTTCTGCTTCACCTGACCATTTTCCTCCCTCCCAGGAGGATAATTGTCCCCAGTTCCTGGACCCCAGTCCTCTGGTCATCCCCATGAACCATGAGACAGAAGTGACCTTCCAGGGCAAGAACCTGGACACCGTGAAGGTAGGGGAGTCCCTGGGTCCCTCCCCTGCCTTCCCCAACTCAGGGCCCAGCTCAGGAGACAGAGCAGTCAGGAAATGGGAAGGATGAAGGGAGGGAGGTGTGGAGTCTTTACAGGGGCAGAAGAGACGAACAAGTTGAAGCTGTTGAGGGGCCCAGGGTGGTCAGATGACGGGCTCCGGTATAGACCAGGTGCTGGTGGAATGACCTGCCGGGGATGTTCAGAAGCTTCTGCAGACACCGAGCTCGTGTGGCTCCAAGGGCCCTGGAGCACCAGCCCCAGTAGCACTGCAGGGTAGGGCTGTGGAATGGTGGTAGGGCAGCCAGGATGCTGAGGCTCTGGAGAGCAGGGCAGGTGAGCTGACTTTACCTAGAACACGCTGACTAGACTGTTTGCAGGGCTCCTCCCTGCAAGTGGGCAGTGACTTGCTGAAGTTCGAAGAGCCAGTGACCATGCAGGAGCCAGGGACCTTCTTCTTTCGGACCCCAAAGGTACAGCTTCAGGGCAAGCAGGGCAGGCTGTTGGCCCCAATGGCCCCCCAGGGAGTACTACCTCTGGGACCATGATGGGAGGGGCAGAGGGAGGTCCCTGGGTCCAGAGCCTGACTGGGGCTTACCACTCTGCAGAGGAAGCAGGTGCCCCGAGCCCTGGCACCTATTCCAGAAGGTTCAGTCCCCTTCACTTCTGGTGACACATTCATGTTCTTGTCTGCACAGTGTGTGGGTCTGATTCTCCCTCTTCTGGCCACTTGGTGGCCCTTGCTGACCCTTGGCAGAGAAAGGACTGTGTGGCTATTGGGCATACATGGTGGTCACCCTGGTGACCCATAGCCCCTTCCCCCCTGGATTGAGGCAGGAAGTGCAATGTGGCCCTGTGTGTCTCCCCAGCTGTCCCATGATGCCAATGAGACGCTGCCCCTTCATCTGTATGTCAAGTCCTATGGCAAGAATATCGACAGCAAGCTCCAAGGTGGGTGAGGCCTGGTGAAGGTAGAGCTGGGGGACAAGGCGTCCGGCTTGGCTGACTGTGCACTGTTCTCCACAGTGACCCTCTACAACTGCTCCTTTGGTCGTAGCGACTGTAGCTTGTGTCTGGCCGCAGACCCTGCTTACAGGTGCGTGTGGTGCCGTGGGCAGAATAGATGTGTGTATGAGGCTCTGTGCAGCAATGCCACTTCTGAGTGCCCGCCGCCTGTTATCACCAAGGTGAGCCTTGTTGCAACCCGGGCTGTGCCCAGTCTGTACATTCTCACCCTGTCTGTGTTAGTAGATCACTGTCATCTGCCAATTTCAGATCCAGCCTGAGACAGGCCCGCTAGGCGGGGGCATCCGTGTCACCATCCTTGGGTCCAATTTGGGAATCAGAGCCGATGATGTTAAGAGGATCACTGTAGCTGGCCACAACTGTGCCTTTGAGCTGGAACGGTACTCTGTGTCCACCAGGTGAGTGAACACCCTGGGTCTCTTGGTAGGACCTGGTGGGTGGAGAGGCCAAGGATGGGAGAGACTGTGGGTGCGTGTATGCAGAAGCCGCCAGAGTTCTGTTTCCTCTCAGGATCGTGTGTGCAATTGAGGCTGCAGAGGCTCCCCTTACTGGAGGTGTGGAGGTGGATGTCAACGGGAAGCTTGGCCACTCACCACCTGGTGTTCAGTTCACTTACCAAGTAAGCGCTTGGCCCTCAGGGTTCTGGGCTGGACTTGCAAGTTGAGAAGATGTGAAAGGGTCCAGCCTCTGCTACTGACCGCTGGGCGGTTGGGAGACTGGCAAACTCAGGGTAGGAGAGCCCTGCCCTGGCGCCTTCGAACCATACTATTCAGTGGGCTTCTGAACCCAAGGGCTGTGGCCCCTAACCCTGGCATGCCATCATTCTTTTAGGAGCCCCAGCCCTTCAGCGTGGAGCCAAGGCAGGGCCCTCAGGCAGGTGGCACTACACTGACCATCAACGGCACCCACCTGGACACAGGCTCCAAGGAGGATGTGCGGGTGACCCTCAACGACGTCCCTTGTGAAGTGTGGGTGTCGCCCATGGCTGCTGAGTGTGGCTGGCCCTGGCCCTGGGGACAGGGTGGGGGTACTCCCACCATGAGTCTGCCCTGGAAAGGCATTGGAACCAGCCTCATCTGCTGGCCTGGGACTGAGGTGGATGCTGACCAGCACCTCCTACCCCAGGACGAAGTTTGGGGCACAACTGCAGTGTGTCACAGGCCCCCAGTCGGCACCCGGCCAGGTGACCCTAGAGATCTCCTATGGGGGCTCCCGCGTGCCCAGCCCCGGTGTCTCCTTCACCTACTGCGAGAACCCAGTGCTGCGGGCCTTTGAACCACTGCGAAGCTTTGTCAGGTGTGACCCCTCCCCTCTCTAGCCACTGCTTACCTTGTCCCTCACCCCGTAGGTGTCCAGCCCTTCCCTGGGTGCTTTCTGCTAGCCTGGTTGAGGAGTGTGGCAGGGCGGGGCCCAGCTGCAGGAGGATGTCTCTAGCAGACTCCACCCGGATGGGCTTTCTTGCAGGAGTGTCACATGCTCCAAGCATGTGCCAAACTGCCACCTCCCTGTGCTCACAGGGACTTGCTGGGAGATGAGTGGGAGTGGGAGGGACAGGGCGGCCCTGGAGCTGGCTGAGCACCTCTCTTGCCTGGCTACGCCCACTCAAGCACTGCTGTCTCCTCCCCAGTGGTGGCCGCAGCATCAACGTCACTGGCCAGGGCTTTAGCCTTATCCAGAAGTTTGCTATGGTTGTTATCGCTGAGCCCTTGCAGTCCTGGAGGCGACGGCGGGAGGCTGGACCCCTGCAGCCCACGACGGTCAGTCCTGGTGTGGACGGGGGTCTCATTTTCCATGCCAGCCAGTAAGGACATGTCCCACAGGGGTGGGGTGTGCGCTGCAAGCGGCCTGACGGCCTGGTCCCATCCCACAGGTCACAGGCACCGAGTACGTGTTCTACAACGACACCAAGGTTGTCTTCTTGTCCCCGGCCGTCCCTGAGGAGCCCGAGGCCTACAATCTTACAGTGCTGATACAGATGGATGGGCACCGCGCCCTGCTCAGGACTGAGGCTGGCTCCTTTGAGTATGTGGCAGATCCCACCTTTGAGAACTTTACAGGCGGCGTCAAGAAACAGGTCAACAAGCTCATCCATGCCCGGGTGAGGATGGCCACAGCACCAAGGACCCAGTGCCTGGGTCAGCGTGGGGCATGGACCGTTGCCTGGGCTGAGGGCCCCTCCTAGTATCCCTGACTTCTGCTGCCTTCCCTCACCCCAGGGCACCAACCTGAACAAGGCAATGACGCTGCAGGAGGCTGAGGCGTTTGTGGGTGCTGAGCGCTGCATCATGAAGACGTTGACTGAGACCGATCTGTACTGTGAGCCCCCTGAGGTGCAGCCCCTGCCCAAGCGGCGGCAGAAGCGGGACACGACGCACAACCTGCCGGAGTTCATTGTGCGTGAGGGTGGGTGGGCTGAGGACCGGCCTGGACACGTCAAGCAGCACTGGGCTCTTGGGGGAAGACACACTTCCCCACACTGAGCCCTCTCCTCCATGCAGGTGAAATTTGGCTCCCGTGAGTGGGTGCTGGGTCGTGTGGAATACGACACACGTGCAAGTGATGTACCACTCAGCCTCATCCTGCCACTGGTCATTGTGCCCATGGTGGCCGTCATCGCTGTGTCCATCTACTGTTACTGGTGAGCCCTGCCCCAGGCAACTGGTGACCTGCCCCTCGCCCCTCCTGCCTTGTCCTCTCTGGCCACACGGCTGCCCTGCTCAAAGCAGACATGTATAGCCTCCTAATTCTGGGCTTCCCAAGGCCGACCTGCCAGAACTCAGGAGTCTGTCTGTGCCCCGCAGGAGGAAGAGCCAGCAGGCCGAGCGGGAGTATGAAAAGATCAAGTCCCAGCTGGAGGGCTTGGAGGAAAGTGTGCGTGACCGTTGCAAGAAGGAGTTCACAGGTAGGGCCAACCAGGGCAGGCAAGCGAGTCCACAGGCTGCCCTTACTGCTCACTGTGGGGGCCCCTGGATTCCTGGGGCACCTCTCAGGGCTGCTACAAGTTGCTGAGAGGCTGGGTAGCAGCACAGGTGCCCAAGGGTGCCTCACCCCAGCCTCTCACTGCCCCCAGACCTGATGATCGAAATGGAAGACCAGACGAATGATGTGCATGAGGCAGGTATCCCCACGCTGGACTACAAGACCTACACTGATCGTGTCTTCTTCCTGCCCTCCAAGGACGGAGACAAGGATGTAATGATCACTGGCAAGCTGGACATCCCTGAGTCCCGGCGGCCCATCGTGGAGCAGGCCCTCTACCAGTTTTCCAACCTGCTCAACAGCAAGTCTTTCCTCATCAATGTGAGCGGGTGGGGCAGGCCGGGGTGGACAGGGGACCAAGACAAGGGCAGGGCTGCGGGACAGATGCCCGTGGACTCTGACTGGCTGCCTCCACAGTTTATCCACACCCTGGAGAGTCAGCGGGAGTTCTCCGCCCGTGCCAAGGTCTACTTCGCATCCTTGCTGACGGTGGCGCTGCACGGGAAGCTGGAGTACTACACGGACATCATGCGCACGCTCTTCCTAGAGCTCATGGGGCAGTATGTGGTGGCCAGGAATCCCAAGCTGATGCTGCGCAGGTGCGGGGCACAGGCAGGCAGGGCCCTGTGATGGGCAGGAGGGGACGCACAGGGCAATTCTCAGGCACCCTGGATGCTGGCAAGCGATGGGGGAGGGGAAAGCGCCTCCGTAGCAGACACAGAGCTGCACACTCTTACACGCACGCACACTTTCTCTCTGCCCTGCGAGGTCTGCTAGTCGCTGACAGGCCACACGCAGACAGGCCTTACTGCCTGTGTGCTCACGGGTGCATCTTGACGGGCTCTCAGGGTCCGGGTGGGAAAGCTGGGCTGTCGTGGGGGTGGACCAGCACCTGGAAGAGCTGGCTGGGCCTTGGGTGCTAGGCTTCTCTACCCTCAGGTCTGAGACGGTGGTGGAGAGGATGCTGTCCAACTGGATGTCCATCTGTCTGTACCAGTACCTCAAGGTGGGCTCCATGATTGGGGATAGGGTGAAGTGGTGCCATCCTTCCAAAAACCCACTGTACATACCTGCTTCCTGCCCCTGGTGTGGTCAGTCCCACACCTCCTACTCACCCAGCCCCCTGCATTGCTCCAGGACAGTGCCGGCGAGCCACTGTACAAGCTCTTTAAGGCCATCAAACACCAGGTGGAGAAGGGGCCAGTGGATGCTGTGCAGAAGAAGGCCAAGTACACCCTCAATGACACGGGGCTGCTGGGGGACGATGTCGAGTATGCGCCTCTGGTAAGCCCCCTGGGGCTGGGGCTACAGGGGGCCTCAAATACTAAACTAAAGAGCTTGGACTCCACCTGGCCTTAGGGGTCAGGACGGCGGAGCTGGTTAAGGGAGGAGATTTGGAAGGCCAGTGCATACTCTGTGTTTGGGAGGGCTTGGGTAAGTGGAGGGTAGGCTCCCATGGGTAGAGGACACCAAGTGTCCTGACCCTCAGCCAGCTGCTTCACAGATGTCCTATCCTGCTGCAGTGTGAGCTGGTGGTGAGCTTTGTACACATATGAGAGGTGTGTGTACACATGAGAGATTGTGTGTCCCACTGTGGAAGGACAAAGCTCGGTCGTTCTGAGTCGAATTTCTGTGAGGCAGAGGGCTGCAGAGAGCGAGGGTTCCTCCCCACTAGCTCTTCATTCTCTGTTCCCTGGCAGACCGTGAGTGTGATCGTCCAGGATGAAGGGGTCGACGCTATCCCAGTCAAGGTCCTCAACTGCGACACCATCTCTCAGGTCAAGGAAAAGATCATCGACCAGGTGTACCGCACACAGCCCTGCTCCTGCTGGCCCAAGCCTGACAGTGTGGTCCTTGGTGAGTGCCCACCTAGACATAAGGCCTGTGTGCCCAATGCAGCCCTGGGAAGGGGTCCTGCTCTGGTGGCTTCCAAGGGATAGGGATGGGCAGTAAGAGAGAGCCCAGGGTAGGGTAGCCTATTGCCTGGGGGGTGCCGAGAGCTGAGCTGTGTCCTCCCACAGAGTGGCGTCCTGGGTCCACAGCCCAGATTCTGTCAGACCTGGACCTGACCTCCCAGCGGGAAGGCCGATGGAAGCGGATCAATACCCTCATGCACTACAATGTAAGTGTGGGTGGCCAGGGTAGGGACCACAGACCTTGCATTGGGACCATGGCCCTCCCTCATGTCTCTGTTCCTAGGTCCGGGATGGAGCCACCCTCATCCTGTCCAAGGTGGGAGTGTCTCAGCAGCCAGAGGATAGCCAGCAGGACCTGCCTGGGGAGCGTGAGTCCATGCCTCTTACCCAGTCCCTTTCTAGTCTTTGAGCACCAGGTCCACCCTCTGCTGCCACCTAGGGGATACTCCTGGGCGAGTTTGGGACCCTAGCCCCCAGATGCCAGGCTCCAGGCCTCCCTTGCCCTTGAGCTTGAGGCTGGGACCTGGTTCCTCAGCTCTGTGCTTCCCACAGGCCATGCCCTTCTGGAGGAGGAGAACAGAGTGTGGCACCTGGTGCGACCAACCGATGAGGTAGACGAGGGCAAGTCCAAGCGTGGTAGCATGAAAGAGAAGGAGAGAACCAAGGCTATCACCGAGATCTACCTGACACGGCTGCTCTCGGTCAAGGTGGGTGAGCACCTTGGGCACATGCATCCGGGCACATGCATCTGGGGCCACACCCAGGGTCATACTGAGTCCCTCTTCCACAGGGCACACTGCAGCAGTTTGTGGACAACTTTTTCCAGAGTGTGCTGGCACCTGGGCATGCGGTGCCACCTGCAGTCAAGTATTTCTTTGACTTCCTGGATGAGCAGGCAGAGAAGCATGACATCAGAGATGAGGACACAATCCACATCTGGAAGACCAACAGGTCAGTCCCTGCCCCACCCTGCCCACCCCATCCCCCAGCAATCCCTCATTCCCTGTTGTTCTGCTGCAGTTTACCACTCCGGTTCTGGGTGAACATCCTTAAGAACCCACATTTCATCTTCGATGTGCACGTCCACGAGGTAGTGGACGCCTCGCTGTCAGTTATTGCACAGACCTTCATGGATGCCTGCACACGCACGGAGCACAAGCTGAGCCGTGTGAGTAGGACCCTGGGTCATGGTGGGGGTGAGGGAGAGCTAGGTCAGCTACCAAAAGGGGTGGAGGGCCTGCACTGGACAGTGTCACTGGGGGTGATCTGGAGAAGAAGCCAGGCGTGAGTCTGGGGTGATTACAAGCTTGTAATGTTTGCATGTTTGGGGCTAAAGCTCAGAACAAAGGCAGGTGGAGGCTGTGGGGCTGCCTCAAGGAGATCCCCAGGGTCCTGGCCACCTTTACTTCCTGTGGACCTCCCTTCCTTACCCAGGCAGAGAAAGTGAGTTTTACTACAAAATTTAAAAAAACCAGTTCCCATAGCTGGGTGCAGGTTGCTTGTGCCTGTAATCCTAGCTATTAGGAAGGCTGAGATTAAGAAGATTGTGGTTTAAGGCCATCCTGGGCAAATATTTTGCTAGAATACAGTTTTCTTAATGAAAGCTTTGGGGGTCTGGGCAGGGGCCCCACTACCACTTCTGTGGGGATCCGGAGCCAGCTGAACCCTGCCCAGTATCACCACCTAGTGTTAACCTGACTTTGTTCTCCACAGGACTCCCCCAGCAACAAGCTGCTTTATGCCAAGGAGATTTCTACCTATAAGAAGATGGTAGAGGAGTGAGTGCCACCCCCAGCCAGACCTGGGTGCCACCCTTGACTCCTGTGGGTGGCTTGGGGAGAGCTTGGGTCCTTGGGAGATCTCTGGGGCCTGGCCTCAGGTTCCTACCACCCCACACCTTCCCATACCCCCACCACTGGCTCTACGTAACCTTTCCACATTTGCAGTTACTACAAGGGCATCCGGCAGATGGTTCAGGTCAGCGACCAGGATATGAACACACACTTGGCAGAGATTTCTCGGGTAAGGACCTCTGGGGGCTTAGGCAGAGCTCTTCCCCACCCTCCCTGCTGCCCCCTGCTGAGCCAGGCACTGAACTGCAGAGCAGGGATGGAACTAGATGAGGAGAGAAGCAAAGGATAAGCAGGGAGGGAAGGCAGGTTGGCCCCATGTGTTGCTGAGTCCTGGTAGGAGATGAGCACACTTGTGTGTTGCAACTGGGTGTGTGAGCAGTGAGTAGCTCAGTGCTCCGCCCTGCCTATCACACCAAAGCTGATCCTCAATGGCTGCGGCTAAACAACTCACTGGACAGTCAGAGGGGCTTCCATGTGCAGGCACTGTCTCTCTCTCTCTCTCTCCCCCCACCCCCCCCCCTGGCTGTGCCAGGTAGGGTACAACCCTATGCTTACATACCACACAGCCACCACAACAGCCTGCTGCTCTGTCTGGGCATCACACGGTCCCTGTCTGCCTTAGAGCTGCCTCAACCCCTTCCCCATGTTGGGTGACACTGTTGTCTTTCAGGCACACACAGACTCCTTGAACACCCTCGTGGCACTGCACCAGCTCTACCAGTACACACAGAAGTACTATGATGAGGTAGGATCTGGGTCCCTGGGTCGGGGTTCAGGGCAGCTTCTCCCTTGGCCTGTGGTCTAACGGGTACCCCCTCCCTCAGATCATCAACGCCTTGGAGGAGGACCCCGCTGCTCAGAAGATGCAGCTGGCCTTCCGCCTGCAGCAGATTGCGGCGGCACTTGAGAACAAGGTCACCGACCTCTGACCTACCATCAGTGGTGCCACAGGATGTAGGTGGGTGATGCCTGTTCCTGGCATTGAGCAGCCCCTGGTGTTAAGGCCACATTGGCTATAGTTGAGCCCTTTTCTTCCCCCAGGATGCACTCTGGGCGTCTGGAGGGGTGCAGCAGGCCCACCTCCTGCTGTAGACTGTAGCGTCTTTCTCCTGAGCAATACCGCCTGGGCGCCCGAGCCAGCACCAGCTCCCTCCCACGGCACCAGCATCGGGTGTTCTCCGTGTTAAGTCGTCTCCTGAGCGACTTGCAAACGTGCCTTACATAACCACGCCGGGCTGCTGGGGGTAGTGGGGCCTCAGCTTCCCCTCCCTGTGCACCAGCAGCCTCCTCAGATACCCTGGGTTTGGCCTTGGGTGGGGTCTGAGTGCCTGCAGTCCCCTGGCAAGCTCCTGGACTGTGTGTCTGTCTGCCAGACGGAAGGAGGAAAAAAAGCGGTACGATGCCTTCCTGACCTCACCTGGCCTCCCCGTGGGGTGCAGGCGCTCCAGGTGGACTCAAGGGCCACTGGCCCCACCTCAAAGGTCAAGCTGGACGTCAGACGTCGGGGCCCAGGTGGCCAGAGGGACCCAGAAGACTGGCAATCCTGGTCTTGGCCTGTCAGACAGGCTCTCCTGGAGGCTCCACCCAGGTCTAGGGGTGCTGGGAGCAGCTCCACCAGGACCACCCCAACCCCTTTTGTAAATTGTGTTGATTGTAAATCCAATACAATTGTCTTTTTCACTCTGCTGGTTGTCTGGGTTCCTCCTGGAGCTGCCTGTTGGTTCCTGTTCCACCTGTCCCTATCCCTGGGCTTTTGCAGCTCACTGCCTCTTCCTGGACACCACTGGCCCTAAGTTGGGCCCTTCTGTGGACCAATCCTGATCCAGAAAGCCATCTGTTTGGTCACAGGGGTTGGACCAGCTCCAGCACCACCTGGAAGTTTTGATAGCCTCCTGCCTCTCTGTCCTGACTTTGTGCTTTCAGCACCTGTTTCTATGGTAGAGGCAAGAGGCAGCACCTCAAAGAACATGTTCAGTAAGCCCCTAATGTGTACAAGTCCTGTAGACAAGGGAGGTAGCTCCATCTCAAGAGGCCATGAGGTCAGCTTCCTCTCAATGCCACAAGCTGCTCCAAGATGACTCAGGACCCAAGGTTCAGGACCTGAGAGTGAGCAGCACTGCAGGATCCACGAACCTGGCAGAGGGTGTTTGCTCCCAATCTCCGGGCACAGGGTAGAGGCCATGAAAGTGCTTAAGTGCAAGTGTAATTCAGGCTAGCTGAGAGACACACTTAATAGCATGTGTCGGGTCTCATTCATTAGTGAGGCCCACTCTGTGCTACGTACTTTGCAGAGACTAGGAACCCAGCAGCAAGCTGGACAGAAGGGTCTGCCCTCAGGGAGCCTCCCTTAGTCCAAGGGCACTCATATGAATGGGACTGAGCTGGTGCTCCACACCAGTAAGTAGAGGAATAGCTTCAATTTGGCTGGATCCTAGTGCTGTGTCTTTGGGTCCTACTGAAGCCACGTGAACGCGGGTGTCTTGAGGTCAATAGCTGACATACCAGGACACAGGTACCCTAGGAATCTGGAGGCCTCGCTGCCAGACTGGATCCCTGCAGAACATCTTTACCCCTCTCCCACTGGACAGTCACTAAGAACCACACATGGCTTTGAAGCTTGGGGGTGGGAGGAAGGCTAGTGGTCTAGCAGATCCCAGGTGGGATCTCCATCCTCATCCCCAACCTCTTGGAGGACAAACAGGTGTGTGTAAAGGTGCAGAGCCTATTCTTACAGGACTAGTGAGGGGTAGAAACCGGGCTTCATGTTGGTGTGTGGGGTGGACAGACAACCTTGATGACAGAATGGGAACAGACCTAAGGGTGATGTCTTTTCTTGTTATGTCCTTCTTCCCATTTTCCTCCCAATGTAGAGGAGGGAGAGGTGGGGATGGGAAAGGGACCTGAAGGACCTTTCAAAAAGAAAAAAATTCCCTAAATCAGCCAGATTTGTCTTTCAGGGAGTGCATTCTGACCACAGGCAGAGGGTACTCAGGAGGCGCTGCCACAGCCAGTGAGGGGCCCTGAATCAGTGGACATGGAGAGGGGGTTTATATCTAGGTGTGTCAGTCTCTGGGTAAGAGGCTGTTGTCCTGCAGCACCCACACATACTCTGTCTTTGCCCAGCTGCTTCTCTGACCTCTGCCAGGCTGAGGTGCCTGTCCTTGAAGGGGACCTCCAGCCCTTAACCACCACCTCAAACTCCAGTGGCTACTCCTCTGCAGTATTAGACTCCACCTCCAGAAGGCACGTGGCACCTGTCAGCGGGTACACTGGGGTTGGGGTGGGGTCCCTGTGCAGGTGTGCCGAGGGATGAGAGGTTCACCATTGCATGACGGCTGGACCCACTCTGTCGCTAGCAATGGTCAGCTCTGACCACCAGGACTCAGGCGGAAGGCCAAGGCCGGTCGAGTACACCCTTGGGTGGGCAGCCAACTCTTCCATCTCCTCTCTCCACTCAGAGCGGAACCGCGCGGCCAGGAGAAGGCCAGGGCAGGCAAGTCGCCCAGGGAGTGTGCTCAGCCCCGCCCGGCTGCTGCTCAGACAAAGGCCACAGCCGAGGTTCCCACCGCCCGGGGCTCCGCACCCGCCGCCTCCGCCTTCAGCTGAAGCTCCATTAACTCTGCACAAAACCTCGGCCCGCCCCAGAGAGAGGTGGGGCCCTCGGGGAGGCCAGGGCTTAGCGGCGGGGTCTGGGGCCATACTCGTGTTCTGGCGCTAGGCCCCAGGACCAACCCCGGCTGACGGGTGGGGTGCAGAAGTGAGGTACGGATAGTTGGGGGCTTGGACTGTCACGCTAAGGGGGCCAAGGTGCTGGGGCCTCGACCAGCTTCCTTTACCACTTGTGCGCGGGCCCCACGGTTGGTCGGGATTTGCAGTAGATGTGCCTGTTGGCTAGGTACTGCGTGGACTCGTTTTAATTTGGTTGTCAAGTTTAAATTTATTATTATTTTTGCTTAAGATCCAACCATAAGCCTCACACATGCTAGGCAAGAGCTCTACCACTGAGCTACACCCCAGTCCTAATTTTTAATTTAAAACATTTAATTGTAATGCTTAAAAAAAAAAAAAAGGAAGAAAGAAATTCAGGCAAGTTGGACCCATTGCTCACTTTCCTGGGAGGGCCAGCCCAGGCAGGAAGCTTACCCCTTCCCCAACTGCCACTGCCATTTTTTCTACAGGAACAATGCTCCTCCCATCCCTGGTCAGAGAGAGAGAGAGAGAGAGAGAGAGAGAGAGAGAGTGTGTGTGTGTGTGTGTAGAGATTTAAAAAAAGGGTTTCATTGTGGCATTTCCACATATGTTTACAATGTTCTTTGGTCATCCTCTGTCATCCCCATCCCCTTCTTACAACAATTTCAACAGGTTTCATTGTTCTAATTTCACACAATAAAGTACATTGACCTGATAGTGGGAATAAAAGTAGAGGTGTGGTTTGGAGTGACACATGCCCACTGATGCCTTGGGAGCATCCCCCCTCCCTCCCATGAAAGCAGCCTTGAGAATGGAGCCCTCCAGGCCATATGCAGAACCTGGAAGGCCTGAGTGACCATGCTCTAGAGGCGACCTTCAGAGTCTGGGGAAGTCAGGATGGGCTTCCTAGGGAGGGATGACAGTGAGGGCGCGCTTTAGAAGAAGAAAAGGGTACCGGACATCTGGGGGCACCCCTGTGGACAACACCCCAGAGATCCTGGTGCTGCTGCTGTCCCTGGTCCTGACTGGCCGGACGGTGGACTCACCTCTCCCAGGAGGCGGAAGGCCAGTGTCTGGGCAAGACCGTGTGGGACGCGGCCCTGCAGAAGTCCTCAACACCAACGCAGATCTGCCTGGAGGCGAACCACAAAGGTACAGGATAGGACCCAGGGCGCCTCCGCCCCCCGCAGAGCAGCCCCTGGCTAAGCGCCCCTGTGGCTGATTCTAACCGAAGGCCTTCAGTTTTTACGGTCATGATGAAAATATTTCCCACTTCTCGTTCTTCACCGGTCGCCCTCATTTCTGAGGAAGCAGGCTGGGCTGGGAACTGTGGAGCTGCGTGAGGGCGGCGGAAGCGAGTGCCCTGCAGAAGGTGAAAGCGGGAGTGACCAGCAGAGTCCCCACCGCCCCCAGCGAGAGGGAGGGCCGGTTTCCGCTTTGCCTTCGTCTCCAAGAGGCAGGAAGCTGAGCGTCGATCTCCGGGAACCCCCTGCCCGGCCGCCCGGCCGCCCGGCCCGGGAAATCCGCCGGGCCTCGGCCCCGCCCCGCCCCGCCCGGCCCGCCCCGCCCCCCGCTCCGCACCGCCCCGCACGGCGCGGGCTGAGCGCTGCGCGGGGCTCGGTTACGTCGGCGCCGGCTGCCGCCCCGGACATGTCGGGCCCGCGCGCCGGCTTCTACCGGCAGGAGCTGAATAAGACCGTGTGGGAGGTGCCGCAGCGGCTGCAGGGCCTGCGCCCGGTGGGCTCCGGCGCCTACGGCTCAGTCTGGTAGGGGCGGGGCAGGGACCGGGTGGGGGCCGGGGCGGGACCGCGTGCGCGACCCTCCCCGTGAGGCGCGGGGTTCCCGCCTGGGGAGGGGCCTCGCCCTGCCTCCGCCCCCGGCCTGGGAGCCTGGGAGGAGTGAACTGGGGAAGGGGGCACGGAGAAACTTTCCTGCCAGACGCCTCTCGCAGGCAGGAAGGGGGTCATCTAACAGCCTCGGGATCCCGAGTTGTCCCCACTGGAGCCGAATCCTGCAGCATCACAGCTGGCGAGAGGACAGGTCTCCCGGGTCCCTGAATGTCGGAGCAGTCCTCCTGGGTTCTTTCGGGCAAGGGCCTAGCAGCCCCCAGAGTCTAGCAGACGCACCCCGCCCTGGGCAGGAGCTATTGTTTAAGAAGGAGTGTCCAGGCAGAGGGGGGACCTCTCCGCTTAGAATGGCCTCAAGCTTTCCCGTAGGTCCTACCCCCTCCCCCACTTTTCTAGGCGTCTCAGACTCCATCCACATCGAGCTTTGGCCTGCGCCGAGACGTCTACCATTCTTCTTAAATCCTTACTGGACGTCTACATCACACACCAATTTTGTCCCAAACAGGGGAGCTCAGACTACAGCCCCTGAAGCTAGGGCCTGAGGTCCAGACCATAGTCTTGATGGGGGAGGGAGTCGGGATTGGGCAGAACCCAGTTCCGGAGTACCTGGGCTGCAGGGTGGTTGCAGAGTTGTAACCGTGATGTCGTCAGTGAGGCTGATTAAAGGTGTGGACGTTGAGACATGCCCACCCCACACACATACATACTCTCCAGCACAAAGGGGTTTCCTTAGCTAAGCCAGTACCAGGTAGCTGCGGTCCATGTGGGTCATGGAGGGGAAAAGGAAGGCAAGGACCATCAGGCTCTTGCAAGTTAGGAAAGGAACTTCTCAGGTCCCTTCCAGAGCCTCCAAAATCTGCAGCAGGGGCCGGGGGACAGAGTGGGCTCAGATCTTTCAATCTTGCGCTGTCTCCTTTACTTGTCATCTGTCAGGTCATCTCTGTTCCAGTGCAGGGCTCTGTCTTTATTTATTTATTTTTGCTGTACAGAGACTTGAACTCTACACCCCTGAGCTACTCCATCAGCCCTTTTTGTGTTAGGTATTTTCGAGACGGGGTCTTGTGAACTATTTGCCAGGGCTGGCTTCAAACCTCAGTTCTCCTGATCTCTGTCTCCTGAGTAGCTAGGATTACAGATGTGAGCCACCAGCGTCCAGCTGTCTTTACCTCTTAAGACTTCAACAGCAGAAATAGGGTAGGGGACAATGTGAGAATGGTCATGGGGAACTTAGGCCCCTGAGGATTCAACCTCTGATGTTCCTGGGGGGTGTCAAATTCCCCAAGTGGGCCCTGGGTCTCTCTCCACGGCAGCCCTGGCCCTGTGTTTGCTCAGTTTCACTGCTGAGGCGGTGCCCATTCTGTCACTTGATTGCACACATGTAGTGAGGCAAAAGGATCTGCTACCCACGTGAGGGGTCACTTCCCTCACACAACACCCCAGGAGTGGCCTGGACCTCCTATGGTTATTGGGTGCTAGCTGGTTTTCCTCTAAAGCCAGTAGTCCCCATGAGCATTGCAGACCCAGAATGTTCACCCCCTTACCCGGTGTGGACATGGAAGGCAGCCTGTGTCCACTCACTCTTGGGGGGAAAGGGGTGGGGCATCCTGAGAGGAAGAGAAGTAGGAAGGAGAGAAGGGATGAACATCACAGTGGAAGTCGTCGGTGCAAAGGCATCGGCAGCCAGCAGGGTCTTAGCACCTGGCTCATAGTCGCCCTGATCCTGAGGGCAGTGGGACCAGAGGAGGGTGGAGGGACCCTTTTCCATTTATGTTTGAGGATGATAGCCATGACTGTTCCCTCTCCAGTGAGGTGCAGATAAATGAAAAGACTTGTGCAGAAGTAGAGGGTCCAACTTCTGAGGAGTGAGGCTAGGCAAGGGGATGGTCTGTATCCCAGAGGCCCCCTAGGCTGGCCATTTCCTACTGTTCAGTTGTTTAGTTACAAATTAGGATGCAATAAACACCCCTGGGTCAGTTGTTCCTTCGTATTTTGAATGTGTGGAGGCGTTGGGGATCCAGGGTCTTCGTAGGTAGCTTTAGAACTGCTCGGTGAGCCTCCCGGGTCCACGGGGAAGGGGGAGGGTACTCTTGCGGTGCTGGTGGCTGACTTTCTGGCCTCTCTGCGAGTGGGGCCCCTGGGTTGAGGCGAGAGTTACAGGACAGGAGCAAATACAAACCCTGCCAGCAAACATTGCGTGGTGATTGGCCCTAGGGGGCCTCCGAGCGGTTTTCGCGGAGGCCGAGCGGGGAGCAGGCATGGACCAGAGTCTTGGTAGCTGCACGGGCCTGCCACCCTCGGTCCCCTCACTTGCCCACCTTGCAGCTCGGCCTACGACACACAGCTCCGCCAGAAGGTGGCAGTGAAGAAGCTGTCCCGCCCCTTTCAGTCACTGATCCATGCGCGAAGAACGTACCGTGAGCTGCGGCTGCTCAAACATCTGAAGCACGAGAACGTGAGGGGGCGGCCCGCGGGTTGGACACGCGGGTGGAGGTCACGCCCACCCGCGGGGACGCTACCTCTGGAGGCGGGCCGATGGGAGGGCGCACCCGGTTGACCAATGGGCTCTGCCCCTGGGGGTGGGTCCCGGGAGGGGGGGGGTCGGAGCCAGGGTTTAGGGACAGCGTCTGAGCCAGCTGGGAGTTCCCCAGGACGGAGCCACCGGACTCTCTCCCTTCCTCGCCCAGGTCATTGGTCTTCTGGACGTCTTCACGCCTGCTACGTCCATTGAGGACTTCAGCGAAGTGTGAGCGGCGCCTCGGGAATACAGTCGGGGAGGGAGCGGCGGGGCTCCGTTCTAACTCCTGACCCTGCCGCAGGTACCTGGTGACCACTTTGATGGGTGCCGACTTGAACAACATCGTCAAGTGCCAGGCGCTGAGCGACGAGCACGTTCAGTTCCTCGTTTACCAGCTGCTGCGCGGGCTGAAGGTGGGTCCTCTGGGCTCCCTGGTACCCCGACTGCGTGACAAGGGGGCAGGGAAGAGTGAAGCCGGGCTCACCGGGTCTTCCGCCCTCTGCAGTACATCCATTCGGCGGGGATCATCCACCGGGTAGGTGCAGCCACGGGTGAAGTGAGGGTCAGTCCAGCGGGGCTCTCGCCTGCGCTTATGCCCCGTCCGCCCTGCAGGACTTGAAGCCCAGCAACGTGGCGGTGAATGAGGACTGCGAGCTCAGGGTGAGGACCAGGGGACAGGGTGGGCAGTGGGGGAGTACAGGGAGGGATCTTTGAATGCCTGTGGCCCTCCAGATTCTGGACTTTGGGCTTGCGCGTCAGGCTGACGAGGAGATGACAGGATACGTGGCCACACGCTGGTACCGGGCGCCTGAGATCATGCTCAATTGGATGCACTACAGTCAAGCAGGTGCTGTTCACCTTCACCAGGTGCGGCAGCATCTGACCAGGGTGGGCAGGCAGAGCTTACCAAAGGCCTGGGGAGGGTAGCAAGGCTGTGGGAGTGGCTGAGGACCCTGAGGGAGAAGCAAGATCAGTCTTGTAGAGGAAAAGTCTGGGGGCAGCTTTCAGAAGAACCTGGAGCTTGGTGGGTGCTGTTAGGATCCAACTTCTCCCCCCTTCTCAAGACTGTATGGAGAAAGGGCTCTCCTAGTCTTCTGGCCTGGTGTGACTGAGGGTCTCTGGTCTGGCTCCTCCCCAGTTCTAGAGGAGGGACTTGCGATGGGCAGACTGATGGAGGCCCCTCATAGCCTCTCCCCCACCCCTCTTCCAACAGTGGACATCTGGTCTGTGGGCTGCATCATGGCTGAGCTGCTCCAGGGAAAGGCCCTCTTCCCTGGAAATGACTGTATCCTTGGGGAGCAGGGTCAAGCTGGGGTTCCCTCCTGCAGGGTGAGGGTGGGGTCTGCCTTTGCCATGAGCCTGTAGGACTCACTGTCCTCAGCTGCAGCACAGCAGTGCCCCAAGCTCTGGGGCTAGGGGTCTGGAAATGTTCCATAGCTGGCCAGTGGGTATTTCCTGAGCCAGGTAGACATTGACCAGCTGAAACGCATCATGGAGGTGGTGGGCACACCCAGCCCTGAGGTTCTGGCAAAGATATCCTCGGAGCATGTAAGTCAGTGCCCAGCCAGCCACCAGCTCCCTCTGCTCACCAAGCCCCAGGCATGCTGGGGAGGGGGTGGTGTGGGCACCACATGGGCTCAAGCCCTTCAGAGGGAAACAGGTGAACATTCCTGGCAGGCAGGAGGAACAGTGAGAACAAAACCACAGTACCAGAGAACTGTTCTGGCCATGCACAGTGGGGGCCACTGGGAGCAGGGAGTGCTATAGAACTAATTCCTGTAGGTATCAGGGGCTATATGAGGAGCTGGAGCCACTAGATCCTACAGAGAGGTCTCTGGTCTGCCTAGCTTCCCACTCAGCCTACTGGAATAAATAGTCATGACAACTCTCTTGCAAGTCCTCTGCCCAGTTTGGGGCCAGGGAGGTGGGGATGAAGAGCCCCCTCCAGGCCCTTCTCATATGCCCCCAGGCCCGGACATACATCCAGTCCCTGCCCCCCATGCCCCAGAAGGACCTCAGCAGCATCTTCCATGAAGCCAACCCCCTGGGTGAGGATTGGCTCTGGGGCTAGGCTGGGCTCCACATCTGGCCCTGGATGTGGAGCTGACCGTACCCCAATGGCCCTCCTGCAGCTGTAGACCTCCTTGGAAGGATGCTGGTGCTGGACAGTGACCAGAGGGTCAGCGCAGCTGAGGCCCTGGCTCATGCATACTTCAGCCAGTACCACGACCCGGATGATGAGCCAGAGGCTGAGCCCTATGACGACAGTGTTGAGGCCAAGGAGCGCACAGTGGAGGAGTGGAAGGGTGGGCACAGAGCTGGGACAAGGGGCGGAGTAGTAGTGCCCAGGGGCCTGGGACTGTATTCCCCAAAAGCAGAGTTTTGCCTGTTTCTTGCAGGAAACTCCCCAGCTCCTCTCTGGTGTAGTCTGGGAGGGAAAACAACACCCCCCCCCAATCCAGTGAGGGGCAGGTGGAAATGGGTGTGTGTCCAGCAGAGGCTTGGGGGACAGCACAAAGCATGTTCTGGTTCTCAGCCTCTGGGTTGAGGCTGCTTAAAGGGTGGCGTGTGTGGACTGGGCATCAGGTGCCAGACATGTGGGAGGCTGGGCTGGGGGCAGCATAGCTTACTCTTTTCCTTCACTCCCCCAGAGCTCACTTACCAGGAAGTCCTCAGCTTCAAGCCTCCAGAGCTGCTGCAGCCACCTGGCACCTGTGAGATTGAGCAGTGAGGCATTGCCCATGGGAGGCCTGAGCCTCTCCCATTTCCTCAGCTGGCCAGGTTTCCTCAAATGTGCCTCTCAGTCAGCCCTTACTCTAGCCTGGGACCTCTTGCCTTGAGGGAGTCTACACACATGTCAATGCACAAGTATGTGCCTGTGTGCCTGCCATATGTAGGAGACTGGGCAGAAGTGTCCCTGGGCCTGCTTTGGTTCTTCCACCCTCTCCCAGCCACCAGGCTCTCCCTTGGGACTTCATTATATGGAATCGGGATCCCCCTGGGGAGTGTGTTGGTGTCCAGATCTCCTCTGAACCAGAGAGCTATCTGGCGCAGGACCAGGGCAAATGGGTCAGAGTCCCTGGAGACTCAGAGGGAGGATCTCTGAGTTAGAGCAGCTCAGCCTGGAAGTGAGGGGCTGCCCTGAAAATTGCTGAGGCCCAGAAGTCTGATTGCTGAGGGACCCAGTGCCTCACTAGACTGGGCTGGGTCTCCCCTGGGGATTTCAGGTTAGGGACCACAACCAGATTTCCGATCAGAACATAGACTGTAGTTACCTACAGCCTGTGTTTGCATGTGGTAAGTGTAGGCATGTGTACATTAGTGTGCACTCCTGGTTTTCACATTTCAGCATATGTGCAGGCATGTGCTGGTGTGTGTAATCTTTGAGTGTCCAAGGACCAGCAGCTGTGTCTGGTGGGAGACCTGAGTTGAGGTAGCCATTCTTGCCTCCCTTCCCCTCAGTTCCTGATGCCTGAGGCGAATTGAGACCCTGCTATGCCCTAGTCTTGGGTTGGAGGTGGGGGTAAGATGCATCTGTGTGAACAAAAGCCAGGACTTTTTCTTGACCACAGGAGCTGCAGCAGGCTCCTGAGACACGAGGGCACATGCTCACTGGGGAGCTGATGGAGCAGGGGACCTAGCCTTGAGGATACTAAGATGGGTAGCACATATGGATGTAGACTTGGAGTTGGAAATTCCTGCCCCTGGACATTGGCCTAGAGCTGACAAGCCTCTGCCCACCATTGTGGCTCTACGGCAGATCTGGGGTGTTGTGGTCTGTGGGTCAGTCCTTATTGCCCCTTCTCCCAGAAAGGAGGTGACCAAGTAACCTTTGGGACAAGACCCTGCTTGGAGACAAATTGGAGACAAATTGGCTCCTCCCTGGAGAGGCGGTGACCTCTTGCCTCCAGGGACCCAGGGAGGCCTGGATGTCAAGTGCCTGCACCAGGGGTGCACAATAAAAAGGGGTTGCCTCTTGTTCTTGTTTGTGTCCCAGGTTCCAGGCCCTGCTACCCTTACTGTCCCTGCTGCCTGGAGAAGGTGGCTGGATCTCCATGCTTCACCTCTAACTGGCCCCCCGGACCTCTGCACTGGTCACACCCCTTAGTCCCTCAGTGAGACCAGCAGCCATCTCTGGCATCCTCAATGCTTTCTGGACAGTTGAGAGCCCAGGAGGCTAGAGTGGGAGTCAGGCCCATGGACTCCAAGGGAAACAGTGTAGTGGTCACCCACAGATTGACCCCAGCTGCCTGTGTGTAGAGGGTTTCAGTGGGCAGTCTGGCTCCTGGCCCAGACCCTCATCTCACTCAGTAGTCAGGAGGCTGGCCACAGGTCAGTTGGATGTCTCTGGGAGCAAAGGCCTGCTCTTACCCAGAGGGTGGACAGGAAGTAGCTTTCCTTTTCTGGTTTAGGACAAAGAGGCCACTTTAACCCAGGGATCCACAGGATCCCTACTGCTTACTGTAGGTCACATGCAGGATAGTCTGTGTCCTTGCCGTTGCCCTTGCCCTGAGTTTTAGACCTCAAGAGGTTTGGTTAGTGTGGCAGCTGGTCCTGGAGGGGAGCACTAGAGACCAGGTTGTGCCAAGTCCAGTGTTTGGAGATGTGGAAGGAGAACTAGGGACATGACCCCATTTCTGGAGCCCTATCTAGCCCAGAATCCTGTTCCCCCCACCCCACCAGAGTAAAGAGGACAGTTGGGGGCTTCCTGGAGGGAGGTGAGTGGTCTGACTGTGGCATCCTATGGCATAAGGGTATGGATACAGGTTGCTATGGTTTGAGTGGCCCAGACCTGCCCCAGCTTGTGAACATGCCAGATCACCAGCAGCAGCCCAGGTGTAAAGCTGCTCTGGCTGGCCTTGAGCTGCTGATTCATGTCGGGCAGGCGGGGCACAGAAGGCGAGGCAGGGGGGTCCTGTGGGTGACTTTGCCCTCCAGAAGCATCTATGCCAGACTTCAGAGGGAATGACCACTGGGAGGGGTCATGCTGAAATAGGTCCTGCCTTTACCCTGGGGGCAGCAGTCCTTCAGAGTGTAATGAGGATCAGCATGGACTTTGAAGGACAAGCTGGGCAGGGACTAGCCTTTGCAAGTGCTTGAAGCAGTAGTCATCACAGGCCAGGTGCCGGGAGAGGAGGAGTAGAGGTGCAAAAGGGCCCCCCAGGGGGTCCTTCGGGACCAGCTCCTTTGTCTTCTGGGTTGGGAGGCTGAAGGCCAGTGGCCACAGAGATGGGGTTGCTGATGCAGTACAAGAAAGTTGGGAGACAAAGCCAACCCCTCCTCCATATGGAAAGAGAGATGCAGGCAGGACAGGTTCTGGGAAACCCCAGATTGGGCAACGGATGGGACAGCCCCAGGGGTGGGGCATCCTTAGGGCTGGAATCGGGAGTTGACGTCAGGAACGGGAACGCAAGGCTAGGTGACTTAGGGATAGAGGATCGAGTTAGCGGTGTGGTGTGGGTAGTACACTGGCAGGTGGATGGTGACCCCGGGCTGGGGGCCTACCCCGAGGGGATCATGCTGCTTAGGATGGGCCCAATGTCCAGGAAAATCAGTAAAAACTAGAGCTTAGAGGGGCCCCTGCTAAAACCACAGGGGAAATCCAGTGGGGGCTGTGGCCGGCCAAAGTGCCTGGGCATAGCCTTTCGCCCCGGGTCAGCCATGAGACTTGGGACGACTCTCTCCCTCTCCTCCCCAGCCTTCAGCCCTCCCCCGTCCGCCGCCTCGGGTTTCCGGAGGGGCCGGAGGGCGGACGGGGTGTCACGTGCACGGGGCCCGGGGGCCGGTTGGTCCGCGGGCGGGGGAGGGGCCGCGTGCTGCCGGCCGGGCTGGGGTCGGCGGTTGGGAAGAGCCCTGGGTGAAGACTTCGAAGGAAGAGCAAGAGGGAGAGCTCCAGCGGTGGGCGGGCGGCGCAAAGCCGGCCCTGCCGCGCTGTTGCCCGGGGCGCGCGCCGGGGGAAGCCCCATATCCTGGGACCCCGTCCCGGGGCGAGGCGCCCGGGCCTGCGATGAGCTCTCCTCCGCCTGCCCGAAAGGGCTTTTACCGCCAGGAGGTGACCAAGACAGCCTGGGAAGTGCGCGCCGTGTATCAGGACCTGCAGCCCGTGGGCTCGGGTGCCTACGGCGCAGTGTGGTGAGCGCGCGGGGCGGGACGGCCCGCGGGGCAGGCGGTGCCTGGGCGATGGCCCAGCCGGCCCGCTAAGCCTTCCGCCCGCAGCTCGGCGGTGGACAGCCGCACAGGCACCAAGGTGGCCATCAAGAAGCTGTACCGGCCTTTCCAGTCGGAGTTATTCGCCAAGCGCGCCTACCGAGAGCTGCGCCTCCTCAAGCACATGCGCCACGAGAACGTGAGTCGTGCGCTGTCCCCAGCTACAGACACCGCGCCCTTGGCCGCTGCTCATCCTCCCCTCCCCAGCAAGTCCTGCTCCAACGATCCTGTTCCCCAGGGGAGTCTGCCCCTCCTACCCAGCCCCCAGGCAGCCTCCAACGGGGATAGGCAGCCTGTCTGAGCAGTGTTCCATGAAGGAAGTGAGGGCAGAGCTTGACCCCTTTTGGGGGGACACTATTTTTCCGAAGTTTAGTGCCTCCCTCTCCACAGTTCTTTGGCTTCGTCTTTGGGTCACATCTGGCTCAGCAGCCCAGGTCAGGGACAGTAACTTGTCCAGGCCTTGGGTCTCCTAGAGGTCTTACTTTAGACTCTGCCTCCATCATTGAAGGGAAGGGATTCTCAGCGTGGTAGGAGGTTTTCCTGGAAGGGACATTTACCCCTTTTCCCTGCCCCAGACCCCTTTCTCCAGCCCCTCCAGCCCCTCTCCACTCCAGGCAAGCAAGTCCTTGGGAATGCAGGTCAAGGCATAGTTCTGGGGTTGGACACTGTGACTGTGTCACTTGAGAGCCTGGAGAGGCATTTCCTTTCCAGTCCTGTACATGGGACATTGCACAGGGGTGTCCCCGTGCCTCTCACATCACCACTGCTGGTTGTTAGAGCCCTTCTCTCTGCCAGGGGAGCTCTTTTTTAGATATAGTTCCTGGGGTTTTAAGTCTGTCCCTCCCATACCCTGGCTCCTGACAGATGTTCTGGCCCTTCTGGGTCATCATACCCACGGGGGGGGGGGTCAATTCATCTCTGACCCTCTTGGTTCCTGGTCACTGCCACTCTTGGTTGCTCTGGTGGGTCCTTTATTCTCTGAAGCTCTTCATGTCTGCATTGGCCCTGGGCTTGTCCCGTTTTCTGTGTGGAGTTTGCTTCTGGTGGACACCAAGCCTGCCCTGCCTCACTACCTCCCAGGCACACCTAGACCTTCCCATGAGTGTAGCCTTCTCCATCCTTGGTTTCACCCAGCTTCTCCTCCAGAACCCACAACCACCCACCCACCTACCTGCCTATTTCCCCTGTCCAGCTAAGGGCTCTGAGCCTCCTCTTTAATCATCTCCCACATCTGATCCAGTCTGTGCCGGGTCACCTCCACTGTGTCACCATCCCTACCAGGCTCCTGACCTGTCCACAGTTGGACACTGCTACCTACAGGATGCCCTAACACCCACTGGGAAGTTGTAACCCCCAGTACTAACCCCTCTTCCTATGAGGAAACTGAGGTTTGGAGAGGCCTCAGCAGAGATGAGGATCTGACATAGGCCCAGTCCTGCTTCCTGTGCTCCCTCTCAGCCACTTCAGGCCTTCTCCCTCTCCTCAAACCCGGCCCCCTGTTCTGGGCCATATTCAACACACAGAGGCACAGAAGTCCTAGCCGTCTTTCAGATAGACCTGCCTTAACCTTAGGACCCTGTTCCCTGCCCACTCCTCTATGTGCTCCCAGGTCCCCAGCTCTCAGGTCATATCTGTGGTCCACTTGCCTCCAGTCCTTTCTCTTCCTTCTTCCACGCTCCTCCCCATAGTTCTGTCCTTGATTACAGTGGTCACCCACATGTCCTCCACCTTGTGTTCATTGTTGCCTCACTTCACTCTGTCCCTACACTGCAACTACGTCATGCCCCTGTTTAAACTTTTCCATGTCAACTCTTTTGATCAAAGCCACACCTTCCCCTGGTGTGTGTTTAAGGCCCTGCCTGGGTGGGTTTCCTCCAGCCTCTCCTTGGCTACTCCTTGGCCTGGGTCTCAGCCACCTGGCCTCCTTTCCTGTTACTCAAATTCTGGACGTGTTCTCCCTCCTGCCTTGGCCACCATACACCTGGCCTCTATTGGTTCATTACTTCCAGCTGCTTAAATATATGCCATCCCCAGGGAGGCCCCCATGGGCTCCTGGAAGTCCTGTTATCCCTCAGTATTGGGGATGCCTTTGTTACATTGCCTTTCTGTCCATCTCCCGCAACCATCCAGCGCTGTGTGGGATCAGGTCTGTCTTAGACAACAGAGGCATGACCTTAGAAAGGACTTGCTAGATATTGGCTACTCTCAGGGGGCTGCACCTACTCTGATCATGGGTCTTCTTGGACCTTGGGGAGAGGAAAAGAGGGGAGGAGAACTAAGGAGCTAGAGCACTTGGACACCTGGAACCAGCCCAGGCTCAGGGCTGCCCCTCCCCCAGAGGATCCTGGCTGTCATCATCCAAAAATAGCTTGTGTCTGTGTGGACAAGTGTACCAGGGCTGGGCTGAGCCAATGGGCACAGTGGGGGGAAGATGAGAACAGCTGCAGGGGGGCTTCCTGCTTGGAGCACAGTGATACTCTGGGTATGTGTGCTGAGCCCCTGCATCCTCTCTGTGCCCTCCCCCTCTACTGGCACTCTATCCCCCAGGTGATTGGGCTGCTGGATGTGTTCACTCCTGATGAGACCCTGGATGACTTCACAGATTTGTGAGTGCTGGCCTGGCCTGGCCTGGGCTGACCAGGCAGGCAGGAGGGGCCTGAATGGTTCCTGGGTGCTAGCTTCAGGTCCTGGGTTGGCTTGGGGGCCCCCTCCACAAAGCCCAAATGGGGACCAAGATGCCCACTACTCACCCCTTCCTCCACACTCCCATGTGCTTTGGGGCCCATGGACACTGGCATTCCTGGTTAGATCCAGGGCTTCCTCCTTCCAGGCCTGGCACCTGGGGCCTCCCAGTGCCTGAGGTGTGAACCTTGGATGTGGTGTTTGTGAACAGGCAGGTCCCGTGCTCAGGATCCTGGCACCTGGTGTGTGGCCTGAAACCAGAGCTGCTGACCTTTGCTGGCAGATAGGGCAGAGGCTGCAGGGAGGACCCCGCCCTGCCCCTGCCTTTCTGAGCCTGTTCCACAGTTGGCCAGCCCTGGACGCATACTGCTATCAGCCAAAGACTAAGGAGAAGGCCAGGGAAGGGCTGGAAAGGGTAGCAGACTCTTCTTCATCAAGGGCCCACACTGGCCCCAGAGGAGTGCTAATGCCACGCTCCTCTTGTTATTCCCTTCACCCACCTGCATATCTCCGTTCCAAGATGGTGAAGCTCCCACCCTCATCCCTGCCCCGGGCTCCTGCCTGTGAAGTTTATGCTCTGCTGCCTTCAAGGTGCAGCCCCTTCTGTCTGGAGTTCAAAAACTCTGGTGTGCAGCCCCTCCCTGCCTGTCATTTTGGGCAGGGTAGGTGAAAAGGTGGAGTCATTGTTGAGAGTGGGGCCAGATGGTGGATGAAGCCTGGCATCGCATGGTGGGACAGTAACTCATCCAGCAGGATGTCAGGATCCTGAGGCAGTGAGGACTCAAAGTACTCACTGGGTACTGCAAAGTGACACTTGAGGGGCACTGGTGGGATGGAGTCTTGCAGAGTCCTAGCCTGGGCCCAGCGGGTGTTAGTGCGGAGCCAGGGGCTGGCCCCACCCCACTGTTTGCGCTCTGGCCCCACTTCCACAGCTACCTGGTGATGCCGTTCATGGGCACTGATCTGGGCAAGCTCATGAAGCACGAGACTCTGAGCGATGACCGAATCCAGTTCCTCGTGTATCAGATGCTGAAGGGGCTGAAGGTGGGGCTTGCAGGGGAAGCCACAGGGAGGTGGGCAGAGCTGCCTGGGTGGGCAGGGTAGGGATTTGTGGCTCAGACGGCCCCTTGAACTGATGACTGCTAATTCCCCTCTTTCCCACAGTATATCCATGCTGCTGGCATCATCCACAGGGTGAGATCTAGTGGGGGTGGGAGGTCACTCATCCATCCCTTTCCAGGTGTGTGGGCAGGAGAAATGCTCAATCCTAGCCATTTCTCACCTGTAAGGGGGAAAGATGGGGTCTGGTGTGGGGAGGCGCTGGTGACATTCTATATAACACTGCTGAAAGCCACACCCAGCCCTTCTACCCTTCCTCAAAGGACTGGAGGGGGCAAGTGGCCAGGCCCAGATTAATGGCCCTCGTAGTGCTGCCTTGGCCCTTGGCCTTGCACATGCTCTGGCAGGCAGGGCACAGTGGCCTCTTTTCCTCTGTCCTAGGACCTGAAGCCCGGCAACCTGGCTGTGAACGAGGATTGTGAGCTGAAGGTGTTGCTGGGCAGGGAGGATGACCAGGGTGGGGTACAGGGACTCCCTCTCCATCTGTCTGTCCACCTGCCTGCTCTCAGGCCCAGGCTGAGGAATAGACCCCAGGCATCTGGACAGGGGCTGAGCAGCTGATGTGTCCCAGGGAAGCACTTGGTGGGGTTGCAGCAGGCACACTCTATACCTGCTTCAGGTGAAGTGGGGGGAGCATCCCTAGTCCCCCATGCTTGACCCAGGGCAGGGTTTGGAGGTACCTAAAGGTGAGCAGGGAGTGGCAGAGCAGGGAGGGAGAGAATCCCGGGCACCTGTTCCTGAGGTTGGTTGGGCTGGATGCACTGGCCACAGGGAGAAAACCTTGGAGTCCTTGAGCCCTGGAAAGGTGGGAGAAGCCCCAGATTGAAAGCTTCAAGACCAACCCCCTCCTGGGTCACAACTGGCCTGTCCACTGCTCAGGGGTCCCCTTAGCCCCACCTTCCTGATATTTCCCTCAGATCCTGGACTTTGGCCTGGCCAGGCAGGCAGACAGTGAGATGACAGGATATGTGGTGACTCGATGGTACCGGGCACCTGAGGTCATCTTGAATTGGATGCGTTACACACAGACAGGTGAGAGGCCATCCCAGAGACTCAAGGATGCCATGCCACACCTACCTCTTCCCTCTTTCTTTCTTGTTTTTACTTTGTGGTGCTGGCAATTGAATTTAGGACCTCATCCACGCTAGGCAGGTACTCTACCACTGAACCATACCCTAGCCCTTCCTCATTTCTTTATGGGGAGCTCACAGTGGCTGCTCTCTGGGAAGGCTGTTTAGCTGGGGTGGGAGCCTGGGGAGGATGTGGCAAGTGGAATCCCCCCAGCCTGTCTCTACCTCCTCCTCGCTGTGTGCCCTTGCTCTGTGTCTGTGTGCACCCCCTCCTGTGTTTGCCGCCCTGTGTGGCCTTCCCCACTTCCTATGTCTGCAGTCTCTCACCCTGCGCCCTCATGTATGCATGCCATCCCTGCCCATGGGGCACCGATGGGGCATTGATGGGGCTTCTGTTGCAGTGGACATCTGGTCGGTGGGCTGCATCATGGCGGAGATGATTACTGGGAAGATACTGTTCAAGGGCAGTGACCGTATCCTCCCACATAGGGGCAGTGTTGGGCGCATGCCTGGGTAGTGGGTGGCGGGTGGTCCCTGCCCTCTGGCTCTGTGCTGTGCTTCTGACCTCGGTACAGACCTGGACCAGCTGAAGGAGATCATGAAAGTGACAGGGACACCTCCTGCAGAGTTTGTACAGAAGCTGCACAGTGCTGAGGTCAGTGGGCAGCTGGGTGAGCAGGCTGGCAATGGGCCTGGGAGCTGGCCCTCACCCTCTTCCCTACAGGCTAAGAACTACATGAAGGGCCTCCCCGAGCTGGAGAAGAAGGATTTTGCCTCTGTCCTGACCAACGCAAGCCCTATGGGTAGGCCAGGCGGGTGGAAGTCCCAGGCCACTGGAACATTAGGCCTCTCTCTAGTCTGACCTGGCCTGATTTGCTCTCTCCACAGCTGTGAACCTCCTGGAGAAGATGCTGGTGCTGGATGCAGAGCAGCGGGTGACCGCAGCTGAGGCCCTGGCCCACCCTTACTTTGAGCCCCTGAGGGACACGGAGGACGAGCCCAAGGCCCAGAAGTATGATGACTCCTTTGACGATGTGGACCGTACCCTTGAGGAATGGAAGCGTGAGTAGGGGGTCTGTGTTGGATCTTGCGTGCCCTGTGCAGGGACCCCCTCCCCCTGCCACAGCCCCTGGGTTGCAGGTTAGGTGAGGAAGAGGATAGGATGTCCCAGGTAAGTGTGAGGCTCTAGAATTTGCCCAGGGTGACCTCTGGCTAGGGCAGAAGTCAGGGAGAAGCGCATCCCTGTTCTTTCTATGGCAAGAACGCCACAGAAAGGCTGGCACATAATGGATCCCAGGAACTGGGCAGTAGATCTCAGTTCAGGGCAGCAGTGCCACTGACCCCTCCTGGCCTGCTACCCTTGCCCCTGTGACGCCCAGCCTCCCTCACATCTAGGCCAGAGAACCTGCCATGCTTGAACTCCCTCCACATCCACTTGTCCTCACATCTTTTAAATTTGTCCTGGCCTCTGTTTGCCCCACTTCAGGACCCCTCCCGTTCAGACAGCTGTTCTCTCCTTATGTCCTACCTACGGGGGGGCAGTCCACCTCCATGCAGCTCCAGAGGCCTTGCTCCTCCCTGGCACCCCCCAGCCCTACTGAGTAGTTCAGATCTCTCCCCGCCCCCCCACAATGGCTATGCTCTGTACCTCCAGGATCTGGGCTCACTGTCCCCTTATACTGAGGGCACTGCCTTCACCCTTTTTTTGTTTTGTTTTTGAGATAAGGTCTAGCTATGTGACCTAGACTGGGCTCAAACTCCCTATATAGCCCAGACCAGCCTTAAACTTGTTAGATCCTCCTGACTCAGGATCCCAAGTGCTGGAATTACAGGCAAGCGCCACCACATCTAGCTCCTCCTTTTATCTTTTTCTGGGTTTTTTTTTTTTTTTAATCGTTTTTACATTTACTTACATGTGTGTACATTATTTGGGCCCCCCGCCGTCGGTTGGTTTTGTTTTGGCATTATTGGGGTTTGAACTCAGGGCCTCATACTTGCCTGTTAGGCAGGTGCTCTTACCATTTTAGCCAATTCACCAGCCCTTTTTTGTGATGGGTTTTTTCAAGATCGGGTCTCCTCAGGCTGGCTTCAAACCATGATCCTCCTGATCTCTAGAATCCTCCCGAGTAGCTGGGATTACAGATGCCCTTTATATTTGAGGGGCCTCCTGCTGGGCTCAGGAAGCTTCAAGGGTCTTCCCACTGAGCTTTGAGCTAGAAAGCTGTTTCAGAATAGCAGGTTCCAACCTGAGGGCAGCAAATCAACAATGGAATGTCCCACTGAGTCCCTTGTCCACCTGCATCATCAGGATGGAGGAGCTAGACTGACTGAGGCTCTCAAATCATTTTTTTTTTTTTTTTTTTGGTGAGACTGGGGTTTGAACTCAGGGCTTTGTGCTCACAAAGCAGGCACTCTACCACTCAAGCCACATCTCTAATTCATTGTAGTCTGGTTATTTTGGAGATGGGTTCTCTTGAACTATTTGCCCAGGCTGTCCTTGAACTGTGATCCCCCCAATCTCAGCCTTCCAAGTCAAATCATGTTCTTCAGAGCCACAAGGGTCCTCTGTGTCTCCAACAGGTCATCCCCATTTCTCTGTTATGTCACAAGCTCATGAGTCTGGTTCTGTGTGATGAAAGACTTCTGCTGATAAACAAGATAACTCCTGAACCACAGGCCACAGGATCTTCTCTGTGGTCCCTGCCCACACACACTGTGGCTGGAAGCTTTTGCTTTCACAATACACCATTGACCATGGTGATCACTTGGTCAAGCCCTTGTACAGAACACAAGCGCTCATCACCTTGTGATGAGCTGGGAAAACCCAGCTTTATAGCATTCTTCACATAGAATTTGTCTAAGTGGTACAGTCAGGTTAAGATTAGAGAATATGCCCAAAAAGTGCCAGCTTCTGCTCTCAGGTAAAAGCAAAAGCCAACTGTCCTGTTTGCCTTTCACCCCTCTGCAGGTGTCACTTATAAAGAAGTACTCAGCTTCAAGCCTCCCAGGCAGCTGGGGGCCAGGAGCCCCAAAGAGACAGCTCTCTGAAGACCCCTAAGTGGCGTGGGGACACCCAAGGGCCCAGGCTGGGGCTTCACAAGCTCCTTGTCTCCCTTCCTTGGGAGGGGAATTCTGATTACCACTCTGGCCTTGCTTGGAGAGACTGAGTAGACCCCTTGATCTGTGGATCCCCTCTTTCCCCAGGCCTGTTCCTCTGCTCTCAAGTGTTCCCAGCTAACCTTGGTGGAGCACTTGAGCATTCTGCACAGGACCCCTACCCCATGTGGGGCTGGCATTTGGCCCCTGAACAGCACCCCCTCCAACAGGGTGCAGCAAAAAGCCTCAGAACTGGTCAAGCTCAGGGTCTGAGCCCTGCCTGCTATGAACTGTGCAGAGGCCAGCTCTTGAGAGGAGGGAGATGGAGGGCATGGGGCACTGACCCAGGGACACCATCCCTCCTTGGGGGTGCTGTGGACTCTGCACTCCCAGCTTTGAATGTAAACCGACCATTTGGTGTGCTCACCTGGCGGAAGGAAATAAACTCTTTTGTAGACCTCCCACTCTGGCTGTTCAACCTGATGCCTGAGCCCCACTTCAGGCCCTTGAGCTGCTGCCCTGCTTAAAGAAAGGAGGTGCCCTGAGCTAAACCCTTCTGAACCAGTGGAGGCTCCAAGCCTACCCCTTCCCGAGCCAGGGCTGGTGCCTGCCTCCCCAGCCAGTCTGGTTAGGGCTTGACCCCCTCCTTTCTTGTGAGATGACTTTCCTTTCATTTAGGCTAGGAGTCTGAGCCAGTGTGCTGCATAGAGCCTAACCCAGGATGAGGAGACTGTGTTAGGGTCCAGCTAGCACCTCAGTTCCGGCTGAGCTCCCAGGATCCTCGGCCAAGGTTCCTGGGGAGGAAGGGTAGGGGCCCTCTGGCCGCTGAGGCCATCCAAGACTTGAGGGCTGGGTTTTGCTCTCTAACTTCTTGCCAAGGCCAGGCCTGGCCTCTGAGAGCTTGCACTGCCCTCCCCAGGCCACTCGATGTCCCTGAGGACTAGCCTCTGGGTCAGAGGCCACACTTGAGCTCCTACAGCTCTCTTTCTCCACCTGTCCTACTGGCAGGTGTTTCCAAAGCCGAGTTGACCGTGGCAGGGAGGGGGAATGCGGGGCAGATCTGGTGTGGCCGGTCCAATACAGTCGGACGAAAGACAAATTGCTATGACCATCACTGGTCTTGGCCCACAGCAGGCCTTGCCCGGCCGGAGTGGCATGTGACCCAAGGTGGCCAATCAGAGCGCCCTTGGTGCTGCAGGTGTCCAGTAGAACAGGATGGGGCCCAGACCCGCCGGTCTGTAGTGCATTCAAGGTTCTCCCTCCACCAGCCAACCCCTCCCCGAGTTTTCTGGCTCTGTCTGGGAAGCTGGGAGTGGTGGCGCAGTGGGGAGATGGAGGCAGAAGGATTGCGAATTCCAGGCCAGCCTGGAAATGGAGAGCTCAGCTCCAAAAAATTAAAACAACAACAAAAAATTACTCCTGGGTGGCGCCCGCACCTCCTTCCTCCTTTCTGGAGCCTTCCTCTGTCCCCCTTCCCTGCATTGGAACCCTTGCTCTGCCTAGTTGTATGCTACAGCAGCTCCTGCCCTGCTCTGTCCTGTTGTGGCCTCAACCCTGACCCTCTGACCCTGTCTGACTCTTTTCTTCCTGAAACCTAAGTCCCTTGAAGACCCTGGCAGTCCCTTGAAGCTTGGGTGGCACTGAGTGTGGGTACAGCCCCCAAGCCACTAGCCTCTTCAGGGCTGTCTTGCTTATGACCTTTGTACTTTGTCCCTTGGCCTTCCTCGTCCCCCCGCCCCCCACTCTTCCCTGAGCCCTGGCCAGGTGGACCGCGGACATTTCTGAGTCTGTGGCCCGCGCCATCACAGTGGGCTCTGGGGACATTTGAGGCAGAAGTGAGCAGGGATGGGCGGGGCCTCAGTGACAAGTCCTCGGGAGAGCCCGGGAACAGTGGCCATCGGTCTTCTCACCCGGAATTCCTGCCATCTCTTGAGGGGCACTGTGGGTGGGGACCGGCTGCAGACTCCATCCTGTTGGAGGAGGTGGCGCTGCGGCTGCAGCCCGAGGAATCAGACTTGGCATGCCCGTGCGGGCGGAGCCTTGGCGGGCCGAGTTGTCCGGCCCACTCCGCCCCAGGCCTCGCTTCTGGGCGGGACTTGCTGGGGCCTGGGGAGGGGGAAGGAGGGAGGCGGGACCAGGTCCAGGATGGAGGAAGCCGGAAGTCAGGCTCTGGGAGTCACGGCGGGGACCTGGCTGTGGTGCTAGTGGCGAACCCGGTGTGTTCTTGCCCAGGGCAGTACCCGCCGCTGGGCTCTGGCCCGGGCATTGGACCTGTTCCTGGGACGGGCAGTGCAATCACTTGCCAGCGGAGGGCCAGGGTGGCTCAAAGTGTGATCACAGTCTAGCCATGGGAACCGCACTTGTGTACCACGAAGACATGACGGCCACCCGGCTGCTCTGGGAGGAGTAAGTGTGGCTTGACCGTGGTAGGGTTTGGCAGGGGACTCGATATTGAGATCCTTGTCTGTCCCAGCTCTGAGTGTGAGATCGAGTGTCCTGAGCGCCTGACTGCAGCCCTGGCCCTTCTCCAGCAGTGGGGCCTGGAGAAGAGGTGCCTGCGCTTGTCAGCCCGGGAGGCCTCTGAGGCAGAGCTGGGCCTGGTGCACAGGTTAGACTATGACCCGCCTTGGGACCTGTGCCTGTTCTAGCCCTGCCAGTGCATCCTCAGTTGTCACCATGGGGTGGGCAGGGGGCCCAATGCACAAGGGAGTAATGGATGGGCACTGCTGTCAGGAGTCCCAGCATCTCCTCTTCCTGTTCCTCTTGTCCTGCCTGCCTGTCTGTTTGCAGCCCTGAGTATGTAGCCCTGGTGCAGAGGACCCAGGACATGGACAAGGGGGAACTCCAGGCACTGTCTGGGCAGTATGATGCCGTGTACTTTCACCCGGTGCGTGCACCCACCCAGCTACGTGTCCGCACGCCTGTAGGTGGTCACACTTACGGCTGCCAACCTGCCAATGTCCCCTTGGTCATATTCATTACAATGCCAGTGTCAGCACCTGGGTCTGACCTGGACTTTCCTGCTCAGTAGTGGGTGCTCTGCAGCCTGGCACAAGCAGGGCAGGCAGGGGACTGATTTCTACCCTGCCCCACAGAACACCTTTCACTGTGCCCGGCTAGCTGTGGGTGCTGTGCTGCAGCTGGTGGATGCTGTGCTGACAGGAGCTATACACAACGGCCTCGCCCTAGTGAGGTGAGAGCTGCCCTCACCTGGCTGCCCTCCCCCCACCATGAGTGGCCCTTTGACTGGACAGGATGACTGATGTACCTTGTATCCCACTCGTCCCCCAGGCCTCCTGGGCACCACAGCCAGAGGGCAGCTGCCAGTGGGTTCTGTGTGTTCAACAGTGTGGCTATAGCAGCTGAATACGCCAAGCAGAAACATGGGCTGCACAGGTGTGTTCCAGGTTGGCTTCAAGTGTGGGGGACCCAGGCCAGACGGGCAAGGGTAGAGCCCCCTCCCATCTCCAGCTGGGCTCCTGGCCTGGGCTACTGACCCTGCAGATCAGTGATTCCCAGCACTGCCTGAATCCAGGATCCTCATCGTGGACTGGGATATCCACCATGGCCAGGGCATCCAGTATATCTTCGAGGATGACCCCAGGTGAGTTGGGGTGAGGACAGGACCCTTCTCTGAAATGCTGCTTTTGGGGGTGTACACATTAGCCTGAGAAAATCCGAGGGGGAGAATGGGCCATGTGTTCAGAGGTCAGGGTTCTTTGAGAAACCATGGAACTGCTAAGGACCCTGACCTCTGATCTGACTGGTTGTCTGCAGTGTCCTTTACTTCTCTTGGCACCGCTATGAGCATGGGCGCTTCTGGCCCTTCCTGCGAGAGTCAGATGCAGATGCAGTCGGGCAGGGGCTGGGCCGAGGCTTCACTGTCAATTTGCCCTGGAACCAGGTGCCCACTTTAACCCCCAGGCTCTCCATCCAGCCCACATCTCCTGCCTGCACCCAACCTTTACCCCACAGCTCTGGACCTCCAAATCTAGCCTGGGGCATCCTACTAGAGTCCCCTCCCACACACACCCCAAGCCTGGGTCCCAGGGGGTGAAGACCCTAAAGTCCCTGTTGAAAGAGCTGGCCTATGACTTCCCCTGCCACAGGTCGGGATGGGAAACGCTGACTACCTGGCCGCCTTCCTGAATGTATTGTTACCACTGGCCTTTGAGGTGACTGTGTGGTGGGTGCCCTCCAGGGTAGAGAACTCTGTGCTCACCCAGAATTACATCACGAAGGCAGGAGGAGGGTTCTGAGCCATTCCACCAGTGTGTGAACGGACCTCTGTGGTCTGGGGAGTATCTCAGGGGGGACAGGGACTGGCATCATGGGAGGTAGGCAGTCCTGGGCCTTCCCCTTCACCTGGGTTCTGGCTTTTCTTTTCTTTCTTTCGATGGTACTGGGGGTTGAACTCAGGACTTCACACTTGTTAGGCAGGTGCTCTACCACTTGAGCCAAGTCTCCAGCCCTTCCAACTCTTTCTTGACCCTCTTCATCTGGCTATGCCTGTAGTTTGACCCGGAGCTGGTGCTGGTCTCAGCAGGATTTGATTCAGCCATTGGGGATCCAGAGGTAAGAACCTAGCCTGGCAGGGGAGTGCTCTGGGATCCTTGGACCAGGCCCCCATTACACATGGTTCTGCTCCAGGGGCAGATGCAGGCCACACCTGAGTGCTTCGCCCATCTCACCCAGCTGCTGAGTGTGCTGGCTGGTGGCCGGGTCTGTGCTGTGCTGGAGGTAACTATTGGGGATAGCTTGGAGTGTGTGGGCCAGAGGTGAGACAGCAACACCTGGGAGCATGGGAGCCAGGTGTGATGCACAATCTGGTAGAGTGTTCTGCCCTGGATGACCCATTCACCTCAGTGACACTCCTCTCTCTTCCTGTTTCCATCCTCCTCCCAGGGCGGATACCACCTGGAGTCCCTGGCACAGTCAGTGTGCATGACAGTGCAGGCACTGCTAGGGGACCCTGCACCCCCGCTGCCAGGGCTCCTGATGCCATGTGAGAGGTATGAGGGCCAGAGGGTGAAAGGGGCTGAGGTAGGAGGCAGACTCATAGCTCTGCTTCTTCCTACAGTGCCCTGGAGTCCATCCAGAGTGTCCGGGCAGCCCAGGCCCCTCACTGGACATGTCTTCAGCAAGGTCAGCAATGTCTAGACCTGGGGTAGAGGGTCCATCTTGGTCTCCTATTCAGTGGCTGTGACTCTGAATCTCCCACAGATGTACCCCCCACGCTGAATCCCAGCACCTGCTCCCCAGAGGGGAGGTCCCTGCCTCTGCTGCCTGGAGGTCCCACACATGATGCAGCTGTGCTAAGCCCTCTCCTGGACGAGAAAGACTGGTCCACACCTCCTGTACGCACGGCTGTTGTCCTGACGGTGCCAGGTGCTGCCCTGGCCCTGCCCTCTGATGTGCTCCATCAAGAGGAATCAGCCTTGAGGGAGGAGACAGAAGCCTTGGCCAGGTGGGAAGGACAGGCCTGGGGAGGATGGCCGTGTCTGTTCCTGTGCCAGTGTGACTGATGATGACTCTTGGCCTGCACGTCACAGGCCACATGAGTCTCTGACCCAGGACAAGGCCCTTGCTACACTTGGGAAGCTCCTGTCTCTCTTAGATGGAATCCTGGATGGGCAGGTACGGTTGTCAGGGAGCAGCCGGGATGGCTGTGCCCCGGGGGTCAGGGCCCATGAGGTGTGGCCTGTCCAGAGGGGCACTGTGTGTGCAGACCACAGGATGTTCTCAAAACAGCTCAGGGTGGGAACTGGTGGCTCACACCTGTAATCCTAGTTACTCAGGAGGCAGAGATCAAGAAGATCAAAGTTGGCGGCCAGCCCTAGCAAATAGTTCACAAGATCCTATCTCGAAAAAAAACCCATCACAAAAAAGGGCTGGTAGAGTGGCTCAAGATGTAGGCCCTGCATTCAAACCCCAGTACCACACACAAAAAAACCAAACCCAAAACCAAACCAAACCAAAACAAAAAACCAGCTCAGGAACAGGGAAATGACTTTTGGCAGAGAGGGGAAGTAACAATTTAAAGTGAAGTTTATAAGCATCTTGTTTACAGAAATGGAGTGACCTGACCTTAGAGTATAAGGGAAGGTACCTAGCCATGTAGATGGGTCTGTTTACCTCTCTGAAGTTGGCTGGTGCCTTACCCTCCACTGCTGTTAATTCATCCCACAGGTGAGCAGCGGCATTGCAGCCACCCCAGTGCTTGCTGCAGTGGACATCTTGGATGTGGCTATTCGGCGAGGCCTGTCCCGTAGAGCTCAGAGGTGAGGCTAACCTGGCTGCCCTGAGCCTTCAAGGACAGGCCCCAGGGGTATCTTCTGCTCTACTGGCCATGTGGGGAGGGTTCTGGGAACTGGCTTTGGGCAGTGTGAGTACAGCTTGTCCTGGACCAACTCTTCCTCAGACTGCTCTGTGTGGCCCTGGGACAGCTGGATCGGCCCCTGGATCTTGCTGATGATGGGTATGACCTGGATCACATGTCACTCCAGTCGTGTATGTGGATGGGCAGGTGGCAGGCATGCAACTAGGAGTGCACCCGAGGGTGACTGGTGGGTGGGGCACTGTGCAGTACAGAATGAGGCCTTCCACAGCTGAAGGTGGGAGGGGGCCTCTGGGAGCAAGGCCAGGCCAGAGAGTTGGCAGTCGCAGCACCCCTGCTCCCCCTCCCTGCTGGGTCCTGGGCTCTGCTGTCATGTGGGCTTAGTAGGGTGAGAACCTTCTCATGCCTGTGCACACATGTCCCCGGTACTCTCTCCCTGGTAGGAGAATTCTGTGGCTGAACATTGGGGGCAAGGAGGCAACTGCCTGGTCTACATTCCATGTCTCCATGCCATTGCCAAGGGTGAGTGTCTGTGGTGGTTGGGCAGGTGCTCACTGGCATCATCAAGAGGGCCGACAGATCGCTGGCACTTCCTGGCTCCTTGCTCACACTCCAGGGACCCTGAGATTGGGAGGTGGGGTGGTAGGAGTCAGCAGGAGTGTCCTCTAGATGAGAGTCTGGAGCTCTGCTGCTGTTCCCACAGACGACAGGGGGGTTCCTGAGCTGTATCTTGGGCCTGGTACTGCCTCTGGCCTATGGCTTCCAACCTGATCTGGTGCTGGTGGCGCTGGGGCCTGCCCATGGTCTACAGGACCCCTATGCTGCTCTCCTGGCTGCAGTGCTTCGGGGACCAGCAGGGGGCCGAGTCTTGGCTCTTGTGGAGGAGGTAAGGTAAACAGGATGGACATGTATGAGTGGGAAGTAGAGCGAAACCAGTGCCTCATTGCCTCCACCTCTGCTCCTGGCCCAGGAATCCACATCGCAGCTTGTAGCCTTGGCCCAGGTGCTGCATGGAGAGGCACCTCCCAGCCTGGGTCCCTTCTTGATGGCCTCTCCGGAGGACAGTCAGTCTCTGAAGTACCTGAGAGCACAGCTGCAGCCACAGTGGAAGTTGCTGCAGGTGGCCGGTGAGGCCCGTGGGGAGGTGTGACCCTGCTTGATGAGCTCTTTGGAGAGGCAGCTACACGGCACCAACCAATAGTGCGCCTCTTCCCAGTCCCTCCTCCAGAGCTGTGCTCTCTGGTGGCTTGAGATCGGCTAAGGTGGGCGACTCACACCTGGAAATGAGCAGGCACAGGCCCTCCAAGGGCACAGTAGCCTGAGGCCTCCTCGCAGGCGCCTTGTCTGCACTGCCGCCCCATCCGTGCTCCCTCACTCTCAATCAGTAAACGTCAGTTAAACGAAGTCCGCCTCTGCCTCCTTTATTGAGCCCTCTTTGGCCTCAGTTTCCACACTTTTTTTTTTTTTTTGGTGATACTGGGGCTTGAACTCGGGACCTACCTCTTGAGCCACTTCACCAGCTCTTTTTTGTGATGGGTTTTTTTCAAGATAGGGTCTCATGAACTATTTGCCCAGTCTTAAACTGCGATCCTCCTGATGTCTGTCTCCTGAGTAGCTAGGATTACAGGCGTGAACCACTGGGGCCCTGCTAGTTTCCATACTCTTCGGGCAGAATTGCACCCGAATCACAACAGGTCTACTCTAGGTGACCGTACGGACCCGCCCACCCCGGTGACGCAAATCTGGCGCGCCCGCTCCCCCTGTCTTGGCGTCGCGTGGCTGTGACGTCACGGAGGCCGCAACTGGCGCGCAGACTCTTCTCAGGTGAAGCCTGGCGGGTCCGTGGGCGCGCGGGCGGACCCAGGACTGGCCGGGCGGCCGCCCTCCCCGCCTCGGCTACGCGCTGGACTCCCGCCGTTTCTCGGAGGCGTTCGCGCGAACGCGTGCGAGGTCCCCGCGTAGACAGCGTGTGGCCTGCGCGCTCATCCCGTTGGCGGGCTTGTCAAGGTCCGTGATCCCGGAGAGCTTATGGACTGGAGGGCTGACGCTGCTGGCCGGGAGGGTACGGCGCGTGCCCTCCGGGGCAGCAACGCAAGGCCTCTTCCGCCGCGGGCTGCAAGACCCGGGGTTTGGGGTGAGGAGGCCGCCCGCCCCTCGACCCTGACCTTCAGGTCTTTAAGCGCGTAAAGTGACACAAAAGGTGTGTGTGGGGGGGGGGGCGACGTTTCCTGCCCACCGGGGCCGGGAGCTAAGGATCGGCATGGCCAGCATCACCCAGCTGTTCGATGACCTTTGTGAGGTCCTCCTGCCGACTGCCCAGGCTCGCCCCGGCCAGCGCAGCATGGACAGGAAGAGGGCAAAGCAGAGCCTCAAGAGGGTGGCCTACAATGCTCTTTTCACAAACCTTTTTCAAGAGGAGACCCATAAGCTGCAGCCCGACCTGTCCAAGCTCCCAGTGAGAAACAAGGTCCTCATGTTGTCCTTCGACTTGAGGGTGGGCGGCCTGGGCCCCGAGGCCAGCCGTTTGGAGGAGCTTGTGGAGGAGCTGGAGGCATTCCCTGGCTGTCCGTTTGTGGAGGTGAGGGCCGTGTTGGACCTCCTGGTTCAGCTGGCAGGGAGCGGTCCCCCTCAAGCACTGCGGAGAAAACGAGACTACTTCTTTAACAACAAGCATGCAGGTCGAAACGTTCCCTACAGCGGCTACGACTGCTATGACCTAAGTGTGTTTGAGATGGATGTTCAGTCCCTGATTTCCAGGGAGGAGTGTTTGTGTCACAGCATGATCCAGGAAACACTTCAGGTGATGGAGGCCGCTCCAGGAACCGGCCTGCCCACCGTTGGCCACTTCTCCTTCAGTGACAAGTTTGAGAGAGATACCCGGGTGTCGCTCTTCGGTGCCCTGGTGCACAGCCGCACTTACGACATGGATATGCGATTGGATCTACCTCCTGTGCCAGAGAGCGCAGACCTCTCTGGCCTTGCCATTAAGGTAGTGTTTGTTTTCCTTCTTAATTTCTCCAGCGTTTTGGAAAATGCCTTCTTGGACCTTCCTTTTATCGTACATGATAAAATAACTCATGTCCAGGTCATCAGGTAGCCAAGCTGCCTCCAGGCAGAACTGCTGGAGGCAGATGCTTGCTGGTGCCAGTCTCCAAGCCCTCCCCCCACTCCACGCCTCCCACCCCTCCATCGGAGGGGTGTGCTTGCTTCCCACTTGCAGGCCAAAGCAACATTCTGCTTTTGCCACTCCACCAGTCCTTTTTTTTTTTTTTTTTAATTAATTAATTAATTTTTTTATTATTTATATGTGCATACAATGCTTGGGTCATTCGCCAGTCCTTTTTTTGTGTTGGGTATTTTGAAGGTAGGAACTATTTGTCGGAGCTGGCTTCCAACCGCGATCCTACTGATCTCTGCCTCCTAAGTAGCTAGGATTACAGATACGTGAGCCACTGGCTCCAGGCTGCTTTTCTTCTTTCACCTAAGGGCATCTTGTTAAGTCACTTTTTCTGCCCTCTCGAAAAACAAAGACCTTGCGTTTTAAGAAAATAAAAAGGCCGGGTGTCTGTGGCTCATGCCTGTAGTCCTCACTACTCAGGAGGCAGAGATCAGGAGGATCCCCTTTGGAAGCCAACCCGGGCAAACAGTTCGAGAGATCCTATCTTCAAAAGAAAATACCCAACACAAAAAAAAGGACTGGCTGAGCGGCTCAAGGTGTAGGCCCTGAGTTCGAACCCCACGAAAATAAATAAATAAATAAAAGTAAAAAGGTTGCCAATTTCAAATTTCACATAACACATAGACTCAATATAACTTACCATGAAATGTCTTTGACCTGGAAATTCCATTTTAGGGAAACCAACACAGAAGAATTTACAATAAGATGTTTTCTGTGGTATTATTTATTTATTTGCAATACTGGGGCTTGAACTTAATGGATTATCTTGTTTAATTCTTTAAGTGATTCATTGTGGGGGAAGAAAGCATTGTGTAGTACATATGTGCTTAGAACAATAGAAGGAACATTCCATTAGGTCTGCATCTCTAGAAAATAAATGGAAGTATGTGGACAAAGTTCCTGGAGTTTTACCACACTTGAATGAATGCAGACACAAAGAAATAGGTGGTTTACTCCTTCACGTGGTCTGTAGGTCCCTCAGAGCATGGATCAGTGGGAAGATGAAGGGTTCCAGTCAGCATCCAATTTGACTCCTGATTCCCAGTCTGAACCAAGCATGACCCCGGATTTGGACCTGTGGGAAGCTGCACTCACCTATGAGACCAGCAAGCGGAGGTGCTGGGAGAGAGTGGGATGGTATGTGAGCCTTCCTTTGCCTTTAAATGTTCTCCCCCCACCTCCCCATGTCAACATGGCTTTGGGTGTATTATGGACACGGCTTACTCAGTGACCGCTGGTCACTAGTTGTTTCTAGAAAATGGTATGTTGGTATTGGGATGCTGGACATTTCAGTCAAGCTCATGTATAGCATTGTCTGAATCCTGGGAGGTGAGAGTTGCAGAGGGGAAGGAAGGGCCTACTGTGCCAGAAACCTCTGCAGATCACACTTGCCAGTCAGAGCACCAGATATGTCCTTCTCCCAAGGTTACTGGCTAGGTATCTGACAGCATCCTGGCATGCTGTGCAGTCAGTGGTAGGGAGAGATGCTTCCTGCGAAGAGTCTGACTGAAGCCATGGGAGTGTTCTCTGCCGATGGATGTTCCAGTCATAACAGCCTTTTTCCAACTGGCACTGGCAGCTTGAGTGGTCACTCACTGCCTGGGCATGTCCAAGACCAGGGACCTCTGTACTCAGGGCTTCTCAAGATCTGTTCTGGTAGAGGACAGGCATTCCAGGACTTCATACCCCATGTACTGGTAAGTGTGTGGAAGACCCATGTGGGGAGCTCTGAATTGAAGAGTCAGGGCTGGAGGAGCTCCTTTCCATCTGATGCAGCCTCCATCCAGGACCTGCAGGGTCTTCTGGAGAGGGGCACCTGATTGGAGGTAGTTACTAACCCCCGGTGTGTGCAGGGCACTGCCCCACAAAGATAGCTTTCCTAGACCTGAGCATCGTCCCCCACTCAAGAATCCTGCACGGATGGCCAATTCCCTGCTTCCCAACATAAACGAGTTGGCAGTTGTCTTGCCTTCCAGGGGCTTCTGTGCCCTGTAACTTCCCTCCAGGGTCTCACTCCTGTTTTCTTATGTGTACAAAACAAATCTAATGGTCCTGCTGTCTGCCAGCTGCTCACAAGTTTAGAATTTGGTCCTATAGGTTGCTGCTTTCTTTTCTTTCTTTCTTTGGGGTACTGGGATTTAAACTTGGCCTTGCTTGAACTTCCTGGGCAAATGCCCTCCCACTTAAGCCATGCCCTAGCCCTAGGCTACTTTTTTTGGCTAATATTTACTAGTGGTATTTCATCTATTAGCTTCTCCAGTTGTTGTTTTGGAGATATAATCATTTGCCAGCTCACTTGTCATCCTGTTTTTTGTGGTACTGGGGTTTGAACTCAGGGCCTCATGCAGGCCCTCTACCACCTGACCCACTCTGCCAGCCCTTTTTCTTTTTTCTGTTGGTTATTTTCAACATAGGGTCTCAAGAACTATTTGCCCAGGGTTGGCATTGAACCGCAATCCTCTCGATCTCTGCTTCTTGAGTAGCTGTCATTATAGGCGTGAGCCACTGGCACCCTATTTTTCATTCTGCTCTAAATGCACTTCATCTTCTTGGTGTCCCCTGGCAGCACAGAGCTGACCACAGAGCTCCAGCACTGAGCAGTACCCTGGCAGTATTTCCTTCAAGGAGGACTGATGTTCCCAAAGTGGATTGTTTTTGTTATCCTGCTATGCTGTCTAGGCTGAGCTTGAACTCCTGGACTCAAACAATTCTGCCTCAGCCTTCAGTAGCTGGGACTACTGGTACTTTGCACTGCCCCTAGCTTCTGAGGTATTTTAATGTAGGATCTTAAGGTGGAGAGTGCGCTTCAGTGATCAGGACACAGAATGCAAGTAAACTCACATGCCCTGGGAGTACAGGGCACATCTCTGGCACAAAGAGGCCAAGGCACTGGGGAGAGGGAACCATGGGCCAATACTTTCATTTGGTCCAGGGCATCATCCAAACAGCCCAGTTTTAATGGGTGGGTCTAGATCAAGCAGGTGGAGTTCTGGGATGTCAAGCAGTGATGAGAAGTGGTCATTGCAGTCTGTCTGCACAGTCCATGTAGGTGTGAGAATCAGTGGAGCCATCCAAGCAGGTCACGTCTGTCAGTCCTATGCACCAGGGAGCAGCTGCATAAAGCAGAGTTTGGGATGGACCACCCAAGAAAACTGGGGGACTGTCTGGAAAACTGGGAGAACCTGGAAACTGGGGGGTTGAGCCCTGCTTCTGGCGTGAGAAGGTCCACCTTGTATTTAAGTGGACGCTGAGGCGGCGTGGAAGCATAAGAATTTATTAGCAGAGGTGTTAGTGTGCTGGGTATAGCCTGAGCAGCTTCTCTAGGCACCTTCGCCTTGTGTACACCAGTGTCACGGGACCTGCTCAGGGCCAGGAGTTTGCTGAGTCTGAGTTTACCTCCCTCAGCTCCTCTGCTGCCTGTTCTGGTCATAAACTCACTCCCAGGATCTCTGACATTGTAGGTGGTTAGCCTGAAGCTTTACTTGAAGTTTGTTTGGCAAATCTTTTGATCTTATAGCAGGGTTTAAATTCCTGCTATAAGTTCCAGCAGGGGAATAAGAGCTGCTGCCCATCCAGAGGCGGCATCCCGAGACATTCTCTTCCCTTGCCTTCAGACCCCGTGGAGGATTGCCTCTCCCTCTGCTTCCCTGTGATGGTCAGTATTGGTCTGGTGCTGGCTTTCCTGCTGCTGCTAGGCTGCTGGGCTGGACGAAGGCTGAGGCTTTTCAGAGCCTGAAATGGTTGACTTCTCTGCATATATCACCCACTTGGGGAAGCATTTTAGTTATATTCAGGACTGCCTTCTCTGTGGGGTATGTGGGAATTTATTGTATTTACTCAGTAACCCCTAAAGATGCTGCCCTGTGCTTTCGTCTAGGGCTGGTCTCTGCTGAGTCACCAGAAAAGGGTGTGTGTGGCCTTGGTGGTGTTGGACTCTGGAAGACCAGGCGAAGTGTTGGGTGGGATGGGGGTAGTACCCACAGCCTGTACATCTGTCCCAGGGATGACCTTGGGGGGCAGACAGAAGGGCTCTGAGACTGTTCCTTTTTGCCTTAGGGAGTGCAGGCAGATATCCAGGGTGTGGAGCAGCCCCACCTTCTGGTTGAGCATCCTAGGACTGGCTTCCTTACTTCCTTTGGCCCTCTGCAGTCCGCACTGCATGTAACAGAGATGACATGCACTACCTTCCAGGGACAGAAACCTGAGCTCCTCACTGCTCTGCCTATAGTACCTCACAGCTGTCTTCTGGTATGGGACAGGGGTCCCCAGATATTACCGGGTCTCTGCCTCCACCCTTGGGACCACTGAGGTCCACTTCTTATCCCTGGGCTTTCCTGAGGGCTGCTCTGCTTGCCTCAACCCTGGTCTCCCTGACGGTTCCCAGTCCCTTGTAGAATCCTGTCCTGAGCTATAGATCAGGGCCTCCTACACTTTCCTCACCTACCTGTCTGTTCCCTTCCCTGCATTCAAAGATTTGTCAAGGGAGGGGTACTTGCAGTCCCTCCTCAGCCTCCTGTGTGCTAGGATTACAAGCATGTACTACGACCTCCAGCTCTAAAATGTGTTTTTTACTTTAGTAGGTTTTTTTTTTTTCTTCCAGTACTGGGGTTTGAACTCAGGGCTTCATGCTTGCCAGGCAGGTGTTCTACCATTTAAGCCACTCCACCAACCCTTTTTTATGTTGGTTATTTTTCAAGATAGAATCTTGAGAACTATTTGCCAAGGCTGGCTTCAAACCACAATCCTAGTTTCTAGGATTACGGGGCATGAGCCATCGGCTCCTGGCTTTTGTTTTATTTTTATTTTTGGCAGTACCGGGTTTTCACACTGGACTTTGTGCTTGCTAGGCAGGTACTCTCCTGCCATGCCTCCGGCCCTTTCACTCACTTTTGAGCAATGTAATGGTGTGTGTGGTGCAGGTAGAAGATGTGAGTGGGCTCAGTGTGTGTAAGGAGAGTGACGGTATGTAGTGTGTGTATGTGTGTCACCATGAAGTAGGGTTCCAAGTAAGTCCATGAGTGGGAGAGAAGGGGAACTGAACTCAGGCCTTGTGAGTCCTTGAGTTCACTTCAGGAGCTGGTTGCTCACGCCTGCTACTCAGGAGGTAGGACTGCGGTTTGAAGACATTCTGGCCAAATAGTTTGTGGACTCTATCTCAAAAAAACCCATCACGAAAGTAGGGCTGATGGAATTGGCTCAAGGTATAGCCCTGAGTTCAAGCCCCAGTACCACAAAAGAAAAAAAAAAAGAATTTAAGGGGGAGTCAGATGTGAGATTTAAGCAGATTTATTATGATACTCAAAGGGATAGAGTGTGGGTGTGGAAAAGATGCAGTACCCTATCTTCAGTAAGGCATAGCCATGTTTTGGACTACACTCTTGAGATTCTGATCTGTATTCAGTTTCTTTGTTCTGACTGTTTGGCTAATCAATCACTTACTTTGGCCTTATACTCAGAGCCTATCTGATGGTTACAGTTGTTATGCTGTAACTTCTGTAGTGAGAGGGCCTTGTCACTCTACAGGGACACAGTTGATGTTGTTAGTGACACTATGTTAGTGACATTTTACCATAGGCTTTCCTTAAAGGTCAGGTGCCTTAATGGAGCTGTTTACAGTTCTTTGTGGTATGTAGGAATGCAGAGTTCATAGTTCTCTGCAAGGTCAGAGTGCTATGTGCAAGAATGAATGTAACACAATGTAGAAAGGTTTATTTTCACATTTCACTTGTTATTCTCTTCCTGTCTTCTTTACTCTTCCTATCTCAGGTGGAGTGTGTGCAGTGCGTGGAGTACAGCATGGTGTAGAGTACAGCGTGCATGGAGTGCAGTGTGCGTGGAGTGCAGTGTATGTGGAGTGCAGTGTGCGAGGAGTCCGCGTGGAGTGCAGTGTGCGTGTGGGGTGTGCAGTGTGTGTAGTTCACAGTTCATGTACCATGCTGTGAACCTTCAGCAAATGCCATCTTAGCAAATTTCTTGGTGAGTGCCCAATCTGACTGTCTAGCTTCAAAAGCTGGAGCGATTTTTACTGTGTTCATCCCATATGCGTTTTCTTTTTCTTTTTTTTCTTCCTGGAGGGATTGTAAGATAAAATTTTTTTTTTTTTTTTTTTTTTTTTGCAACACTGGGGCTTAAACTCAGGGCCTACCACTTGAGCCACTCTACCAGCCCTTTTTTGTGATGGGTTTTTTTCAAGGTAGAGTCTCGTGAACTATTTGCCCGGGCTGGCTTTGAACTGCAATCCTTCTGATCTCTATCTTCTGAGTAATTGGGATTACAGGTGTGAGCCAGTGGCACTTGGCTAGTTTTTTTTTTTTTTTCGCAGTACTGGAATTTGAACTCAGGGCTTCGTACTTGCTAGGCAGATGTTTGAACCACACTTCCGGGCTTGTAAAACATGTGTAATAGAATTTACCACCTTCACCTTTTGTAGGTTTGCAGTTCTGTGGTGCTAAGTAAATTTGCATATTATATGACTGTGCAGAACCTCTTCATCTTGCAAACTAAAATGCTGTCCCTGTAGACCAACAGCTCCCATTCACTCCTACCCCATTCTTCCTTCTTTCTGTCTAGAATTTTGACTACTGTAGGGACTTAGTGGAATTCTACAGTATTTCTCCCTTTGTGACGGGCTTATTTTACTTAATTAATGTCCTTAAGGTTCATCCATATCGTAACATTTGTCAGAATTTCCTTCCTTTTTAAGGCTGAATACTATTCTATTGTGTGAATGTGCCACATTTTATTTATCCACTCATCCTTTGTTGGATACTTAAGTTGCTTCAACCTTTTGGCTTTGCGAATGATGCTCTGGACACTGATGTACAAATTTTGAGTTTGCTTTTAATATAGGAATACAGTGTGTGAGACTTACCCTGAGAACCACATGCGTGGCCTGGGAGTGTTCTCCCAGAGCTGGGTTGGTGGGACACTCCTTGCTGCTCCCTGAACCTCTGGGCACATGTCCAGTGAAATTGCAGCCAGTGCTGGGCCTGGCTGATGTTGACAGGCTGGGAAGTTGGTTGGTGTTCATTCCTGGCTGAATGTCGTAGCATTGTGAGCTGTTATTACTCACTTTGTTCATACTCACCCCTGGGGAAAGCATGCCTGGAGCTAAGGTACATGTGGCATCATCTGCTCACCACTGGCTTTTCTGTCTCCCCTGCAGCCCACCTGGCCACAGAGAAGAGCCCTACCTCACTGAGGCGGGAAGGGACGCCTTCGACAGGTTCTGTAGGCTCCGCCAAGGGGAGCTGCAGACACTCAGTGGGGGCTTCCTGCAGGCCCCAAAGCCAGTGCTGGTGAAGGAAAGTGAGCTGGTGAAGGACTCACTGAATGTCCTGATTGGGGTTGTTTCTGCCACATTTTCCCTCTGCCAGGTGAGAAGTACTCACTGGCCGTCACAGGACCAGCCTCATATTGACAGCCTGTCCTCCAACCAGGCACGCGTGGAGCACTTTAAGGGACCTGGTGCGTGAGTGGCTGGGAAGTCCAGCTCTGTGGACTGATTGTAGCCATGGTCATCCTGTTCGGGTTCTAAAGGGTATTAGTTTATTAACTTTTTTTTGTTTTTTTTTTTGAGGTGCTGGGGTATGAGCTCAGGGCCTACACCTTGACCCACTCCACCAGCCCTATTTTTGTGATGGGTTTTTTTCAAGATAGGGTCTTGCAAACTATTTGTCCAGGCTGGCTTCCAACTGTGATCCTCCTGATCTTTGCCTTCTGAGTAGCTAGGATTACAGGGGTGAGCCACTGGTGCCTGGCATTAACATTCTTTTAAATATTGAACAAAAGATATTCATTGCTACCAGCGAACAACAGAAAACAGAAAATGTGCCTCCCCCCATTTCCACTTCCATCATGGGATGGGAGGGTCCAACTTCATTCTTTGCCTGTGGACATTCAGTTGTCCTAGACTGTTTACTGAAAAGACTGTCCCTGGACTCAGGAAGCTGAGCCAGGAGGATGGCCAGTTTGAGACCAACCTCGGCTACACAGCATGATCCTATCTCAAAAACCAAAACAAAACAAAAAGACTGTCCTGTTCCCTTTTCTCTTTGTTTTTTTTTTTTGGTGATACTGGGGCTGACCTCAGACCTTCTGCTTGCTTAACTCTACCACCTGAGCCATGCTTCAGTCCATTCTTGAGACTTAGAGAGGAGTTGCATTAAATCCTTGGTTCACTTTGAGTAGTATGGCTGTCTTTCCAATATTAAGTTTTCCAATCCATGAACATGGCATATCTTTCCATTTATTTGGGTCTTCTGTTTCTTGCAGCAGTGTTTTGCGGTTTTTAGTTCCTTCCTCCTTTCCTTGGGCTGAACCTCCTTTCTTAACACACGTTACCACTTAGCTACACCCCAGACACTTTTCTTCTTTTTTTCTTTTTTTATGCAGGGTCTTGGCTATATTTCCCCAGCTGGCCTCGGACTCCTTCAGTAGCACAGGCTGTCCTTGAATTTATGGTCCTCCTACCTCAGCCTCCTGGGTGGTGGGATTGCAAGCATGTACCATCATATCTGGCTTACTTTTTTCTTTCTTTCTTTCTTTTTTTCTTTTTCAATTGCTCTGGCTAGGATTTGCAGTCCTGTGTCAAGTAGAAGTGGCAAAAGCAGGGATCTTTGTCTTATTTCTGATCTGAAGGGAAATGCTTTTAGTCTTTTCACCATTGAGTATGATAGTTAGGTGGGCTTTTCATATGTGGCCTTTATAATGTTAAGGAAATTCCCTGATAGTTTATTGAGTGTTTTCTCAGGAAAGGATGTTGGATTTTGTCAAGTGCTTTTTCTGTGTCAGTTGAGATGATCATGTGGGTTTCCTCCCCTCGTTTGGATTAATTCAGTATATAACATTGACTGGTTTTGTTTAAATATCGCAATCCTGGAATAAAACTCACTTGGTTATGGCATATAATCCCTTTAATATTCTGCTAGACTCAGCTTGTTGACATTTTATTTAGGGTTTTTGTTTTGTTTTTGAGATGGAGGTCTCACTGTGTAGCCCAGGCTGACCTTAAACTCATGATCGCAGTGCCAGAATTGCAGGTGTGGGCCACCCCTGGCTTGCCTTTTGCTTTTTGTTTTTTTGGTGGCACTGGGGTTTGAACTCAGGGCCTCATGCTTGCTAGGCAAGTGCTCTAGTACCTGAGCCATTCTGCCAGCGCCTTTTGCTTTTTGAAACCTCCTGTTTGGTATTAGTCTTGGGGAACTCTGGGTGGTGTGGTAGGGTACATAGCCTCTGTGACCTCTCTCCCTCTGCTCTATAGCCAGCTCAGGCCTTTGTGGTGGAGCAAGGTGTCCACGTGTCAGGTGCGTCTCCTGAGAGCATCAGCAGCATCCTGTCAGAGGTGGCCGAATATGGAACCTATTACACGCGCCTGAGCCACTTTTCTCTGCAGCCCATCCTAGGCTCCTCGTGCAGCAAGGGCCTCGTGTTCCAGGTATGACTTCTTGAGAATTGTGCTATGTTCTAGGAAAGAGAATCTCAGAGGTCCTACTTCGGGACCCCAAGTCCAAATCTACTCAGGAGCAGGGTAACCAGCAATTGTGTTTTACCTCATCTGTCATTCCACTGGGACCCTGGGACATACCTATTTGGGCCAAGGAATAGAGGGAGGCAGGTGTGGCCAACATCTGGGGAGCCTTGGGAAGACACTACAAAGTGAGCAAGGCTCCTGTGGGCAGTGGGTGAGTGGAGCACAAGCCACCTGCTCTCCATGGCACTTGGAAATAGGGGCCTCTTGTTTTGGAGGTACCCTGGGTTCTAGGCTAAGTAAGTCTGCCTTCAGAAACTGCTGTTTTGGGTTTTTTGGTTTTTTTTGGGTGGGACTGGGGTTTGAATTCAGGGCTTCACACTCTGGTTATTTCGAAGATGGGGGTCTCTCAAACTATTTCCCCAGGCTGGCCTGGAGCTGCAATCTTCAGATCTCAGCCTCCCAAGTAGCTGGGATCACAGACTGAGCTGCCTTTCAACTGTTCTGTTGAAAGGCTGGCAGCTGACTTACGTGTTGGTGGAATCCCACAGGTTTTCAGGTGAAGCCTGAGTGGAAAAGAATAGGCTGTACAGATGATAGAGTGTTACACAGAAATGAGGGGGCAGTTGTCAGGAAGGGGCCAGGGGCAGGAGGAGCTGGGCTGCGCCAGCTCCTTCCAGCTCTGATGTGGGGCAGGGTTGTAGGGTGGGGATGACATACTGAGGTCAGGTTTTAGACTTGCAGGCTGGGGAGGTAGGTGCAGTGGTAGCTGTATGGGGGAGATCTTCCAGGCAGAGGAGCAGTGAACATGGAAGCCTGAGGGGATCTGCAGCTGGAGGTCATAGAGAATAGGTAGGGGATCCGAAGAGGTGCGACTGTGGTTCCTGGTCACCTGGCACATGCAGCAAGACAGATGGAACAGATGGGTCTGGGCAGGGTTGAACTAGGGTTTGTTCTGAGGTGACCCTGTCCATGTGACCTGAAAGGCTGTGCTGCTATGTGTTGCCTGAAGTTCCAGCAGAGCAGGTGTCTGGCAGTGCCTGGACGAGGACAGGATTGGTAATGGCCTGTGTCTTCTTGTGAAGCATCTTGTTCTTGGGTGAGCTTAACCCATAGATGCTCACTGTTTATGAAATGGGGCCATACATAGGGTTGGGGCATGAGAACACAGCCTTGTTTTCTAGTAAGCCTCCTATGTGCCCTCCTCCTGCTCCTTGCTCACAGGCCTTCACCAGTGGCCTGAGAAGGTACCTGCAGTATTACCGGGCCTGTGTTCTCTCCACTCCAGCTACCTTGAGCCTCCTCACCATTGGCTTTCTCTTCAAGAAACTGGGCCGGCAACTGAGGTGAGTCTTAGCATGGTGTCCTAGCATGGGGGTTCAGGGAACAATCAGAGGACCTGTGGGGTAGTAAAGAGTCAGCTCTACTCCCTGGCAAGGAGGGCCCAAGAGAATAGTCCTTGGGACAACTGAGCAGTGGTTGGATGGCTAGTCTTCAGATGCTGGGTGCCATGTGGTACGTCTGCTATCTGCCTACCATAATGACCCCCACCTGGGCCCAGGGCCTCTGGTACTCATGAGCCATCAGTGAATAATCAGACAGAGTGTCTGTTGGCAAGTCCTGTCCAGAGGAGTAGGAGAATTTCTAGGGAGGGAGTGTGACAGGAGCTGCTTGGGGATATAGTGAACATGGAGGCTACAAGAGGACCTGAGGCTGGAGATAGTGTCAGGCACAGTGTGGGTGGTTGAGGAGCCTGGGGCCTAGAAGGTGTGTGTAGGAGTATATGGACCACAGGGTGTAGCAGAGTAAGAGGGTGAGGAGTGGGGATTGGTGGTCATCCAGGCCAGATTGGATAGTGACCTGAACCAGACAGGAGGGGAGGCAAGAGAGGGTGTCAGTTTGAGCCACAGATGAGGGGAAAGGAGTCATAGACTCAGAATAAGGAGGGAAGGTGGGCTGTGTGTCAGTGTCATTTGGGGTACAGAACAGGACACAGTGCTGTGCAGGGGTCTGGCAGGAAGCTCAGATCTGGTTTATTCAGGTACAAGTGGTTTTTAAAACCTTGGTGGGCCACTTAGAGGAGCATTTCCCTCACCTGGTCTGATCCAAGTCTGGGGACCCTGGGCCCTATCACCTGGTCTGATCAAGCCTCTGGGTCCAGGTACCTGGCTGAGCTCTGTGGTGTTGGCACTGCGCTCCCAGGGACCAATGGAGGAGAGCCCAGAACCATGTTTCCCACGGTAAGTTGTACATCTTTGCTGACTGTGGTTGCTTGGTCACCTACAGGAAGGGGGTGGTGCTGAGTGTGACCCCCTGGGGCTGCTGCCCATCTGGGCAAGGTGCCATGCACTACAGTGGTTGTGCACCAATCCTGTCCTCCCCTCACCATCTGCAGGGAGTGAAGCTGCTGTCCTACCTCTACCAGGAGGCGCTGGATAATTGCAGCAACGAGCACTACCCCGTGCTGCTGTCCCTGCTGAAGACCAGCTGCGAGCCCTACACACGGTGGGTGGCCTGCGCTGGTCCAGTCTGGCCTTCCCAGAGTGGGTGGTGGAGGGCTACACTCATACCAAGCAGGTATTTGAGAGTTTCCTCTTCTCCAAGACCTGCTGAGTACCAGGGCTGCACATGGAGGTGGGCTGGATAAATGGACTCACACTGGGGACATACAGGGCAGGAGGTCTTGCTCATTCATGGTGGGCATATCCACCTGGCTGCACCCACCTGCTGCTGGTCACACCTGCCCCATGCCCATGGATGGCTGGTCTCCAAGTGCCGGGAGCCATGTGGTACATCTGCTGTCTGCCTACCAGGCCCTGTCTGGTCCCAGGGTCTCCTTCCTGAATAGCACACAGGAGTTCTGTGGATGTGGCCTCTGGCACTCATGAGTCTATCAGTAAACAACCACTAACTGTTGGCCACACTGACCTCCCAAGTTGCCTATCCCTTGCTTACCTCACCACTGGCACCCTCATTACCTGCGGCAGGTTCATCCATGACTGGGTGTATAGTGGGGTCTTCAGAGACATTTACGGGGAGTTCATGATCCAGGTGAACCACGAGTACCTCAGCTTCAGAGGTAGGTAGCATGGTCTGCTGGGCTGGGCCTCTGTACCTGTGGGCCTGGGATCAGGACCATTGGGACTGCAGGCTGTCCTTGTTCTGTTCTATGTTAGACAAGTTTTACTGGACCCATGGCTATGTGCTCATTTCCGAAGAGGTGGAGGACTGTGTTCCTGTGTTCTTGAAGCACATCGCTCAAGATGTGTACATCTGTGGGAAAACCATCAACTTACTGAAGCTCTGCTGTCCCCGGGTGAGAGGTGTACGGGAGGGAGGGACTGTGGTCGGCCAGGTCTGTCCAGGATGGCATCTGACCAGCGGGTACTGGCATGTTTGCAGTCATGCTCCTCTGCATGGGAGACAGGAGATCTCACTGGGTCTTCTCAGCTGTGGCAGTCTAGTGTCATCTCTGTTCCAAGATGGCCTTCACTCCACACATGGCATCTCTCTGGAGGGGGACACATGGTGGGGCATGTCTGTGATATATTCCCTCACAGGTGGGAGACTTGTTCTTTGGAGCCAGCAAGAGTGCCACTGCCCCTAGGTTTGGCAATAAACTTTCTGAGAAAAAAAGCATGTGACTGTCCATACGAATGATCGTGGTCCCTCCTGTCCCCGGCTGTCTGTGGTATTCATGCAGCTCTCCCTCTTTGGCAGCACTACCTCTGTTGGTCTGATGTCCCCGTCCCTCGCATATCAGTGATTTTCTCCCTTGAGGAGTTGAAGGAGATTGAGAAGGACTGTGCTGTCTACGTTGGGCGGATGGAAAGGGTGGCTCGCCACAGCTCCATCAGCAAGGAGGAGAAGGTACTTGGCTGTGGGCTGATAGGCTGAGCACTGTGTGTGGGACATGGAATATGGGGTGGCTCTTTCTGGTGTCTCTGTCCTTGTGGTGGGTCTGCGTGGGGCCACCTGTGGTGCTTGGCTGTGTGTCATCTCCTAGAGCCAGATGCCCAGGGCAGGGGCTCTGTCCTCTCTTCCTCTGGGTTTGGAGGGGCCCAACCTGTACCCTAGGTTTGCTGAAATGGGTGGTTCCACTGGGGCTTCTCTGGGCCCTGTAGCTGCAAACACATCAGTCCTGGGCGAGCTTCAGGCAGTAGAGTCAGAGGTCCCTGTACTCAGGTGGCCTCTGCAAGTTGTCTCCTACTCAGAAGTGATGAGTGTGCCTGGGAGCAGGGCCACAATTCTCCAGTGTATGTTAGGAGGGGGATCAGTGATGGGCCAGTGCCAATCCCAGGGAAACCCTTCCTGGCCTGTTGCACAGTGGACAGCAGGGAGAATTCAGGCAGGGGTAGACCCTGGAGGCTGAGCTGGGAAACCCCTTTTTGAGTCCTTTAGTCTCCCCCTATGTGGGCACACAGTCTAGGGCCTCAGCCTCAGATGGCTCAGATCTCAGAGCACGTCAACTCCATTCAGATGCCTGGACTCCTTTGTCACTGCCCTGAGACAAGTCTCCCCTTCCTCACCCAGTACCCACTTCAGTTTCAAGTAGAATACCTGTGTAGGTGTTGAAGGTGTGGATGTTAACAGTTAACAGCACAATGTTCTAGGCAGCCAGCCCCACTTTACGCCATCCCAGGTGAGGGGACAGAATTAGGACAGCTTGCCTGTTGTCTTTTTTAGGAATTACGTATGGAAATTGCAAAAGAAGAATTAATTGTCCATGCCCGGGAAGCAGCATCCAGAGTCCTAAGTGAGCTAAGTGGTAAGCATGGATGCAGATCTTCCCTTCTGCACTTCTGGGGACCACTGCTGGTGTTAGTCAGAACTGTGTGTGCCTTTCACCCTCCCGATATAGACCGGCAGATGTCTGAACAGACGGCCTTGGACGCTCGGAAGCGAGAGCAGTTTCAACGGCTGAAGGAACAGTTTGTGAAGGACCAGGAGGTGGGTGGGCCAGGCCCCTGGGTGGTTCTGGCCCTTGGAGTCTTGATTTAGTGAACAAAACTCTGTGTGTTGTGTAGCGACGCCTGGCTGCCAGACAGGAGGAGCTGGATGATGACTTTAGCTATGCCCGAGAGCTCCGTGATCGGGAGAAGAGGCTGAAGGCCCTGGAGGAGGAGCTGGAGAAGAAGGCCAGGTGAGGCTGTGCAGGGCCACATAGTGTCATAGTGTGGCTTTAATCTTAAGGACGGCTACTTTTTTTTTTTCTGAGGATCAAACTCAGGGCCTTGAGGTTACCAGGCAAGCACTGTACCACTGATTCCCAGCCCATTATTTTGCTTTTTAATCTGGAAAATTGTAGGTGTATGTCAAGGTTGAAAGACTAGCGTGATGGACAAGGATGCTTCTTGGGACTCAGGGTTAGGGCCTTTTAGCCATGCTTAGATGTCCTCAGCTGCCCTAGGGTGTCTTGTGGTTGGTCTGCACGTACTGGGGTCCAGGCAAGGTCCATATGGTGTCTTTAGTGTCCCGACTCTGTCTACTTGTTTATCTTAAATAGCTCCTGTTTATTTTCAACTTGTTGTTGGCCCAACAGAGAGAGAGGTCATTTGTCTAGTATAATTCTTGAGGGTCTGTCTCCTCATGGTGTCATTAGCTTTTCCTGTAAAGTGGGAGTTCAGTGTTTTAGTGGAAGTCTTTGAAGGGAGGAGCTGGTCACTTACTGCTTGGCAGCCTTAGATGCTGTTTACATGAGGGATATGCCTCATGCATGTGCTGGCTGTGTGGGCCCATGTGCAAGAACATACACTGTTTACATGAGAAGAAAACCATGAAGAAAGGCTATCTGTATCCTGGAGCAGCCAAATTGGAGATGATCAGTGCAAGTTTGTGTCCAGCTGCCTGCCAGTGGGAGGCTCAATCACTGGGTTTGTGTTGGTTTGGCTCTGTGGTCTTTTGTTAGCCTTCAGTTTTCTGGGGTTTGAACCTGCAGGATGGGGACATAACCTGCTGTGCAGCTTAGGAAGTGAGGCCCCAGTTCTCAGCACTGGGGCCTCAGCTCCCTGCTATCCCCTAGTGTCAGGTCTTGTGGGTTTCCTGGTGTTTGTCCAAAAGACATTTGCCAAGTCTCGTTTGGGCAGAGGGTCTCCCAGTCTGGTGGGCAGTTAGGGCCTCTGGCTACCCTCTAAGCCTTCTGTGGGGAAGATGGAGGGCTAGGACCTGGGGAGAGTGCCCACTGGGAAAACTGCTCCTTGTATATTGTGTCCTCTCTGGGTATGACTTCAGGCAGGCACTGGTTGACCATTATAGTACGCTGTCTGCTGAGGCAGCTCGTCGAGAGCAAAAGGCACTGTGGAAGATACAGAGGCACCGTTTGGAAAATGCACGGCTTCGTTTTCTCCTAGAAGATCAGAAGCTCATTCAGGTATCACGGGTATAGGTGGCAGTTCTTCCTGGGCTCCTGGAATTGCACACAAACCAGTGTGCTGTGGAGTTGTCACCGGTTTGCAGATGGTGAGGAGCTGATGCTTGACGAGCACTTGCTGTGGCTCAGTCATTCAAGCCCTGACTCAGTGCACATGGGCATCAGGGCTGATGGCTTTTGTGTGACAGGTGTGGGTGCCATGTGGCAGCGGGGCTGGGCTAGGAGCCAGCTCTGCTGATCACTGTGAAGCAGCTTCCTCTTGTTCTGACTTAAATTTTAGGGGTTGCTACAAGACACGGCTGAGGCTGGCCAGCCCGAGGAGCCACTGAGTGTCTTCCCAGGCACATGCTCCCAGGTGAGAGGCTGCAGCAGGATCTAGGGATCTGTGCTGAATGCCGGGCCTGATTGTGTTCCCATGTCCCTTGGTACTTGGTATTGGCCATGGTTGCAGGGACACAGGGTTAGATGGGTGGAAGGAAATGAGACCCAGACTGTGTCCAATGTGTGTTTCAGGTTACATCTCTGGGCCCAGAGCACCCAGGAAGAGGTGGTAGCTGTGATTCAGAGCCTACAGAACAGCACTCAGCCCACAGCCCAAGCATTTTGAGTGTACCAGCACCACAGCACCTCGAGTCTCTAGCAGTGGGGGCTGGTGGCCCAGGGGCTGGGCAGGTGGAGGGAGTTGGATCATTGTCTGCTGGCCTCAGCATCACAGGCTTCCTGCCCACGGACTTGGAGGCTGAGCAGGCTGTGCTGGATGGTGGGGCCCCACCCCTGGAGGAAGCACTACAGACCATCTACTCAGACCTGCCCCCTGTGATGCCTGGGGAGGTACCCACAGCAGCTGGCATCCAGCCTGCCCAGCCAGAGTATGATTTCAGTACCATCCTGAGGCCAGCTGTGGCCAACTTGCCTTCACTAGGGCCCTTCCAGGCTGTTGAAGGCAGCCTGGGCAATGAGGAGCAGCCATGGGGGGATGCACACATGAAGCTAGATGTCCATGACACAAAGATGGCTCTGCCTCACCCACACCCACTCAGGCACATCACTCCTGAGGACGGATGCAGCCAGTCCATGGAGCAGCTCCTTGGGCACCTGTCAGGGGCTGCTCTTCCCATAGAGGGCTGTGCTTCTGGAATGGCTCCCTGCAGACCACGGTGGAACATCCACGGACACGTGTCAGATGCCAGCATCAGGGTTGGGCAGAATGTGTCAGACGTGCCCGTGGCTCCTCGGCCACGGTGGAACATCCACGGACACGTGTCAGATGCCAGCATCAGGGTTGGGCAGAATGTGTCAGACGTGCCCGTGGCTCCTCGGCCACGGTGGAACATCCACGGACACGTGTCAGATGCCAGCATCAGGGTTGGGCAGAATGTGTCAGACGTGCCCGTGGCTCCTCGGCCACGGTGGAACATCCACGGACACGTGTCAGATGCCAGCATCAGGGTTGGGCAGAATGTGTCAGACGTGCCCGTGGCTCCTTCTCGGCCACGGTGGAACATCCACGGACACGTGTCAGATGGCAGCATCAGAGTTGGGGAGAATACGTTAGATGTGGCTCCTTCTCAGCCACAACAGAATGCCCGTGGGCACATCTCTCAGTCACCGGTGATTCCTGAGGTACCTTCATCAGAAGCCGAGCTCAGCCCGCCCAGCCCCCACCAGAGTCTCCCTGGCCACATGTCCCAGTCAGGCCTCAGTCTTGAAGCACAGAGCCCTGCTCTGGAACATGAACCTGCAGACATGGAGCCTACCCTTTGCACCCCAGGCCCAGGCAATACAGAGGGCAGCCTTCTGACCAAGGCCCCTGCTAAGGCTGAGTCCAGCACCCTGGGAGACAGCATTCCCAAAGGGCCAGGTCAGAGGGGCAGCCAGTGGTCAGGGTGGGGCTGTGCTGCCCACAGAACCTGGGAGGTGGAGTGTGTGGAGCTGCCCTTGGGGCTCCTTGTTTGTCAGGACACGGGGGTGGGTCATGGAAGGACTGCCTGGGCTGGCCCTGCTGTTTCCCCTGGGCAGGCACTCAGCCCTGATACCCATTTGTGTCCATTCAGGCCAAGGGAGGAGTGGGGACACTGACGATTTCTCTCCAAGTTGGCCTACAAACTCACAGGTCAGGGTAGATGCGGCTTGGGGGCTGGGAGCATGCAGAGTGGAAATGGCCTTTCTGCTGGATGGGGTGGTGGTTCAAATGGTGGTGGAGTGGAGCAGTGTGTTGGGTGGGGAGGTGGTTTGTTGAGGTTGGCCTTTTCTCAGGAAGGCACAGCTGCTCCAAGCAGCCCAGGCCCTGGTGAGGTGGTAGATGCAGACGCAGAGGCTGAGGCCCAGCGCCAGGACGAGGAGCAGGCCTACCTGGCAGGACTTGCCAGGATGTACCATCTGGAGCAGTACCCAGACAGCTATGAGTCTATGTGTGAGTAGACCAACCACAGTGGGCAGGCAAGGGGAGCTCTAGGCCTGTGTGTCCCCAAGCCGCAACAAGTCTGTTTTGTTCTCTACAGCAGAGCCTCCTGTTGCCCACCTGGTAAACCATGTTCTTCCCCGGGCCTTTGCCTTTCCTGTGGATCCCCAGATCCAGTCTGCTGTGGACGAGACTGTGGTGCAGCTGAGTGAGCTGCTGACGCTGCCTGTGCTCATGAAACGCTCCCTCATGGCACCACTGGCTGCCCAGTGAGTGCCACTTGTCTGCCCAGCTGTACCCATCTGCCCTGTTCTGTCCACCATCTTGACTCCAGGCCCCCTCCCTCCACCCAGTGTCTCCTTGGTGAACAAAGCTGCAGTTGACTACTTCTTCGTGGAGCTGCACCTGGAGGCACACTTTGAGGCATTGCGGCACTTCCTGCTGATGGAGGATGGGGAGTTTGCTCAGTCCCTTAGTGACCTGCTCTTTGAGAAGGTGATCCTCTCCTTGACGGTTGGGGTGGGGCTGGCCTAGGGTATAGATCCGCTGCTGGACACTGCATAGCCCCTGGCAGCATGGGTAGCAGAGCTGCTTGAGCAGAGCCTGTGGTGACAGTCTCATGTCTGGACTCCTTGGACATCCCTCCCTTTTCTCAGCTTGGGGCAGGGCAGACACCTGGGGAGCTGCTCAACCCACTGGTCCTCAACTGTATCCTGAGCAAGGCGCTGCAGTACAGTCTCCATGGGGACACACCACATGCCACCAACCTGTCCTTTGCTCTCAAGTACCTCCCTGAGGTGTTTGCCCCCAACGCCCCAGACGTGCTGAGCTGCCTGGAGCTCAGGTACAAGGTCAGCAGCATCCTGCTATGGGTGTGTGGGGGCCTGTTCTGTGGGGGCAGGTGCTGAGTGGAGCTTTCCAAGCAGGTTGACTGGCCCCTCAACATCGTCATCACCGAGAGCTGCCTGAGCAAGTACAGTGGCATCTTCTCCTTTCTGCTGCAGCTGAAGCTCATGATGTGGACGCTGAAAGATGTCTGCTTCCACCTCAAGCGCACAGGTGAGTCCTGGCCGAGCCTGCCCACCCCTGCTTGGCTCAAGGCCGCGGCTCACCCTCTGCCCCCCACCAGCCCTGGTGAGTCACACGGCAGGCTCCGTGCAGTTCCGCCAGCTGCAGCTGTTCAAGCATGAGATGCAGCACTTTGTGAAGGTTATCCAGGGCTACATTGCCAACCAGATCCTACATGTCAGCTGGTGTGAGTTCAGGGCCCGGCTGGCTACGGTGGGCGACCTTGAGGAGATCCAGCGTGCCCACGCTGAATATCTGCACAAGGCTGTCTTTAGGTGAGGTGTGGGGTGCTTGGGCCTGGCTGTGCCCTGTGGCCAGTTCGGGCAGCCCACCAGCAGCCCCTTCCTCCCCTAGGGGCCTGCTGACAGAGAAGGCAGCGCCAGTCATGAACATCATCCACAGTGTTTTCAGCCTGGTGCTTAAGTTCCGCAGTCAGCTCATCTCTCAGGCCTGGGTCCCGGCCAGTGGCCCCCAGGGCGCTGAGCACCCCAACTTTGCCCTCATGCAGCAGTCGTACAACACCTTTAAGTACTATTCCCGCTTCCTCTTCAAAGGTGAGTCCGCCCACAGGACAGGACAGGACAGGACAGGACAGGACAGACCTGGGGGTGGCCTGATGGAGGGTGTGGCAGAGCCTAAGAGCCTGCTGCCCCCTAGTGGTGACCAAGCTGGTGAACCGTGGCTACCAGCCCCACCTGGAGGACTTCCTGCTGCGGATCAACTTCAACAGCTACTACCAGGACTCCTGAGGCAGACGGGACCAAGGTACAGTCACTGTCGGGCTGGGCAAGGGCTGGGGTCAGAGCCAAGAGACCAAAAAGACAGGTGTGAGAAAGCTGCAGCTTTATTTAGAGGCTTAGGAAACACAACTCAGCAAGGGCTGGGCCCAGTCCCTGAGGCAAAATGGACATGAGGGCTTCCAGAGCCACTAAGGGCCTGGCACTCTGCATTGTTCTCACATAAAGCAGCTGGTGCTGGGGCAAGTTGAGTGCTGGGCTAGGGCAGTGCTACCAAGTTGGCGTCAGACAGAGAGGGGTCAGGTCCTGACTGGACATCTCTGCCACCATAGAGAGACAGCCTGGAGGGCAGCCCGGCTTGTCTCGGCACCTCAGCAGCACTTGGGGGCCTCGGAAGACTCCAAGTACATGGGGGGTCACCGAGGCCACTATGAGGATCACGTCACACAGAGACCCACCGCCCACATGGGGGGCCTGCTGCTATAGGAGCGCTGCTCACCAGCCTCCCCTTCAGGGCCTGTGGGCTCGGGGCCCTCAGCAGCCTCCCCCTCGCTGTGGTAAGGAGATTCCAGCAGCTTCAGCACACGCTGCACCTGAGGAAGAGCTAGGTGAGGGCATCTGGGGCCGGCCCTCTCCGGGGATGGAGCAGAGACAGGTGCACACTTACTTACTTACCTCTGAGAAGTCTCCCTTCTCAGCAGCCTCAATGGCATTCTGCGCGATGTAGTTCCTCAGGACATACTTGGGGTTGTGGGCGCGCATGATGCGCACATGCTCAGCCTGCCAGGCAGTGGTGTCACCAACACTCTCCCTGTCCTTGTCCAGCCGAGCTCTGGAATCACATCCTAGTGGTCTTTCCCAGCAGGAACAGCCCCCCTGCCCCCAGTCAGGGCCATCTGCAGCCGGCACCAGTGACCTTGTATGCAACTCACCTGTATTCTTGTAGCCAGGCAGCCCAGTGGTCACTGTTCCTCCTCCGGAGCTCGGCAGGGTTCAGCTGCTCTAGCCGTGATTGCTGTTCCATGCGCTCCAACTCCTTTGTGACGTTCGCCTGGGTACCGATGAGTGCAAAGAGCTGTGGGTTCGTCTGGGCCAGCATCAACATCATGGAAAGCTGTCTGTGGAGAGGCGATACAGACAGCACCTCAGCCAGGAGCAGCGGTGGGTGTACCCTGCCCTGCTGTGAGGCTTGTTCAGGTGGGCAGCAATCCAGGCAGATGCTGCAGGTCAGCTGGGGACAGAGACACCGTCTGCTCTATGGTGTCTCCACCTATATCCCAGCCAAACGCCAGTCACTTTTCTTTTGGACAGTCTCTAGCCTCCAGTGTTTAGTGCTTATAGGAGGGCCACTCATTTCCCACTAAATTCATTTCTGTGTGACCAGCCTGTGATTTTTTTAATTTGACTGTCAGCTACTACCACTTTCCTTGTCTCATCTGAGTGTGGGCAGCACTCAGCACAGCCCGCTCAGCCTATGGGATACAACGAGAGAAGGCAGGGGACCTGAAAGCCACAGGTCTTGGTAAACCAAAGCTATTTTGGGAAGCCCACCCCAACCCATAACCGTTCTGTGCCCAGCCACCCCCATGTCAGCATCCCTGACTTCTTTGTGACCAACACTACAGAGACAGGATCTGTCTGCCCCACCCTCAGGACCCCTCCCCCGCAACACACACTAGCTCCTTCTGCAGCACCCCTTCTGAAAACAAACTGAAAACAAATTCCCAGACACTACCCACCGGGGATCCATCTGGGGTCGGAGGGCAAGCCTCAGCTCCTCCAGGGAGGCACACTGTGAGGTCAGCGAGGTCAGGAACTCTGCCAGGCCTGGTGCCTGTTGCTCCACTGGGAAGGAGCTCAGCATATAGAAGGTGTTTGTGAAGTCAGCACCTGGAATGCGATCTGCTTAGGTGCTGGGAGGCAGGCGCTGGGCCTAGGACTTCCCACCCATGAGTGCTGACCCTCATCACCAGCCCCATGCCTCAGCCACCACCCATCTGCCACCAGTCCCTGTTACTTTGCAGGTCATCTGTAGAAGAGGTTGACACCAAGAAGGATTGGAGACTGACACTTAGTCCTCACTGCTGCTCTGGTGGTCACAGTGCCTACCTGGGCCACTTGGCACATTCACTGTTTGTTGTGACCCTCAACCTGTTTGTTAGTCACTTGTGGTCACATGGAACCATGCAATCCCTATTTTTATATAAAAACACTAACATAAAATGAGAAGCCAGGCATGGTAAGTTGGCAGAATGGAAAAAGACATGATCTGGCTCCACACCGTCTATAAGACAGACAGACACTTGCTTTTGCAAACAGGTTGAAAGTGGAGGGAAGCAAACAGTGACCTAAAGAGGCTGCGGTGGCCATACAGATGCCAGACAAAACAGGCTTAGGCAAAAGCTAATACAGAAGGCACATCTATAATCCCAGCTACTTGGGAGACAGAGATCAGGAAGACTATGGTGACAGACCTTCCTGGGCAAAAAGACCCCATCTCAACAAACAAGCTGGGTATGGTGGATCATAATCCCAGCTAGATGAGATGATTGCAGTCTGAGGCCAGCCCCAGACAGAAAGTGCAAGATGCTTTATTCAGAATGTAAGACGAAAAATGATGGCAGGTATGGCTCAAGTGGCATAGTGTCTGCCTAGCAATCACGAGGCCCTGAGTTCAAACCCCAGTGTCACCAGAACAGCCCACACCATCCTTAATGGTGAAAGACTGAAAGCTCCAAGACCAAGACAAGAATGCCCACATTAGCACTTCTACTCAACACAGTACTGGAAGTTGTAGCCAGAGCCACCAGGTACGTTAAGCAGTGATTCAACATTCCCACTAACTGCAGACCCAAACTGAGAGTGGGGTCTAAGTGGACGTCTGTACACTCACTTTCAAAGCCACACTATGTACGATAGGCTAAGTGAGAACAGCTCAAGTGCAGTGTTGGCTAACCAAGCAGGGTCCGTCCACACAATGGGATATCACTCGACATTAAAGTAACATGGAGGAATTTATGGGCAGGACCTTATGCTAGATAGATGATAGACCAGTCATAAAAGGACAATTTCCTGTGCAATTTCCCTAATTTGAGGTCCCTCCCTAGAGTACTCAAATTCAGATAGAAGGCACAATGGTGGGTGCCAGGTGGAGGTGGCTGGGGTGTTAGTGTGTAGAGGGGACAGTTTCGGTTTGAGAAGACAATGGATGGCTGCACACTTAGAAATGGCTAAAAGGCAAGCCATCTATCTACCCGCACTGACGGTTGTGTGGCTCACCAGTCAGCTGCATGGTCTCCAGGAGCCTGGCCACCAGCGCCCTATCTTCCTGCTCCACCTGCATGAGGCCCAGCTTCTTGCGCATCTTCTGCAGGTAGTGCCTTTCGAACTCAGCATCAAACTCCTCAGCCAGGATGGCCTCACCCACTGCATGGGGCAGCTCGGGCTCCAGAGCCTCTGCCAGCTTCTGCAGGTTCCACTTGCACACCTCAGGCTGCTTGCTGTATGTGTAGCGCCCGGCATTGTCAGAGGCATTGCACACATGGTCAGGGTCATACCTGCCACACAGGGTGAGAGCCCAGTGTTGTCAAAGGGAGCACACAGGGCAGACCGCTTGGGAAGAGGGTCAAGGAGTCCCTGTGGGTTCAAGTCAAAGACCCTGGAGTACACTTCTGCCTACACACAATCAGCGCTACTTCGAGTAGAGAGAGATTCGGTGGGGGAGAGGGGGGTAGTTGTAGCCCTCCCCATCACCACCTGCTCCCACCCCCACGCTCCATCTTCAGCCCAGCAGAGGAGGGACCAATTCTAAAATGCTGAGATAGCTCAGGCTTCTTTGACAAAAGCCCTCCAGGGGATTTCTGCTTCCAGGAATGGCTGACCAGGCATTGCTTAGAACTGAACACTGAAAAAGATGTATCCAAGCAGCACACATGCCAGCTGCTCCCTGCTCCTGCACCACTGTAACCCCTGAGCTGTTGGTATCCATCCTTGTCAGGCCAGTCCCTGCATGGGCAGCAGGCTGAGGAGGCCCACCACCCACAGCCCTAGGCCCCTCACCTGTCCAGGAAGCCGAAGGGCCCGTAGTCAATGGTCAGCCCCACAATGCTCATGTTGTCAGTGTTGAGCACACCATGGCAAAAGCCGACACACTGCCACTCGGCCACCATCTGGGCTGTTCGCCGTGTCACCTGGGGCAGGACAGGTGCTGGTTGCTCCCTCCCTGGTGCCCCATCCACTCCCACCTGCCCTTACCTACCCCAGAGTGAGTCCAGCCCCCTCCTACCCTCCTTGCTCCTCTTTGTGCTTTGGGTGAGTTGATATGTGTGGGTCCTAGCTTCCGTGCATACCACATACCTATTATATGCTCACCAGTTTGGGTTTTTACCTAAGCCAGCAAAACCAGGCAACCCTGACTGAGGCTCAGGAGGAAGACCTCGTGGGAACAGAAAAGGAAGTATCACACTGGACCTGCCCGGGTCCAGGCTGCTATGCTCTGCAAACTGTTTTGCCATCTCCATGTTGGGTGCCAGGGCCTGGCAACCAATCCTGCTGCTCACCCAATGCCCTAACCAAAGAGGCTGCCCTCAGCTTTACACCAAGCTCCTCATCGAGTCAGACTGCCTGTGCCTTGCCCCTGCTCAGGCTGAGGATGCTCCCAGGAATCGGGCTTCACTGATGGAATGACTGAGGGTTACTGGACGGAGTAAGCTAATCAGACCACCCAACTGTGTTTGTGTAAGACCAAGTGGGAACTGAGGATTAATGTGTCCTAGCCAGGAACCTACATGGTGGCTATTTCTGCTGACCAGCTGCTCTGCTGCTGACCTGCAGGTGCTCCAGTTCAAAGCCACATGGCAAATAGGTCTGCACCTGCCCTGGCTGCAGTCAGTCCCTCAGTGATCTAATCCCTCTTAGAGAAGTCCCTGTGCCCTCTCCTCCCAGTACCCTGACCTAGCCTGACTCTTTCTCCTTTCTATGCCCACTACACGGGGCCAGATGAGGCCTACCCCACCCCACCCCACTCCATTCTGAATGCCCTGTGATAAGGACGCCATCAGATTACAAGTGGACATGTGTATTGTCTGTGGTGTGGGAAGGGGCCACGTCTGATACTGCTAAGGTGGACTCAAGCCCCAGCCAGGGAAGCCCACATTTCTCTCAAATCAAGACACTAAGTGGGTACTCCAGGGTGTGCTGGGTTGGGGCCACCACCAGCTCTGACCTGCACAGGAGATATCAGCACATTAGTGCTTCTGCCCACTCCAGTCCTCTCTGATGCTCCCCACTGGTTGGGCCTCTCTGACCCCGGGAGGTGTGCCCAGCAAGGCCACTGCATCAAAATGCCTCCATTTCTAAGGTCAAAGCCTGGCCAATGTGTTCACTGGCTGCCCAGCCCATAAGGACATAAGGGGTGAGAGGGCCTGGGAGCAGGAGGAGATGATGCAGGCAGAAAGGCAGGGACACTTGCCGAAGTGACTGTGTTTAGCAGCATGTGCTGCTCTGAGCCCCTGGCTACGGGGAAGACCACTGTATGGCCTCTACCTACTTCCCGGAAGAAGGCAGCACTCCTCTGCACACGGTCGCTGTTGCTCGCGTGGGTGGCCTGGATTTCAGGGTAGAAAGAGCTGATCACATAGTCGAGCATCTGGACTCGGATGTCATTTCGCCCCACACTGGGGCCTGCACGTCCTGTGTGCTCGTCAGTGGGCTTAAAAATCTCAAAGGATCCAAACCTGGGAGGAAGATCCCACAGTTCAACAGATCAGACAGGCCCAGTCCCTTGTGAGAAAAAGAAAAAAGAAAGAACCCATGGCTACCAGACTTTGTAGCCCTACAGCAGAAGAGCACCCTGGTTACATAAAGCTAGCACCCAGCAAAGTACAGTAAGGCTCTGAATGACGGATGCAGACACCGCTCACTCGGGCCAACTGCCAGCAAGCCAGTCCATTCCCACAGCGCAAGCAGGAAGCACACAAAGACAAGAAATGGCCACAGCTGTCTCCTTCCTCCCCCAACCCTGACTCCACAGAGCTGTGAGCACACCACATACCATGCCCTGGTGGGGACAAGTAGGGTCAACTCTACCACAGACACGGTATCTGCACGGGTCAGGAATAGTTCTTAACTGGGAGTCTGTCCCACAGGGACACCAAACATGTCTGGAAACATTTTGGTTGTCATAACGGGTTGCTACTGGCAACTAGTGGGCAGAAGTCAGGGATGCTGTGAACATTGCAGAATGGCCTCTATGCAAATGTCATCCCCACAGAGGTCAGAAAAAGCCAGAGACCAAAACAGCCTGATGTGCAAGTGGCTGGTGGTCATTAGGACACTGGTCAGCCTAGGCCTGCACAATAGGAAAACCACAAAATCACCCTACTAGCTGCCTCCTTGCAGCTCTAGTTCAGGTAATCAGCCCTAAAATTGCTGGATGCCAGATGGAAGTAACAAAAAGAACTCAGCTAATGAGCATCTGGGTCACTGAGAAGGAAGACCACAAGGACCAGAGCACACGAGATAGAATAGCACATTTATTTATGATGATGCTAAATGAGGCCTGTTCCTCGGTCAGTTGTCAGTAGCTCCTGTCATAAACTCCCAGGTACAGCTGTCCCTGAACCTTCCCAAAGCCTTCTGCCTCTGCAGTCCCTTCTCCCAGGTCACCTCTCAGGGAGGGGCTGGCATACTTATCCACACACAGGACGGAAGCCCAACCCAGAACACGACAGGAGTCTCCGCACTGCAATCCCTCCCAGTAGGCATGAAGCATCTACTCTGCTGACAAGCTGGACTTTTTGAAAGGCCAGAGGCTGGGTCCTGACCACAGCCAGGTGCTATCTCTCATTCATGTGCCCTACTCAACATTTTGGCCACAAGAGCATGGGTCTCTCAGGACTCTACAAGCAAGCGTGTGCAGACAGACCTGACACACCCCAGCATTACCTTATAAAAGTGGGAGCTATACGCAACACAACCGTGCATTTTTCATATTTTGGATTACCATCATAGAACACGTCGCGCACCACTGTGGACTCAGACGTGACACAGGCCCCGGCCCGCGTGGTGGGGATTCCCAGGTGGAACATGGCTTCGCTGCACAGGAACTCTCGGATGCTTGACCGTAGGACTTTGCGACCATCAGCCTGTCTGAAATCAAATAGAGAGGCCACTGAGCTGGTCAGGCAGGGGTTCAACACTCGTGTTAAAGTCCATTTCAGCCAGGCACCACTGGCTCACACCTGTAATCCCAGCTACTTGATCAGGAGGATCATGGTATGAAGTCAGCCCAGGCAAATACTTCGTGAGACTCCATCTTAAAAAACCCTTCATAAAAATAGGGCTGGTGGAATGGCTCAACGTGAAGGCCCTGAGTTCAAGTCCCAATAACACACACACACTAAGTCCATTTCAGAGGACTCTGACATTTACACCCCCCAGGTGTGGCAGCTGCACAATTGGGCCCAGTCCCTAGCTCCAAGCACACTCTCAAACCTGCAGGTATTTTCATGTGTTTACAAAATTACTCTTAGAATAATGTACACATACACACCAGCACTATTTGCAGTAAAGACCAAGAATCCATGAGAAAGTAGGTACAAAAGTGCTGCTCACCAACGTGGCTTGCTGCTCAGCTCTCAGAGATGAGGGGTTGTGTGTGTTTGGCCCCAACCCAAGGGCAGACACCAAGGCCCAAGCAAGGGCAGTGGGCAGTGCTGGGAGAAACAGCTTTGGACACATGGTGCATGCTGAAGACTCACAGGAAACAAAACTGTGCACAGCCACATCTGCTGTGGGAGGGGCCATGCCATCAGACATGGCCTGGGGACAAGCTGAGGAGAACGACACTGATGGTCTTGTGCAGGTCTGTGCTTCTCTTTTTCTCACACACTAAGACTCCTCTTGTTTTAAAAGCAGAGCACAAGGGAAAAATGTTGGCAGCATGGGGCAGGGGCCACCTGTACATCCTGACCTCTAAAGACCCTAAACAGTGTGAGTCTTGGGCTATGTCCCTGATCTGGCCTCTGTGCCTGGGCAGGGCTGCAGCAGCGTCCAGCACTCCCTGGGGCAGGAAGGCAACTGTGGCAATTTAGAAAGTCCTCTCACAGGAAACAAAACAAAACAAAACCCTCCGTCTCTCTGGACACCTGGCTGAGAGGGGCCCAGGCGCACCTGCAGCCATAGATGTCAATGTGGTGACCCTTGTGTTGTTAGATGGACCTGGACCTTCTGCCCTCACCTGTGTCTCAGGACAGTCAACCCACGCACCCTGAAGGGTGACTGAACCCATCCTGGGCTGCCTCAGTCTCAGCTCCCTCTGCTTGCCTCCTGCCAGACTGTGCCAGGAACACTGCTAGGGTCTGACTGGCAGAGGTAACATGTCCCCAACGTCACTGCACCCCTTCCTGGCCAAAAGAACTGCTCTTTAGCTCAGCCAGATTTCATGTGTTTAAGCAGAAGCCAGAAGCATTCATGTTGACCTGGAACATGGGAAAAATGATCCTGACAACAAGCAATGTGTCCTGTGAGCCCTGTGAGCAGAAAAGCCCTCCCAGGCCTTCGCTGTGCAGTCATCCTACAGTTCTGAATTCTTTTGTGAACCTTGTCCTGGGCAGAAGGCAGGCTGATTTGCACGAGGACAAGGGCCCAGCTGTAGACAAGAGTCTGCCAGGACAGTCCTGTCCTGAAGCCTCAGCAGCTGCAGTAGGCAGGGGCAAGAAGCTACTTGCTCACCCCTAAAACCACAGCTCAGGAATCCAGCAAGCCTGGCCCTGAGTCTCAAATCTTGGAGAAGTGTTGAGGTCAAGGACATAGGGGAAAGGTGGGCCTGAGCAAGGGCTTAAGGACCCCTGTCCTCTTAAAGGAACAGTATTCTAGGAGACCTTGTGTCTGGAAACACTGACTAAAAACCTCAATCTTCTGTGGCTGGAGAGAGAGAGCTCAGTGGTAGAGTGTTTGCCTAGCACATAAGAACCACAAAATAAAAATAAAGCATTTTCAAACGGTACATTATTCTCACAAGGCTCATTTTTATAATTGGTGAAAAAAAAATCAAAATGAAAAGATGAAGCTTAAGGACGTTCACAGAACGAGCAGGCTCCAGGCTGAGAGTCTGTCTGTCCATCGTCCAAGGGGCAGACACCTCCAAGCAGGTTGCTGGGGGATAGTGGAGTGGATGCCAGGTGGGGCTCAATAAACTTGGCAGACAGAGCTGAGAGGCTTGGAGACTGAGGGTTGATGAAGCACCCATTATTTTGAGGATCTGGCCTAGGAGATCCAGACCAGATGGAGCCTGGCAGGGGATGGTGGACATGTTAGGGGCTGGAAGGAAAAGGGAAGAGAGATATGAATTCAGAATGACCACAAAATGCCAGCTTACATGTATTTTTCAGTCATTCAACAGCACTGAAAGAATATGGACAAGTATATGAACCAGGTAGTAAAAAACAGCAACGGAGACATAAATGCTGCCAGTACACAGGAGGCAGGATGGTGTTGCGAAGAGCTCCTGGGGCCTGCTGTCTGGATCTAGACCCAGGCCCATCTTGGAACCATGTGCCTCCCACAGAATCCAAACACTGCCCTCTTCAGTGGGGATCAGGAAGGGCTGACTGGGGTGGCGGGTGAGGGGTGGAGGGTACTGGCCCCAGGGAGGGTGGGCTTTAAGAGCGAATGTCCCTCCCAGAGTTCCCCAAGGGGCAGGTTGGGGGCGCAGGGGGCCTCTGAAGGAACACGCGGATGCTGCGCGTCTTGGAGAAGCAGACAGCCCAGGTAGCATTTAGAGAACAGGTGCCTGGATGTCGGCCCATCCATCATCCCACCTCTGAGCCCTTGTCCCCAGCCCCAGGGCTGGTAGCCTCAGCGTCATGTGTGAAACTGGGTGCAAAGTCCCTGGCGTGTTTAGGAGAACAGCATGGAGAGCCTGGACAACTACCTGACAGAGGACGTTGCTGGATCCCCAAGCCGTGCCCGTCACCGGGGAGCCCGACCCGAGCCTCCCGCTCGCTCTCTCTGGCCACACGGTACTTCCCCGGCGCGGCTTCTCTGCCGTCCCTTTGCACGACGCTCCCTCCACGTCCCACCCTTCCACGAGACTCTTCCAGGCTGGCCCCGAACAGGAAGAAAAGCGCTCCGAGCACCCTCATGTCCGCCATCCCGGGTGCACCTCCCCGAGCCCCGCACCTGGAGAAGGGCGTGGGGCCGGCGCCCTTGAGCTGCAGCTCCCAGCGCTCGCCGGTCGCCGTGCACACCTCGCCCAGGTACATGGCGGCGCCATCGCCCAGCTGCCCCGCGAACTGGCCGAACTGGTGTCCGCAGTAGCAGTGCGCGGCCGGCTCGGCGCCCGGCAGCAGCGCGTTGCCGCTGAAGAAGAGCGCGGCCTCCGCCTCGGCCTCGGGCGCGGTGGCGTCCAGCCCCAGCAGCGCCAGCGCGGGCCCCGACAGTGCCACGAGGCGCGGCCCCCGCAGCGGGGAGGGACGCACCCGGCTGAAGCAGGCGCCGGGCACCGGCCGCGGCGCGGAATGGGCACCGTCGGGCCCGGGCGGCGGCGTCTCCACCGGCAGCTCGCGCAGGGCGCGGTTGTCGAAGCGCAACCCCGCCAGCCAGCGCGGCGCAGGCTCCATGGCGGCGGCCCAGGCGGAGCAGAGCGCGGAAGACCGAAGCGGGAGGCCGTACAGCCGCGGCCAGGCACTGCCAACCGTAAGCAACGCACCAAGCGAGGCCTTGAACGAGGCCATTCGCCGCGGGGCGCCGCCGGAAGCCTAGCTGCCCCGACCGGAAGCCCCGCCTCCACGCCGCACCATCCAATTGCAGAGGGCAGTGTCCCTAGCCGTGCCTGCCCGGGGCCGCGCCCCCAAAAGCTTGGTTTTGATTGGTTGCCTAGCCCGTTTGTCCGCAATCTGCTGCCTGCTGGGCGCAGGGCACCGAAGGGGTCCCGGGACTCGTGCTGTCGCAGTGACCGCGGCTAGTTGCCCGGTGCACCGGGCCAGGAGATCCCTGAAGCGCCAGCCTGAGTGACACGTGACGGGCTGGACTGCTCCCGAGAGGGCTGATATGCTGAATGACGTGTCCAAAAGACCACCCGGGGCGCCCCCAACTAAGGGTGAAGCCAAGGTCAGCCCCGGCCCCACGCGGTGCTGAGGGTGTGGCTCTGGCATCAGCAGGAGGGACAGAGGTCCTCCTTTTGTTCAGATCGGACAAGGGTCAGCGGTGCCTGTAGACTAGGGTCCCAGCGACAGGGGTGGCCGGACATCGGGGCCACACCTGAGGGTATTCCTTGGATCCGTGGGCCCTGAGTTGGAACTGGCCACCTAGGACTTTGTATGGGAACAATCTGGGTGAGCAAGAGTGCCAGGGCGAGGCCAAAGCAGAGTGGGCATAGACCCAGGCCGGGGGCCTTGTTGATGATGGGCCTGCTTGGAACCTGCCCAGGTATGCAGGGTCTCTGAAAACTCCCCTCCCCTCTTCTTCACTGGTACTTGGAGTCACCTTGCTTTTCCTGGCACAGCATCTCTCTGAAATGATCTTGTTTCCTTAGCTCCCCATTCTGTGCCTCTGTAGCCTGTAGTCTACATGGGTAGGGACCCCAATGATGGGGCACCCAGTTCCCCCAGAACAGTGCCCAGTTCTCAGAGAAGCCCCTGCAGATAGATGTCCACAGGCCCAGATACTCCTGGCAGGGCTAGGTGAGCCAGGGATGGCCCAGCTTGGCTCTGAAGGCCTATGGCCACATGGTGAGTTTGGGCAGGTGCTGTAGGATGAAGGTGGGGTCAGATGAGTCTGTGGTGCCCTCCTCCTCTAGTCTTCTACCCCAGGTGAAATCTGAGACCTTATACCGGGCCCAGAGACCTTGGATGATCGCGCACACTCCCTCCTGGAGTGTGCTTACCTCCTCTCCCCCAGTTACACACGTTGAGGATCTATGTCTGGGAACTCAGCTCTGCCCGTGGGGTGGGGGAACAGGGGCTGTGTGACCATATGTGAATCCCTCCTACTTTCTGCACAACATGGTGGGGTAGGCGACTGGTACCTAGGTGGGAGCCCTCTCCTGCACCTGACAGCAACATTTTCCTCTGAGGACCCACACTGGGGCCTGTCTGGGGTCTTCTCCACTCAGCCTGCTGTGGAGCCACCACATCTGTTTCCTGTGTTCTCCTCTAACTGCCCTTGGAGACCTGACCAGAGCTTCCCTCTTTCCAGGCCTTGGGCCCTCCTGACTCATATTCCTGGCTCCAGTCTGGCTCCCTGGCTCAACTGAACTCTGGAATCAGGTGGGATTGGGTTATTGAGGGTCTGTACATGTCAGGTTTGTGACTTGCCTACCTCACCAAGCTCATAGCCTGAGGGACACCAGTGGGTGCTAAAGGTTCTAGAAGGGCAGCAGACAGGACAGCAGCCCAACACATTCATAGTGACTTTCTCTTGACCACACTATTGAGCTGCATAGACTCTTCCAAGAAACTGATTGCCCCTCCCCTGTGTTGACACAAAAGATGCAGAGGACAGTGGGCTTGAATGTTTAATGTGCTAAGGCTCCCCAACTGCCAGGGGGTGTAGTGCCTAGGCCTTGTGGGTCCAAGCCATGCAAATGCTCAGTGTACTAGGGTGCATGGCCTGCTCATCACCTCCCGTGGCCCAGTGAGGACCCAAGGAAGGCCCTGCATCCCCTGACTAAGGCCTGTTGAGGTCAGCCTGGCCGCAGTTGCTATACCATCAGCCAGTGCCTGAGCGATCTTGGCTACAGCTGGCAAAGCTACCAGAACTCTCCCAACAGAGTGTGCAGTCATCATGATCTTGGTCCAGCATGCTGAAGGTGCTGCCCTCCTGGCTGTCAGTGTGGCCTGAGCTCTGGAATACATCCCCTGCATGGTAAGGGCAGTGGGTTTAGTAGTCCCCCCTCTCTGTTCCCTCAGGGATCTCCCAGATCTGAGCTGCCCAGAGTGCCTCACCATCTGAGATACCCAGGGCCAGCCCTTAGGTAGCAGCAGCTCTTCCCATAATGCAGGCTGGGCCTCTGGGGCCCTCATCTGACCCTCTATAAGCCCCCTACTCCCAGTCTGTGGGAGTTTCTCAGCAAAACAGAAGACTCTTAGGGGAAGGGGAAGTGGCCAGGTGAACTCAGGTCCTCTAGATGCTCACCCACATTTCTTGAGTACTGGCCCAAGGTAGAACTGGTCCTCCTTGCCAACATGGATGTTGTCATACTGGGCCCAAAGTATAAGGTTGTCCATGTCCCACAGGCCCACAGCCAACTCCGTCTGCAGGCCCAGCTGGGAACTCATGTCTGAGATGTGCTCCAGCCACAGCCAGTAGACACCTGGCTTGCTGGCACCTCCATAGCCCCAAGCCATGTCTCCCTGTTATTGTTGTATCTCCTCTAGAGGCCCCACCTGCCCCCTTATGGTCCCTATGGGATGAAAGTGGCAGCACCAGGGCAAAGCCTGTCCATGTCCCATAGGCGGCCCAACCCTCCTACCTTCCCAAGTCTCCAAAGACCTGTTTACACTTGTGCCAGGACCTCTCTAAGTCCAGCTGCCTTTCCCTGTCCCAGTCTTGACTCCGGATCAGATCACAGTCCAGCCACCATCCTCCTGCGTGGCACAGAGAACCTGGCAGGACAAGAGGCAGTCAGGAGCCTTGGCCGACTCACGTGTGTGCCCACATCCATGCTCCCCAAGGTACCTTATATTTATTTGAAAAAAGCATACCTTACTGTTTTTGTGCCTATAATGTAATGCAAACATGGATACAAATTCAGATTTTTCAGAAATAGGGTGAAGATCCACAGAAGCATCCAAGCCTCAGTGTTGTCCAATGTGATGTGAGTCACTCACTCTGCAATGACACTGTACCCTGTGTATCTACCCCCCCATTTCATAGTCCCCTTACTAAATATCCCACTGGCAGAGCCCAGCCTTTCCCTGCCTCCTGCCAACCTGAGCATTGGTTCCTTATTCCTGCTAGACTTGGGCACAAAGCTCCTCTCAGGTCACCATCCCAGGCTGCAGGGCAACGCAGTGCATTGATGGGCTGCTGGCCCCTTCAGGCGGGATGGTGTATGTGCCACCGTGGGCCGTGGGGTCTTCCACCCAGATCTGAGAACAGTCCTTCCCTGCAGGAGCCAGGAGAGATTGGGGCAGTCAGCCCAGTAGACAATTTCCCACTCTCATGCTGGCAGCCGTGGTCCTTGCTGCAGGCCAGGTCTGCCTACCACCTGTAGCCCTGGGTAGGGCTTCAGTCCTGCTACCCCTAGACACCTCTCTCTGGGTCCAACATGGGGCTCACCTGCTGTCCTTGGTGGGAGGGGAGGGGGGGTCTGCCTGACCCTGGCTTGGCAGTAGTCTAGGGATGTCTAGTGCAATGGCCATATCGAACAGGGCCCAGAGCCACCTGCCTCAAGGGTGCCCTGGCCCACCCCCAGTGTTCCTGGGTGGGGACTCAGGTGGGTCCTTGGGGAGCAGCGAGAAGTCTTGCAGGTGCTAACTATGGGTGATGGGTTGAAGGATGCCCTGGGCCAGGGAGACAGCCTGGACAGGTCTCTATGAGGGGTGTGGCACATGCCCACCTGCCCCTCCCTCACACCCAGCCCAGCCAGGCCTTGGGGATCCAGCACCGTCACCTGGGCCTGCGGAGAGGGGCAGACTTGGCAGCCCTGGAGCCCCGAGCCCACCTCTGGCTCATGAGGCCCGGCTGCAAGTCACTCTTACCGGCTGTCGCTGCTGAACCATTGAGCTGACCCAGGCCATAGGGAAGAGGAGGACAGCAAGAGCCAGGGCAAGGCAGACAGTCATGCTTCCTAGAGGGACAGATATGTGCTCGTAGCCCACCTCACACTCACTAGCAAAGCCTTCTACTACCCACCCCTCCTGCCACCCTCCATGCTGTCAATCTCTTTCCAGGTAGGTCCAGGCTGCTGGCCCATGCTGGGCCTTTTGCTCAGGTGATGGGGCTGGCCCCGCCTCCCCCCCTCCTACCTATGCAGGGCAAAGAGATGTGGACCAGAGGGTGTGGCCCGAGTACGTGCTCTTGGCTCACAACTCAGTCTACCTTGCTGGGTGCGGCCCACTGGTCGTGGGTGGGCACCAGGGGCAAGGACCTGTGTCTTTTTCTGAGGTGGGCAGCAATGCCCCCTGGGAGCTGGGCAGCACTCTCAGCATCCCTGAACCTGGGGGCACAGGAGGAAGCCCTCTCCCCAGCCCATCACCTGAATCCCACTTTTACATACTTCACAAAACGGGAGCTTCCAAAATTAGATTTTATTTCCATTTCTAAGGAATGAAACCATGAGTGGGAGACAGGAATTACACAGCACAGCCAGCCCCATGGGGCTGCTCGGCTCACAGCATTTCAGGGTTCTACCCAATTTGACAACACAAGGACAGTTGGAGTGGCTTTTGCCTCGATGAGCTGTGCAGGTGCCACCACACACCAGGAGCTACGGCTCGAGCACACGCATGGCTGGGTGGAAAGGCACAGGCCAACTACAGCCCTGGGTTTTGTGGCCCACAGTGGGTGCCTGCTGGCATGCAGACTGGCTGTGCACCAAGGGTCAGAGTGGTCTGGGCACCCCCAGGGGATGCATGAGAAGCAGGTTCTAGCCCCTCCAGCACCAAGGAGAGCAGCCAGGACATACCTAAGGAGCCCCCATCCCAAATTGGGTTGCAGTACAGAGCCCAGAAGAGCTGGCCTGGACTTCCCAGAGCTGACCTTCTGCTGTACCCTCACCCACCCAGAGACAGAGACAACAGAAACAACTGCCTCTGTGTCCCAGCTGGATTTAAGGCTTGTATTTCCTGACATTGCTCCAGTTTGCTTTGAAGTTAAAATTACCTGAGTAAAAAACTTTGACATTTCAAAAAGTCCAAAACACAGAATCTCTACAGACAGAGAAGCAGCTGGCCATGCTGTACAGAGGTCAGCCAAAGCTCCCATAAGCCCACAGTAAAGAGCTGTGTGGGCACCCAGCTTCCCACACTCGCCAGCCCCCGAACCCATGGTGAGACGCACTTTGGGCCAGATACTTCTGCTGGCCAGAGCGTAAGGCACAGTGAGGTAGGTACAGCGGCAGCTCACCAGGCCCCACCCTGGGGCTGGAGGGGCAATTTGCACCTCAGTGCTTCCCCTAGCCCTTGTCCCCCTTGGAGCTGGGCCACTAGGACCTGTTCCCTGTGGATGGCCCTGATACGCGTAGATGACCCCTACAGCATGTGGGGGCTGCTGGGAAGCCTGAGCTCAGACAGTTAAATAATCCTTTATTTGGGCGGCTGGGAATAGGGAGGGCAGGCAAGGCTTGGCCCGGACCCCCATGGGGGGTGGCTTGGCTGCATCTGCACCCAGGGAGATCCCCAGGCAGGCAGCACCAGCTCCTTAGGAGCCCCAGCTGCAATGCAGGGGAGCAGCCACGGAGTCCCTCGGTGTGGTCACTCTCTTGCATGGCCTTCCTATTGGCCTGGCCGGGGCCCAGATGCTCTCTGGAAGCAGAACTGTGCAGCAGGCAGCGACAGGACCAGACTCACGGTTCGCCGACCCATCCAGTACAGGCCGTAGCCCAGCAGTCCGAAGAAAACAGCCTTCACAGCCAGCCGGGACACTCTGCCTGAGATGGACGGCGGGGGTACGCTGCAGGAAGAAGAGGCAGGCTGGGCGCGGTTGGAGCCATGCCCCTGGGGCCTCATGTGTGGGTCACCACCATGTGCATGGGGGGCTCACGTCATGATCTCCTGGATATTGAGGTCAGTTCTCCAGTTCTTCTCGATGCCAGGCACGTGGCCCATGCCCACAACACCCACGACCACGGAGGGGACACACTTCCTGGGCTCAGCTGTGGGAGAGGAAGGTTAGCAGTAGTGGACACAGGAACCCCACCATCCCTGGGTGTCCCCACAGGACCCGCCTGTCACCATCAGAGGCACGGGGCAGCTCAAGGCGCCGGGCAGCTTGGCGCAGCATGTAAGTCAGGTAGACATCTCGCTCCGAGACGATGGTGCGATGCAGATCGGGAAACTCTCCAATCATCTCTGCCATCATCTGTTCTAGCAGGTCCTTCTGCTTGCAGCGCTCCACGTCGTCCTTGCTGGGGGCAGAGGGCGCACTGCCAGTTTATAGGGATTGGGGCAGTGGAAGGTTGGTGCTGTTGACCCAGGGCAGGGCCACAGACCCAGGTGTTTGGAGTTTATGGTAGAAGGAGAGCAGCAAGGGCTTTGTATAAGGCTGGGTCAGAACACGAGGTGCAGCTGTGGGACATTGCCATGAGTCGGCCAGATGGGCAGCCATACCTGATTGGGTCTGACAGGAAGCACAGGCCCCAGGCTAGCTTGACTTTCTGCCAGAAAGACAGTGCAGCAATGGCCCTCTTGAAGGTGACTGGGATAGGTCGGTCACCCAGGTGGAACTTGCAGAATGGCACCTTGCTGGCCTGGAGCAGAGGTTGGGTGTCAGGACTTGTGGTGCTCTGGGCAGCTCCTGACAGCCCCTGCCATCAGGTCCATGCAGTCCTCCCCACCCCAGGCTGTGCCCAGCACCCACCTCCTTGAAGGCCTCCCTGAACTCGCCGCCAGGAGCCATGCCCAGCTGCTCGGTGATGTGGGCGGACACCTTGAGCAGTAGCATCTGCATAAGCCCAGACATGAGCCCGTTCTGCAGGGAGAGAGGCCATGTCAGCTGTGCACACAGACACAAGCCTGTACTGTAGGGAGAAGCCATGTCAGCCATGTGCAGAGCAGGGGAGGCAGGGCACTAAGGCAGCAGGGTAGCCTACAAGCCAGGCCCATCACACCCAAGGGGCAGGCTGCCCTGGCACATGAGGTCAAAGAGGGAATCCTGTCCTTGAGTCACTTTTCCTCTTTAAAAAAGCCCTTTCTTATAGGATAGTCAAGGTTGTTGAAAAGAGGCCACCTCACTGTCACAGATGGCCTGACCCCAAGGGCCTGTGTGTTTGCAAGGCACAAGCTGATGCTGAACAAATAGGCTGGAGTCCAGGGCCTTGCAGGGCAGCCTCAATGCCCACCATATCTGTCTGCCGAGGCCAATACAGATGGCAACAAGGATGCCTGGTAGACCACATCCACAGCACAGGCTTCCTCTGAGTCTTGCCAGGTCAGTGCATCAAGGAGATCCCCTTCCCGCGCAGGACTCCAAAGCTCTGGCACAGGTCCCCAGTTGCTGGGAAGGATCTCCTCTCCAGCTGCTGTGTGGACTGTCCATACTCTCCAGCTGCTGTGTGGACCCAAGAAGGTCTGGCCCTTGACCCTACAGGTGCCCTTCTGAGCCCTAAATATTTTGCTGAATAGGAGTGTCCTTATTTACCAGGCTTGGGTTAGCCTGGACGGTCCATGCAACTTATGGTGGGGGCCTTGGGCCAGGTAGTACCAGCTAGACCTCTGGAGGGGCTAGAGGTGAGATTAGTCATGTCCATATGGCCAAGCCCCATTGAAAACTGTGGGTACCTGGGTATGGTGAGTCTCCTGGCTCATCACCTCCATGCATGCTGCCACACACTGTGGCTGGAAAGACTAAGTGCCATCTGAGGCTTCCCTGGCGGGGACAAGGGGCAGCCTCTCCCTCTGCTGACCTTCACCTGTGTCCTCTTACTATGCCAGACCACAGTGGTAAGCATGTGGGTTGGCCATGTCTACAGCTCCTTCTAGTGGATCACAGACCCTCTGTACTGGGGTTGGGACTGGTGTTAGTGGCCCTGGCTGGACAGGCATTGGCCTTTACAAGATGGCCTATAAAGGTCTGTGATGAACTCCTTTCCCTGGGGAATTCCAGTGAAACACAGGTCAGCCTCATGAGCCCTTGTTTAGTTTGACTGCAGTGGGGGTGAGACATACCCAGTATTATCTAAAATAGAGGCCACAAAAATGTGCTGCCCTGTCCCTGCAGGACTGGGAAAATGCCCAAGATAAGGGTCATGCAGCCACATGACAGGCTTAGCAAACAGGGGGCCTTGGCTCTGTCTTGCTCCTGCTGTGGGGTCAGAACCTTTTCTCCCTTGTCTGGAACCTGACAGATAAGCCCTTCTCTTCTCCTGAAATAGGGAGTAGGGCTTTTAATAAGGTGGAGCCTTAGAGTGGGCCAGGTGTTTGCTGTACTGACTAGAAGGCTGGGCCCACCCTGCGCCTAAGGCTGCAAGGATCATGATCCCTGAGTCCAGACCCTTTCCTGCAGAGCACGGAGTGCAGCACTATGGCCCCATGCAAACCTGAGAAGCCCATGTGCGCACCTGCCTCACAGCTTGCTGCAACTTCTCCAGGCTGACCTCCTTGGCCTCGCGCAGCAGCGTCCTCTCATCCATCTTCAGCATGGACACACGGTACTGGCAGAGCTCCACGACCACCACATCAGGCTGCACCTCCCGAATAGTCTGTAGGGTGTAAGTCACACTCGGTATGGACAGAGCCTGCTGGCCTCCACAGTGGACCAGGACCCCACCCAAGAGGGCAGCCATGATGGCACAACCCCAGTGCTGAAGACCTATGCTGCTGTGGTGAGATTTCAGTTCTACTAAAGAAAGTCAAAAAACAAGTGCACTTGTTAAAATGAAAAGGCACGAGGCTTTCTGGCTGGGGGCAAGAAGCACCCACTTGTCATTCCTAGGGGACCTTGGAATTGGAAACACCTGCTGTATGGTCCTCAGGCTCGGCTCACCATGGTGTGCCTCCCTGCCTGCAGCAGGGCGGCCCTAGAGTACAGGTCGGTAGAAAGATGGCAACCAGAGGACACAGTACTCACCTTCGCAACATCCCGCTTGCTGTCATCACTGAAATGGGCAGTGCCTACTACATACACCCTGCTCCCATCTTCAGCTACCAGCTGGGTCACGGTCCGCGGCAGGTTAGGCCGCTCACGCCGCCGCTTTAGCTTCATCTCCAGGAGCAGGTTGAAGGCATCTACATCGGCTGCAATGATGATAAAGGCTAGGGTGGGCTGAGGTCCTGCTCCAGGAGACATTTGCAGGTAGCTAGCGCTCTGCAGCCCTTCCAGGCTCTCAGGACTGCAAGGGGGTAGGTTGTAAACTGTTCATGGGACATGCACCTGACAAGCCACACATGCCACAAGCTTCACCGGCCCAGGTGACAGGACAGACTGCCTGACACACTGGGCATACTGGGGTGTGGGCAGGAGCTCTGCCCTCATCTGACCCAAGTTGCTAGAGGGGAGCACCAGGGGAGAGCAGGGAGACCAGGTGCTCTTGGGGTGTCTCAGTCATGGCTTGACTCCAACTAGGTCTGGACTTAAGAGAAGGACTTGGGGGACAGGCTCTGTGTAGGCACAAGTCAGCAGCCACCTTCAGGGGCCAGGGTTGTGTTGGAACACCTGGCAGAGTGAGATGGTCTTGGTGCTCACTTGTGTCTAGAGCCCCCTCCCTGATGCCTGGGGCAGGCAGGTTGGCGCAGCTTGTAGCCACGGGTCTAGCACTGGGGAGTATGCTGAGATCCAGGGACAAACATACACAGGTTCTGGGGATTTCCAGAAAGCACCCTGGGCACTGCCTCCGAAGCCCCTGAGGTCACGACGGGTTCCATGTCAGCCTGTGGAGGGAGGGAGAGTTCAAGTGGGTGTCCACACACCCTCTAGCCCTATTAGTCAGGCCTTCCCCATGGAGGACTTCCTGCTGGGTTCTAGAAGACCCAGTGGACAAATCAAGATTTTTCAGAGAAATAGCCAGAGGAACCTGAGGCGGCCAAAAAGGGGCACATGGTATTCCTGGCCCCACACCCTGCTGTGCAGCAGCAGCACAGACGCTGCAGAGCCTGGGCCTGTGTTGTTTAGGAAGAAGCCTCCATCAGTCCCCAGCTTCCCCCTCACCTCCTGAGGTGTCTGTTCCTTCCCCTCCATGGCTGGGCAACAGCTTCCTGATTTGTGAAAGATGCCTGAAGAGACAGGACATGGTCCTTACCTGGGGTCCAGAGCCAGGCACAGGGCTCCCGAATGACCCCCAGGGCAGGACCTTGGCTTCCCTGTCACAGCACCACTGGCTGCCAGGCCAATGATGCCAAAGTCCAGGGTCTTTTTTTTTCTTCTTGGCAGTACTGGGGTTTGAACTCAGGGTCTCATGCTTGCCAGGCAGGCACTCTACCACTTGAGCCGCTCCACCAGTCTTTTTTTCCCCCCAGGTTCTTTTTGGTTGGGCTAGGTTGGGGAAAGGCCAGCAGCCTCTGTGAGCAATATGCAGGTGGACATATAGGGCAAGTCCCTGGCACACAGGGACACCTCAACTCACCACTCCACACTGCAAGTCAACAATAGGAGACATGAACCTACATCATGTTAACTCCTGGGAGGGAGTTTATTAAAGGACAGGGACGTCACTGCTATCCTTTTGTATGAACCACAAAGCCTTCATATAAAAGTCACTTCAAGGATGTAAGTGCAAAGCCCTGAGTTCAAACCCTACCACTGCCAAAAAAAAAATCACTTGAAGAAAACCCTCAACTCCTTTCAGTAACAACAGCGACAAAAGGAGGAACTGAGGAAAGCATACAGGTTAGTGTACTTGGGGGTTCAGACATTTTTCCAGATTAAAAGAGATAAACATCTAACTTGGAAGAAGTCTTGTTAGAAAACTGGCAAGGCCTAGGGTGCTGACCTGCAGAAGATGGGACCATGGTTTTTCACTGTGTCCTTTGGAAAAAGAACTGGGAGCCCTGGGGTTGGAGGCCTGGAATGTCAGATGGTGCAGAGGGACATGCTGACCAAAGAAGGTCAAAGGGAGCAACAGTCAGACCCATGCTCATGGAGGTTAAAGAACTTCATGTGTCTTTTTGTGGACAGATGTTCCACTGTCCAGCAGGGCTGTTGGAATATTCAAACCAGCCAGGTGCCTGTGGCTCACGCCTATAATCCTAGCTACTCAGGAAGCAGAGATCAGGAGGATCAAGGCTTGAAGCCAGCCTGGGCAAATAGTTCACAAGACCCTATCTTGAAAAATCCCTCCACAAAAATGGGCTGGTGGAGTGGCTCAAGGGTTGGGCCCTGAGTTTAAACCTCGGCACCACCCAAAAAAAACCAAAAAACAAAAAACAAACAATCCAAACCAGAATCTGCAAGCTTCACACAGCCGCAGGTGCTGAGTCTGAGTTGGACCCCTACTTGAGAAAGTTATTTAAACATGAAGAGTATCTGGAGAAATCTGACCACTGGATGTTGTGTTAGGGAACTGGAATATTCCAACCTGCCTTTAGCTACAGTGAGGCAGAGGGCTTCCATTTTGAGGCGATTATTGAGGGGAATGAGCTCAGGAGTTGCATCCAGAATGGGGTACTGGCAGAGGGCTCCACCCAGACGCTGGGGACTCTCTGGGCTCACTCTGTCAATCATTGTTATACACCTCTCAGAAATTCTGTGATGAAGAGAAAGTGAGTAGTGAATAGCCCTCGTCCCCTCGGCATCTGGTGAGCTCCTGCCTAAATACACACTCTGGCCCTCAACAGCATCTGGGTGCCGACATCAGTCTGCAACTTACAGCTCACTTCCTCATCTTCAAGGGGAATTCTGTGCAGTGTCTGAGTGGGCCACTAACGGGCTAGGTGGGCAGGGCTCCCTCTAGGTGTAATTAAACACTTGATGAAGTGTCCAGGGAACTGACCAAAAGGAGGGAAGGCCATCCTGAGCAGGGATGGGCCTTCTGGAAGAGGGATGGGACACTGGGGCAGTAGAGGCTCCAGGGTCAGCTACACTAAGAAGGGTGGTAGTAAGACCCCAAGCTAGCCTCAGAAACAGTCCTCAATAGTCCCACAGAGCCTCTGGCTGTTGCAGTGGGGAAGGGGAACCCACCCCACAGCACAGGCTTGGGGTCCCCTCTTGTCTCCACCTGGGCTCCTGAGTCTGGAATTCTCCTTACTCTGGGTGTTATAAAAGGTCAGTACATTTGGGGTCAGCACATCCAGTCTGCACACAGTCAGATTGGCATGGGCTCATTTGAGCTCCACTCCAGGAGCCTTCTTCACAGATTAAGTGCTCCAACAAAACACAATCAGGGAGGTGTGCAGAGGGCTTGAGGGAGACTGCCTTTCAGGGTGTATGGCAGGCTGGCCCCCCCACTCCATGAAACCCTAGCCAGGACTGGGGAGTCAGCCTCCCAGGCTGGGAACACAGCCCCACAGGGAAATGGGAGATGATCATCCTTAGTCCAGCTTTGCACACAGAAGCAAACAATTCTTATTTACAAGCAGCACTAAACTGCCAGACCAAGAAGGAAAACTTCTTTAAAAAAAAAAAAAAAACATCCTGTGCAGGCAGCCTGCAGACTGTGGTGTAGCCAGCCAATGGGAGGAGCCCACGTCGTTGACTTAGCCTGCCCTCCCTCCTTTAGCAGGGCAGCTGCAGACTGTGGTCAGCCTGGCCAGACCCACCCTCTGAAGCTTGCCCAGGGCATGCCAGAGCCTGAGGGAAGCCCCAAGGGCTAGAGCTGCTTTGGAGAGGCCCAGGCCAGCAGCAGGACTAGCCCCACCTCCTGTCACATGGAGTGGAGCAAACAGGAGGCGACTGACCAGGAGTCAAGCCCTGAGTCTCATCATGGCCAGGACAAATGTGGTGACAGGACCCCTTGTAGCTCCCAGCCCCAGCCCTACAGCCTCTCACCAAGGGCAGCGCTTATGGGGTAGGGAGGTCAGGCTGGAAGGCCACTGACCCCTCAGACCAAGAGCCTGTGATTCGGAGAGAACGTGACTGTCACATCCACACACTTTGTGCTACTCTGGCTCCCTTCCTCTCTCACCCTGTTCTGTATTTCTGGATGGGCACCCAATCCCGGCCTCCACTTTCCTGTGTCCTTTTCCAACAGGCTCAAGCCCTCAGGAGACCTGCATACTCCCCACTGCCACTTCCTACAGGGATAAGTGTCTCTCCTTTCTAAATCCCCAGCCCTGACCCTGGCCATACCATGATTTGTGTCAGGTCGGCCCCCAACTAGCTCTTCCTGCAAAGTAGGCCTGGAGATGCCACCCTGCAAGGCCTGCTGGCAAGTGTGCAGTCTCCACGTGGTGAGCCTTGGGTTCACAGCAAGGCTCTCAGCATTTGCTAAGCTTCTGTGAGAACAAGTCTCAGACCTCTGAGAATTCTCAAAAGCTTGCTGGCTCAAAGAGCAGGAAAGGCCCATTCAGGTCAAGGCCCCAGGGGGAGGTGCAGCCCTGGGACACCAGGTCACAGTAATACACAGTGGTTCAGTGTGTGACACAGCTGCCCACACCTAAAACATGTTGTCTATCACAGGACATTGGGCCCTGCAGTGCAGGGTCACAGCTACCTCAGACTACACTACCCACAGCTGTCCCTCTCCTGGGTCCCAATACCATGAACTGAAGAGTGTCCTGCCCAAAGTCACACACTGAAGCCCTGACTTCCAGTGTGAGGGCATTAGGAGGGACTTCATGTGATGGGGGCTCTTAGAATTAGAGCCATTCTAAGAAGAAACACCAGACAGCTCTGTGAGGACGAAGCTGGAAAGGACTCTGTAAGTCAGGGAGAGCCCTCATCAGCTACCAAACTGAGCAGCGCCTCATCTTGAACTTCAGTCTCCAGAACCGGGAGGAAATAAAACTGTGGTTTAGTTTCCCAGTCTGCCATATCCTGTTGGGCCCTGAGCTGAGACACCCAGCGTTCCCTGCAGGGGTCTGAAAACTGTCTGCCAGACCCCAGTTTGGCTTTCTAGCACTGACCAAAATCTGACCAGCACCAACTGGAATTTATAGAAAAGGCTTCACTGCCTATTTAGAAAGCCAAGGGTCCTGAAATGGGCAGGCCTTGGGGGATGCAGAAACAAGAGTGTGGTCTCCCCTTTCTCCTGTTTCTGGAGCCTGGGCACTGCTGGCCACTGGACCTTCCTGGGTCTAGTAGGACATGCTTTGCGCTAGTGTGGCAGAGCTGGGGGGTGGGGGGGGGGAGAAAGGAAACCGACAGGAGCTGGAGGCCTGGTCAGCTTTCTTGGGACCTGGTCTCTGTCCACCTGGAGGTGCCGTGTAGGGGTTGGTCCTAGACCCGCAGACTCTTGGCTATCCGCCCACCGTGCCAGAGCTCTTGCTGGCACTCTGCCCACAGTGTCTTCCACCGCAGGGCCAGTCCTCCAACCCCGATCACACGTGGGGGGCGGCAGCAGCAAAGGGGACAGCGGCCCAGGGACAGCAGAGCCACATAAGGCGAGCGAGCCTGGCGACCTGTGTCCCTCCGTTTGGGGGACCCCGGAAGGCAGGAATCCACCTGGAGGCCACCCTGCTTCCAACAAGGCGACCCGGCGCCGCAAAGCCAGCCAAGCATTTGGCGCCCTGGTGGTTTCCGGGACTCCAGAGCCTAGGCAGCTTCAGCCCGTCTGCCGTCAGCCCGACGACTGGCGTGGGCTGAAGCTCGCGGAGGCCGCGCGGCCGGAGGCTCGGCCCTGCAGCCCGCTCCCCCTCCCCGACCGGCCGCCCCGAGCCCCCACCCGACCCTGACTCGCGCCGTCCCGGGCGCAAGGAGCCCCCGCCCGCCAGGCCACGTCGTACCAAGCGAGGCGGCGGCGCTCCTCAGCCGGCCTCCATGCGCACGTCGCCCGGCGAACGGGGCGGGCCGGGCGGGGCCGGGCGGGGCGGGGCGGGGCGGCCGGACGGGCCGGACGGGCCGAGGGCACTGGCCGTGCGGCATGCCGGGAAGCGCCTCCCAGGGACCCGTGCGCGAGGCTCCGCCCACCCGCCCCGGGTCCTAACTCGAGGCTCCGCCCACTCCGCTCCCGCGCCCCCGGGTCCTAGCGCGCAAACGCTACAGGCTGAGACGTGCCGGCGCCACTGTCAGGCTGAGCGTAGGCTCGGCGTCTGCGCCATGGCTCGGCGTCCAGTGACCTTGGAACCCAAGCGCCCTGCTAGGCGTCAGTGGACAGGAAATGCTCAGGATCGTGGAACGTGCCCACGTGCTCTCCTCCTGGCCTCCCCGTGGGTCGCGCTCCCAGGCAGGGACGGTCAGCGGAGAGTGTCGTGGTCCCAGGACTGAGGGGCGAGGGGCCATTAGGCCCGCGAAGTCAGGCCCCAGGCCCTGAGGCCAGGCCGTCCGACAGCGTTTGGGGGTGGGGAGATGAGACTGTGGGTCTCAGAGCCGGCGGGTGGGACCTCCGTGGCGGCCTTTTCTGAGTCCTCTGTACTCCCGGGATCTGCGGCTTCCCGGCCTCCCAAAGCGGGGCAGGCGGTGGGCGTGTCGAGAGCTTGCCTGTGGCCACCTGTCCACCCCAGGGCCAAGGGTCCAGGTTGCAGAGAGCTGCTGGTCCTCTGCCCAGGCTCTGGTGAGTGGGCGGGAGGGCCAGGTGGGCTCTGAGCATCTCTCCACTACTCTGGGAGCCATAGTGGGGACCTGACAAGTGACCACCCACAGCAGGCTCTGGTAGGGAGACTCATGGTGTGTGTGGGGTAAGTTCTGTTCAGCTCCCAGGTCTGTCAGGGCTGCCACACCCGACTTTGGAAACTTTCAGGTTCCAAGAGGAGATCTCGGCCCCAGCCCCAGGTTTTGGAGGAGCGGCCCAGCAGACATGGGTGACTTGCGAGGGGTCACAGTTCCCATGTTCTGAATCCCAGGGTGGCGCTTCTGGGGGTCTGGCACCTGCAGAAGATGATCTCTGGTGCACTGTATAAGGTGGGTCCCCTCTAACAGGCTGGGCAGGCTGCTTGCACAGGGGGAGCTCCTGGCCAATGCTGGCTGTCTGACTGTCACCATCTCCCTCATACAGCTTCCAGGTCTCTGAAGGGCTTGGCCAGGGCTGAGAGTGGCCTCTGCCTTCTTTGCTCCTTGGTGAAGGACACCCCCCTGGGGCCCAGAGGCCTCTCTGGTCTTCACCCTCTCCCTCCCTTTCCCATTGCTCACTGACCTTGTGCCCTGCACTCTGGTGGTTACTGCTATCTGTGGCCACCTCAGTCACAGGCGTGGTGGTGATGGGGGCTCAGAGCAAAGACCACTGACCCCAGCCCACTGAATTCACCAGGCACATTGAGGTCCACCCTGAGTCACTTTCCCAAGATCTGGAGTGTCTGGCCAAAATTCCCAGCGGTAGGCTGGTGTGGCTGGAAGAGGAGTAGGTTCTAGTCCTGGTTGTTGGGTGGGTGCAGGTCTCTTCTTCCATGGGAAGGACCCTGGTGCTGCCTGCCCTGCCCACCTCTGCTCAGGGCTGGAGGGAAGGAGATGAAGGGGAGATGGCATTTCAAGTGGACACTGGCCCTGGCTGCCAGAACTCACCTGGACAAAGTGGCAGTTGGGGGAGAAAGGTGCCTGATACCCTTAAAATAACTTTAAGAAAACCCTTCAAGATTAAATGAGTAATTTATCTGCTTCATAGGTCTTTTAGAAATGAGACCATTAAATGTTGCAACTGCTTTGGCAAACTAGGTGAATCTGATTTTGCAGTGACAAGTTTTAAGCAGTTCTTTTAAAAAATAATTAGAAGTACTGGATATGAGGGATCTGTCAAAAAAACCCACTGATGGGTGATGGAAACTAGAACTGCTCTCTAACCTCATGCTTGGACCCCCTGCAGAGGCTGCACTGGAATGTGAGGGCAGAAGAAAGTAGAGATGGAGTCCCGGGGCATGCCAAATCACACTTAGCAGGGAAACTGAGGCAGGGTCCTCAGTGGCTGGGCCTGGGCTTCCCCTGCATCCCAGGCTATGCTTGGGAGAGCAGCAGGCCAGCTTGAGTTCTGTTAAAGCTTCCAATACCCCTCTGATGGCGCTGGGGTTGAACTCAGGGCTTCTGCTTGCTAGGCAGCGCTCTTACCACTTGAGGCACTCTGCCAGCCCCCTGTCTTTTTAAGCTCTCCAGGTGATTCTATGTATAGCCAAGGTTGAACACTATTGGGAGAGGGGAGGAGGAGTGAGGCAAGAAGACTAAGGAGAGAAAAAGAGGGGGAATTTATTACTGCTTTAGAATGATGCTGTTACATTAGCTAATAGCTAAGCAGGGTTAGTTACCACCTGCTGTAAACACTACCCTGTTGACAGGGACATTAGAGAAGCGAGTGAGGTAGAGTTAGAAATGCTCCCCTCCCTTGCTACTCAGAGGGATCCTCAGACCAGCATCCCAAGCATCAGTTGGGAATTGTTAGAATGCAAAATATCAGGCCCCACTTCAGGTAGAAACACCAATCTACTGAGTACTACTAAGAGCAGGCTCCTGTGAGGTGGAAGAAGGTCTGAACCCAGGTTTTAAAGTTGTATGGCTTTCTGGAATGCTTCATTCATCTCTGAAGGAACAGCAAGAAAATATTTGTGTGGGTGTGGCTACAAAATAGACAAAATCAACATAGCTTTTAAGTTTCTGGAGTGCTAAGGACTCAGTCAACAATTAGAACCCAGCTCACATATATCTCTGCGAGAGAAAACCTTCAGTTCTTAAGGGTCTAGAACACCTTTTTCCTCCTCAAGAAGTGATACAAGTTGGTTATTTTTCTTTACTTATTTAGTTTATGGAACTGGGCTCGAACACAGAGTTTTGTGTTCGCAAAGCAGGTGCGCTACTGCTTTAAGCATACTTCCAGCTCATTTTGGTCTGCTTATTTCTTATTTCGGAGATGGGAGTCTTGTGAACTAGTTGCCTGGGCTGGCCTTGAACCATGATACTCCTGATCTCAGCCTTCCAAGTAGCTAGGATTGCAGGCCACAGCACCCAGCACAAATAGGTTACTTTACTTCAACAGTTGTCCTGGGGAAATCACTTTGTGAAGTTCAGTCCATTTATGTATAAAGATTTAAATTTTTTTTTTCATTTTTTAAATTTTTTTCTTTTTTAAATTTTCTTTTTTTGAAACAAGGTCTATGTAGACCAGGCTGACCTCAACTCATGATCTTCCTGCCTTCAAGCTAACATTGGTATAATACTAATTTATTTTGTTTTTTTTTTTATTTTGGTATAATATTAATTTAATTACAGAATGTATTCAGAATGACCAGTTTTTGTCCGAAGACTCATTCCAGGATACCACATTAAAGTGGTATGCCTCCTTGTCTCCTCCAATCTGTCAGTTTCTCAGTTTTTCCTTGTGTCTCAGGACCTTGACAGGTTGTTTTGATTTGGGTTTGTTTGTTTTGTTTTGTGACATGATTTGGATAGGTAGCCCACCTAGCTTTGAACTTGCAATCTTCCTGCCTCAGCCTCCTGAGTGCTAGAATTAAAGGAATGTGCCACCATGCCTGGCTAGGATCTTGACAGTTTTGAAGGGTACTGGTCACGTATTTTCTGGAATGTCTGTTAGTTTGGATTCAGTGATGTTTTCTCTTGACTAGACTGGCGTTATGGACTTGGGGAAGAATACCACAGAGATGGGGTTAGCCTCATCTCATCGCGTTGGCGGTATATGGTATCAACATGACTTATTATTGGTAATGTTAGCTTTGATCACTTGGTTAAGGTGATGCCAGTTTCTACACTATAAAAATTACTATTGCTGGGGAGGGGAGTGCTGTAGTTCAGTGGTAGGGCATGAGAGGCCTTGGGTCCCGTTCCCAGCACCACACACGCACCTACTATTTTCCTTTCTCACTTTTTTTTTTTTTTTTTGGCAGCACTGGGGTTTGATGAGTTGTGTTTTAACAGCTGTTCCCAAGTGTGCTTGTGTTTGGGACAGGGTCTGTGCCCCCTGGTCCCTGGGGCTGGCTGTGTGGAAGGGCCAGAGGAGGGCCTTCTTGGGATGAGCTCTGCCAGGTGTGAGGCTAAGACTCAGGGGAAAGGTCAGCATGGAGCAGTGACCAGGGCCCTGTATGGTGCCAGAGGGCCCAAGGACCCTCAGGAAGAGGAAGGAGCTTGGTTTGAAGACAGTTGTGTGTGTAAGGATGTCGGGGGAAAGGCCCCCTGGATCCCCAACCAGCTTTGCAGGGTGTACACACAGGAGGGGCTGGGTCTGAGGTAGAACAGGATCAATCATCCCAAATCAGATGGGTCCCACAGTGCACACAACAAGCAAGAGATGTGGGGCTCAGCCGTATCTCACCTCAGGGAGCCAGAACCATCCTTTCAGGCCTCTGGCTGCCTGCTTCCAGGAAGGAGGGATAGCTCATGGGGACACAGAGCCAGAGGAGGCTAGGTCTGGGGGAGTGAGACAGCAGAGTCCCCAGCACCCACAATGCCATTTGCATCTTCAGGATGATGGCTTGAGTCCCCTCTCCAAAAGGGGCCCCTGGAGAGGGTCAGCACCAAACAGGTAAGGAGAGTAGGTGGAGTGGCTCAAATGGCAGAGCACATGCTTAGTAAGCGTGAGGTCCTGAGTTCAAAACCCTGGTACTGCCAAAATAAGTAAATAAATAAAAGGATTTGGGGGGCTGGAGGTGTGGCTCAAGCAGTACTGTAGGTGCTCTAAGCCCTGAGTTCAAAACCCCAGTCTCACCAAAAAAAAAAAAAAAAAGTTACCAGATAAGGAGAGTACCTTTACTCACTGACCTCTCCAGACAGGCCTCACCTGAAATGTCCTGCTAGGCCATGGCCCAGAACAACAGTGCTGTTGGCCCTGGCCCCACCAAAGACTCCAAGGTATTTCCCCTGTATCTAGTGCCTCCCATGTCCACCTCTGTTCTGCTTTAGCTCAGTGACCAGCACGCCCAGTCCCTGCCTGGACATTCTATGGTCATATGCACTAGCTTTCACAAGACAGGAAGCAGGGCTTCCAGGGAAAATGCAGTGGCTGAACTTGGCACTGCCCAGATCATGGGCTCCTTGACCTCTCTAGGGCATTCTCCCTTAGCTAAGCCCCTGGAGTGCAAGCTGAGCTGGGTCAGGCATGGGGGGCTGGTATACAGCCAGGAGGGGTGGATGTGTGAAGGGTGGGCCAGGGAACAGGAAGGAGGCCAGCATCCTTGGGTTTTCCTGGGTCACCCTGGCTGCCTCACCATTTCGAGTGGACCGATCGTACGTTTGGGCCAAGAGACCAGGGCTTATCTTCCCCAGAGGAGCAGGCAGCCTTGGGAGCAGGAGGCAGCCAGCTTCCTGGGTTCCTGTGGGTACCAGGGGTCCCTGCATGTTTGGATGTATGGAAATGTTGAGTGCCTGGGATGCAAGACCAGGGAGTATATCTTGGGTCAGGTTAAGGTGAGCTTTCTGGGGACAGGGTATAGTAACCATACCTTTTATTTCTGTCTTCTGATGCTTTGACACCTGGGACCATGCTGACCTGGACAGGCTGCTCCTCCTAGGGTGGTCAGTTCCTAGAGCTGGCAAATGACACTGTGCAAATCACCTGACCACAGCCTCCTCTCCATTGTACTCTCACACATACCAGCTACTATCTACTAGCTCATCACCCCTGAATAGGAACTAGGCAACCAGCGACAGCCCTGTGCCCAGCACCCACTGAAGTCATTCAGACTGGCCAGTCCTACGTCTTTCGTCTGCCCCACCACTTCTTCCTGTGGAAGCCTCAGTGGAGGCGCTGGCTCACATCATAACTTCCCTGCTTCTAACTGTGTCCCATCTTGGTACTCCCGAGTGGCCTATGCAGGATACCCCTCATTTAATGGGTGAGTGGCAAACTTTTTTTTTCTGTGGTACTGGGGTTTGAACTCAGAGCCTTGTGCTTGCTAGACAGGTGCTCCCCCACCCAAGCCATGTCCCCAGCCCTAAACTGTCTTTCCAATGACAGGTGTCTGGGCTGAGGGATGTTGCTTAGTGGTAAAGTACTTGCCTAGCCATGTGTGAGACCTTGGGTTCCGTCCCCAGCACCACAAAAAAAAAAAAAAAAAAAAAATCAGTGGCCAGTGTCTCCTGATCTGTCCTCAGTATACCCAGTGAGTAATAAAACATTTTCATTGAATATATATTTATATATTTTGGTAGGACTGGGGTTTGAACTCAGGGCTTCCCACTTGTAAAACAGGCACTCTACTGGCCAAGCTAGACCTCCAGTCTATTTTGCTCTGGTATTTGGGAGATGGGGCCTCGTGAACTATTTCCCGGGATGGCTTTGAACCTTGATCCCCCTATTTCAGCCTCCCAAGTAGCTAGGATTACAGGTGTGAGCCATCAGTGGGTGTCCAGGTATCTGCATTCTAAAAGGAATGTGCCTTGCATGCCTGCCAGCTGCAGTGAAGGACAGACCATCTTGACTCCCGGGGACATCAGGAGAGACTAACCCTATCTATCCCAGGACTGTTCCAGGAAGGGGGCTGGTTAGGGAGCTTCAAGGAGGCCCAGGCAAGGCAGAGGGTAGGCTACTCTGATCTCAGCTGAGCCCCACCTCTTTTTTGGCCCACATTCCCCCAGACCCTACAGGTTTCTGGCTATACAGTCACCTGCCTTTGTTTAGACCCATGGGGTCACTTGCACGGCCTGCAGGGCATGTGGCTCCACAGGGCCAGCTTTGTTCCCGAGTCCTGCGCCTGAGGCTGAGGTCTCTGCTCTGGTGAGCGTCCCCAGACCAGTCAGGCCCTCCTCCAGGAAGCCCTACTGACCCTGCCAGCTCTCTGTTCCCCTGGCAATATACCTGACCCCTGAGCCTAGGGTTACTGGAGGAGGGGGGCATGACCACTCCTGCATCAATCTTCTGCCCAGTGCCTGGGTTCATGCCAGTATCTCCTGGAGCACTGACTACACATTCCTGCCTCTCAAAGTCTCAAGCCTCATTTCCCCTCTTCACACTTGAGGGTGGAGGCCTAGGGCCCTTGTACCCTGGGCTGGCAGCCCCAACCCACTGTCCTCCAGTGCCCTCACTGTGATGCCCGTGACCTGACAGGTGTTGGAGACTGGACAGGAGGAGCCCGACGCAGGGAGGCAGGGCCTCGGAGGAGCACAAGCAGTTATCAGAATAGTATTTATTGATACGCTCAGTGCTACCTTGTTAATACTTTGTCACGTGGCGCCGTGGCTGAGGTAATAGGGGTGGGGCCAGCCAGGGCCCAGGCTCCCATGGGAAGCAGGCCTCAAGGGGCAGTTGGGGGCCCAGGAGGGGAATGTGGTTATTGCGTTGGACTCCTTCCTTCACTCGCACGCTGGCGCCCATGCCTGCTGCCACCTGTTTGCGCACACGTACGTGCTGCTCACGCACACTCAGGTTTTCTCCTGCACATTCACTTGCACACGCATCTGTTCATGAGCTCACTTGCACGGACACCTGCCCTCTTGCACACTCGTGCCCACACTCGTGCCCACACTCACACTCGTGCCCACACGGGACCCACACTGACTCACTTACATGCTAATACCCACCTTTGCTCGTGCCCACCCACCCACACCATCCTTTGTTTTAAACTCATTCTAGGTTTCTTGATGACAGATATGCATGTCAGTTACAGTAATAGTAAAATAAAGTGTATGTCAGGCTACAAGGAGAAAGTGCAGTTGATTGTGACCAAGGGCAGCCCTTGGCCCCCCCCCCACCCAAGAGCATCAGGATCCACAGGGGCTGAGTCCCTGTGCGAGTGACCCCTGGGGTGTGACCCTGAGGCTGGTACCTCCTTCCCCAGTGTTGTCCTCACTCACCCTGGGCTGGGTGAAGGTGTGGGAGCTGAGCTGTCCTGCCCTAGCCTCAGCCTACAAAACCCCCTAAAAAAATAAATTTCATCTGAGAGCCCAGCACCCCAGGGGAGTGCCTGATGCTGCAGTGGGAAGGTCCCTCACCTCATGCTCCAGCCCCAGCCTGCACCTCTGGTTGCCATGTCAAGCTGGGTACAAGGGGTGCTGGGCCCTGTGGCATGCAGACAGGAGGCTGGGGACGTGGGCAGTGCCGGGCGAGCAAAGGCCCCATCCGCTTGGGGCAGGGCTCCGCTGGGCCACCCCTGGCTCATGCGGAGGGTTTTTGGCGGCCTGAGCGGCCCCGCCCCTCAAAACTCCACAGTACTCACGACTGTTCTTGGCTCCTCGAAGGTGGCAATGAGGATCTGCTGAGGTGGGGGGATGGCCAGGAGGTCACCCATATCTGGGGGTGCACGGGAGCCCCCTTCTTCCTCCTCCCGGGCCTCGTACAGCGTGCTGATGTGGAGCAAGGGGTGCGTGGCGTTGCGGCTCAGGATGGTGAGGGGATCAGGCTTGCCCAGGCCACCTGGTGACAAAGGGGCCACAGCAGGGGCTGCAGGGGGTGAGCAGACGTGAAATGGGCCCCCAGGAGGGAGCCCTGTTCGGGCTGGCTCTGCGGGGTACGGTATTTCCTTCTCTGGGAGTGGGGCATCTGCAGACAGCCAGAAACACAGATGTCTCACAGTCCTGTTCCACCTGACGTGCCCTTCCTTGTGCCACCCACCGCCTAGCTGCGGCTCACTGCTCTTCCCTTCTTTCCTCAGCCTCACCACTTCTGCATACAGCAGCCTGTCTGGATGCATCTCACCCCAGGAACAGGAGCAGTTATTTGCTGAATTTCTTCCCAGGGGCTTCCATCTTCTTGAGGTCTTCACTAACCAGGGGAGCTGTGGTCTACTAGGAAACAGGGCCTTTCCAGTCTGCAGCCCCACCCTCCTCTTTTTCCTCCTCACGACCAGGCTCCTGCCAGCCCTGTGCCTGCTGGCCCTGCTTTGGCCAAGCTGGCTCAATCCTTCACCTCATCCACACTGTCCCCCCGCCTTGTCCCCTGCACAGGCTGGGTCCCTGGGAGTCTGCCCCACTCTGCTGCCCGCCTCCCTGCCTCCCTACCTTTGGTGGGTGCTGCGGCCAGACCGAGCCCGCACTCCTCTGCCTGGGACAGGAAGCCGCCTTCCTGGCTCCGGGAGGCGGGCAGGGTGGCAGGCAGTGCCTCAGGCTTGGCCTTCTTGGAGCCCAGGATGTAGGGGTGCACGTCCAGGGAGAAGTGACGGGCATGCTTCTTATCGGGGGCGGAGGGCGGGGCAGGAGAGGGGCCTGAGTCGCCCCCACTGGCCTTGTAGTGGTGGGCCGCCCGGGCACCAGCATCCAGAAGCGGGGCGATGAGTGTGTCTGTGGCTGTCTTCCTGCGCACCGGCTTGGGCTTCTCGGCCTTGCTGTTTTCCACACGCATGACGGCCAGCTGTTCTTTGAAGGGCTGCGGTAGCGGGTTGCTGGTGGGGATCCATTTCATCTTCTTGCGAGGCCGCTTGACCACGGGCGGCTCAGAGGAGCCATTGGCTTCAGCGGGGTTGGCACTGGGGTCCACAGTCTGGATGCCAGAGTCGCGCACGGTGGGTGTGGCATCGTGGTTGGACTGGGCCAGGGCAGCCAGTAGCTGCCGCACCACGTTGTCGTACATGAGGTCACTCTCGTTGGTGATGAAGTCCAGTCGGTTGAGCGACTTGATGTGGTCACGGTTCTCGTTGCAGAACATGGCCAGGATGTTGATGTCGCAGAACTGCGAGCGGCGCCACTGCCGGCGGGTCTTGATGCCCACCTTGTGCAGCTTGTCGAAGATGAAGTTGCTCTTGCGGAAGATGAAGAGGTGGATGAGGTTGACAAGGATGATGAGGTTCATGAAGCACAGCAGCACAATGTCCACACCTGCGATGATCCGTTGCAGCTGCACAGACGGCAGCTTGCAGCTGACACGAACCGCCGGCCCCCCGCTGCCCGCCGGCCCATCGGGTGAGGCGCCCAGTGCACAGGTGAACTCGTTCTGCTTCTGGGTGGCATAGTAGGTGCACAGGTAGGAGATGGGCACCACACTGAGCAGCAGGATGAGCACATGCCGTGCCAGGTACAGCTTGGCCAGGAAGTTGCTACGGCCCCGGCGTTCCAGGTACTTCTCAAACAGGTTCTGCTCGGGACTCTTCTCCTTTTCCGCATTCTCGATGATCTCACGCTTCTCCCGCTCGGTGATGCCAGGACCCTTGGACTGGATCTGCTTCTCGATCTTGGGGGCACGGCCTTCTGCTGCCCGGTGGTAGCAGTTGTCAATCTCCTGCAGCAGGAAGTTGAGCTCGGAGGTGAGACGTGTGGAGGCCAGGAACTCCCAGCCCAGTGCGGGCACATACATGATGGCAGCAAAGGCCAGCAGGGCATAGGGTAGGAACTTGTGCTCAAACAGCGACGGCCACAGGCTGGCATCCACGCCGGGCAGGGCGTCCCGCAGCTCCGTCCAGCAGTAGCCACGGGCGTACAGTGCCTGGTCGCGGGTGAAGTTGTGCGGGGTGTAACAGTAAATGGGTTCCTCTGGGGGCAGAGAGGAGACATGGGCTGGGCAAGAGGTGGGACTGGCCTGGGGGAAACTAGGGCTTGGGGTGAAAGGCATGGGTCAGACCTGGTCACTTCCCTGTTTGGACCCCTCCCTTGTACTGGCTCTGCTGGCTTCTCCTCTGCAGCCCCTCCCATGTAGCTGCCCATCTTGGGCAGGAACTACTGTTCCCCAAATGTATCTCCCACTCCTCCCGGGCCAGCTTCCTCTCCTATGTCCTGACCATGGTGGTGTAGGAGTCTTATCCTGAGTACCCCCACAAGGTGGTCATCGGGAGACTGCTTGTGTCAGCCCCAGGAACTGTCCTGAACTGGGTGTCCTGGTCTCCAAATGCCACTGGGAAAATCAAATTCCAGAGAGGACCAAGACGGGCCACGCTGGCAGCCAGTCCCTCCCCCAGCATCTCAGGTGGACCAAAACCCAGGTTCCTGCTACTGGCCTGCATTGCCAGGGGCTTGTCTTCAAGTGGGGCAGATGGCATGGGTCCAGAGGCCCAACTTTCAAGAAAAACCTGCCTGTGATAGGCGAGGGGGATCTCCTATCACCCTCACTGTAGGAAGGGCAAACCTGGGAACCCTAGATGCTGGTGGGCAGAGTCAGGGAAGGCTCACCAGCTGGACATTGGTATCTGCCACCAAGACTGAACAGAGGGGCCTCCAGAGCTGCTGAACAATGGTCGTTTACAGATGTTTGCAATTCCCTGAGGGGCCTGTGGGTGCCTGCCAGTGTGGATGGCACATCCTACAGCAAAGGAAATCACAGATGTTTGCAGCAGGCCACGTTCAGCCCAGTGTTGGGGTTATAGTCTTAACCTTCTTAGGAGATCTTGGAGGCTCAGAGCCAGACAGATCAGTTCAGCACCCTGAGGCACCTGACTGTGGCTACTGCAGCACACACACAAGCCCACCTGCCCTCGGCCTCTCTCTCACCCTCAGGTTGGCCCCAGGAAGTCTGCTCCGAGCCTTCCCTGCTCCAGAATAAGTCCTCCACCCACAGGGTTGAGAGTGAAGAGCAGAAGCGACAAGCCAATAGGTCTGTCTGTCTACATCAAGCCCTATGAGTTACACACAGACGGAGAGAAGACACAGAGACGTGGCCTCATCAGAAGACCAACATTCACTGTTGATGCTGCACGGGGTCCAGGGGCAGGGAACAGTGGCTGGCTGCACATCTGGGCGTGGAGACTCCTCCAGCCCCGGCCCCTCACTGAACAAGTGCAGGCGGCTAGCCACTATGACCACCACCTGGGATGGGTACATCCACCAGTCTAGACAGTCCCACACAACAAGATCTCAAAGGGACTCAAGTGGACCTCAGTGACTCAGCCAAGAGGACCACCAGAAATGGGCCTATGTGGCCACTGGACTCCTCAGATGGTACTGGGGAGCCAGGGAGGACTCCGGAGATGTGCTTTGCTTAGCTGGGACAGGGGCTGGGGTGTGTTGGGGAGAGCTGGTGCTTATGGCCTAAGGTCTTTGAGGACGGGTATCCTAGTGATGAGCTCGGCTCCAAGAAGAGCAAGCAGGGGAAGGCAAAGGAATCAGCTCTCTTGGTTGAGAAATGGCAATTTATTCACTTATTTTTGTCCTTACAGCCAGTCACAAAAGCCACAGAAGAAGGGTGGATGCTCTTCTCTCTGGAGGTTTGTCTTTCACCCTGAGCTGAGCCCATCCCTGCAGTCAGCCAAGCTTGGGGTGCTGGGCAAGCACGGCAAAGGCTCTGGGAACCCCAGCCCTGGCTTTCCACAGGAAAATGGGAAGACTGGGTCCTTGGCTCTGGGGGTGGCCCTAGGTTGGATGGGAGCAGGGGTCCCCAACACCCCATGTGCCTAGTGCTGTCCACAGGGTGTAGCGTAGAGAGCCTGCCACCATCTCCCTGCCTACCAGGCAGCACCTGGGAGGGGGAGAGGAGTCCCACAGGCCACCCTGACCTTTGGTTTCCTGTGTGCTTAATGGAGATTACTCTGCAGGGCCACTGCAGATGAGAGCTCTGGCCCCAGGGGGTGCCATGGTACATCAGCAGGGTGGCCCTCCTTCCTTGATCTGCCTGAGCCTGCAGAACCACACCGTGTTCCTGACAACACAGAAGGTACCAAAGGTCCTGGGGAGGTGCAGGCGGCAGGCAGGTTGGCCACCACAGGTGGGTGCTGCAGCAGATCTGTGATGCTGGGCCCAGCACTGGTTGGGACTGCAGGAACCTTGGCTCGCCCAGACACAGAGGCTTGCACAGGGCCCTCTGGGATTTCCCAGGGGACATGTGGCCCCGCCTGTGCCAGCACAGGGCCTGGTCCATCCCAACACAGAGCCAGCTACTCTGAGGGGCCCTTTATCTGGAGGACAGCATGGTGTGGACCCTGGTGGCTAGAGGACAGTGACTGGACTTCTCAGCCAAGGAATCTGCCTGGCAGCCAAGCACCTGCTCAGCCTGTCCATATGGGGCCTGAGAGGCCTAGGAGCTGTGGACACCCTGTCATAGTGACAGGACAATACAGAGAGCCAGATGCCTGACATATCCTTGGGGAAGAGCAAGTTTGAAAAGTGTCCACATATCAATGGCCATTATTTGGAATGCTGTCCCTGGCCCAGGTTGAAGCCCAGCCCTGGACAGTGTCCCTCCCAGCCCTCCTTGGGATTAGGGTCACACCAGCATTGAGCACATACCCACTCTCACATACCCATTTGGCCTCTATCCTACCCCTGGGGTCCAGCCTGCACATGGCCCCATGGTGGCCTCTGACAGCAAAGCTGGTGCCTCCCAGCCACTCCTGCCCATGCCACTTGAGAAGGGGACACCCTTCCAGGGCTCTCTGGCTCTGCCAAGGCTTCTTCCTCTGACCAGTTTGTGGCCACCACTGTCCTCAGCCCTCTCATCCCAAAGGGAGGCCCAGACTCTCCCCAGGCACCCACGTGAGGTGTGGCACTTGGGTCTTTGGTCTCCAAAGATGTTACTTCCCTAAAACCAGTGACCACATTGCTCACGTGGTAAAAGGGACTCTGCAGCTGGGATGAGATTAAGGATCCTGGATTATCCAAGAGGGACAATGAGATCACAAGGGTTCCCAGTAGGGGGAGACCCCAAGTCAAGGGACACAGCCTCTAGAAGCTGGAAAAGGCAGAACAGACTTGCTCCTGAAGGCTCCCAAAGGACCAGCTCTGTCTGTACCTTGACATCAACCCTGTAAGACTCACTTCAGACTTCTGACCTGCAGAATTGTAGGATAATTTTTGTGGGGGAAGGAAGGTGTCGGTAATCAGACCAAAGGCTTTGAGCATTCTAGGCAAGTGCTTTGTCCCTGAGCACACCCCAGTCACTTGTGCTGTTTTAAGCCACCAAGTTTGTGCTGATTTACTCTAGCAGCGTGGGCAGCTGACAGGTGGTGCTAGCCTCTTGCTGGCTATCTGCCTCCTGAGAGGGGCTGAGCTACCCCACAGCACTTTGCACAGTGGTATGGGTGAAGGCCCTGGGCACTGGGGGCCTGCAGAATGGGATGCCCACCAGAAAGAAAGAGGATCAAGTCTCAGAGGTCTCAAGAGGCTGGGTGAGCTGGTGGGGGGGGTCTCTACTTCTCAACAAACCACCCTGGAGAACTGCCCTCTCAGGATTCTGAGGTCTCCTAGCCAACAGGTACACCCCCAAAGCCCATGGGGCACACCTGCACTCACCGGAGTAACACATGAGTGGTTCTCATTTTTGAGGAAGAGAGAACACTTACCCCTGTGGGATAGGGGTGCACTCAGGAGGCATCCAGAAACTCCCTGAACACGAGGACCTGATTATTTGGCTGTTTTAGGAAAAAGCAGTTGGTGACTTCCCCATCAGGGCCTGAGTAACAGTGAGGAATTGGTGGTGCTTTGGCTTTTCCTGTCTCTGGGCTGTGTGTCTACCTGACTCCTCACCCCCGTGACACCATCCACTGTTGATCTCCAGGTAGGAGGCATGGGAAGCATCTCAAGTCTACCCCCTCCACCTCAAGCTCTGCTGGGTGGGGACCAGCAGGGCCCCAGGGGCAGGCTTGTCTAAGAGGAGCCGCTGCCCAAAGGGCCAGGCTCTGGCACTCAGGTGCTCCCAATGTGGAGGATGCTGACTGTGTGCCAGTGCCACCAGGTCCTCTTTACCACAACTCCAGAAGGTGAGGGCATATGCTCAGTTAGTGCCCTAGGCACCCCGGACCTGCTTGCCGAACAGGCAGTCTGCCTCTGTGAGAAGGGTCCACACCCAGTCTCTGGTAGCTGAAGGAGTCCGGCACGGGGCTGGGTAATCACCCCAGCATCCTTACAGCTGCCTCCTGTGTCAGGCCTGGGAGACAGGTACCAGGAAATGGGCACCCACAGAACCCTGGCACAGGTCTCAGCTGGGCTCCTGGGGTGTGTGTGTATACATGTGTGTATATGTATGTGTGTAGCATATGTTTGTGTGTATGTGTGTGACTGTGTGACTGTGTCCTGGGAGACCAGAGCTCCTGGTCATGCTCCTCCTGCACCCCCATGCCACCCCATGGTCCCCCAAGTTGACAGGGTCCCTGGAGGTCCGTCCCATGTCCTGTGTGGCTCCCACCTTCACGACCCCCTTTCTCCACTCTCCACGCTTTGGTTTTCCTTGTGTCTGGGGGACTGCATATACTGCCAGGTTCTGTGAGGCATGAAGAGTTTTAAGAGCTCCAGAAAGCCACTATCCTGAGCCTGATCAAGCTCAGCAGGAGAAGCAGCCAACACTTCCAGAAATGTCACCCGGGGAAGAACAGCCAAGGACACCTCCCAGCCCCAGTGTTTTACAAACGGCCCTGAAGCCCAGAGTCCTGCCTTGCACCTGCTGGTGAGGTACTGGGACCCTCCCCACACCCACAGTGGGCGGAAGGGCCTAGGCATGTGGGTCCCAGGCGGTACACAGTGTCCATGTGCAAATGCAGGGGGCATGGAGGGACAAGCCTATGATGCATAAAGGTGGCCTCAGCAGCTCCAGGTCCAGCTGGACACAGTATTCAAAGGCCTGGCAGGAGACAAGCTGGGCTCAGCAGCATGTCAGAGTGTGGGGGGTCACCAAGGGTGACTGAATCCATGTGTGTACCCATCCCTGAGCCTGCCCTACTGTGCCTGTTTGTTGTAGTGGAGTTTTTCCCCGCAAAAGAGGTGAAATCCTAGCCCTGAACCTGTGAACTGACTACTTAGAAATAGCTGTTGTAGATGAGTTCAGATGAGGTCATGGTGGAGTAGGGTGGGCCTTGACCCATCACGTGTGGCCTGATGACAGGAGGGGAGCATAGGCCCAGACAGACACAGGGAGGTGCCCACGTGAGCACATACGGAGCTTGGGTGGCACAGCTGTGGACCAAGGAGGAGTGGGAATTGCTGGTGGCCACCAGATGCTAAGAGGCAGGAAGGGTCCTCCCCCAAAGCCTTCACCTTCAAAACCCACACCTGGGTTTTGAACTACTGGCCTGCAGAGGTAAGAGATAAACTTCTGTTGTTACTGTTACCCCAGCGTGACCCGAAGCTCCGCTGTGCACGCGTGCACACTGCCTGGGTCTAGGTCCGAGAGTGCTGGGCCTCCCGTCTAGCCTGTGGGGGTGTCTAATGCTTAGTGTCGGAGGACAGCGACCAGTAGAGCCACCTTAACCCTGAGGTGGCAGGCTGGAGAATGCCCACCCTTGAGTCCGATGTCTCTAGGTCGGTCATGGAATTTCCTGAAAGGTAAGGCATCTGTGGAGGCAAACTCAGTCCTTGTTGCCCAGCAGCTGCAGAGGGCAGAACTGCCTGTGTTCTCTTGAGGGGTGCAAGGAACCTCAATAGCCCCCTTCCTGCTGGCAATTGGCACCTCTGGACCACAAGCATAACCCCTGGATACCTGGCCCCTGGCCTTCCTTGCCTCAACAGTCCCCAAGTGAGGGATGCTATTTCCTGTCTTCAGCTGCCCTCCTCCACCTGTCCCATGCCACACCTGGGAAGGGACGTAGCCCCAGGAGCTTTCATTCCGTTCCCGTCACTTCTCCTTAGGAGGCTCCACCACTTGTGTCTCTGCATATCTGAGTATGACCAGAGGCCAGCAGGTGCGCCCACGCTCTTGCACAGAGCCAGCCAGAGTTCTGTTGACCTGGCACCTCGGCCTCTCCTCACGTTCACTCTGCTCCAGTCAGTGCCCTCCTCTACCCTCACGGCCTTCTCCAACAAGGGATTTCTGAGGCCGTCATTGCTTCATGCTTCCTCCAGGGCCAGGCCTGCCTGGTCTCTGGATGCCTCCACCCCTGGGGACCACCAGCCCGCTCCTCAGGGATCCTCTCCGCTGGCCCTGCCCACACCCGGGGCCAGCCCGGTGGATCCCGCCCTGCAGCCTGGAGTCTCCACCATTGCTTGGGAGGGGCTCTCGGCATTGAAACCTGTAACCCCCCCGGACCTTGCAAGGACATCCTACAGCCCAGACCCCACATCCCATTTACACCTGAAACCAGCAGTGTAGGACAGGCCTACTCTCCTCAGGGTTTGAGGCTGAAGCACTGGAAGGCGAAGCAACAATGAGACAGCCCTGGTGACACCTGCCATAGCAGGGTGGGGCGCGGCCACACTGCCGGGCCGGGTGGGCGCGGCCGGCAGGAGCGGGCGGCGGCCACGGAGAGGGAACGCGGGAGCGCCCAGCGCCAGACACCTGCGGCCGCGCCGAACGGCCGCCCGCCCCGCCTCACCTGCGAAGTTCTTGGTGAAGACCAGGGTGACCAGCAGGATGGGCACGAGCACGGTGCCGATGGTGACCACGCGGTCGAACGGCAGTTCCAGCTTGAGCTGCAGCAGCAGCGCGGCCAGCGCGCCCGCCTTGTCGTCCTGCGCGCCGGGCAGGATCAGCTCCCGCAGCTTCTCGCCCGCCAGCAGCGCGGTCGCCATGTCCGCCGACTGCTCCAGGAGGTGGTGCATGGGGGGCGGGGGCGCGGGCGGGGGCCGCGGCGGGCGGGGGTGCGGGGCGCCGGGAGCGGGAGGTCAGCGGGGACGCGGCGCCGCGCGGGCCGGGGGCTCGGCCGCCCGCGGGAGGGGTCGGGCCGCCAGGGCGCAGGGCCGCCGCCGCCGCCGCCGCCGCCCGCCCCTCGCCGCCTGCCGCCGGCCCGCGCCCTGCGTCCCGCGTCCCTCCCGGGGGCGGCGGCGGCTGTGCTCCCGGGGCCGCGCGGCCCGCTCCCGCCGGGGAGGGGGCTGTTTACCTGCGGCAACTCCGCGCCGTGGCTCCGCCCCCCACCCCCGCCACGCAGCTGCGGCGCGGCGATGACTTTGCAAAAAAAAAAAAAAAAAAAATTTTTTTTTAATTAAATGAAGCGAGTGAACACTGACCGGCTTCTGGGCAGGGGTCCTGGTCCCGCCGCCCGCGCTCCCCAGTTGCCTCCCCGGGGTGGTGCGAGCACGGGCGGCGAGGCCGGACCCTCTCTGCCCAGGCTGGCACCCGCACGCCGACACTGCGGACCGCCCTCCCGCGCGCCCCTCCACTGCAGCCATGGCCCCCGACTCCCGGCTGCCCAGTCCACCGCCGTGGTGCTGAGCAGCGCGACGTCACCCCGCGCGGTCCACTTGCTCCCCAGATCCGCTCTCGTCAAGTTCTCGGGGTTGCACCAGCCCTCGGGTGCTCCCTGCCACCCTCCCTGGCACTCATCTGACCCCCCTGGGTCACCCACACCCGTTGTCCTCTCGGGAGCCGCTGCCCACACACTTCTGGGTCCGGCCTCTGGCGCCAGCGCACTGCCTCTGCCTCGGCTGCCTCGCAGGACCCTCTGGTTCAGCGTCCCCTTTGTCATTTCAAGACTCTTACTGTGCCTGGAGTTTTGACTTCTGCAGTAATTCATCCGACAGATGCACCCGGGCCCCTGCATTCCTGAGCCGGTAGATGGCCAGCCGGCCAGTCTCTGCCCACATCCCACTCCCCTCAAGGGACCTCGTCTCTGCGGATCCTTTTCCACTCATTCTCGGCTGCCAGTCAGTTTCATCCAGTTCCCACTCCTGGCTCCCTAGGGCAGTCACCTTGAGGCCTTCTGAGGACCCCCTGGGTGGGTTACCGGTGTTCTCCTTGGGCTTCCTGGAAGGCTGTGCCTGTCACCAGCAGTCTCTGCTGTCAGCACTACCCTCTTCTACTGTCCCATTGCGCTTCATTCGCCCTTTTCTGGCTGCTAGGGCTTTGTGTACATCAGCTGCTCAAACTCTGGCCACTTCTCTGTGGGTTTCCATCTCTTGTGGGGACCCGATTATGAGGAGCCTATGGGAACTTGATGTAGGCACAGCTGTGTCATGGGGGGGCGGGGGGAGGCAAAATGCAGCACAGCTTCATTTCCTAAGTTGTTTAGGTTCAGAGAAGAAGGATCGCAGGTTTCTCTTGTTACAGTGTCACACCCCTCCCAAGAACTATCGCTCCACCTCCTTGTTTACCACTGTATGTAAAAGACTGGAAGAGGAGGCGGGGATTGATGGTTTAGACTGGTGGGCTGCTTGTGAGAATGCCGCTGCGGCTGCCGGCTGTTGTGTGTCTGCAAGTCTGAGGACCAAGACTTTAAGAAAGATTAAAAACATGGGACAGTGCAAATCTAAGGAAAGAGACCCTAAAGAATAGAAAAGCAGCAAGGTTTAGTGAAGAAGGAAGGCTTTCAAGAATAGAGAAGAAAAGAAGCAAAGTAAAAGAAGAGGATAATAGAGAAAAGTAGTGAGGCTGTTGTGAGTCTCCATCCCAGCGCCCATCACAGCTGACCCCAACTTTGTGCAGCTTTGTTAGAAGTAACTTTTGTCACACCCAGTTAGGACGGTAGAATAGGAGCTGGTGAGGAAGCTCTCTGGAGGCTCTGTGGTTTGCAGTTCCTCCTCCAGACATTGGTGTGCTAACTTGCTGTGCGTGCTCCTCCCGAGTCCTTGTTTGTTGGTTTTATCTATAGGGTCTAAATGGACATCCTTAATTTTGATGTAAGTCCAAACCCTTTTCTTTTTTAGTTTGTAGTCTTGGGTTTTCTTTATGATGTTGCAGAGGCATTTAGGTGCGACAGAGTACCTTGTCAATTCCTCAGTGGCCTCAGGCCTCAGAAAGTGATTTTCTATTTTGAGGTGAGTTGGTTCAGTTGAAGTAACTTTAATTTGGAGATCTCAGATCGTATCAGATTACAATTCAAACAAATCCCATGGAGTAAGTTGTCCATTTGGCACATAAATTATTTTTTTTGGTGCTACTGGGGTTTGAACTCAGGGCCTCGCACTTGCTAGGCTGGCACCACTCTACCACTTGAGCCACACCCCCCAGCCTTTTTTGCTTTCTAATAGGGTCTTCCCCTTTATGTCCACGCTGGCCTGAACCAGGATCCTCCTCCTTACTCTTCCAGTGTAGCTGGGATGACAGACGCACAACACACCCAGCTTTTATTGGTTGAGATGGGGTGTGTGTGGGGGGGTCTCTTGAACTTTTTTGGCTTGGGCTAGCTTTGAACCACCATTTTCCTAATCTCTGCCTTCCAAGTAGATAGAGCTACAGGTGTGAGCCACTGTGCTCAGTTGGCACATAAATTTGTACCTCAAAGAATGCTTGCAGGTAGCAATGCAGCTTAGTTTTCCTTCATAACATGAGCTGGTTTTCTTAACACCAAGAAAGCAACCTCTCTGGATTCCTTCCTCACATCCTTCCTGGGTTTCTGTGATCTTGGTCCATGTGCCCCTAACAACTTAGCATGTGGCTGGGCAAGTACTCTTCATTGTTCTATTCTAATACTGATGTATTTGTGGCCTTTGTTTTCTCATACATATTTTAGAATGACTCAGTCAAGTTTCTCTCACACTTTTAATAGTCTTTTTCTTATGCGTAATTAGGTGTACTTTCTCATTTTGGGTATATTTGTTGTGCTCTTTTTTTTTTCTTTTGGCAGTATTGGGGTTTGAAATGGGGACCTCTCACTTGCTAGGCAGGCACTCTTTAATATTTCCCCCAACTTGGTCAGATTTTAAAAAACAATCTAGTTATTATACTTAACGGAGAAAAACTGAAACCATTCCCTCTAAAATCAGGAACCAGACAAGGATGCCCACTATCTCCACTCCTATTCAACATAGTAATGGAATTCCTAGCCAGAGCAATTAGGCAAGAAGAAGGAATAAAAGGAATACAAATAGGTAAAGAAACTGTCAAAATATCCCTATTCACAGACGACATGATCCTATACCTTAAAGACCCAAAAAACTCTACTCAGAAGCTTCTAGACATCATCAATAGCTATAGCAAAGTAGCAGGATATAAAATCAACACAGAAAAATCATTAGCATTTCTATACACTAACAATGAGCAAAGTGAAAAAGAATATATGAAAACAATTCCATTTACAATAGCCTCAAAAAAATCAAATACCTAGGTGTAAACCTAACAAAAGATGTGAAAGACCTCTACAAGGAAAACTATACACTTCTGAAGAAAGAGATTGAGGAAGACTATAGAAAGTGGAGAGATCTCCCATGCTCATGGATTGGTAGAATCAACATAGTAAAAATGTCAATACTCCCAAAAGTAATCTACATGTTTAATGCAATTCCCATCAAAATTCCAATGACATTCATTAATGAGATTGAAAAATCTACCGTGAAATTTATATGGAAACACAAGAGGCCACGAATAGCCAAGGCAATACTCAGTCAAAAGGACAATGCAGGAGGTATCACAATACCTGACTTCAAACTATATTACAAAGCAATAACAATAAAAACAGCATGGTACTGGCACAAAAACAGACATGAAGACCAGTGGAACAGAATAGAGGACCCAGATATGAAGCCACACAACTATAACCAACTTGTCTTTGACAAAGGAGCTAAAAATATACGATGGAGAAAAAGCAGCCTCTTCAACAAAAACTGCTGGGAAAACTGGTTAGCAGTCTGCAAAAAACTGAAACTAGATCCATGTATATCACCCTATACCAAGATTAACTCAAAATGGATCAAGGATCTTAATATCAGACCCCAAACTCTAAAGTTGATACAGGAAAGAGTAGGAAATACCTTGGAATGAATAGGTATAGGTAAGAACTTTCTCAACGAAACCCCAGCAGCACAGCAACTAAGAGATAGTATAGATAAATGGGACCTCATAAAACTAAAAAGCTTCTGCTCAACAAAAGAAATGGTCTCTAAACTGAAGAGAACACCCACAGAGTGGGAGAAAATATTTGCCAGCTGCACATCAGACAAAGGACTGATAACCAGAATATACAGGGAACTCAAAAAACTAAATTCTCCCAAAATTAATGAACCAATAAAGAAATGGGCAAGTAAACTAAACAGAACCTTCTCAAAAGAAGAAATTCAAATGGCCAAAAAACACATGAAAAAATGCTCACCATCTCTAGCAATAAAGGAAATGCAAATTAAAACCACACTAAGATTCCACCTCACCCCTGTTAGAATAGCCATCATCAGCAACACCACCAACAACAGGTGTTGGCGAGGATGTGGGGAAAAAGGAACCCTCTTACACTGTTGGTGGGAATGTAGACTAGTACAACCACTCTGGAAAAAAATTTGGAGGCTACTTAAAAAGCTACACATTGATCTACCATTTGATCCAGCAATACCACTCTTGGGGATATACCCAAAAGACTGTGACACAGGTTACTCCAGAGGCACCTGCTCATCCATGTTTATTGCGGCACTATTCACAATAGCCAAGTTATGGAAACAGCCAAGATGCCCCACCACTGACGAATGAATTAAGAAAATGTGGTATCTACACACAATGGAATTCTATGCAGCCATGAAGAAGAACGAAATGTTATCATTCGCTGGTAAATGGATGGAATTGGAGAACATCATTCTGAGTGAGGTTAGCCTGGCCCAAAAGACCAAAAATCGTATGTTCTCCCTCATATGTGGACATTAGATCAAGGGCAAACACAAAGGGATTGGACTATGAGCACATGATAAAAGCGAGAGCACACAAGGGAGGGATGAGGACAGGTAAGACACCTAAAAAACTAGATAGCATTTGTTGCCCTCAATACAGAGAAAATAAAGCAGATACCTTAAAAGCAACTGAGGCCAATAGGAAAAGGGGACCAGGAACTAGAGAAAAGGTGAGATCAAAAAGAATTAACCTAGAAGGTAACACCCACACACAGGAAATCAATGTGAGTCAATGCCCTGTACAGCTATCCTTATCTCAACCAGCAAAAGCCCTTGTTCCTTCCTATTATTGCTTATACTCTCTCTTCAACAAAATTAGAGATAAGGGCAAAAGAGTTTCTGCCGGGCAGCGAGAGGCAAGGGGGGGTAAGGGAGGGGGCGGGGGGAAGAGGGGAGAAATGACCCAAACATTGTATGCACATATGAATAAAATAAAAATTAAACAAAACAAAAAAACCAATCTAGTTGGAACACTGAGATTGCCTTGAATGTACAGACTTCAGTTTTGAGGAAAACTGAAATCTGCACTGTCATACATGCAGATGAACATGAATGGACAGGTACATGAACATGGTACCTCTCCATTTATTTAGATCTTTGTACTTTTAAAAGCATTAAGATAATCATTCTGTAAAGCTCTTACACTATTTCCTAGATGCAGCATAGTTTCTCTTTGCAAATGGCACCCTCTTTTTCTGTTATGCATCTCAAGTGAGCTGTTCTGGCACTGAGGGACCTTACTGGTTTGTACATATGCTGAGTTGGTGTACCATGTTGCAGAGTTGCTGCATTTGTTTTGCATGGTGCCCCCATGCCTAGAGCAACAGCTGGAACACAGCGGGTGCTCAGTAAATGCTGATGAACAAGTAGTTGAGATCCTGCAATTCTGTGAGAGCTGCTGGGCAGTTTTGTCTTGCTATCTTGACAAGGGGCAGCAGGGACTTGAGAGGAGGCTGAGCTGAGACCTGGCCCCAAGTCCACACCTTGGCACCCCACTGCAGAACTACCTCAATACCATTCTCATCCCTGAAGAGGTGTCTGGGGGTGTGTGTGCCGGGGGTGGGGGGGAACTAGAGCAGAGATGAGCAGAGGTCTTCTATGTATTCCTGCACAGGGACTCAAATCCCGCAGAGACCCTGGCAGAATCCTGGCCTCCCAGCTATCCCTGGTTGCTTAGTTTTCACACTGGGAGCCTAGAGGGTGCTCTTCCCACATTCTGCTTTGGGAAGGAACTCCATTTGGGAGCAGCTCTGCCTTCATATGGGGATATGTTAACAAGTGACATTGACCAGAAGGATCCTGATTGGTTGAGAAAGGCTACAGGGAAACTTCTGCCCAGTTTATTAGATGACAGGTCTTCTCAACTCTTATTTCCATGGTGAAAACAGAAAGGCAATGTAACGACAAGCCTGTCTCATCCCAGCCCTAAGCAGTGTCCTTCCATGAAGACATAAGCATTACACAGTGCATTTCCAACTCAATTTCACCTCCACGCTCAGTTATTTATGAACACTGGCAATCTATGGGCGTCTCTTTTTGACTGGATATTTACAGCCGTAACAATGTCAGTCAATACACAGTGCTTGCGGCCATGTTCAGCCTCATAGTTTTATGGGTTAAAACAAATGATGCTCTCAGTGTATGTGAATATTTTGTCTCTGGTCATGGAGGCTGGGCCATGCTGCACAACAGAACAGGGTTAGCCCAGCTTGCTGGTCAGTCTCCAGGTGGCTGGGGGCAGTGTCCCTGTCGCCCTCCCATAGAAGGCCAGGTGCCCAGCAGGATACTGTTTGTGCTTCATTGGCCAGAGGCGGCTTTTCACCCGTCCTTACACTGTGGCCGGGGGCAGTGGGAGCAACCCACTATGTGCCCAAGAGAACGGAATATTTCCTGTGCTTTGCGTTTATGTCAACTTTCCAATGTAACATTTTAAACTAGGGTTCAAGTCCATGGGGAGTGGAGCAGAAATACAAGTTCAAGGAAAAGTAACATTTCTAGCTGCAAAGAACAGGTTGTTTTTTTTTAATGGATGATGGTGGCACTGACAGGCTGCTCTCAGTTTTGCAATATTTACAATATGCTGGGAATGACATCATGAATAGCATTAAAAATGAAGAAAAATCTTAGATAACTGAAAAACAAGCAAGGAGACCCAGGGTTTTTAAGTTTCCTTTATGAGCTGTCTGAGCAAAAGTCCATGCCTCCATGTATGCAGGAACTGCTGACCCTTGCTTCCAAGAGGCCCTGCTGGTCTGGGAGCCTTTGCCCCCCATGAGGGCAGGCTCTTTACACTTCTGCACTTCAGTGGTCTCTCCACTGCTGCTCCTAGTTACCCAGGGTTCTTACCTGCTCTGTCCTGCCCTTGGTACACAGGTGTACCAGGTCCTCTACAGTGAACCCATCCGGCCTTGTGCCGCCCTGGGATCCACCTCCTGGCTGCCATATTCTCTGGATGCTGACCCAGCTCAAAGGACTTCATGGCCCTCATCTTGGGTCTCTCTGAGGTGAGCCCCACCTCTGTTTCACCTGTGGCCCATGACAAGATATCCAGGTCACTGAGCTAGGGCAGGTGTGGGTCAGCCCTGGGTTGTGTGTGGACATTTCTGGAGTGGCAAGGTGAGGTGATAATGGTGCCAGGAGGTGTGAAGAGGGTACTAAGCCCACAGGCTCAGGACAGACCTTATCTCAGCACTTGCTGGGTGGACACAGGCAGGTCCTGTCACCAATGAAGACAATGTGATCCAACTTCCCAACCCCATCTACTGGCTCCCACCCCCAGAATTTCCTGGGACCTGGTGGTCACCTTCAGGGGTCAGGCTTGTCCTTCTTGTTCTCACTCACATGCCAGCCATGGTTTAAGGCCTCCCTGGGGAGCTACCCTGCAATTCAATGTTGACACAGGGCAGAGGAGAAGGAGACAGGGCACAACCAAGGCCAGACAGCAATGAAACAGAAGGCACGTGTGAAGGGAAGGCAACTCAGGCCGTAGTCAGAGAACAACATGTGCGAAAACCCTGAGATGGGTGTGTTCCTGACTAGGGTCTCAGAGGCCAAGGGCAGATGAGGCCTGTGGCTTCTGGAGGGGAGGGTTGCAGTGAAGACAGTGACTCCTGCAATGAGGACATCAATGGCCGCCAAGTGGACAATGAATGAAGGTGGGCAGAGGCTTGCTGGCCTGAGCTTCTCTCAATTTCTTCTGAACAAAACATACCCCCTCTCCAAAGGTTCTTCATTTTCTACCTGGAAAAGGCACCTTGCCCATTCTGGACCCCAGGGAGGCAGAGGTCCCTGCCATTTCCTTTGTGGGGCTTGTCCCTCTGGCCAGGTTTGCAAGGCAGGGGGGTCTTCTCATGGTACCATACCAGACCCTGTGGGAACCTCCTCTGTGTACTCAGAACCTGGATATGGGGCTCTGTCAGCCTTGGGGGACCTCCTATCCTGTGGAGGAAGGGGTGGAGCACAGTCAGCAGGGGTGCCATTGACTTCCCACCTGCTCAAAAAGGGCTGCGTCCCCCACTGCTTCTTATTGGGTTCTGAAAAGACCAAAATCCAAGTACTGTAGTTTTAACAGCAATGACCACCAGAGAGGAGGTGACTACAGCACAGCAGGTATGGGGAAAGAGGGGAAAGGGGCCTGGGCTGGCCTCTGTCCTGTTGGCTAGGGCTTGATGACATTTTACTTCTGTACTCATCATCTCTGGGGTACTGGCCAGTAAGTCCAGTGTGGCTCACCAAGAAGCCTACCTCACTTAACCCATGGAGGTGGTCAGAGTTCTATTGTCTACATGATGCAGAATCAGGCTGGCTCTGGACCAGAGGTGCCAGACAGAAGCTCCAACAGGCCCTGGATACTGCATCCAACAGTCACCTTGGCCTTCAGGTGGAGCCTCTAGACTCCATGGACTTTGCACAGCCAGCTGGGGCCTGCAGTTCTCAGCCTTGCCTGCTGCCTGGCCCACGTCTGGCTCAGGATGAAGCAAATAATTGTGTGGCCAACTTCAAAGACTGTAGCCAGCAGGGGAAAAGGCCATCTGAATCCCTGATCACTAAAATGGGCACGTTTTGAGATACAGAGGGAGACTGGGGTCACTAGAGTATTTATTTTGGGAATAAGTACTGGTACCTGTAACTGCCTAGTGGCAGGAACAAGCTGCTGTTGAACCAACGTCAGTGGTGGGAGCAGAATCAGACCAGAGTCAGGCCTAGGGGTCCACAGGATGAGGCGCATGGTCTTCCCATCATTGGCCATTGTGCATCAAGTGGGCCCAACTCTTCTGTCCAGTGATTTTGGCACCAAAGTCTATAACCACAGCTCCAGGGGGAGAGGAAAGCATGTGGAGTCTGGCTCCCATAGTGGACTGGGAACCGTGCTTTCCCCATGGGACTTCTACAAGGGGCACTTTACCTCTTTAGGTACACATCAACCCCAATGTCCAGGAGTGACTGCTGTGGCCCAGGGGCCAAGGGCCAAGGAAGCAGTGTGGCTGGGTTCTAAGGCTGCAGTGGATATGGATATGCAGGTCCTGAATGAGGGCCAGCAGAGGGGACGTGGGGGCAGTCCTAAAGCCACCATCTTTTAGGAAGACGACAGGAGTGCTCACTTTTGCAGAGCCTGCAGTTCGGGAGGTAGATCACACCCTGTGTAGACACCATTTGTAACACTATATTCCAGCAAAGCGCCAAAGCAGGGGTCCTGTTGGAAACGGAAGTCAGCATCAAACCAGTGAAGGCCTTGTGTCTCCTGGAGCAGTGTGCATGTCTCTTGGCTCAGTGGTCACTTTCGGGTAACTTGGGCCCTTCCCCGTTCCCCTCTCCCTCAAGGGGATCCCAGCCCAGTATTCCAGAAACTCACTCTGACAAGAACATGAGGGTTTCCAAGCACAATCAATAAAGCTTTGGGTCTTGTGATTGCAACATTAAATCTTTTTGAGTTGGACAAGAAACCCAAAAAATATCGATCATCTTCAAATCTATCTTCATTTGACCGTACCTAAAAAACACAAAAATGGTATTTAAGGATTTTTTTTTGGCAGTACTAAGGTTTGAACTCAGGGCCTTGTACTCACAAGGCAAACAATACCATATAACCCTTTTTTCTTTAGTTACTTTTCGAATAGGGTCTCACATTTACACCCCCACCAGCCTGGACTGTGATCCTCCTATTTATACTTCCCGTGTAGCTGGGATGACAGGTGTGCACCACCACACCCAGCTTTTTATTGGTTGAGATGGGGTCTCAACCAAGTTGGCCTCCAATCACGATCCTCCTGATCTCCACCTCCCAAGTAACTAGGACTACAGCTGTCCCCACAGAATTTTTTTTTTTTTGGCATGAAAAGAACGCAATACATGAAAATATTTAGAAAGGTTTAGTAGCAGCATGCCCCTGTTTTTGGTTTAAAAGGCAGGAGAGGGCAGATATCATCATTATCTGTCCACAGACAAGGAAATCCCCAAATGCTAACAGGTTATCTCTGAGTTGTAGGGTTTTAGATGGCTATTTTTATTTCTGCATCTGATTTTTTTCTTTTCTTGTTTTGGTTTGTTTCTTGTTTTTGGTGGTACTGGGGTTTGAACTTAGGGCTTCATGCTTGCTAGGCAGGCACTCTACTGCTTGAGCCACGCTGCAAGCCCTTCTTTTCTTTGGTGCTAGAGATTGAACCCAGGGCCTTGTGCATGCTAGGTAAGCACTCCACTGAGCTACATTCTAGCCCACGCATATGAAGTTTTGAACTCATGTGCAACATGTACTGTTCAATAAAGTTAATTTAAAATTAAAAACGGGGTTTTGAGAGTTAAACTCCAGTCTCACTGGGTGGTGGTGTAGAGGCCCACTGTGGTTAGGGGCTCTGACTGCCTACTCTCTGCTCCTCAGCTGCTTATCTCACCCCTCCACACATTTAGCATTCCTTCCTGGGTCCCTTCTCTTCACTTTGTCTCCTGGTCACTGAGGTTTGTGTTCAGGAACTTCCCAAGGTTCCTGCGTTTGGTGGTCGCTGGGTCTAGGAGGAGGTCCACCCTGCGATATCGTCTGCTGCCTATGGATCAGGCCTGCACTTCCATTTCATGACGGCCAGTACCCATGGTTACCCTGCACAAACAGGTACCTACAGTGGAAATGACGATGACCAAGTATTCTTGCCCTTGAAACTCCTCTACTGATCCAACCTTTATGTCCATCAAATCAACGTTTCGCAGAAGGATTTTTATTTTCTCCACCTTTAGAACAGTTAAAGACAACATTGTACAAATCAGATCAGTTCTTTACCCATTACAGTATAAGCCAAATACTACTCAATGTGCAATATTGTTTTTCAATTCTGCATCATCTCTTCAGATCTAAGCCAATTAGAACACAAATCCTGATTTTAATTTTTTTTTTTTTGTGGTACTGGGGTTTGAACTCAGGGCCTCACAAATCCTGATTTTAGATAAATTGGAGGAAGGACCCAATACTTACTAGAAGGGCTGAGTTTCATGTGGAAAATCTCCCCTTTCCCCACAAGCACATTTATGGCAAAGGAACACTGTTAACAGCAATGAGATGAGTGCTTGCTGCTTAAAACTGGGCTGTGCGTCTTGATGAGACAACGCCTGAACCCACGGCACTCCGGGACCAGTAAGAGGTTGCTGTGGATAGAGCTGTGGGTCCTAAGGTGCTGTGGCTCTCAGAAGCCTTGGCTGGGCTCAATAGCATCCCAGGACTGAGGGGACAGAGAATAACCAGCTTACACCCCAAAGGGAACTTACTCTTGAAGGAGTGAACATAGATGGGTTGGCTAAGAAAGGGCTGAAGACCAGGTGTGTTTAAATCTGTGTTGACCAAGGGAGTGGGATAGTAAGAACAGGTTATGCTAGTTTTTTAAAAAGGACCACTTTGGAATCTTGGAAAGAAGTAACTCAATGGATGGGAGAGAAGCTGAATTTGCACAACCAGGAGGCCTGGTGAACAGAAAGACCTGAGGGAAATCACTCAGGGATTTGCAGACAGACAGACACTGGAGGGGCCCAGAGGCTGCAGGGTGGGCTGAGAGGCTGGCTGTGTCTTCTAACAGCTACAAAGCAGACAGGAGGGACATGGCAGGGAAGAGCCCCACAAAAGGGGAGACTGAGCACCATATGGATCCAAGGGCCAGCTTGAAAGAGTTCAGCAAGACAAAGAATCATACCTAGACATTTTGTGGTGAAACTATATAACTTCAAGAATAAAAGAAAACAAGTATGAAAACTATGAAAAAGACATTAAACATCAATGAAATTAGTCAAAGTAGAGTTTGTTTTGCAACACTGGGGTTTGAACTCTAGGCTTCACACTTGCTAGGCAAGCATGTTACCACTTGAACCATGCCTCCAGCCCATAAAAAACTGCTCAAACTCAGTTAAGATATATTGACAAATGCTGTTAAAAAGGAAAATATCTACTTTTGAGGAAAAAAGGGTGGAATTTCTAAAAGTCAACTGAGGAGGAGCTCAAAACCAAAAGTTACCCAGACAGGTTTGGAAGTCAACTTGTTACAAAGCCCGAGCAACTAACCCTGTGGGTCCTATTGGAAGGAACCAGAGAGGCCAAATGAACAGAGGGAGAGTCCAGAAGCCCTTTCGGGGCTCAGTGTGTGGCCACAGAGGACAGGATGGGCTGTGCACCAAATGCTGACTGGGCAACTGATTATACACAACTGATTATTATACACAACGGAAGAAATAAAACTGATCCATACCTCATCCCATACTCAAAAATAAATGCCAAGTAGGTTAAAGATCCTAAGTGCAAGCCAGGCATGGTGGCACATGCCTATAGCCCCAGAACTCAGGAGGATCACTTCAGCCCAGGAGTTCAGGGCCAACAGGGGCAGCATAACAAGACCCCATCTCAAGAAAAAAAAAAAGACCTTAAATGTGTCCTCAAAACTACAGGCCCAAATATATATCTAACACTTGTAGAAGGAAAGTTGGAAACGCTTTGTGATCTGAAGTTGGGGAAGTCTTTTAGATAAAACACAGACCACGAGGCAAAGGCCACTGTTTACAGATGTTCTGGCTTCTCAAGGTTCAGCTTCTTGACTTTACCCTGGTGTGAGTGTGACATGGTTCACTGGATTATCTCTCCAACTAATGATGTGTGGTGTGGTGCGATGCTTGTGATAAAAGTGATGGCAGTGAGCCTCAGCTCCCGGTCGGCCTCTACCCGTGGCTCTACATCCATGGTACAACCCAGCATGGAGCAAAGCCTGTTGTGGTTGTGTCTGAGCAGAGTACATATGGACACTTTTTTCTTGTTGTGATTCCCTGAACACTATGTAGTGTTGACATTGTACTGAGTACTGTAAGTAATCTAGAGATGATTTAAAATGTAGGAGAGGACTTGCTTAGACTGTATGCAAAACACCACACTGTTTTATAAGGGACTTGAGCATCTGCAGACTTTGGTATCCATGTGGAATCCTGGAGCCAATCCCCTGTGGATACTGAGGGCCAACTGAACTTGTGTGCCTAGACTATGGTGTTTGACAGATTGAGGGTCCTGAGGGCATGGCTCAAGTAGCACAACAACTGCCTAGCAAGTGCAAGGCTCTGAGTTCAAACCACAGTACCACCAAAGGAATCCCAGCCACTCGGGAAGCAGAGGCAGGAGTACAGCAAGTTTGAGGCCAGCCCAGGGAAAGTTAGCAAGACCCTATCTCAAAAACAAAACATAAACTAAAAAAAGGCTGGGGCCATAGTTCAAGTGGTAGAGCACTTGCCTAGTGCTAGGCCCTGGTTCAACCCCTATAGTACACACACACACACGAAAGTACTGAATACATTATCAACTTATCCGTAAGTCAAGCAGTATCCATACACATTTGACTACATGAAAATTACAAACATATTTCTCACAAATGACAAAGACAAGTGTGGTTGAGATGATATCCCAACATACAACCACAAGCCACCAAGATTCAGACTACATGTTCAAAGTGTAACAACTGCTGAGGGAAAAACACACTGAAGAAGAACGTAAGAGGGCACTAGATTTGAGTTAAAGAAAGGCAATTTAACCAGGTGTCTGTGGCTCACACCTCTAATTTTAGCTACTTCAGAGATATGGATCAAGAGGATCACAGTGTGAAGCCAGCCTGGGCTTCAACAGAGCAAAAAGGGCTGGCAAGTGTGAAGCCTGAGTTCAAACCCCAATACTGCCAAAAAAAAAAAAAGGGCAATTCAAAGAAATATGAAGAAATGGCCACAAACATGTGAAAAGACTCTCCCATTCCTGAGATCTCAGGGAAATTCCCCCACACCCTCATGGGACCCTGCAGGGCACAGAGGACAGGGTGTGTAGGGGTGTGGTCTGTGTATGCTCTACATTGTCACCCAGCCATCTTAACTCAAAAGCGTAGCCTCCTGCTTCCTTCCCCTGCATGCCCTCCACTCCATCAGAGGAAGGCATGCAGTGATGAGAGTGATGAGAAATGCAGGGCAGAGGAGACCAAAACAAGCATGCTGGCGAGCGTGCAGAGCCTGGTGGGAGCCAAGGTTCTTGTGCTTATGCTGCAATGCCATGGCACAGCACCCACTGGTCCCACTGCAGCAGGGAGGAGACCAGAGGAGAAACAGACAGCCTGTGCTCTGATGACGAGGCAGGGGGAGGGATGGCAAAGCAGAGAGAGAAAACTTAAAGAATTGAAACATGAAGGTCACATAGCACTGGGGAAATGAAATAGCCAATAAAGTCACGTGCAGCCATATGTGGGTTGAGCTTTGCTTTCTGCTTCTGTAACCTGCTTGCAAGGGTATGTAAGGTGAGACCTCTTTGTTCTCGGGGCTCAGCCTTTGGACAGGAGTCTGCTGGATCCATGTGGGCACAATGAAATGTTGCTTCCTGCTAATCTGCCTCAGTGTCCCGGTAACTCATTTTGAGATTCCCGCGACACCACGGGGCCTGGGCTGCAAAAAGTCAGTGGTCACAACATGATAGCAGGCAGTGGGGAGAGAGGACCAACAGCACCGCAACCTCTGCATCTGGCCACACTGTCCAGCTCCTTCCTGACCATCACATGCCAGAGAGCTATAGGGTACCTCTGTAACCACTGCACCCCACAGAGGGTGAGGGGCAGGAACAAAGCAGTGGGGACCAGAAGAGGAAGGTGCTGGAGAAGCTGCTCCTGTGGCAGTTCTTAGCAATCCTGGCTGCCTGGCTGCCCACAGATCCAACCATCACTGCTGAGGCTGCTCTGCTGCTCTTGCCAGGTTGAGTGACTCACTCATATAAAGAGATCTGAGGCCAATATGTGCTAGTTTCTGGACTTAATATGGGGGTTAAAAGATAGTACTGTGGGGTCCTGACCAGTCCCAAGGAAAATCAGTTGAGTGGAGAGACCCTGAACTACCCTGTGCAGTGACCAGGCCAGTGCAAAAGCCCTGGGAGGCTCTGCCTAGCTGGGGCCTGAACAAGGGCTGAGTCTTAGGCCACTGATCCATTGCAGCACTTTGTGAGTCTATAAGCATCTGACCAGTCTGACATTCCATAAGCTGGTTTCTCCTGGACATGTGCCATGGTCCTTGAAGGGCTCCGGGTCAAAACAATGTCCAGGCATGACAGTGACAGCTGAGTCAGGGACAGGTAACCACACAGCAACCCCAGAACAACCACATAGCTGGAAAAACTTGACAAAAACCTTTCGGTGCTTGGGCGAATTCAATTACGATATATCTTAAGAACTTTCGTAAGTGTCACAATGTACCCCCACTACAATATTAATATAATAAAGATATTTCAGTGCTTTAGAAATAAAACAAAGACACACATCCTAAGAAGTATTTTGTTTTTGTTTTTTGGCAGTACTAGGGTTTGAACTTAGGGCTTTGGACTTGCTAGGCAGGTACTCTACCACTTGAACCATGCCTCCAGCCTATGTTGACATCTGAAAAGCTGCTCAACTTTGGGTAAGAACAGCCTGTGGTGCTCTGGCCTGGGGCTTCTCCTCCTGGATGGCAGTGAAGCCAGGCTGAGCAGGCCTTCAGTGGAGACAGGCAAGTGTGGAGGCTGAGAGCTCCACGACCTGAGGTGGGGGTGGAGACAAGCACTCCTGGCTGAGGAGACACAAAAAGGGCTGGTGGGAAACAGTAGCACAGGAAGGCACAAAGCAGTCTGAGCTGTGAGCAGATGGAACCCATGGATCATGGCCAGCAGACAGCAACCTTACTAGCTCAAGGTGGTGAGCAAATCACTGTTCACTGCTGGTCAACCATTAAGCTGGACAGACACACCTGCCTCTGAAGACCAAGTTTAAAAATAATAAAAATAAAACTCTACAGGAACATCAGCTGCCATGCAACAGAGACAGATGTCACTAACTGAGCTTAGGCAGCAACAAATCAAACCAAGCAAGCAACAATACACGGTAAACTTCAGGGCATCAGAATCCAAAGCTGCTCTTTTCTGAAGTTCCTAGATTTCAATAAAAATTTATAAGACGTGCAAAGGAACTGAAAGTGTGGCCCACATTCAAGAAGAAAGGAATGAAAGGGCTGGGAGTGTTTCCAAGTGTTGAATTTAGCAAAGACTTCAGGGATGCTATTACCGATATTTCCAAATAACCAGAGGACATGATACAGAAAAGCTTTAAAGCAAGTATCACAACAGTGATTGCAGTAAGCACAGAAATGATAATGGACCTGATGAAAAATAACCTGGGAAAAAATCTGAGCTAACAGTGTTGGAAGGGGTCACAGCAGATGCAGATGGAGAAGAAAAAGAGTGAATTTTAAACAGACTAACAGAAATGTCTAAGCTAAAGAACAGAAAGAATGAAAGACTGGAAAAAAGTGAACAGAGCCACAGAGACCTGTGGACATCAAACAAAACAATGTGGAAGGAAGGGAATCTCAGAGGAGAGCAGAGAGGGACAGAGAAGAATTCCTCAATTAAATTCCCCATTTACCTACAGATTTAAGAGGCTCTACAAACCCAAGAGAACCACAGCCACAGCCAGACTCATCACAGAAAAGAGGTGGAATCCAAAGACAAATGCTGAAAGCAGCAGAGAGGAAGGACACATCTGGATGGAGGACAGTAACACAGTCAGCAGTTTTCACCTTGGCACAGAACAGGGGCCAATGGAGAGTCTTGCCATCAGCAGAGCCACTCTTCAGAAATGGAAGATGGAAGGCAGACACTCCAAGCCAACCTGGAAGAAATGGTGGCTGGTAGACGTGCCTCACAAGAACACTGAAGGAAGTCCTTTGGTCTAAAAGGACACATAGGCCAAGGAGTAACTGCCTCCTCATTTCCAACTGATAGGATTTCTTATAATATTTACCACCTCAAAAAAAGAAAGTGCCAGGCATGGTGATGCATGCCTGTAATCCCAGTACTTGGGAGGCTGAGACAAGAGGATTGCGAGTTTGAGGACAGCCTGGGCTACATAGCACGACTGTTTCAAAACAAAACAGGGTGGGGGGTGCGGCTCAAGCGGCAGAGTGCTTGCCTACCAAGTGTGGGCCCTGAGTTCAACCCCTAGTGCTGCCAAAAACCGAAACAAAACCAAAGCAACCAAAGAGAAAAAAAAGAAAAGAAGAGAGAGAGAGAGAGAATATATCAAGTGAGGAAGACAGGTTGGTTACTTAGCTGGAAAGTAAGATATGAAAACTTAATTTAAGTAGTAATCAGAAGCATAAAATTGTTTGATCTCTGAGGCAGTGTAGCCAGACACATGGGAATCCTGCGTTGGCAGCTCTCAGAGAATGCTGGAGGTGCACTGTGTTCTGTCCACAAGGCAGTGTGGCTAATGGCCCCAAACCTAGCACCAGAAGAGAGAACTCAAACACCAACTAGTTGTAGACTCTTTGGAAGGTTATTACTGTCTTTGAGCCCTTGTAATCTCTTTGCCAGTAAAATGGTATTCACCTTCACCTCAGGGGCCAGCTTCAGGAAAAAGACCTAGTACCTTTGAAGGGTTCTGTGCAGCATGGCAGTGCCCTCAGCAAAGTCATCTGTTCTCGCCATCACCTATGCCAGCATCCGTGTCCTGCTGTTCTGGGCTCCTTCCCTGTGTGCTGGTGGTCTGTACACCACAGTGATGAGTGCTGGGAAACTTACGTAACTGAAGCTTGCTTGGCATGAGCCTCTACCCCCAGCACAGCTCCAGGAAAGGTGAACATGTGTGGGCTGTTTCTCATTGTCACAGTCTTGTAGAGAGACTTTTACAAGGCCAAAAATGCTACCCTCCTATGACGATATAGAAAGGACTTGAGTGTGTTCCCTGCAAGATCACAACAAAGTCCCTTTGAGGGTTTTTGTGGAGGCACTGGGGTTTGAACTCAGGTCCTCATGGATGCTGGGCAGGCACTCTAACCATTTGAGCCACTCCACCAGCCTTTTTTTTTTTAAATAAAGAAATAAATAGTATTTTTTTCTGTGTGTGTGGTGAGACTAAGGTTTGAACTCAGGGCTTTGCTCTTGCAAAGCAGGTGCTCTACCACTTGAGCCCACCTCCAGTCCATACCAGGCCCCTCTGAGAAATACTGGTTGCGAGCTGGGTTGGCAAACATTTTCCTTTTCTTCTTCTTCTTTTTTTTTTTTTTTGTGGTACTGTGGTTTGAACTCAGAACTTCATGCTTGCTAGGCAGGCCCTCTACTGCTCGAGCCACATACCTCCAGCCCCTCAAGCTTTTTCTTAAAGGGCCAAAAATGAACCATTCCCACAGGTCCTCATGTGAACATGTGCAATGTAGCCATGGAGAAATGTAACAGCCATTCTGGCTGTACAACAGCAGCTGACTGGCTGGAACTGGCCATGGGTTCCAGTTTGCCCACCTCTTGCCTAGAGCATCACTTAAGCAGGGTCCTGCTTCTTTGGAAACATGATGCTCTTCAAAATGAGCTGTTCCTGTTTCACAGAACTCCATACAACCAAGAAATCAGGACCACAATGACAGTGTAGAGAGAAGTGGGAGTCCTAGTGGGCACACCTGCTTCCGGTAGGGTGTGATGACACCGATGTCCCTGGCAGACACCTGGCTGGAGACGCTTCGGACCAGGAGGCAGCAGTAGCGCATGACCTGGACAGCCTCGGCTGGGCTGAACCATGATGGGCTTCTCCCTTCCCGTGCCTCGTTGCCCTGAATTAACAAGAAGAGAAAATTTAATTTGCCCAACTAAAAAAATCTAGTGGTACAGTTATTAAATAATCAGGAAATGAGAACCGTATTAAATACTAGAAAGGCGAAGGGCTGGTCAGACAAATCGATCATTTGGGCATTGACAGCAAAGGTAGAAAGTCAGGAATCACCTGGGAAAGAGCAGCCTGTGCTGAAGGGGCTTGCAGGGTCCTGACAAGGGCTGGCTCACAGCTCTCCAGACAAAGAGAAAGGCCAATGTGGCCAAAGACCAAGGAGGTACATGAGCACAGATGGCATGGCCTGGTGAGGAGCTGACTATCTGTGATCAGCAGCCAGAGGCCTGGCCACAAGCAGTAGTCCCACCACTAGCTCAAGTGTTTACACCTCCGCACTCTAGTAGCATGGCTCTCTCTACCAACCCCTGTCTTAGTCTGAAGCAGATTTCTCTCTCCTAGACTGGTTCTTATTAGAGAGCAGATATTTTCATCTTCCTTAATGCATGATGAAATATATTGACATAACGACAGACATACAGACCAATGGAACAGACCAGAAAGCTCAGAAGTATGCACATACATAGTAAAATTATTTTTGACTAGGGTACCAAAGTCATCTAATGGGGAAAGGGTGGTCTTTTCAACAAGTGACTCAGAACTGGACCTTTGCCTAAACATGTACAAAATTTAACTAAAAATGGATCAAAGGTCTGATCCTCAGACCTCGATCTCTAAAACACAAGAGACCTTAACAGAAAAGCTCCACAGCACTGGATCTGGTAATGATTTCTTGAAATGACACCAAAAGAATGAGAAACAACAAAAAAACAGATAAACTAAAGCTTCTTACGCATCAAAGAACACAATCGACAGTGAAAAGATAACCTGTGAAGCAGAGAAAACACTTGCAAGTCACATATAGAGCTAATACTCAAGATGTACATGAAACTGTGCAACTCAATGGCAAAATGCAAACCAACTAAACATGGACCATGGCCTGAACAGAATTTCTGCAAAGAAGATGTACAATGGCCAGCATGTATGAAGAGCTGCTCAACACACCCCATGCCCACTGGAACTGCTGCCATCAAAAACATGGTGAGCATGTGGAAAAATGGGAAACTGCATATTATTGGAAACTGCAAAATGATGCAGCTGCTATGGAAAAAACAGAATGGCATTTCCTCAAACAACTAAACACAGAGTTAGCATAGGGATCAGAAATTCCACTTTTAGGTATATACCCCCATATTGAAAACAAGAGACTCTCAAGAGATATTTGTATACCTATCTTATTCATAATGACCAGATGTTCTCAGCTCAAGTGTCTACTGACAGACAAACAAGACATGCACATCCACACAATGGAATATTATTCAGCCTTTAAAAGGAAGGAGCCAGGTGCCTATGGCTCATACCTGTAATCTTAGCAATCTGGGAGATAAGGAGGATCATGGTTTGAAGTCAGCCCAGGAAAATAGTTTTGTTGAGACCATATCTTGAAAATACTCAATGCAAAAAAAGAGCTGAAAGAGTGGCTCAAGTGGCAACGCTTGCCAAGCAAGTGTGAGGGCCTGAGTTTAAACCCCAGTACTGAAAAAAAAGGGGGGGGGGTAGGAAATTCTGACATGCTACAATGTGAATGGACTTTGAGACCATTAGGCTGAGTGAAGTAGCCAGTCACAGAACACCACACACTGCATGATTCCACTCATTATCGGGTCCCTAAAATGGTCAAACTCAAAGACGGAAAGGAGAATGATGCTATCACAGGCTGGCGCTGGGGGTGGCAGAAGTTACTGTTTTATGGGGACAGAATTTCGGTTCTGCAAGATGGAAAGGTTCTAGAGAGTGACTAGACAAACATGGAGATACTCAACATACTGAACCTTGTATTTAAAAGTGATTAACATGGTACATTTATGTATATTCTACCCCAACTTGAAGAAATCTTAAAAAGTGAACTGAGCTGGGAGTGGTGGTGCACAACTGCAATCCCAGTACTTGAGAGGTTGAGGTGGGATCATTATATGAGGACAGTCAGGGCTACATGGTGAGACCCTGTCTCAAAAACCAAACCAAAACAAACAAAGAGTGAACACCAGATAAAGCAATAATAACTTGAGATTTTTTTGTTATGCCTATGTAATTTATCCCTTTAAATTTACAATAAATGATTGAAGTAACTTATAAAACAGATGAATGGAATGGATACTTACAGCAGAACTTCTAAACTGATGAGAAAAAATCAGGTCCAGAAATAAGAAAAAGGTTGAAACAACATCTTTATAAAGATAAAGATGAAGGAAAGTTAAATAACCATACTGTAATTCATCTGATTAAAAGCAGAGACTCGCAGAGCGCCAGTAGCTCGCAGCCCAAGCAAGAAGATTTGCAAGACCCCATCTCGATGGAAAAAAAACCTGGGCATGGTAACTCATACCTGTCATCCCAGTTACAGTGGGAAGCATACAACAGAAGGATGGTGGGAAAAAGTGGGACCCTATCTCCAAAAGAATCAGAGGAAAAAAGGACTGGAGGTATGGCTAAAGAAGTAGAGTGCCTGCCTAGGGAATGCAAGGCCCTGAGTTCAAACCCCAATACTACCAAAAGAAGCAAAGACTGAACTGGATTAAATATGACAATATGACACCTAACTGCTGCTAAAAAACATACCTAAGAAAATATAAAGAATGAAAACAGAGGGTAAAGAAATATCAGGTGAAAATTAAAAAAGAAGTGTCAAATTAATATCTTGAGGAGAATTTAAGGCTAAAATGTGAACTGGCATGGAAGGACATTACAAATAAAGATAAAACAATGATAAACTTGTGTGTATGGAGCACAGCAAATAAATGTGTAAGGCAAGAACTAGAAATTCAAAGAGAACAACTTTAACAAAAGACTTCACTACTTTCTTCTACCTAGCTGTCACAATGCAGGATACAGCAGAGCTAAGAGACCCACATCCTCACACAAAGAATGTCAACCTTTGCTATGTTCTTGGGACACTTACCAAAACTGACACTTAACTGGCCACATTTTAAACACAACATTTATAGGCCAAAGTCCCTGATCAGAACCTAATAAAATTAGAAATAAAAGAAAGAGGTTCCAGGCTTGGTGTGGTACCAGCTACAGGGGAGGCAAAGGGAGGAGGATAGGGGTCAAGGCCAGCCTGAGCAAAAATGCAAAACCCTATCTGAAAAACATTAAAATCAAAAGGGCTGAGTGTGGCTCAAGTGTGAGGTCCTTAGGTCGCTCATCAGCAATGACAAAAAGAAAAAAAGTGGTACCAAAACATTCTTAGCTACTAAGAAAAGAGCTTTTCACCAGGTATGGTGGTACATATCTTTAATCCTAGCTGTAATCTTAGCATGTGAGAGGCTAAGGTAAGGTCAGCCTGGGCTACATAGTGAAATCCTGTCTCAAACACACACAAAAGAGAAGAGGGGACGGGAAGGGCGGGGAGGAGAAAAGAAAAGAAAAAAGAAAACTTCTCTTTCACCCTTCAATGGAGAAAGGAAATCCCAAGAGAGTCTCACCATCTGGAAGCCTTACCATTAGCAGGTGGGTCTCATGAGACCCCAGGGGGAGGCAGAGCTGTGCCTAGACATGACAGCCATACCTGCTTCCTCACTACAACAGAAGGGAGCAGGGACTTAAAAACCAGTAAGATTAAGTATACACAGTAAGGGAAGGTAGTAAGAGGGAAGAATTAAAGATGAAAGCCAAAAATAATGACGCAGAAAAGAGGTGAACTTTGTATCAGTCCATTCCGGTTTTTCAGTAACATCAGAAGATGACCCAACAGTGCTGTAACCAGGTGGTGAACGCTGAAGGCTCCGACAGGACCCTTTAGTCCCTTTCAACTATGCTGTTAAAGCGAAAAGCAGCACATACCCAGTGGTCTGTGTGCTTGGTGGCGTCCCCATGCAGTTTCTTCAGGAAGCAAGATGACAGCTGCCTTGGGCCCATCCTGTGGTGTCCAGGACACTCAGCCTTGCCTATGGTATTTATTCTGACACACCTTCTACTGAGTATAAGCCTGAGATACCCAGGGCATGGGCGGGCTCCACAGAGTGGACAGCTACTCCCAGATGACTGATGGCCAGTGAGACTGGGAACAGTCTTGACATTTTGTCTCACTGGAGGGAAGCCAAGCATGCAGGGGAGCAAGAGCCAGGCCTGCCAGCAACCTTTCAGTCAGTTCACATAGGGATTCAGCTCTTTCTGTTCAAACAGTAGGAGTGGATCACACTCTCTGCTGGACAGATGGCCTTGTCCTCCATTTCATCCTTAAGGCAAAGAACAGAGCCTAGCAGATAATAACTAAGTTTTAGAAAACACTTAACAAATCAATTAGTTACAGTGAATTCTTATGACTCTGCATTGCCTCAGTGTCCACTTAAATACAAGGTGGACCTTCTCACACCAGAAGCAGGGCTCACTCCCCCAGACAGTTTCTAGGTCTGTCTCCCCCCAGTTTCCTGTGTGGTCCATCCAGATCTTTGCTTTATTCAGTTGGTCTCTTGTGACCACCTCCTTGTTGGACAGCTAAATGTGGCCTGCTTGGCTGCCTGGCTGCCCCTCAGTCCTACGTGGACTACACAGGCAGGCTGCAGTGACCAGCACTTATCACGGGGTGACCTCCTGGAACTCTGCCTGACTGATCCAGACCCACTGTTCTACTGCCTATGGGCAACCTGTTTGGATACATCCTGGACTCAATGGAGGCGCTGGCCATGGTTTCCCCTCCCCAGTTCCTTGGCCTCCAGGTGTGTCAGTCTGTGAGTGACAAAATCTTTATTAACATCTTGTGTTTCCTAACCACTGAAAGGTGCTCTCAATCTTAAAGTCCTACATTAAAACATCAATGTTTCTGGGGGTGGTGGTGCATGCCAGTAATCCCAGCTGCTCAGTAGGTAAAAGTATGAAACCCTACCTGAAAAAGATAGCGTGCTAGGCTCTTGAGTTCAATCCCCAGTACTCTCCACCTTCACCCCACCAAATGTAATGCTTGGGGCTGTGTTCCTACATATATATATATGTATATATATTTTTTATAACTCTGGACTTTTACTATAACATTGTATATGTTCTGTAATGTACTAAGTAATTCGCTTTTTTCTTTTTTTTTTTGGTGGCACTGGAGTTTGAACTCAGGGCCTATGCTTGCTAGGCAGGCGCTCCACCACTTGAGCCATGCCTCCGGCCCTCACCTTTCTTTTATAAAACACTTAAATCTTCTCTCTATAATCAGTTTCTCATGAAAAAGCCTGTGGCGATTTTTATTTAGACTACATTAAATACAGGGTTGATTTGGGGATAAATGACTCTAAGATCCTGAGCTCTCATCAGGAACACGCCTGTCCTATTCCATGAGCTCAGGTAGAGCCTCATGTCTTTTGTCCACAGTAACCCTGCTTATGCCTCAGGAGGCTCACTTCCCTCCACTACCATTTCTGATACACAGGAGGCTCCTGAGGAGGGCAAAGCTATCCAGACAGTGGGAGGCACTCCTGTGGAAGGACAAGCAAACCAGGGCTGGGTGAGTACAGACCACCAGTGAGGGACCCAGAATGTTCATCCAGAGGGTGGGCACTCCATAGCCACTGGCACACACAATTCCACTCCACTCACTTCCCACAGATTCCAAACACCATTTCTCTTCAAGGGATTTAGAGAAACTTGGGCAGAGACCATGCTGAGTGGCGTCATCACTGAGACTTGTGCACCCGGCAAGGCATGAGAAGTGGGCTTGTTGACACCAGCTTTCCCTGTTTAGGCAAGCTGTAATTCTGGGTAATTTGAACCCCATTCTTTTGGGGAGTGAATGCAAAACTTGATTTTTGGTTCTGACAACCAAATTCCTAATTCGAACTATTTGATTTTAGTGAATGCTTGCATTTTTTTTTTTTAAAGATCCCAAGTATCTAATCCCCTCCTTCTGTGAGGCCTGGAAGCTGTCACTGTCATCCCCCTGCCTCTGGAGCTGGGCTCAGGTGCATGGCTGATCGATTCCTACAGGCATGTTCTCCTGTGACTCTGGTCCTGCAGAATGGAGCAGGCACTGCTGGGGCAGTTAGCTCCCTGATGTCCAGCTTTCCTTGGCCTGCCTGCTTTACCTCCCAGTCTTCTAATTCATGCTCTGAATTCGTCAATGACCAACGAACTCAGCCAGCCTGTGTCTCTTCTTGGAACTCAGCACTCGCCTGATGCAAGCATCAAAGGATGCTGCACTGCAGTGTCCCTCCTGAGCCTTTTCTGTGTGGAGCTCATCTGATGGGAGAGGTCAGCAGCAGCCCCTCCTTGCTGCCTTTCATGCTTGGAGACCAGCATCTGCCTGCCCCTGCAGGTTCACGACAAATGCCTGGTTACTGACGTAGGTAAGCAGCACATACAGGGAACGCAGAGCAACACAGGAATCACACAGCATGGTCATTCTGGGATCAAAATCAGTCAGCTGGAATGGCACTACTTCCTCCCTGTCCTCACCTGATGCAGCAGGCATCTAGCAGCTCAAGGCGTAGACTTACCCTCACCCCGTGGAAGATGAGAGGAAAGCCTTTCTTGGGCAGCTTCTCCCAGCCCAGCAGTGAGGTCACTACTTTGGGGTCTGCACAGACTTCAAGCTCCTTGTGATAGAACAGGCGGGAGGGCAATGCCAGCAGGGCTGAGTGGGATCTGTAGTTCTTCACCAGCTTTGTAACCTGAAGAGACAGGACAGGCACACATCACAGAGTCAGCATCACACAGTTCACGTCAAGGGGAAGGAAGTTCTGTGTGGCACACCTGAGGCCATCTGAAGATCCACCTCACAGGAGTTGTCAGACCAAGCCCCTCAGAGGACTATGGACCCAAGGGTTCATTTTAATAGAAAAGGTGAACAATGGGAGGGGCCTCCTTTTGCTCCTGAGTCCTGACCAGCTGAAGAGTCTCTTGGTGCAGGCACCTCTGGATGGCCCCTTGTGTGTTACAAGCTTTGCGCTGGATCCACTGTCTTTAAGCAAAGCCCTGTGAAGATACTCAGCCGGGCAGCAGGAATTGTTGCTATGGCCTCCCTGGCAGAGCTGTGACCATGGGGACTACAGCAGTGTGAGGAACACTTCAGTTTCTGCCTCCAACTGGTCTGGGAAGTTTGGGCAGTTCAGGCATCTGCCCTTGTTCCTGACAGAATGTCACTGCCCCCAAGGACCATAAACTCCAATCCAGGGAATGGAATGTGTTCCACCTCCAAGATGCCAATCAAAACTCCTGACCTAGTCTAGCGTCAATCACAATACCAGCCTACAGCAGTGAAGGAAAATGGGTAAAGGAAGAAGAGGCACATGGCTGCCCTGGCTCCCGGCCTCAGCTACTCTGGGAAAAACGGCTGAAGCTTCAAGACAAAACCTTATGTTCTGTAAGTCAGTCTGAGGGTCCCCTGTGCTGTGTGACACGGGCAGCATAGCTCTCAAGTGCTTTCTCTAGGCTCAGAAGACATCACGTCTCATCCCAGGGACAGCTGCATGGGCTCCTCTGACAGTGGGACAGCCGTGCCTGTCTGGCCTCCCAGAGGTCCTCCTCAGCCTAAAGACCCTTCCCCCCCAAAAAATACCCTCCACAGTCTGTCTGCTCTTTCACCCCCTTGTTTTTGCAGTGGGGAAAATGTCATTTCTCTATAATCCTCTTTGGTCATTGCACCTTAGGAACACAAGTTCAGTGGAAATCTTGTTTTTTTGTAATATGGAAGTTTAAAAAAACCCATAGTTTAGAGAGTAATAGCTTTTGTATTTAGTGATTTGTCATTGTTCAGTGACGGGACATTGACCCCAGGTTCTTCAGCTCAGTGTGTAGGGGCTCTCACTCTGACAATGTGACTAAGGCGGGTGAGCACGGAAGCTGCACATGGGTGGACATCGGGGGATCCCATGGGAGACATTCCCTTCAGCCTCTTGGTGTCAAGCCTTCTCTTTTTCAGCCAGTTACAAAAACCACTTTCTGTTTCTTCTACATTGATGGAGGAATGCAGATTTAACTTATTTTAGCCTCGGATGTCACAGACTCTGTATCATCAGCTCTGCACTTTGAATCCCCTGACCCAGGTGGGGGCCCTCAGGAGACAGAGCAAAGGTGGAAAGTGCTTTAAATCCAATCTGGAAGGTAGGGCAGGTAAGTGGAGCTGCTCAACCCCTACCCAGGAGTCTGGGGCTGGCTCTCTGCTGAGCAGACTTCTCAGGGTCCAGCACCCTCACAGTGGGGTGTGTGTGAGGGGTGGAAGATGTTTCTGTGGAGGTGGAAATGGCTCCCGTCCTCCTGGCTCCTCCTGCAGGCACTGCCTGCTCCAGGGGAGCTCTGCTCCCACTTGGTTTGAATGACTTAATAAAGCAGAAAGCAAGGGACTCACCAAAAGGGGGTTGTATGCGCCACAAGCACCAAAGGCATTCTCATCTCTCAGGTATGCTGGTCGGGACATCAGCCTCTCCAACATGGACACGTTCAGCCCATAGGCCATAGCCAGCCTGGACTTGATGACTGGACCAAGCTGCATGGGGTCGCCGGCAAGCACTATCTGTGACACACAAGACTCAACTGGTAGGGACTTGACAGACACATGGTCCAACAGTAGAGGACCCCAAGGGACTATAAGAGGAGGGTCTCCAATGAGTTAGGGTTGGGGCCACGTAGGCAGGGGCCCCTTGTTCAGTCTGGCTACAGGGGATGAGGGAAGAGGCTGAGGGCCAGGGAGTATGCAGCTGGAACTGACAAAAGCTTGGACGAGGCAGTGAAAGCAGAACACTAAATGGGCCTGAGTGTTGAGCTCCTTCACAGGGTAGTCACTACGTGCTTCCCTTTGCCCCAATTCCAGCAGTTGGGCTTGCTCTTCTATTAACGTCTCACAGTGTAAGAGCCCAGAGGATGCAATCTGTGTCCTGGAAGTTTCTGCTGTGCCTGGCCCTGGGAGACCACCCCTGGCCCTTCTTTCTGATCCCCTCTCCTAATGTAGGTCCTACATAGCCACATCATACTCATGATTCTTCATCTCTCACCCAAGGCCACATGTTCTCACTAGACTAGTCCTGGTTCCCTCCCTGGTCCCTGCTTGTGTTTGCCTCGTAGAGACTGGTAACCTGATAGGAGGTGGTGGGGCTGTGTCTTCAGGAAAGCCTGTGTATTCACATGGCAGATGACAGATGATCTCCCAACTGAGGGTGAGGGGAGAAGCAAATATAGAGTTTAAGATGACACCCACGTCACTGTCAGAGGTCAGAGGCCCCAGAAGAAAGATCATGTGGGAAGGTCTTCCAGGGGCACACGGAGATGAGGGGCTGGGAGTATGAGTAGGAGTGGACAGGGTAGATCCTGGCAGGGTACAAGGCTCGGTCCTCTCTACTTGATCATGTGGGGCTCATTCAGAGCAGGGACTACAGCTTCTGACTTTGCCAGTACTTAGAATGGTTCTTAGCTTCTGTCTGCAAGTGAATAAATCACAACAAAGCAGGCCTTTTCCTCCCAGCCCCAAAGGATTGAAGTTGTGATGAGCAGTACTGCTACAGCCTACCAGCTCCTAGGGGCTCTGGTACTTTCACCTGGCCCCTGTAAGATCCTATCTGCAGGAAAACAGTAAAAAAGAAGCAGCACATACAGTACACAGTGCACAGGCCTTACCTGGCCATTGATGTCTGAAACCAGTCCCAGAGGAATAAGGCATTCCGGCTCACTCGCCTGCCCGGCCTCATCCACAAATACATGTGTGAAATGTCCAACTCTAGAGCCAAAGATGTTTGAATAGTAATTTCTGTCAGCCTGTTTAGCAACCAATGCCTGACACATGCTGGCAAAGCCTTGCTCTGAGCCAAGGGGTCACAGTGGACTGCACAGGGAGGGCAAGAGTGTGAGGCTGGGTGTCACCTAGAAGATGTTCATGAATTCCTATTAGCACTTGGTGCTCTGTAAGCAGCATGTGTGTTTGTCTGGAAGGATGTGGATGGGACAGGGTGATTCACTTCTCCGTGCCTGTTTCCTATGTATCAGAGGGACCTGACTGATGTGAGTGGTGAGGGCTATCAAGGAGGAGCAGTGGGAACTAGCTAACTGAGCAGCAACTCCATCTGTGCACTTCCTCCTTGACTCACCATAGCCAGTGCTCTCAGGCCAGGTGTGGCCTGACCCACCACACCAACAGGCTGAGGCTGTTGGGAGCCCAGGAACAGTACCAGGCCAGTACTCTCACCAGACCTACACCATAATGGCCTTGAGGCAGCTAAACCACAGTGAGAAAACAGGGTGGGTGCCAAAGGAATATGGGAGCCATGGCAACAACAGAAGCAGGTCAAACCTTGGGCCTGACCTCAGAGGCTAGTCTCCTGCCTTCCTGACCCAAGGCAAATTCTGTCACCTCTGAGCCTCAGTGACCTGCTATAAAACAAGGCCTAGGTTAGACAAGGCCAGGGAAACTCTCTACTTGAGGTGGTGTTAGTTTACATCTTTGACCTCAGGCCTCCATTGTGAGCCTCAAGCCACTGACCTCACAGATGACACCCTCCCTGAGAGAGGAGGAATCAAGCATGCTTCCACTGCCTATCTCATGCCTCAACTTCCACTGACAATTCATAATACGTACCCTCCAGAATTAGTTTCAATTCTGTACTCACTGCAGTCACTTAACACGACTTCTCCCAGACGATCGTGCTGTGTAGCCCTTCTGAGCCTCCACAGCTCCAAGTCCCCTGCAGGCTCTCTCCCCCTGGGATGCTACCTCCTAGGAAAGCTTCTTTCTCAGTGGCCTGCCCTGGTCAGCTACCTCCTCCCTCCACCTGGACATCGCTTGTCCATGCATGAAAATGCCAGCTCTGTCCTTCCCTGTGTGGGGCGGTCTGCACCCCAAGACTCAACCTGGTCTTGCAGCAAGGTCCTCTACTGTGCACCCTTGTTTAGACCTGTGCTGTCCCCTAGCCACACCTGACTCTTGAGCACCTCATGGTGGCTAGTCTGACATACAAGTCTAAATGTAAAATACACAGAGGATTTTTTTTTTTTTTGTGGGACTGGGGTTTGAAACTCAGGGTTTTACACTTGTAGAGCAGGCGCTCTACTGTTTGAACCACACCTCCAGTCCTACACAGAAGATTTTGAAGGCTTGAATAAAAGAAATATAGACTTTATCAACAATCATTTTATACTGGTTATGTAGTGAAATAGCATTATGCAAATATGACAGGAACTAAAATAGATTCACAAAATAATTTGTAAGTAGTGAGATGACAGTATGGCTGGCCGCACACTGCTACATGGCGCTCACAGAGGCTTTGTGGGCCCAGGTGGTTACCCTCAGGACACTGCCCTAGGGTGGTCCTGCCAGAAACTGCAAGGTGTCCATCACTAGGCTGTTAGGGAGGCTGTTCCCTCAGGAACTTTGTTGCTTCTTCTCTCTGTGGCCTGTCCCACAATGGCCAACTCTCCTCACCCAGGTTTGCTTGCTGCCTCCCTGTATCACCTCCAGCACACTGACACGAGGGCACCTTGCTTATCTTCCCTTTCTCCCAGCTTTGAGGTCATGTCCTCAGAAAGCTGCCTCCAGTTCACAAGTCCCTTCTCCCCCAAGCTCTGTCTTCCCTGCAGAGTTCCCACACCAGTGACACACAAGGCCCCACAGGAGCTGACCTCACAGAACTCGCTGTTTCCTAAGCAGTCTACCTTTCATTGCTCCTCTAAGATACTCCCTTGCTTGGAAGCCTTTCAAAGACTTTCCACCCAACTAGAGGTCACGTCCAAATGCCTCTCCTGGGCCCTCAAGTCTTGGTGGCCAGGTTTCTTCTTCCAGCTCCCCACTCCATCATTCTTGCTCACTAGGCTCCAGCTCTGAGGTCTCCTTTGGGTAAATATGCTAAGGGTTATAATATATCAACGAAGCCATTTGTAGCCCACCTGCCTGACTGTCCCACTGTTACACTCTTTGATTCTGGCAACTGAGCACTAATACTGCTTTCTCAGAAAAGCCTTTAGCCCACTGTTCTCACTCTACACTGCTGCTTCCCTCCACCACTAAGTCTCTGTGTGGTCAGCCTCCCCTAAGATGCAAGTGTGAGGAGAACACAGATTCTGTCTGGGGAACCTGTACCCCATACAATACCTGATGCCTACCTCACTCCTATCTGGTAGAAAAGCCCTGCACTGCTGCACGTGGTGATTATTATCCTGAAGCGTGAGGCTCTCCAGATATCTTCCCCATCTTGACAATATGGTTTGATGGCATCAATGATGGTCTGGGGCAAGGAGGGTGGAGTCAGTCTGGTTTTCAAATTATTAAGCATTTTTTTTTTGTTGTTGTTGTTTTGGTAGGACAGGGGTTTGAACTGAGGACTTCAGGCTTGCAAAGTAGGCCCTGTACTGCTTGAGCCATGCCTCTAGTCCATTTTGCTCTGGTTATTTTGGAGATGAGGGTCTCATGAACTATTTACCCAGGCTGGCTTGAACCTCGATCCTCCTGATCTCAGCCTCCCAAATAGCTAGGATTATAGGTGTGAGCCACTTGCACCTGGCTATTAAGCATTTCTTTAAGCTGGACAGAATGACAAAGTTGAAAGTAATTCAGCTTTGCCCCATTACTACTTCTTGCCCAATTACCACTTCTTAGTGCTAACTAAGTAATGATTTAGAGGTTTTAAATAAAAATGTCTTGTATTTTCACATCAACTAAGTCCATGTTTTATGGACTCTGCATCTGTGATTATAACATAATCATGCGACCTTTGGACATTTTCTAGTCTCAATTTCTCTTTTTTTTTCTTTCTTCTCTCCCTCCCCTCCCCTCCTCTCTCTCTCTCTCTCTCTCTCTCTCTCTCTCTCTCTCTCTCTCTGCAGTAGTGGGGTTTGAACACAGATTCTTGCACTTGCTAGGCAAGCACCACTTGAGCCATGCCCCCAGCCCCTTTTCTTGCTTTAGTTAGTTTTCAGATAGGGTGTCAGTCTTTTTGCCTGGGCTAGCCTTAGACCTATGCCTCCTACATAGCTGGGATTATGGGCATGAAACACCATGCCTGGCTTGTTTGTTAAGATCTTGCTGACTTTTTTGTCCAGTTTGGCCTAGAATTGCAATCCTATCTCTTGCTTCCAAGGAGCTTGGGTTATAGGTATAAGCCACTTCACCAGGCCCTCAATTTCTTTTTTTTCTTTCTTTTTTTTGTAGTACTGGGGCTTGAACTCAGGGCCTTCACTTTGAGCCACTCCACCAGCCCTATTTTTATGAAGGGTTTTTCAAGATAGGGTCTCTCAGACTATTTGCCCAGGCTGGCTTCACACTGTGACCCTCCTAATCCCTGCCTCCTGAGTAGCTAGGATTATAGGGGTGAGCCACCGGTGCCCAGCTCAATTTCTTTTTTAAAGCAATACTTCATTCATAAGCAAACCAGGAACCTGCAATTTCCCTGAAGAAATACTCACAACCAATCCAGTAAAACAGAACTGAAAAGAAATAAAAATGAATTTGGGAATGAGATAAAAGAGGAATGTAAGAATTTAGCAAAGCTAAGATTGCCCATGATAGGACTGATAATTCAGAGGGTGTGGGAACACAATGAAACATGAAGGAATATACCCCACCATGCACCTGAGCTATGGCACAGGGCAGAGTAATTTCTCCATCACAACTGTCTGTGATGGTAGTGTCTTACCTTCTGCCCACACCTGCTCCCTAGGCATTTCCTATACTCCAAGGGGGTAGCCAAGGTATCCACCCCATGCCTGGGGCTCACCTCCTCAAACCTGCAGGTGGCATTCACCCGGACCATGGCAGCTGGCTTCAGCACCTTGCTCTCATGCAGCCGCAAACACACGAGGTCAGCAGCACTGTTGGAGGGGGCACAGACCAAAATCCGACTGTCTGGCAAAGCATAATGTACCTTCATCCAAGACAAGAGAGACCAAGAATCAACTGTAAAGCAGAAACCCTGAGTCTGACGTCCAACACACACAGGTTCACTTATAGGAACAAGAATGCAGCTTGGATACTCATCCCTGGACACCTCTGAGACACGCCCACAACATCAAACTGACTGTTCTGCCTCATCGACTGCCACTGAGACATGTGGTTAGGTGGTAAGATTCCTGCTCTGTCCACAATCCTAAATCACCTTCCAAGGCAGAGTAGTCGTGTTAATTCTCATGCACCCAACTTGCAGTACAGTACTAGGGCAGGCAAACAAGCTGTTTGCTAATCAAAATTCTAAATGACAGTAATACAACACAGTATTTTCATATATTCAAGCTGAAATATGAAAGGAGATACCAGAACTTCTGCAGAGTGGTGGCTTTAGCCACTGTCATAGCAACTTCTTCAGTAAAACTCTGTGATGGGATCAAATGGTTTACTGTTATAAAAAGGAAGAGTTTCCTTCTGTACCTATGAAATACATTTAAGACCCCGATACTCACACAGACAAACTTAATGTTAGGAGACAATGGAATTTCTCAAGATCTTTATGATATCTAACTCTAAAGTTTAAACTGATGGCCTCTGCAGACACACCCACATGAACACAGTGCACAGTATTAGGAACCAGCACCACTGTCCTCACCTGCAAAACAGCCTCGATTATTGTCACAGTCTTTCCAGTTCCAGGAGGTCCAAAAAGAATATATGGGAGTGGGCGACAGTCGCCACTCAAAATCCTTCTGACTGCTAGTTTCTGATTTTCATTTAGCACTGGATTGAAGAACTCCTCGTCCCTTGCTTTAGGGATCTGAATTCCATCTACTGCATTAAGGGAGAGACAGTTTAGAGGCCAGATGACTTTGTACAACTGCAGTATGCATCGCTGGTCAGCTGTCAGAGCACAGATGCCCTAAAGGCAGACAGATGATGGCTAGTCAGTGTGACCACTAAGCAGACCTTTGCACAGCACAATCCTGTGACCATCTGGCTTGTGCTTTATGAGGCAGTTGGGAAAACTAACATAGTTTTCTAAGAGAGAGAAAGGGCCATTTATAGATGTAGTATCACCTAAAGTATTAGAGACAGGATCTAAAAACGTCTGTAAGCTGTGTGTGGTGCCATGCATCTGTAGTCCCAGCCACTTGAGGCTGAGGTGGGAGGAATGCTTGAGCCCACAAGTTTGAGATCAGCCTGGGCAACATAGTGAGGCTCTGTCTGAAACAAACAAACAAACACAAGCTTAAAAGCTCACATGACAAAAAGAACTCACCTAACCTAAAGCATCAAGATTTCCCTTGGGTCCAGGCAGGATGAGGCCATAGCCTATTTGGATAACGCATGTGTCAGAGACTATATCCCCAACCAGAGTGTGCTTGTCAAGGCCCTTATTTTCAAACATGAATTTTCTTCGTTACTCTTCTTTGAACCTCTTTTCACATACCCAACTTACTTGTCTCTGCAGTGTACGCCACCATTCCCAGCAGGTCCGTGCCACCCATATGCCTTTCCTTTGCTGCGTTTTTTGTTTGGTCCTTCGTGGTTTTTCTGTTCTAGAAATGATCATGCAGAAAGTGGCTGAGAGCCCCAGCTTTGTGTACACTGGCTATTTTGAAAAGCAAATGTGAAAATCTACCAACAACATTCTGCTGTTACATTTAACAGCTCTCTGGATGGTCACAGGTCCTATCCTTTCAAATATAATGAAAATACAGAACATTTAATAAAAAGCCACTGGCATCAAAAGTCTGGTGCCAGTGTCTCACACCTATAATTCTAGCTACTTGGGAGGCTGAGATTGGGAGATCTCAAGATTTGAAGCCAGCCTGGACAAATAGTTCCAAAGTAAGCAGAGAAGAATGGCACAAGGTGTGGCTCCAGTGGTTGAGCACCTGCTTTGCAAGTCCAAAATTCTGAGTCAAACTCCAATCCCACAAAAAAAAAAAAAAAAAAAAAGTTTATGCTGCTTTTTTTGAACTCTCCAAAATAAATATAAATTAAATTTTGTGATGAAACCAAAATAAATGATTAAATTTTATTTGACTAACATACATCCTTCCTCATCCAAGGCTTGCCTACATAGGGAAAGCTGACAGCTGCTGGATGGCCCAGGGCAGACCTCTCTTGAGAACTCCACTGTGCAGCATCTTGGTGCCTTTCCGAGGTTACAATGAACCAGCACTGCCTCTCAACTGTGTTCAAGACTTAACAGGAACTGGTCTTGTAGATGTGCTTAAACAAAGATTTAATTTGCCCAACTGGACCAATGGAACTGCTTTTTCAACTTTTCAAAGAACAGAATTCTGTAATTCACACATGTATCTTTGTGCAATCAATTAATGTCACAGGATAAATCTTGAAAAATTGCTACATCAAAAGTTTCTCCATGAAAAATGTTGCATATATTGCCAAATTTTATTCCAGAAGGCATCCAAGACAACCTCCCACCTCGTCAAATGGGTGTTTCAGTAAGGCACAAGTATGTAAAGTGTAAAATTTGACAAGTTTGAACATGTGAAACCATCAGCAAACATAAGGTGCCAAGCAGATCCACCCGTCCCCATGCTCCCTCAGGCAGCTCCCTCCTGCTGTCCTGTACCTGGTTTATTGTCCTAGCACTTCATACAAATGTGGCCATGAGGTATGCACTCTTTTTTGGACTGACTTCTTCTATAAAGTTTGTTTTGAGATCCATTTACTGTCACTGTATTATTCTTTTCTATGGTGAGTATTATGCCTTGGTTAAAGCACACCACATTTCTTCATCCATTCGCCTGTTGATGGACATTGAGTTGTTCCTAGTTTGGGACGGTTATCGTCGAAAACTCCTGGAAAGTTCATGGATGCTTTGAACAAGCACAGGTTTTCATTTCTCCAGGGCACCCACCTGGCAGACAAAGGGCTGGACCATATGGTCAGAGCAGGTTCAGTTTAAGAATCTGTTTTTCACAGTGGTTGTTCATTTGCTGTTCCCACCTCAGAGAGCGAGGTCAAGTTCCTCTACATGCTCACTTAACCTGGCATGGGCAGTGATAGTGGTAGCTCACCATAGCTTTAATCATCTCCCAAAGATGGTAACAGTGTTGAACATCTTCCCACAGTTTACACCACCTGTATCTACTCAGTGAAGTGTTCACATCCTTGGTGCGTTTCTTAAATGGAGTTGTCTTCTTACTGAGCTTGCAGAATTCTTTAATGAATACTCTGGACACATGTCCTTTATCAGACAGGTTATTCCCAAGTATTTGGACTGAACCCAGGGCCTTGCCTTGCTGGGCAAGCCCTCTACCACTTGAGCTGTGCATCTAGTCCTTCTGTTCTTGTTTTGTTTTTTGAGATAGGGTCTCAATAACTTTGCCCAGGCTGGCCTCAAACTCACAATCCACCTTTGCCTCCTTTGTCACTGGGATTATGGGCATACACCATCATGTCCAGCTCCACAGTACCTTTTGAACAGCAAAATACTTAATTTCACTGAAGTCCAATTTACATTTTTTGTGTCACTTTTAAAATGATCTGCCCAACCACAGGACGCACAAATATTCTCCTATGCTGTTTCAACAAGTTTTCTAACTTTAGGCTTTACATTTAGGGCTGGGGACTTTTTTGAATTAGTGTTTATACATGCTGTCAGGTATGGATCCAGGTTCATACTTCTGTACATGCTCTGAATTTGTAGGCTGAAAACACTGAGACTGCCCAGTGACACAGTCTCTCTCGACTTACATCAGTCTTCTGGCACTCTGTCTTATCAGGGCTTCTTAGTTGCCAGTGGAGTCTTACATCTCTTGTCAGATTTATCCCTACTTTTTAAAACACTGAAATGCTATTTAAATGGCATTTTAAAATTTCAATTTAACAACAGTATACAAAATGTACTTTTGTATGTTGATGTTTTTGTTTTCTTGTTAAATCATTTCCTTTCACAAGCTTCACTGTAGATTCCAGATTTCCTACATGAGTTGGAAAACAGGGTCTTACTCTATTGCCTTGGCTGGTCTTGACTCAGGCTGGTTTTAATTTCCTAGACTTTGGTGATTTTCCTGCCTCAGTCTTCCAAGTTATCTGGGACTATGGATGTGAATCACCACACCCAGCTTAACTCTTTTTCTAGTTAAGAAAAAGTTCTGATCAGGAATGGATGTTGGATTTTGTTAGGTTCCTTTCTGTGTCTACTGAGATGACTTGTATGACTTTTCCTTTTTGGTGTGTCAGTGTGGTGAATTACACTGATTTTATTTTGGGGATGTTAAATCAGCTTCTCATGCCTACGATGAACTCTTTGTCTCATATACTGTCTGTTGAGATTTAGTTTCATGATTTATGCATCGACATTCACGAGTGACGTTGGAATGTAGTTTTCTTATTCTACTTTTGTGGTTTTTGCTTTGGTATCAGTGTAAGGCTGGCTTTATAAAATGAGTTTGGAATTAAACTTCTTCAAGTAGAAGAGTCTGTGTAGAATTGGTGTTATTTCTTCTTGAAATGTTTGACAGAATTGACCAGCAAAGCTACCCAGGCACAGAGCTCCTATGGGGGAAGGTGGAGAATATTTCCAAGTTCAATTTCTTAAACAGATCTAGAACTATTCAGTCATGAGTATCTTGCTGAGTGGGTTTTAGCAATATGTCTTTCAACGAATGTGTTTTATGTAAGTTTTTGAGTTTATCAGGACAAAGTTGTTTATTACCATATTAGTTAGCACTCTCCAGGAAACAGAACCAATAGTGTGTGTCTAGAAAGAACGAGAGAGGGAGCGATAACTATCCCTGAAACTGTGGGTAGTACCGAACCCTGGTATGTGCTGTGCTTTTTCTCCTGAACACACATACACAAACGTAATGCCTTTTTCCATTTTAAGCACCTATCACACACTATGGTTATAACTTCTGCAGTGTGAGGTGTGATGGAAAAACCAGCAATTTTTTTCTATTTTGAGAACTGTGGTTTTTCACTTAATGACTTCTCGCTGGCACACCCCAATAGCCAACACCATTACTCTTGTGCTTTGGGGTAACTGTTAAGTAAAATATGGGTTACTTGAACACAAGCACTGTGCTACTATGATGGTAGATCTGATAAGATCTGAGATGGCTACAAAGTGATTAATGAGCAGTAACAGGCGGGAGGTGTAGACAGCAAGAGTATGCTGGACAAAGGAATGAGTCATGTCCTGGGAGGGACGAAGAGGGCCTGTGTCAGATTTCATTACACTATTCAGAATAGCACACAACTTAAAACTTGTATGTTCTTTATTTTTGGCATTTTTCATTTAGTATTTTTGGACCATGGATGACTGCAAGTAACTGAAGATGTGGAAAGCGAAAAAATGGACAAGGGGGGACCACTATATAAGGAACTGTTTCATGCAATTACAAAGGCTGAGAAATCCGAAGATTGCAGTCAACAAGCTGGAGACCAGTCTGAGGCTGAAGATGAGGACCAGATGCATCGCCAAAGGTGTGAGTGAGTTCCCACCTGGAGAACCCAGATGAGCCATGTTCCAGTTCAAGTCCAAAGGCAGGTAAACACTGGCATCCCAGCTGAAGACAGTCAGCAGGAGGAGTCCTCTCTACTGTAGGCATAGTCAGTCCATTTCTCCTATGCAGGCCTCACCTGACTGGACGCCCTACCACATTAGGGAGGCAATCTGCTTTTAACAGACTACCACTTCAAATGTAATCCCATCCAAAGAGCAGTCACAGATACAACCAGAATAAAGCTCAAACAAGTATCTGAGCACCCAGTCAAGGTGACACATAAAGTCAATCATCACAACAAAGTACCTGTGGACTCCAGTGATGTCACATTTCTCATTCTTGGTATTAGCAATTTGTATCTTTACTCTTCTCCCCCTCATCAGTCTGGCTTGAGGTTCAGCAATTTGATACACCTTCTCAAAAGACTAGCTTTTTAAAAGAAAATTTTTTGAGCTAGGTCTTGTTATGTAGCCAAGGAAGTTGGCCTTGGCTTTAGCCACTACACCTGGCTAAGTCCAGCTTTTAGACTCACTGATTTCTTTTTTTGTTTCCATCTCAGTTACTTCAAGCCTGATATATTTCTTCATCTGTGTTTTGTGTGTTCTTATCTTTCTATAGCCCTCTAGTTTCTTTTTGAAGGAGGAAACAGAAGTCACTCATTGAAGTCTTTGTATTTTTTAAATTTGGACAGTGAGTGCTATACATTTCCATAAAGAGAGCTTTGACATTGTCTCAGTGTCTCCTGCTACACTGCATTTCAACTCTGGTCACAATACTTTCTAATCATGCTTTTGATATATCTTCTTTGATGCAGTGTTTACTTATCAGTGTGCTTTTGGTTTCCAGGTATCTGGGGATTTGGCAGGTCTCTATGCTGCTCACTGCTGAAGGTCACACTGTCCTGTTGTTCGTTCATATCTTCCACCTCTGTGATGGTTCTGCTTCCTTTCCCCAGCACTGCTGAGAGGCGGACACTGGTGGCTTTGTAATCATGGGTTTGTCTATTCAGTTTTGTAGTTACACAAGTTTTATATTTTGGAGCTATTCTCTGGTACCCAAGCACTTAGCATTGTTATGTATTCTTGATGAATTATCTTCTCTATTATGACATCATCATCTTTATCCTGATAATCTTCACTCTAAAATCTTCTTTCTGTGGCATGAATAGAGTCACTCCATCATTCTTTTAATTATCACATCTTTTTTTAAAATAACTTTTCTCATCACTTTACTTTTAGCTTGTGTCTTTTTACTTAAAATGTGTTTTTGGTACAGTGTATATAGTCAGATCTCTGTGTCCATAGGTTTCATAGCTACAAATTCAAGCAACTTTAGATCAACGACAGTTGAAAAATCTTTGTCTGTACTTAACATATACAAGCTTTTTGAGTCATCATTTCCTGGATACAGTGTGACAACTATTTACATTGTATTACATATTATAGGCTATCTAGGAATGATTTAAAGTATAGAGGAGGAAGCAGGGCATGGTGGCTCATGCCTGTAATCCCAGCTACACAGGAGGCCTAAGTAGGAAGGCTGTAGTCCAGACCTGCTGGGGGAAAAAGGTAAAACCCTATCTGAAAAATAATAAAAGCAAGAAGAGCTGAAGGCGCAACTTAAGTGTAGAGTGTCTGCCCTGAGTACCCTGGTACCACAAAAAGAAAAAAAAAGGAGGCTGTGTGTATGCTAGAGGCAAATACTATGCTATTTTATATATGGGTTAGAGAATTTGCATTCTGGTACCCTGGATAGGGGTAGGGCCCTGGAACTAATCCCCTGTGGACACCAAGGGATGACTGTAATTAGGTTTTTCTTTTTAGTCCAATCTGGCAATCTCTACCTTTTACTTCAATGTTTAGAACATTTACATTTAATGTGATCAATAAGGTTAGATTTAAATCTATCTTCTCATTTGTTTCTGAGTTTCATCCGTCCTAGGTACAAGACTATAACCACTATTTCAATTCCCCTCTCTCTATAAGCGAGTGCAGAGGTGGACAGCACATCAGCAAGATTACAGGCATGTGAATACGTGTCCCTACTTATCAATTATTTTTATGATTCCTTCTTAATTCTTCTATTGATCTGTTGGCTATAGTTCTTTGCACTGTTACTTTAGTAGTGGCACTCAGCTGTACAGTATACATATGTAGTACAGTGTGTGTGTATATATACATATGTATACATGCACATATATACGCACATGCACTTCATATATATGATGCATGTATGTACATATATAGTATAGTATTCATCTTTAACTGACTAAAGAGTATGTCAAGTCATATTATAACCACTTCTCAATCCTCTAAGAACCTTGTGATATTATTCTTTTCTCCTATCCTTTGTGCCAGTGATTTACAATGATTTACAAATGTCACAAACTCCACAATACATTACTATTATTTCAGCTTCAAAAAGTCAATCATCTTTTAAAAAGAATTTTTAGAAATAAGAAAAACTGCTGAGTGTGGTGGTTCATACCTGTAATCTGTTCTTAAGTGGCTAAATAGGAGGATATTAAGTTGGAGGCTGGCCTGGGCTACACAGTGAGACTGTATTAAAAAAAAGAGCTGAAAATAACAAAAAAGAAGAAGAAAAGTTCTTCTGTTTACATTATGCATGAACATATCTTCCTGGCCTTTGCACAGATCCTCATTTTCATGTAGTACCATTTCCTTACACCTGACAGGCTTCATTATTTCAAGCAGTGCAGATGTGCTGGTCACTAATTCTTTTGTATGTCCAAAGAAGTTTTTATTTCACCTTTATTTCTGACTGTATTTACTAGGCACAGAATTCTGGGTTGGCATTTTCCTTTTTTCTTTCAGCACTCTAGAGGCAGCATTTAATGTCTTCTGGTTTACAGTGTTTGACAAGAAGCCTGCTGTTCTTTTTCAGTGGTACTCGAGTCTGAACTCAGGGCTTCAAACTTGTGAGGCAGGCACTTTTCCACCCTAGTCTTCAGCATTGTTCCTCAGATTGATGGTCATCTGCCTTGGCATAACTGTCTTCCTGCTTCCTGTTCTTGGGGTTTGTTGGACTTCTTAGTATACACTTCAGATTTGAAGCCTTCCAGCTTTCTTCCCTCCCCTTCTTTGTAGTGGGGAGTGAACCCAAGGTCTAGTACATGCTAGGCAAGTGCTCTACCATTGAGCTACTTACCGAGCCCTTGGTTTTTTGAGACAGGGTCTCACTTTCTAGTACATACTGGCCTTAAGCTCCTGATCCTGCTGCCTCAGCCTCTCGAGTGTTGTCATGTAACACCACGTCTGGCCCAGTCACTGTTTTTTCAAATGTTCCTCCTGCTCTCCCTTTTCTGGGACTCTAATAACATGTATGTCAGGCCACCTGAAGTAGTACCACAACATACTGATGCTCGTCATCTAAGAATTTATGTTTTAGAGCAATTTTTTCTTGTTTTTTATTCATCTTTTCTCTGTTTAGTTTTCAATAGTTTTTTTTTTTAATTGATAAAGCTTCAAGTTCACTAGCCTTTTCTTCTGGATTGCCTAGTCTCTGTTCCTTCTGCCCAATATATTGTTCATTTAGGCAATGAATGTTTCATCTATAGGTGGTAAATGTGTATCTTTTATTTTTCTTTCATGGCTCATTGAAGTTATAATTGTTTCAATGTTCTTGTCTGCTAACTCTATCATGTAACTGGGGGGGTACTGGTTATAGCTGATTACATTTTCTCCTTATGGTCTCTATTTATTTACTTATTACTTATTTACTTACTTTATTTATTTATTTGTACATGCTGGGGATGGAACCAGGGCCTTGCACATGCTAGGCAAGTGCTGAGCTATATCCTCAGCCCAGTTTCTTTTTTTTAATCAGATATCGATCACTGTGAATTTTATGCCTTCTTGAGTGCTGGATCACGTTTGCATTCTAATAAATATTCTTGAACTCTGTTCTCAGATGCAGATCAACAGCAGCCTTGAGTCTAGGGATGGACTTTCCCTACTTGAGACAATACTCCAAGAACTCCCCAAGGACTGACAAGTTATGAATCATGAGGCTCTCCTTCTCTGACTATAGCACTGTGTCAACTTTTAGAAGTGTCATCTCCCAGCCTGGGTTTTTTTTTCTTCCAAACTGACACTGATGGATATGGTAAAAACTCAAGGGAACATTTGTAGATCCCCAAACTACTCCCTTTGTCCTGCCCCTTCCTAGGCACTATCAACTTTATCCACCTGCACTCCTGAGACCTCCATTTTGTCTCCTCAGCTCAGACAGACTCCTGGGTTCCCTCTTTCTGCACTTTGGCCTGGACATCTTCTGAAGTCTGTGGGGGTGGACACAAGGCTTACCTTACTTGTTTCCTTCCTCTTTCTCAGGAAATCACTCACTGTCCTGAGACAGCTTATGGCTAATGTCTCAAACTGTTGTTCATACATCTTGCCTGGTTTTAATTATTTCCATATAATTCTTTCTTGGTTGATGTATGGAATGCCCTTGAGTTTATCTGCAACCTAGCTGATCTATAGGAAGACAATATTCTACATTTATGAATATTTAAGATCCAGCCAGTCAGGAGTGTATCTGCCTGAACAGCAACAGTTCCTCCACCTCGCCCCACCACCCACACCACAGACTCTCCCTGAGAATCAGGCCACAGAATGAACCACGAATGAGTCCAGGAAGGACAGAAAAGAGCTTTGCAGATGGCACTGCATCTGTGCCCAGTAAAGACCTCTTTCTATTTTCAGAACAAAAGAGAGGTCAAATATAAAACATGTAGATAGATTTTAAATAGATAACTTTTTTTGTTTCATTTATAGTATTTTCTATGATTATGTAGGCATTCGAACACTATCGGTTTTGAATTTTTAGACAGGGACTATGAACTGGTAAAAGGGTTTCTAGATCTTAGATATAATTTAAACATTTATATTATTATAAATTTAAGCTATACCCGTGAGACCATGTTCCAACAACACAGAATTATAGGTCATTAACTCTATCATGACATGGGTTGTTTTTCTCATTACTAGAAATACAAGAATAAATAAAACTTCTATTTTATTCCCAAAAATATACTGAGAGCCTAGCATACTACCTGGCACATTATAGACTCTATATTACCACTGAGAGGCAACTGGATTGTACCAGTAAAAATGGTCTCTGCAGCAGAAACCAAGGTTGCAAACAGGGACACAAGTTTGCTGGGCATGTGTCTTTCCAGACATGCTGTGTACGTATGCAATCACATAAATGTATCAGAGTATATATATGAAAAGCATACAATTTAAAAATAAAACAGTAAGATTACACAAACACCTGCATCTCACTTCCCCCCATTAAATACACTGTAGCATCTTTGATTTACATTTAATTGCACACAAATCTGTAAGTCTACTTCATAAATATTTTAGTTTTAACTATGACTGGGGTTATTTGTGAACTGCACTCCTCTAATACTCCAATCAAGTAAGAGCTAGCTTATTTGAAAGTGAATTCATATTATCTACTTAAATACATCAAAGCACTACCTTGGTGGTGGACTGTCCATCATTTTTGGTGTCTTGTGCATGGCTCCAATTTCCTGTCACTTGGGGAGACTGTAAAATGATTTCTTCTGGAAACAACACTTTAAAACAAGAAGTGGTAAGAGGATACATGTTACTGAAAAGCTTAAAAATACGAATGGAGGCAACCTAAATGCTTATGGCTGATCCTAAAGTAGTTCATATTCTACTCTTCTCCCTTTGGACCCCTTTTTTCCCTAAAGTTAGCATTTATCAGTACTGCATATTGTTTGCAATGAGTCATTTTCTTGTCTGTGTCAGTGCAAACAATGAATTACACTACAAAGTGCAAAGCAGAGCACAGTGAATTTATTTTTAAATATTTAAGCATGTTCTTTTTATGTAGTTAAAATAGTAAAAAGCATAAACTTTCCAAGAGAAAAATAAAAACGTGGCTATCACATATTTTTACTTTTGACATATGATTGAAAAGACTGTTTTACACAAAATTTTCTAGGAAACCTGTAACTATTCTGGGAAGATATAACACTACCACTCTATGAAATAATACCTTTTACACCTAAGTGGATGACTTGTTCAAGTGCAAAATGACACCGTCTGCTTGTGGTCCTGCCAGAAAGAAAAACATAAGTAACTACTAAGGCAAGCGAGGGTCACAGAATTTGTTTACATAATTGTTAGGGTGTGTCTCCTTTTTTTGTAGTGCTGGTGACTGAACCTAGGACATGCTGAAATTAAATTGCACTGTGGTAGTTTTGGGAAGAGCCTTTAAGAGGTGAGGAGGTCAAGAGGACAATACTCTCATTGTAAGAGTGGCTTTGTTATAAAAGTGACTTTGAGTTTAGCTTTCTGAGCTTTAACATGATTAATGCAAAAACATCAAGATACTAAATGATAAAATATTAGAGGTATTTCTCTTAAAATATGAAACAAGACATTAACACAAGAGATAGAAAACTATGATTAAAAAAAAAACAAACTAAAACATACAGGGTATGGATACCTAACAGGACAATAAACAAGAAATCCAAAGGAAAACAAGGAAGATCACAAATGAGAACTGTGCTAGGTACAAACTATTGTTCAAGAGGAAGATGCACTATCACAAAAATACCAATTATCCCTATATTTTAACATCTTTGTAAAAAGATAAAACAATCTTTATTGCTTCACTGTTTGTAACAGCAAAATACTGGAAGCCTGAATACCCAGCAACAGGAGACAAGTAAAGTAACTTTAGGCTACTTTCATCAGCAGGGTAACACTCATGCAATGCCAAACACCTGAATAAAGGACTCAAAATCATGGCCTCAACTACCACCCTAAGAAACTACAGAAAGAAAAGAAGGAACCCAAAGTCAGCAGGAGAAAGGAACTGATAAAGGTAAGAGCAAAAATCAGTGAAATAAATAACAGAAAATTAGCTAGTCCACTTGTAGCCAGTGAACTCTTTATAAGGTTGTTAAAATGGCAGGCTTCTTTCTACACAGACGCATGAGAGAAAAAAAGAAAATACAAACCACCGACATGAAAAAGTAGAAAGGTAAAATCACCACAGATCACACAGATATTAAAAGGACAGTAAGGAAGTACTATGAATAACTTCATGCAAATAAATCAGACAATATGGATGAAATATACAAACTCCTTAAAAGACACATACTAGGCTGGCAGAGTGGCTCAAGCCACTAAGAGTGTCTGCCTAGCAAGTGTTGAAGCCCTGAGTTCAAACCCCAGTGCTGTCAAAAAAAAAAAAAAAAAAAAGACACATATTACTGAAGTTCACTCAACCAGATTGATAACTCAAATAGTAGTTAATCAATTTTTGTAGTACTGGGGTTTAAACTCGGGGTCTCATGCTAGCACGTTAGGAAGGCACTCTAACACTTGAGCCACTCCACCAGCCCTTTTTGGTGTTGGGTATTTTCAAGATAGTCTTGCAAACTATTTGCCCAGGCTGGCTTCAAACCATGATCCTCCTGATCACTGCCTGCCTACAGGTGTGAGCCACAAGAACCCGGCTTTCTTTTTATCTATTAAAGTAATGGATACATAGTTTAAAAGTTTCCCACAAAGGAAACTCCAGACTCCAGGCCTTGGGGTGAATTCTATGAAATGTCTAAGGAGGAAGCAGTACTCACACTACACAAATTCTTCCAGAATATGTAGGAGAAAGGGATGCCATAAACCCATATATACCATGAACACAGATGCAAAAATGAGTAAAATTTTAGTGAGTCAGATCTAGCAATGCAGGAAGAACTGCATCATGTCCAAGAGCAGTTCACCCAGGAATGTGAAGTTCACTCTACATTAGAAAGCCCAATTAATGTAACTGGCTATCTCAGAAGGCTAAAAAAGAAAAACCACAGATGTGGAGAAAGCATTTGACAAAAGCCATATCCATTCTTGATTAAAAATCTGGAATCTATCTAGATAATTAGTACCCTGTCTCCTCACCCTGCAATACTGACTGAGGCTGGGAGCAAGGGAAGCACGTCCCTTCTCACCACTTCACACTGTTCCCAAGGTTCTTGCCCATGCAGGAAGGCAAGGAGAAACGCACAAGATGCACCCCAATATGAAAAGCAGAAGAAAAACTGCCTTTATTTAATATGTGATTATACTGTATAAAGTACTACCGATTACTTTTATAAATACTGAAAAACAATTGGAAATTTAAGTTGAAATTAAATGTTTACAATAGTATTAAAATTTTTTTAATGGATAAATCTGACAAAAGATATGCAAACCTATACACTGGAAAGTACAAAACATTGCTGAAAGAAATGGGAAGAAGATAAATGAATAGGTACACAATTTTAAGGACTAGAAGACTCAGTATTGTTATGTTATCCATTCTCTCTCAAGCTCACCTACAGACTCAATGTAATTCCCATCAAAATGCCAAAGGGTTTTTGTAGAAATTGACAGTATGTGCTAAAATCCACATGGAAATACCGAAGAAGACAGCGCCAAAAAAGGGCAAAGGTGGAGCTTTACATGACCTGATTTTAAGACTTACCATAGAGGTACACACTACAGTCTCAATGCTTGTGTCCCCCAACATGATGGTAGTGGAAGGTAGGGACTCTGTCAGGCATAAGGCTATGAGGGCTCAGCATGAATGAACAGGACCAATGTCTTTATAAAGGGACCCCAGGACTCCCTCATCTCTTCTGCCACCTGAGGACAGAGCATGAAGGCACCATCTATGAGCCAGGAAACAAGATCTCACTAGACACCAAATCTCCTGGCATCTTCATCTCAGACTTCCAACCCCCAGAACTGTGAGAAATATATTCTGCTTTTTATAAGCCGCCTAGGCTATGGTGCTCTGTCATAGAAATAGTAGTCTGAATGGACTACCATAATATAGCAAGAAAGGCCACGTGGCACTGGTGCCAAGACAGACAATGTATCAATGAAACAGAACAGACCGCTTAGGGAAGATTTACAGATATATGGTTAATTGGTTTTCTACAAAGGTACAAAGGACATTCATTGGTGAAAGGGCAGTTTTTCCACAAATGGTGCTTGGACAAAGCGGACATACATACTAAAGCTCCCTAATTTCTACTCATACCCCACGTTTGCAAAAATTAACTTGAGCTAGAGCATAACCTTAAACATAAAACCTAAAGCTGAAACATTTCTAGAAGGAAACACAGGAGAAAATCTTTTTGATCTTAAGTTAGGCAAAGATTTCTTAGATGTATCACCAAAAACATGATCCATAAATGAAAAAAATGGTAAAACTGAACTCACTCAAAATAAGTAATTTTTGTTTTCCAAAGGGCACTATAAAAATAATGAAAAGGCTGATGGAGTGGTTCAAGTGGTAGAGAACCTGCCTAGCAACCGTGAGGCTGAGTTCAAACCCCACTGCTACACACACACACACACAGAGTAATAACAGTGAAAAATGCATGTCACAATTAGAAAACATTTACAAAACATATTTCGGGTAAGAGTATATATATAAACATCTCTGACAGCTCAATCGTAAGAAGAAAATTTTTTAAAAAGGGCAATATCTGGAGAAGACATTCAACAAAGAAAGATGATATGTAAGTGGCAAATGAGCACATGAAACACCATTAGTCAATGGAGAAACAAACTAAATTTACGAGCCTTCATAAGCCACCTATACAATGGCTTCATGTTCCAGAGCAAAAACAAGTCAATAAAAATTTAGGTTTACAAATCAGCTGCAAATCTTTTATCCCACCATCTCAATGGAGGATGTGCACCCTTCAAGGAAGATCACTGCTCTGACCTGTGGTCTGGAACTCATTTCCTCACACATCCCCTCAGCCTAGCATCCCTGCTTCTTCCCATTCACCAAACACCTCAGTGCTCTCATGTCCCTCATCTGAAACAATAAACAAAAAATGTCCTCTCTCTGGGACTCATGTATCACTCTCTCTCTCTGCCCTTCCTGCCTTAAAGAACCAACTCCATTCTCTGTTTCATCAGTCCACTTCCCTCAATACATTCCAACATAAGTACAATACAAACACTGAACAACTTCTCAAACAAGACACAAGAAGCACTTCTATAACAACAACAACAAAAAAGATGGACAAATTTGATAAAGTTAGCACCTTCTGTTAACAAAAAGTATTTAAAGGAAAGCTAAAAGACAAGTAACACTGGGCTAGTGATGTGGATTCAGTGATAGCATGCTTGCCTAATATGTGTGAAGCCCTGGATTTCATTCTCAGCACTGAAAAACAAAAAAAGGAAGTAGAGAAGAGGGGAGAGGAGGGATGGAGGAAGAGAAGACAAGTAACAAACTTGGAGAAGATATTACAAAAAATAAGAAAAAACTTCTACAAATAAGAATCAGATAAATCATTCAATTAAAAAAAGATACAAGCAAGCATCTCATAGATGAAAATTTTATAGCTAAAAAACATGGGGATTCTCTTTTTTTTTTTTCTGGCAGTACTGAGATTTGAACTTTTGAACTCAGGGGCTCAGGCTTGCTAGGTAGGTGCCAGGGTGGCACAACTTAAGAAGTCTAATGAAATTAAGTTTCAGGGAGGATATGGATCAATAGGTTACTATACACATTGGCACAGAAGTCAATGCCACACCCAGATGTAGTGTGGAAAACATGATCAAATCCCAAAGCCTACAATTCACTCCTAAGTGCACTGTGTCTCCTTCATTACAGCCACAACAATCACAATAGTGAGAATGTCATCAACAGAGCTGGCAGAGTAACTCTTCTGTCATCAACAGAAGAGCAGATCCAGGGTAGATTGTCACACACATAGAGCAGTAGTTGCAGTTTCTCCTTTTATAAACTGCAAAAGATTTTTGCATATACAAACAAACGATTTCTTTAGAAAATAAGGAGTACTCCCGTAACCCCAGCTACTTCGGAGGCTGAGGCAGGAGAACTGAGTTGAAGGCCACTGTGGGCTACATAGTGCAACCCCCGATCTGAAAAAAAAGTTAGAAAAGGATAAACAGAACTCTAGTTAATGGTTGGGGGATTCAATGGAGAAAGGGACAAGTGGGTGACAGCTTATATAGCACGTGTATGATAAATAAATGATGGTAAGAGTGGGCATGGGCCAAGGATTTGTCATATAAAATCCAAAAAAGAATGTATACACAAATGCGCGAATATCTTTATTTGTTAATAAAGCTGTACTTGTACTTGCACACGTGGTGCCTGCACCACCCACAAAGCACAGGTATGGCCAACATGATACCCCTGCATCACCATGGATACTTCAACAGGCTCACACAAGAGCAGACCATCCAACAAACTCACTAAAGCCTTACCTATTGTATGTAAACTCCACATCCATAGGTTCAAAGTTGTATGTTTGTTCAAATTTTGGATTAAGTTTAAGAGTTACATCTTCTTCATGAATCTGAAAAACAAACAAGTAATTCAAATTCCATACATTGAGACTTGACTTCTTGGACCAGTCTCATTTATATCTTAATAACATATCATGAAAAATTCATTTTATAGATCTGAACCAAAATGGTATCTTAAATTCCTGCAAAACTAATTAAAAGGATTAAATCATTATGTCATTAAGTTATACAAACAGGAGGCACTGGCAGTCACTGCGCTCAAGCCAACATTATTTAGTGAACTTCTCCCTGAGCCAAAGGCTCTGAGAACACAGGGTATAAGATGGGCTGCTGACTCAAAGGACACCAACCACTTTAATTCAGCAGTTCCTGCTGAATTAAAGCCTCCACAGAAAGGTCATTACAAAATTTCCCTGCCTCCTACTATGGGGAACTAGATAAAGGTAGATCCTGCATAAAACAATTCCTCATAGTTTCTCCCGGACAAACAGGAAACAAAGAGAACTCCTCAGGAAATATGGGATAACTGCTCATTCTAGATGTGACTTCTCCACCAGCCACACCATCTGGGGCCTCATGAGAGCCTTCTGTACCAGCATAGTGTCACACACCATACTCTGTTCAAAAATATATGTAAAGCCATGCTGAAAAGACACATGCCAAGAGCTGACTTTATGGAACACCAGGCATCCTACAGAATGACCATGGTGTCTCAGCACCATGGCAGGCCAGCTGCTTGTCACATCAGCTCTTAATGAGTTCCTGGGTAGTGCCACTGCTCCATGCACTGTGGCTCAGGAACCAAGGTGGGGAGGTACTGGCAGTTCTTCTTGCTGAGATTTCTGGTCCTGCTTCTTTGGAGGCAGTGGTATCCAGGTTTCTCTCTTGACACAGTAATAAGTCTGTCTGGAAACTAAGATTATCACCTGGCTGTCCTCATGCTACTTGGTCACCAGCCAACGTGGGCTATGGAGTTGGTAAGGTGAACAGACCCTCTGATTCCGGCCAAATAGGCACAGCTCTGCAATGGGGAAGAGCACCCCATCTACCTTGGTGTCACTCACTGATGAGAGCTCATGGGGATTGCTAGCATGGGCACACAGGGGTTGGTCCCCTAGGAGTGTGGGCAGCTCCTTCCCCAACTAACGGAAGATCCTGCCCAGGCAGAAGGGGAGGGGAGCTGTAAATTCTAGCACTGGTCTCATTATCAACTGGATCAACAAGGTGGTAATCTTTGTCCTTTTCTTTCCTACTTATGTTTGTACATAGTGTTCCTTTCCCTCCTGTTCTCAATGTTGTGTTTGCTCGCAGTAGTCAACTTTTATTTAGCCTGACCACAGGCAATCAACAGAGCCATGTGGAAAGCCTGGGAAGAGATGTCCCCAAGATGCAGGATGTGCAAGCAGATAGAGATGGGACTTTGGATATAACTTGAGGGTGGGATGAGGACAATGTTTTAACCAGGAACAAGTTTACAAGTTTTTAAGTGTAAAAAGACAGATGTATACTGATGCTCTCATACAAGGATGACTTTTCTGGCTCCCAGAGTCCAAACCCTCTTTTAAGTGGGGACATAAGCCATGACAGGAAAGGTGATCTCTTGCTCAGCAGAGTGGAAGCCTCTCCAAGAGAAATATACTTGAGAGTGGACAGCTCCTCAGCTGCCCCTTGTCACTCAAGCTCCTGATCAAGTTTCAGGTGAAATTCTAACTTAAAGGAGACATGTTGTGACTGAAGCATGGCTAATTAAAGGGGTGCAGGAGTGTCCAATGTCCCTTGTTCAGGGGCCATAGTAGTCAGGCATTGCAGAATGTTGGAATCCATTTGCCCTGGGCACACAGGTGGAGGATCCTGAGGGCGGTCACGGCATCAGCATCTAATACCAAGGCCCTGACAAGGTTGGTTGTGCTGCCTTTGCCCTCACAAGACCAGGCCTAACAAGACTTTTGTTAATGACCACATTCTCCATGCCTGGCTTGCCCACCTTGGTGACAGTTTTGGGAGCCACTCACAGTCTCAAAATAATGCCCTTTGCCTCTATCAGTTGGTTCAAGCTTCTGACAGCTACAGGCAGCACCTGGCCTAGATGAGGAAGTCTGGACTCATGAACTGGAAGGCACCAGCTGTGTCCTACTTGAATCCTTCATGCCTTCTGAAGTGATGCTCCATGCCCTTTCAGGACACCAAAAATTCTTTTTGTCTTTTAAGGCTATGTCAGTGGCCCCTCCTCTCCCCAAGCAGACTGACAAATCTCTCCTGCAATCTGTACTTGTAGCAGTCTTCTCACCTCAGTGGAATCGATCCACCCTGTCTAGCACTACCCTATGTGTCCCCACTGAGCTGGAAGGACTGAAGATGAGGCACAGCATGCAGCTCAGTCCACACATGCTGTACCAAGTCACCATGAGAGCCCTGGAGCCCTGTGAAGTTTGGTCTTCTGGAAAAATATTGCACTCTGGGAAAGGAATCAGTGTGAATCCTGATTTAGAGTGGAGAATGGAGTAAATGTGGTGCCAAATGTGTCTGAATCGTGATCAGACTCTTCAAGTCCTGCAATCCTTGCTTCCTTTGAGAGTGACAATTCTGGCATTTTTCCTTTTGATTTTCTGTTAGGCATTGTGTATGCTCTATCTTCTCTGACGCACAGACTAAGCATCTCCTGATCCTGCGGGCATGGCAATCTGAAGAGTTAAGTCCACAAGACCTTCTCTGTCCCCAGCCTGGGAGCCACACACTCTTAGGCATGCCCTTTCTTCTGAGGCTCCCACCCTGGGAGTTCTTCCAGAATGCACCCAGAACACCCAAGGCTGACTAAATACAAATACCAAGACTTACCACGTAACTGACATTTTGCATGACTGAAAATTACAGAATTTCTTTAGATATAAGTTCTCTTTATGTACCACACACTATCCAAAGAGCTCCCCATTGGGACTAGGTCAGCCCACCCTTGGTCTGCAGAGGGCGTCCTCTCACCTCAATGACGTAGCCGATGTACTCAATGACATGTCCACTGTACTCTTGAGATTTCAGAATCAGTTTGTCACCTGGTTAAGAAATATGTTACCACGTGTCAAATGAACCCCAAATCATCTGCTACTACAATAGAAACTCAAGCTCTGATGAAGTGGAGTAAAACAGAACATTACTGGGATCAGCTGCTTAAAGAGTATGACAAAGGAACATGCTTAATATACACAAATCTCTGATACAGTTTCAATTTAAGCAAAATGCTACCCAAAAGGACATAAATGAAACAATGCCAGTGTGTGGGCAGTTCAAAGTGTCCTTTCCCTGTGTGTTCTCTGCTGGGCCCGGGGAAGCTGACAGCACACTCATACCTGCATAAAGGGAAGGCCTGCTCTCAGTCAGCCCTGGGACCTCCAGCACCAGCAGACCCCCGTTCCTCTTCAGGACAACCCCGCTCATGCTGTACTCCTTCAGCTCTATCTCTGCATGTATTTCCTCTAGCCACAACAGAGTGGAGAACTTCTCCTTGTAGTTTGACATGTTCAAAAGCTGAAAAGAATTAGTAAGTCACTGAAAGCAGAACAGTGTGTCCTATGTAGGGAACAAGCAGCCCTGCAGTCAGCAAGTTCAAACTGCTTACCTCAAATACAGCTACCCCAGGTGAGGCAACTCACAGTCAGAGGGTCTGAACCTAGTGGGCACACCTCCTACACTGGGAGGTGTGATTCAAGTGGTGGAGCACCTGCTCTGCAAGCACAAAGCCCTGAGTTCAAACCCCAGCCCCATCCTCTCCCCAAAAGTCCAAAACTAACATCATACTCAGTGGTGAAAGATCTTAAAGCTTTTCCTCTAAATCAGAAGCAAGCCAGGATGCCCACTCTCACCACTTCTAATCAATATATTTCTAGAATTCTAGCTGGAGCAATTAGGTAGAAAAAATTTTAAAAAGCATCCAAATTGGAAAGGAAGAGGTAAAGTCATCTGTCTGCAGAAGGCCTGATTTTACATGTAAAAAGTCCTAAAGATTCCAAAATAGGACTGGGTGTAGGTGCCTCATTCCTAAAATCCAAGCTACTTGGAAGGAAGAGATCAAGAGGGATATGGTTTGAAGAAACCATGATCAAAACAAAAAAAGTTAGTGAGACCCCCATCTCAACAAAAAAAGCAGGCATGGTGGTATGTGCTTATAATCCCAGCTACACAGGAGACATAGATAGTAAGATCAGGTCTGAGGTCAGCCTGGAGCAAAAAGCACAAGAAAAATAACTAAAGCAAAGGAGGAGTGGGGGTGTGACACAATAGCAGAGCACCTGCCTAGTAAGTATGAGGCTATGAGTTTAAACTCCAGTACCACCGAAAGCTAAACAAAAAAGGATTCCAGAACAAACTGTTAGAATAAGGAGAATATGAAATAAAGACACAAAATAAGCATTAAAACTACCACAATGATGCTATTTATAACAGCTTCAGAAAGACAGGAATTTAACCAAAAAGTGAAAGAGTTGTATGATAAAATTCACAAAACACTGCTGAAAGAAATTAAAGAAACAAATGGCAACACACCCCATACTCATGGATTAGAAGACTCAATACTATTAAACCATCACCTGACAAAACTGACCTGCAGATCCAAAGCAATTTGCTAAAATTCCAACGACATTTTTTGCAGAAATAGAAAAATCCATCCTAAAATGCTGCACAGCCAAAAAATATTTAAAAAAAAGCAAAGTTGGAAGATTCGTACTTCATAACTTCAAAACTTACTAGAAAGCTACAGTTAAAAAGACTGCGTGTAGTGACTCATGCCTGTAATTCCAGCACTCAGGAAGGGTGAGGCAGGAGGACTAAGAGGTTGAGGCTGCCTCAGCTGTGTAATGAGACACTGCCTCAAAGGGGGGAATGAATTTGTTAGAAAAGACAAATAAATCTCTAATTAAATTATTTCATCTTCCTCCTTAAAAAAACTAGAAAAAAAATCAGGTGTGGTGGCTCACACTTGAAATCCTAGCTACTCAGGAGGTGGAGATCAGGAGAATCACAGTTGGAGGCCAGTCTAGTCCAAAGTCGGTAGACCCCGTCTCAACCAATAAAAGCTGTGTTTGGTGGCATGGCCGTTAGCCCAGCTACAGAGTAAGTGTAATTGAAGGGTCATGATCCAGGCCCACCTGGGCATGAATCTCCAAAATAACCAAAGCAAAAGGGCTGGGGACATGGCTCAAGTGGCAGAGTACCTACCTAGTAAACACAAAGCCCTGAATGCAAATCCCAGTACCACCAAAAGATGAATCTAAGCACCAGAGTGGGTACCAATGAAATGGAAAACAAGAGAGACCAAAGTCAAAAGCTAATTCTCTCAGAACACTGATAAAGATTTACAGTCCTCTACTAGCCAGTTCATGAGGAAAAAACAAAGACACAGTTACCAATATTGTGAACAAGTGTATGCACATAAACTAGCTAAGATAAAATAGACTAATTCTTTTCCTCTTTTTTTATTTGGAATTGTAATTGGATTATTTGTTTTCTTTTCTTTATTCACTTACTCGTATGTGCATACATTGTTTGGGCCATTTCTGCAGTCTGCCCCCTGCTCCCTTCCTCTCCCCCCATCCCCCTCGCTTCCAGGAAGAACCTGTTCTGCCCTTTCCTCCAATTTTGTTGAAGAGAAAACATAAGCAATAGTAAGAAAGACATAGTGTTTTTGCTAGTTGAGATAAGGATAGCTATACAGAGAGATTCCTAGCATTGCTTCCACGCACAAGTGTATTACAACCTGAACTGATTCATCTCTACCTGACCTCTTCACTACTTCCCAGTCACCTTCCCATATTGACCTCTGCCATTTTAAGGTTACTGTATTAGCTCCTCTGCAGTGGGGACATCAAACACTTTCAAGTTTTGGGTTTCCTACCTATTCCCATTCCTCCCATATGTGCTTAACGTGTAACCCAAGTCCAACAACATTACTGCATTTGCCCTAGATCTGAGACAAATTCTTTTCAAGTGAAAACTTCCATAGCTTACTGAAGAACGGATGACTGAACTGCTATGTAGCTATAATAAAACTGATTTCCTCATTTATAATCTTCCCTCTGGGTGCAGCAGCTCACACACATAATCCTGGATAGTTGGGAGGCAGAGATGGGGAGGATCACAGTTCAAGGCCAGCCTGGGCAAAAGACCATAACACCCTCATATCAACAAATAAAAAACTGGGCACCCACCCTCGCTACTTAGGAAGCATAAATAGGAGGACTATGGTCCAGGCCCACCAAGGCATAAAAGTGAGACCCTATTTGAAAAATTACAAAAGCAAAAGGGTCTGGTGGCATGGCTCAAGTGGTAGAGCCCCTACCTGGCAAACACAAGGCCCTGAGTTCAAACCCCAGTACTGCACAAAATAACATCACATCACAACATAACAACACAAAACCAAATAACATAAAGTAAAATAAAATAAAATCTTCCCACAGAGAAAACTCTACACCCAGAGACTAGCCGATAGATTCCATCACAAACTTAGGAAGAAATGACAGCAGAAATTCTACACTCTCTCAGGAAATGAGTGGTTCCGTGAAGTCAGATCATGCTAGCACCAACACTAGACAAAGACACCACCAGGAAAGACGACTGCAGACTGGCACCCTCACCAAAACCCCAAGCAAAATCCTAGGAAATCAATTTTACACCCACACAGTTATGTGCATGTACATAAAGTGTGTGTAACAAGAGCAACATGGCAAAATGCTGCCTGCATGCCAGAAGTGATCACCACACCCACATGGTTTGGCAGGGTGGAGCCCCTTCCTGAGATGAAGGACTTAAGACTTCCCTTCCCTACCACACTGGGCCCTCATTTCTCTGCCCCTTCCCTTTAGGGGACTGTCAGGAATTTATTCCCTAATCTACATACCTACTTGCCTCCCTCTGGCTCTACCTCTTTGTCTCTCTCTGCATGACTCTTCATCCCTGCCTGGTAAGAAGGCAGCATCTGTCCAGCATCTGTAAGTAAGAATCTTTGAACTTATTTCCTTTAGTGGTGGTTGCTAAATTTGGACTTTCCATTTGAAGAACCAGGGGCTGCTGCAGGCCATGTTTTTCTTAGGACACTGCAGAGGAAAGAATGGGTTGCCATGCTAGAACAACGGTCAGGCAGCATAAACTGGACACAGTTCACAAAAGAGCCACAGGGCACCTGCAAGTATTATAAACAAGTTTCTCATGTGAGGGACCCCTGGTCACAGCTAAGACAACTAGACACAAGGTTGTCCATGAAGTAAAAGAAATATCCCTGCCAGGCACCAGTGGCTCACACCTATAATCCCAGCTACTTGGGAGGCTAAGATCAGAAGGATCAGTGTTCAAGACCAGCTCAGGAAAATAATGCATGAAATCCCATCTCTAAAATAACCAGAGCAAAATGGACTGGAGGTATGGCTCAAGCAGTAGAGCACCTGCTTTGCAAGCATGAAGCCTTAAATTCAAACGCTAGTCCCACAGAAGGAACAAAAAAAAAAAGTATCCCATGAAAGACACTCTGTGAATGCACACATCCAGTGCCCCTTTATTTCCCACCCTAGCACTGGAACCCCAGTACATCCGGGAGCTTTCAAAGTAAAATGCACACACACACATGAATGGTAGTCCCATGACTTCTTCCTAGGGCAGAAGTGGGATCTGCTCTAGGAATTCAAGGTTAGCTAAACATTTGAAAATCAATGCAATTTACCACATTAGCGGATTAAAAAAGAAAATCACATGATCTTTTTAATAAAGGCAGAAAAAATTTCAAATTCACATAAAATTAACCACTTTCCAAAACATTCCTATCTCTCCAAGGTAAGCCTCCCTTTCATCAAGTATTTTTCTTCTATTCCCTCCTTCCCCCAGTCCTTGGCAACCACCAGTATGCCTTCTCTCTGTGGACATTTCATAGAAATGTAATCAAACAGCTCTGGATTCTTTCACTTATTACCAAGTGAGATGAAAATAAACTGGATACATCCACAGGTCCCAATACTCCAGAGCAAGGACAGCACTGGGAACAATGGACTGCTGGTATCCCACTCACACAGTAGGCAAAACAGCGCCTACTAAAGGTCAGAAGTCTCTCTGGCTTGTCAGGTGAAGCAGGACTTGTTCCCTATGGTTCCAGGGAGCATCTCACCTGCCTGTGTGGCTTCTGAAGGTGCTGTACTCCTCAGCCAGCAACTGACACCTCCTCTTCCTCGGACCCTCCTGAACCCCCTTACAAGGACCTTGTGAGGATATGGGCCCACCCAGACAACTGAGGATCATCCTTATGTCAAGGTCCTCAACCTCATCCTACTGCAAAAGTCCCTTAGCCAAGTGAGATAACATCAACAGCTTGAGGCAGTACTCAAGCTGGGCAGGACTTCTTTGGGGACTGCTATTCTGTCCCCAACACAGACAAATCTCAAACTAAAGTAACTATACTGAGTGAAATAAGTTAGACTAAAAAAGAGAGTCCATACTACTTACACAAAGCTCCAGGAAGGGAGACTAAGCTGGACAGAAAGCAAGCAGACCAGTGTCTATCTAGAACAGGGTAGGGAACAGTTTTGTTAACCACCATGAGGATGCATGCGTCTACCAAACCCAAAAGTATTGACCTTAGGCTTATGCACTATGTGAGCTTCTTCCCATCACTATGACAAATCACCTGAGAAAGACAACTTGGACAATTTATTCTGGCTTATGGTTTCCGAGGTCTCTGTCCATGGTCAGCTGGCTCCATTGCTGTGGGCCAAAGGTGAGGTAGCACATTATGGTGGAAGTGCATGATGGAGCACAGTTGCCTCCTTCAGGGTGCCCAGGAAGCAGAGAAAGAAAGGAAGGGACCCAGTCATAGCATGCCCCCGGTGACCTGTTTCTTCCAACAAGATCTCACTTTTTTTTTTGGTAGCAGTGACCGTTGAACTCAGGACCTTGCACTTGCTAGGTGGGTACCCTATCACTTGAGTCACTCCACCAGCCCTAGACCCACTTCTTAAAGTTTCTACACCTCCCAAAATAGTGCCATCAGCTGGGGACCAAGCCTTCAACACATGAACCTGTGGGGACACTATATTCAAAGCATAACATTTTGCCCTGGCATCCAAAGGCTCATGGCCATCACATAATACGAAGCACATTTAGTCCATCTCCAAGAGTCCCCAAACTCATCCAAAAGAGGAATGAGGGTACAGGGAGGGATAAGGTCAAACATTAAATCAGGCTTCCATGGCCCCTTTCCTGGGTTGACTCTGCAGATGGTCCATGCTCCTGACATCGCCAACAACCTGGGGTCTCCACTGTATCTTCTGCTTCACTCACTGCCCACCCAGAAGCTCCCCAGAGGGAACATGGTTATGCTACACACTGTCTGGCCTCCCTGGCTTTTCTGAGCAATCCAGCAGAAGCCCCAAAACTCTTGTGTTCTGTATGCCTGCAAAATGAGCACCATGTGGATGACACCAAGGTCTGACACTGCCAGCAGGAGCAGGAGGCCTCACTTCCATCAGAAACCTCGGGAGCCAATTCTTTACTGTCTGCACTCCTATCAGCATCTGGTCTTCTGAGCCACGACCAGAATTGCCCCATTTTCAGGCTTTCTCTAGCCTGCTTCTCCAAACTCGTCCAAGTTCCTCCCACAAATCAGTTTCACAGGCTTCTGAACCACACTGTCAAGTAGTCACAGCAATGACCCCCATTTTCTGGTACCAATTATCTTGTATTAGTTAGCTTTTTCATCACTGTGACAAAATACCCAAGAAAACAACTTAAAGAAGGAAAGCTTTATTTTAGCACATGGTTTCTGTCCATGGTGTGCTTGCTCTATCGCTGTGGGCCTATAGTGTAGCAGAACATCATGGTGAAGCAAAGTTGTTGCCTAAGAAGGAGAGAGAAGGGAGGGGAAGGAAGGGAGGCAGGAACTAGGCATAGCAACATCCAGTGACCTGCTTCCTGCAACTAGGCCCCAAATCTTAAGTCTCCATCACCTCCTGAAATAGCGCCACTAACTGGGCCCCAACCCTTCAATACGTGAGCCTGTGGGGACATTTTATATTTAAACTGCAACATACACTTTAGTGTATGTTGGTCAGGGCTCCACACAGCTAACCATAGGTCAGCACCATGCATATGTCTAGCCTACCTCATCTCATAGGTGGCATGAACAAAAAAAGTCTGGAACACTAAGAGACCAGAACCTGGCCAGCAGCAATGTCCACTCCACCCCACACTGTCCATGGCATTGTGCCTCTCCTGTGCCCCTGGTTCACTCCCCTAAATGCTCTCTCTTTAATGGCCTCCATCTCTCCCTCAACTGGATCCCACTCTCAATCTGTAACAGCTCAAGGTCTGTCATGTAGAACAAATGCTTAGTGATCCCAGCCGGTCCAGACTCTATCTTTGAGCCATACAACTTACCTCACAGTCACTCATCTCCTCAGACCACAAAACCCTACAGCAAGTACCTCCTGTGACAGGGCAACATTACCAATCCAATGCCATACCAGATACCTTTGTCCTTTCTAGACTTCTCTGCAGCATCTCGACTCAGGAGGAGCTCCTTTGCCTTCCCTGCAGGTGGTGCCCAGGCCTCACCTACCTACTCCCCTTGCACCCTTTGTGAGAACGTTCCAGCAAAGGTTACCACCTGCTCAACACTACGGGACAGGGTGGGACAGGAGGGAATGGTCTAGGGTTCACTGCAGCACTTCCATCCAGAGCTCTGCTTGCTGAGCACAAAGCTAAAGGATCCTGCTTCATAGTCACCTCACAGCTTCACCATTGACTTAGGAGGGCTTCCGGTACTTTCCACTAGTTGGTATTATGCTGTCTCTTCCTGATTTTCTCAGCTCCTCTTCTCAGAGCAAGTCCTGTCTACCCTGATGTGCTAGGGTTGTCACGCCTGGAAAGCCTTCTGCTCCTCACAATGCCACCTGGCCTAGGAGGGAGGCTGGGCTGCAGCAAAGCCCTCTCCCTGAGCAGCATGACCACCACAGAATAAGTCAAGGTGCCTCTCTTTTATCCTCAAATTCCCAGCTACCTGTGGTGAAAGGGGCCAACAGGAATCATAGAAAGGTTTATCTGGTTTTTCAGAAAACGGCCCCAGTGATGAGTGGGTGAATGTTCCACAGGTCTTCAGATACTTTTCCTACCTCTGCAAGTAGCGGCTGAAAAGTCAGAATGTCAATTTTCTGTTCCACACATTTTTTCAGTCTATCTGGTATCGGATACTGTGGAAGAAAACTTGGAAGTTGTCGTCTTGAGTTCCTTAAAAGAAACAAATTCACTAGTTAAAAGTGATTCTTAATCATCCAGGCATTTTATACGTATGTTTGAGTATCCCTTATCTAAAATGTTTGGGCCCAGGGGTGTTTCAGATTTTGTAGTTTTTGACTTTAGAGTATTTTACAGACTTTAGGAGTTGCATATCCCCAATGCTCCACATTGTCAGGCTTTTGGCATGTGGATTTTGGACTAGGGATGCTTAACCTGTACTAGACTTTCCTACTCAGACAGCCTGTCCTTATTTCAGAAAGACCAGTATTGGGGACCAGGCATGAACCCTGGGCTGGGATATAATAGAGTTTGCATGGCCTCTCCATGTAGGAGTTTGCACAGCCTCTTCCACCATATTTTTCCCAGTACCTGGAGTCTTGACCTTTCTTCTCACATCTCCTTGAAGAATACAACTTGCTGTGTCCACATACCAGCCCCCTGATGCAAGACTAGATAAAGTATCAGAACTGTTAGGAGACTCCCTGATGCCAGATTCATCAATACCTTAGATAAGGTGTCCTGCGTACCTTGATAATTCCAAACTGATGTGTCGTAATTAAGCTTCATCAGCCTTAGGACAATTAGCCCACCAAGCCTCTTTCCTTTCACCTTGCATCAAGAATTGTTAAAGCTTGATTTCTACCTGAGTCTTTTCCTTGTACTGACCTAATAAAATAAACACTCTGGCTCAGATAGGTGCTCACGTTTCCCATCAGGAATGTGCAGCCCTCCCGTCCCCAGATTTTATGTTTTATGTTGTATGTCTGTATGTTTGTGCGTGTTTTATCTCATTCCCCGTCACTCTTAGTCAGGCTCACGCAGCATACCCATGCAGGCTGGGACACACCAGACCTCATTTGCTGGATGAATGATGTGACACAGGAACTTGTGTCAAGGCTGCAGTGTGCAGGCTTCTGTTCCAGGTTAGAGACTGTTCCTTTAAACAGGCTCTAGCTTGGTGCTCTCACCTCTATGTCAAAAGTGCGCAGAGTTATCCAGCAGCAAGAGAACTGGGTTGGAAGTCCCAAGAGCCTGCTGGAACCAGAGAGTTTGAAGAGAGCAGTTTTTAACCTTCCAAAAGCTAAACTCTCCCTAATGTACTTTTCGTGAAGACGAGTACTAGGAACTACACCCATACATTACTAAAAAGAACACAGCAGAATGCTGCCCTATCTGGATCCTGCCTTTCACTGTGTTTTTATCAACTGTGACTTCTCTGGGGAAATCTGGGTTCACCCTCAACCTTCTGCCTTCCCCAGAATGGACTGAAATCAGAGTCACGGAAACTGCTTCTAGCAGGACAAAGAACCTCACCACCGCTATCAAGTCTGACAGAGCTACAGAAATGATGGAAAACATGAGGGAAGAAAGAAGCAAGAGACAGGTCTGCCCACACCAATCAAGTGAGGAAAGGCCAGGCGCTTCTGCCCCCATTCCTGTCCAACCTCGCTTTCAGTTTGTGCTGAGTGGAGGGAAAGGAGAGGTGTGCTCCCACCTTCTACTCCAGTCACCTCCTGCATGGGTTCCATCAGCTCAGCAGCAAACTCTGAATGGAAATATTGTAGTCAACCCGGAGTTGCCTGCAGCACCAAGGCTGCTGCCTCTCATTGTAGGCACAGGGTTATCTTCTGTGGCTGTGCAGGGGGTCACGCTAGGACACACATGCAAAGCATATCTGGAAAGCAGGTGCTAGTACAACACTGAGTCTTAACACAAACAAGAAAAAAGGAGAAGAGACAACCACATCACACCTAAGTCACCTCTCTGACTACATGGCCTGAAAAAGCATATGAGACTCACAAAACATAGTCATTTTTAGTGCAGGATGGTGGGAACTCAGCAGAGAAGGTACTGGTAAAGAAGTCTGGCGCTTGAACTCATGCTTCAGAGAAGAGAACAAGACTGACAACCAATGTCCTTGCTCTAGAGGCACTCATGCATTTCCAGGGACAACTGAGAGGGTTTACAATACTGTGGGTGATCTGAGTATTTCACTCTTCTTCTCCTGAGTCAGCAATAACTGGACAGTGCCCAGTGTACCAAAGGACTAGGGGTTCTCAGATGCTCCTATAATTAATATCCAGTAATAAAGGACTATCCCTTTCTGGGTTCCATCCTACAGCATGCCCCTGGAGGTGAGTAGGGACAAGTAATATTCACTGACAGCATTTACATGACCTACCTTTTTTACACTACCTACCAGCCTACCAGGAGTTAGGAACTATCATTTGCAAATAAGATCAAGGCACAGAGAGGTTCAGAAACTTGCCTCAGGACACAACTTTTGGTGGCAGTGCTGTGATTCAAACAATGGTCTAATGAAACATCGGTGGAAGTAAGCACAGCTACCTTCCAAACAATGGTCTTTGCCAAAGCTAAATACTTGCCTACACATTTTCCCTTTGGTCTACAAGTTCATCATCCCTTATGTTGTACAGTTACCGGGATAATATGATCTGAAATCCAGAATTTTCCAGTATCAGAGAAGTGGTATCTCTCAACTTCACAGGTTCTCAGCAACACCTGATCTTCAACCTCAGTAGTGGCAATGATGGATGAATGTCCTTGTTATGCTGGAGAACATCATTAAATACCTCCTACATCTATAAGTCAGTTTTTGATACCAAATTTACAAGGAAATCTGCTTTTCAGAGCTTTTTGCTTGTAACTGCAGAAGAGAACACATGGCCCAAGACCATATCCCACTTAAAATATAGGAGTCCCCAAGTTCCCAAGCCACCAATCACTAACAGGTCACTCATTCTTTTTAAATGGCACCACACCTTCAAACAGGCTTCCAAAAACCAAGCAATCTTGCTGACAAATACAGCGAGACAGGGATGCTGGGAACTGCCACCAGGGCAGCATGGTACTGATCCGATGCTGACAGCACCTCTGGGTTTGTAGGGACACAGTACGCCTGAGATAGCCTGCTTAGGAGACAGGAGAGCAGGGAAGGATCTGTTTGAGTGTGCCCCTGAGACCTGCAAGGTGGAGTGGGACTGGGGCACACAGGTACTTGTGCCGTGTGACACTGGTGGCAGTGGCACATATGGAATCTGACTTAAGATGCCAGCCTCAACCCGTACCACCTCCCCAGCCTGGGTGCTGCCAAACAAGTCTGGTGCACCAAAACCCACACACTCATCTCATGGTACCTCTTCTGTGTGGTCACCACAACTGTAGTTTTTGTGGACACTAATGCTTGGGAACTTTTAGGCTTTTTCCACGAAAATGGTTCACGGACAGCTATCAGTGCCTCCTCGCTACTAATGACGTTCACTTCAAGGTAGCGGCCGATGAGAAAGTTGGAAAAGCAAAGCAGGAGCAACTCCTTGCAGCGGCCAGGATTTCTTGAAAAACAAAATTTAGTCTTGGTCACAAACAAGACGGTCACTCAATGTAATTCACACGTATCGGGAAAGTTACAGAGGCATCTAATAATAGGTATGCATAGTTTTTTGGTTTGGGCAGTACTAGAATTTGAACTCAGGGCCTTGTACTGACTAGGCAGGCATTTTACCACTTGAGCCACAATCCCAGCCCTTTTTTGCTTTTAGTTACTTTTCAGGTAAGGTCTCCTATTTATGCCCTGGCCAGCCTGGACTGTGATCCTCCTACTTACACCTCCACGTAGCGAGGATGAGAGGTGTATACTACCCCACTCAGATTTTTTGCTGATGTGTAGTCTTGCTAATTTTTGCCAGGGCTGGCCTTAAACTGCGATCCTCTCAAGTAGCTTGGATTACAGACATGAGCCAGGTTTTAGTAATTTTTTTACAAGGAAAAAATTTACTTTCTAAAACAAGCAATGTAATATTTTCTCAAGACAAATCAAGCACTTAATATAATCCTTTCTGTAATTCTCAGTTAATAAGAAAAACATTTTCAGTATTCTCAAGTTTAAACCAAAATTACATTACATGACCAAAAATGGCATTACCTCTTACTTGCTTTCTGCCCATTTCTGGCTGTGGCTCTAACCCGGGTTATACTGTGCATTCTACCTTTTGCTCATGCCTAAGCTTTATCACCTAGTCCCATTATCAAAACATTAAAAAACCCACTTAAACAGGATGCACATCACATGGATAACTGAAAGGTTTGCCTAACGGTCACCCAAAAATTGATCTTAATATGCTTGAAGCAAGGCCGTTATGTAACCAGACTTACATTTTCCAAAGGACCTGGAATTAGCAAGTTTGGGTGAATGATGAGAGTTAAAGAGGCTGGGGGCAAAAATGTCCAGCTGGGAGGTGACCATGTGCTTTTGAGCAGATAGCTCAAAGATAGGAGCAAGAGGAAGAACAGGAAAAGGGGGGACTGGTGATAGGCTTGGGGGGCCAGCTGATCAAACCAACCAGGAAAAGAAGGGGAGAGGGAAGCTCAAGTTTGGCGTTTTGGCATTTCAGTTGGGAAGGCAGCTCTGTCCCTCTCCTTCCCTCCTCTAGCTCTCAGCTCACCAAACTGTGCCCTGGCCAGATGCCTGGGGAAAATTCAGTGGTAGATCACTTGCCTAGCATGTGGAAGGCCCTGGGTTTAATCCCGAATACTATCCCCCTCTCTTTCCCCGTTCCCCCCTTCCCCCTCCCCCCTGCAAAAAAAAAAAGGACATAGCTCCAATGCCTGGGGAGGGGAGGAGAGGGTGGGGTGTGGATAGACAGAAGCCTTGGGGGCACTAAGACACAGTACAGAAGGAGACTGAGAAGCTGCTATAAGAAGGGCTCAGAAGCAATGGAGGGAGCTCATGGGGTATGACTACTCTATTTTCTTTGCAAAGACAGGGTAGGGTCATCTGCTGAGGACAAGGATGGATGTCAAGGCCCAGCATCCCATGCCTCAGGTGCTTTCCCTTGGATCTGGTCACATGACAAATATCCAAACCCAGACAGGTCAAAGATGAGTCACATGAAGTCTCCTCAGCCCTAGCCCATACTTGGCATCACACGTGACCACAATGGAGGCTTTCCCCCCAGGAGGGATGAGCACCCTGGAGTCCGGCTTCTGCTTCTCTGTCAGAGTGCTTCCTTTTCCTCCACTTTCGCCTTCACAGGCACAGTTATCTGGGAAATGAAATTTCAATCCAAAATTAGAACAAAAGGTAGAACATTCCTAATAATGCTGGAAATGAACGCTCGCAGACACACTACCACTCAGAAAGATGTGTTGGGAGTGACTGGCCGAATAGGGAAAGTAATCAGAGGGGACTCTCGCCACAGCAATCTCCTTGAAGCATGAGCTGGTATGTGTCAACCCATTTTTGTCCTTCTCCCCACACCACAGGAGCAGAAGGATCCAAACCCGAAGACCTTAGGCATGAAGCACTGCCAGGGTGTGAAACAGAGACCAGTGCTCGGGCTGCAAGATGGCTTCAGTCCAGCCTGGTGCGCTGGTGGCTGAACTGCCTACCTGGGGAGACTTCCACGTTGCTCACCCAGCTGCTCTCCAGTGGCTCCTTGAGCTTGTTTTTTCTGTAGCTATCTAAGGAGTGAACATTTTCATCTGAACAATGCTTCTTCTCAGGATCAGAAACAGAGGATGCCTCTGGGCAGGTTTGGCTTTTGTCTGGTGCCTGAAACCTGAACTGCTGAGTTCTATCCCAGCCAGCCAGTTTGCAACTGACCAGGTCTTGGGAAACATCTCCTTTATTCCTGGAAAAAGGAAGGGTACCATGAACACAGGACTTCTAGAGCTGAGACATGTCGTCACTATAAAACACAGAATTTAATCTTGTGAATGGAGACTAAAAATACCTCTGTAAATTTCAGTTAAAAGGATATTTTGGGGCCAAGCACAGTGGCTGCTCACGTCTGTAATTCCAGCTACTCAGGAGGTAGAGACTGGGAGGATTTCAGTATGAGGCCAGCCCAGGCAAAAAGTTTGAAAGATCCCATCTCAATCAATAAAGCTAGGCATGGTGGGGTAATCCCAGCCACACAGGAGGTATAAATATGAGGATTGTGGTCTAGGCTGTCCCTGCAAAAACTCAAGGCCCTTTCTGGAAAATAACTAAAGCAAAAAGGGCTGGGGGCATGGCTTGAGTGGTAGAATGCCTGCCTGGCAAGTGCAAGGCCCTAAATTAAAATCCCAGTACCACACACACAAAAATAATACACACATACATATTTGGGGGATGAAGTTTTTTTGAAAGATTTTCAGAGAGAAAATCTATAAGAAGTTCCTAAACCACATTTCACAGGCACTTACTCTATCCAGATCACCACAGTTTTGCTTCTTCCTTCCTTCAATGTTCCGAAATTCGTCATCCTTGTAACCTCAATATCACCTTTGTTTTTCAGTAAGAGGGTTCCGTAAGACTCCTCAGGGGCCTCGCTAACAGTGCAGTCTCTGAGGAAAGCACCAAAGAAAAGATTTAGGTTCTCAAGAGGCCTTCGTGCAGTGCTGCTGCCCCTTACCTGTCTTCTGCCTTACTCCTAGACAGACTGCTGGATGACTCCACAGAGACACCCACCTAACTACAGGCAGGGATTCCATAAGACCAGACTTTCTGAGGATGAGAATGTTACAGACTCCCCAGGAAAAGGGCAGTACAGGTGACATCTGAGCTACTCCCCCCCGAGGTCTCACCTCTCTTCTCTGTACCACCTCCCAGGAATGGGAGGCAGGGATGTGCTGGGTCCTGCATATCAGGGATCCACTACACTTGAATTTGGAAAGTTGTTTTGTTTTGAACTACAGTCAGAGGCTGCAAAACAACACTTCTTTCACAATGGGCTACATACACAAGTGATCCTCTGAGATTAAAATGGAGCTGAAAAACTACTGCCTAGCATTTCATCATACTTTCTCTATGTTTATATTTTAGGTACACAAATACTTAGCCCTGTGTTACAACTGCCCACAGTGTTCAGCCAGTTCATGTCCTGCAGGCTTATGGCAGGAGCAGGAAGATGGACCATTTGGCTATGTAAGTGTGCTCAATGTTGTCCACACAGTGATGGAACTGCCTGACTGATGACAGTTCTCACCCCATATACCCATCATTGAGCAACACCTGATCATATGTGAAGTAAGTAAACACTAAGTTTTGCCTTTAGAAAATGAGGTTTCTAAAGGCAAAATGGAGTCATCTACTTCCCTTTGCACACACTCTTCCCACATCACTGGCCTTGTACACTTCTCTGACCTACAGTTTCATTAAGAAAATAGGGCCTTCACCAGCCTACGCTATGTAGTGAGTTCCAGACCAGCCTGGGTTACATAGTGAGATCCTGTCTCAAAAGGAAAGTCTTGAGAACAAACCTCTATGGTTTTGGCCCTGCCTACAAACCCAGTGAACAGCCTGCCCCTTCCTTTCTCCTCTTTCCCCTCTGTATAGACTGTCCACATTTGTCAGTGGATGACACCAGAGTATGAGGAAAGAAGGGAGTTAAGAATGTCCCCGGGTTACTCATCAATCCATCCATAGGACTGGCTCTCTATAAGAGGTGCTGGAGGCAGGCACAGTGGCTCACACTTGTAATCATAGCTACCTGGGAGATAGAAATATGGAGACTAACTGTTTGAGGTCACCCCAGGCAATAAAGAACTGGGTATGGTAGTGTGTGACTGTGATCCTAGCTACACAAGAAGCACAAACAGGAGAACTGTGGTCCAGGCTGGCCCAGGCATAAAAGTGAGACCCTACCTGAACAATAATCAAAGCAAAAAGGGCTGGAGGGGCATGGCTCAAATGGCAGAGTGTTTGCCTAATAAGTGCCAAGGCCCTGAGTTCAAACTCCAGTATGCCATCCCCGCCCCCCCCCCAAAAAAAAAAATAGGTGCTAGAGCTTGGAATTGGCTTTGAGCTGTTGATCAGACACAGAGAGCCATCAGGAGTCTCAGTACAAGGGAGCAGGCCAGGATACAAGTGAAGTCCAGCATCTGCACACAGGAGCTGTGAGCCAAGCATAGCAGTGTGCCCTGGCTCCCCAGCCCCAGTAACTTCCACTGATGGTCAGGAAGTCAGATCAGAACAGACATGCTGAGACACAGGGAGAGGTCTTCCAGAATGGCCTGAACAGAAGTCAGGGCAGCATTTGCGGAGTGATGAGGGTGTGCTCTTCAAGTGACTAACATTCATGGGACTCAAAGTCAGACCCAAAGGCCACAGGACCATGAAGAGGGGTGCCACAGAACCTGCAGGGGCCGTGTCACAGATGCACAGGAAGCCTGGGGACCACTGAGGCAAGGGGTAGGAGTTCCCGTCAGTGAGCCAACCTAACTTATTTTCTCACACCCTATGACTCAGCAGATGGGGCTGAATATGCTGAGCGCAAGTGAGGACCATGAGGGCTACATGTCTCACTCCCCTGCTTCAGAAGGAAAAGTGTCCTATGGGGAAGGGAACCACGGTCCGAATGTCTCCAAGCAGAATGAGGGTGCAGCACTACGTCTAGTCCAGCAGCACCAGTCAGCCTTCTTGCAGCTCCTTTATATATCTATTGCCCTGAGCAGCAGCACAGGGATGACCTGCACTCCAGACACCAAGCCATGTGCCAAGTGTGGGGCAGGAGAGAAGATGAAATGCATTTCTACAAATTTACATTCTATAAAGAAGACTGGACAGTGAGTAGAATAATGTATGAGGAATGTGCTGAAGGTAAGCACGAGGGCAAAAGCAATGGCAAATGCACAAGCACAAAAAGAATACAGACTCAGCACATCCAATCACTATAAGAACCTACTATATCCAATGTATTCTCAAAACTGCCAAAATATGAAAGAACAGAGATATAAAAATCCACCCCCAAATGGCAATCACTGCTATGGTTTGAATGTGGTTTGTTCCCTCAAAAACTCATGCTGAAATTTAATTTCCATCACAGATATTAAGAGGTAGGACCAAGAGGCATCTTTGAGGGGTGATCAGGGCTCTGCCCTCATAAATGGGTTAATCCACTCATTCAATTAAAAGCCAGTTTGGCTAGGGCTCACCATGTGATATCTGCTAGCAAAAAGGTCATCACTGAGGCTGGTGATACAGCTCAGTGGTAGAGAACGTGTCTAGAGTACACAACAATAAATAAATAAGAATAGGAAGGAAAGGTAGGCAGGCCATCACCAGGTGCAGCCTCTGACCTTGGACCCTAATCACCAATCAAAATAAATCTTTCTTTTGTATCTTGCCCAGACTATGTTACATCAGCAACAGAAAAGGGACTAAGGCAGTCACCACTGTAGCAGTAAGGATTAGAGGGACCTTTGAATTCTGCCTTTATCCTCCAGAAGACATGTTCTTCTTAATTAGCCAATGCAGGACTTGGAATATCTACTAATCTGACCATTTAAAGTGCAATTATATATACTAATGACAGGGATATGTTCTGAGAAATGTGGCCTTAGGCTATTTCAGGTGATTTCATCCTTGTGGGAATACGATTGTGTTACTTACACTGACTGAGGAGGCTATATTACCAGGTCATACCATCTTATGGGACCAGCATTGTACTTGAAGCCTATGAATGACTGAAACATTGTACAGTGCTTGACTGTGACTCTTCAAAATACACTTAAATCAGGCTTTCACCTCCCAAAGAAGAAACGCTTTCTGATTACCACCTTCTCACAGGGGTCATGCAAAGTGCTCTCCAGATGTAACATGACTGGCTGCTCTCCACCACCACGGCGTTGACAGTGTCGTGTCTCCGTGGTGTGTACCCCTCAGGCAGCTTCAAGGAGTCCAGGCTGAAGAAGATGCTGTCGTCTATCACCCCGTTCCTCCCACACAGACTAGAGATGCAGACCTGCAAGTGCAGTGCTGGACGTTGTTGAAAGCATGCAGTCAAGAGGTACAGTTCTCAATGCCTGCCCCTATGAATTTGCCCAGCCCACAATGGCCCAGCAGAGCCCACAAGTTCCAGTACAGCTTGGGATCTCAGGCTGAGTGAAAGGGCAGTGGTGGCGTCCCACATCCTCCCCCAATTCTGTCATGCCCATCTCTCACCTTGCCCTGGTGCAAATTCAATGCCTCCCCATTCCCAACTCACTCCCTAAACCATACCAGACTGCGAGGAAGTCCAAGTTCCACATCCCGTTGCCTTACTCCCACAAATCCCTACTCATGTATGCACTTTGTCCTTAGAACACTTTAACACTTCCACATATATGCTGGAATTGAGACCTTAGTTCAATAACTAAGGTCCCTTCTACTGCCTTAAAAACATAGGCCAAGACTGAGCTTTATCTTTGTAGGCTTCCCAGCACATCAGGAGGATTCTGGGCAGTGAAGGCAACCCCTTGCAGCAAGTGTGGCAGAAATACACAAGGATCCATTCATCAGCAGGTTACCTTGTCCACACGCTTATATCTCAGTGGCTTCACTGAGACAGCCTCGCTGCTCCATGTCCCTGGCCGGATCCAGTACTCAGCCTCCACCCAGTCTCCCTTGCACGGCTGGAAACCTGAAATGGCCAGGGAGAAAGCTTCAGGAACACTTAAGTTGAAATGGCCAGGGAGAAAGCTTCAGGAACACTTAAGTGCACAGAACACTCTGAGGTTGTGATTAACTGAAATCATTTCTATTACACTGGAGATACACTGGAACATTTTAAAAACACGCTCCACTCCTCTCAGAAACACACTCATCAACCTTGATTCTCTTCTAGATGGACCTCAGTTAAATGAATTAGAGAGTGTTAAAGACCAACCCTATGCAGTCTACGAGGAGAGGGAAAGGAAAGGGGACCCAGCATGGTCAGCCCAGATCAGTCCTGTCATTTCAGGTTCAGCATAGTCTCATATTTGCCATTAACACCCTCCAGAAAAAAAACTGAGCTGACGTGGAGCCCCCTAGTGGACACTCCCAGGTTCTAGCAGGTGCAGGCACTCCAGAGAGGATGAGGAATAGTGATGTCTGTCCCCTACTCCTGACTCCACCACAAACAAAACTCCCCTGACACAGTGAATAGCAACAGGACAACACATACTGCTGGCTCTCTTTGGTGCCCTCACCATCTGGGCTTTCCAAATTCTTGGACTTCTGAGGAACCATCTGTAAATAAACCCCAGGGTCCTGCAATAGTGTGCTCTCCATTATTTTAAAAAAGTGAGACCTTTAAATTTTGATTACACTTTGCACAGAAATCTTTAATCAAACTATATTTAATAAATGTGGAGCCAAAATTCTTAAGCTTTGATACATTTTCAAAGTGTAGTAACTGAGAATAAAGTTGGTAAATGGGAAAAACAAAGGGGGAAATGAACAAACTGGACCCTGGGAGCTCGTATGGTGCACAAAATCAATGTCAAGTTCTGTGACCAGACTTAAGACTATCCCAACTTCTGTGAAGACTCTTTCAATGATGCCATTACTTTTAATTGGGGAAGGTGATTACTTTGTCATGGCATCAGGCCTGTATGTTCAAAAGAATTACAGAGACAGCTTATTTGCCAAGTTTTGGTTTATAAAAACACTTAAATTATAAAAGGCACCTTTGAGAAAGATTCCAGCAATGTTAAAAATTATGATGATACTGAAAATTCATTTTTCAGAAAAATACCAGTGATGTGGGATTAGAGACACTAAGAAATTAAAGTATGTTACTAGGTACCAAGAGTTATATGCTAAATGATCAATATTAAAACTGCTTTAATACATTCAGATGTTATTCTTCTTTTTTAGGAAGATTTTTGGAATTCTTTCTGAATGATACTTTAAAGGTCCACTATTAACTGATACACAAGTATTCCAAAGGTTGTTTAACTTAAATTAACTTGAACACCCTTTCACTTCTCAGGTGTATGCCCACATAAACAAAGTCATCTGGTCACCCTTGGTTTCAGTTGCAGCTAAGGGGCTGACAAAAGCCATGGCTACACTGGAGCACCAGCAGGAACTGCCGGTCCCAGCCTGGCTCCCTGTCATCCGCCAACCTCTGATGGTGCTTTCTCTAGCACCAACGGCATGGCTGAGCAGTCCACACTGGGCAGGCTGGGAAGGTAAAGAGCAAGCAGACAAGGTTTCGGAGACTATCCAGTTCAGCAGGATAAATGACTCCAAGTCTTGAGGGTGGGAGTTGGAGGAAAGAAGTTGGGTACAGGTTTTAAAGCAACAACCTAAGGACCTAGGGAATGTCATGGATAAAAACAGGTCCCTTGAATGACTGCACTGGTCTGCAAAGAGGCATCTGAGACATGGCCAACCCTGCTGGACTAGGTCTGGCACTACACTCCTAGGCCTTGGGAAGGCCCCTTAGCCCACCACCCTTTGGGCCAGGGGAACTTACCCAGGGGTCATTTTGCTCCTAGGGGGCCATATAGCAGTGTCCACAGATATTCTGGGTTGCCACAATGTTGCGGGGGGGCAAGATGTTGCTAAGCACCCTGTAGTGTCCCTATAGGACAGCCCCTGCCACCAAGAACAATTCAGCTCAACTGTTAGAATGCTGAGGGTGAGAAGCCCTACTTCAGTCCAGTTCCATTCTACTACCTCTGCTCAAATGGCTAAGGGTTTATCAAACATTCAATATAAAACAACATAAGACCCAGGACTGATGTTAACAATTCCCATCTTAGGTCTGAGGATAAAGCTCAGTGGAGTGTGTGCCTAGCATGCACAAGGCCCTGGGTTCCATTCTAAGCACCAAACAATCAAAAAAAAAAAATCCCATCTCACACATGCTGTCATAATCCTCAGTTCTGGCTGGGAGGGAGTGTCCTCTGTTCCTGCACTAGTGACTCTCCCTCCCAAGTCACACCATCCATCCATTCACCTCCCAGGCTACAGCTACACTATCACTTCAGCTCTGAGTTAAGACATCCTCAGAGAAGACTCAGGGGGTTGGTTTAGGGCAGAGCCTGACCCTAGCCAGCTTCCCTCTGTGCCCTCCTCCAGCCTTAGTCTGTACTTAGGGAGGAGCCCCAGCCCTTCCACACCACTATTAGGTCCTGCAGAGCAGAAAACACTGTGTTTTATATGTGCTTATCATCTGCTCTCTCCCCATCTGGATGTAAATCCTACGAAGCAGTGCCTGACAAGGAAAGGCACTGATGTTTGCTGAGTTAATGTTGGGAAGGACTCTCCAGGAAGGAAATGAAAAACTTAACACAACTCTTCATTTTCTCACCTTCAGGTCAAGCTTATAAAAAAAGTTTTACAGGGACACAGTCATGCCTTCTCACTCAGGGATGTCTGCGGCCGCTTTCAGTCATGCAGTGCCACCATCCCAGAGGGGAGGAGCTTTCGAAGAGGCTTTCCATGCCCCAAAACTGTATTACCCAGCCCTCTGCTGGGAGTCTCTGACCTCCATTTTAGATTCCTGTTGTCATCTGTTTTATGAATGTTCATATGCTGTGGCCATTAGGCTTTGTGATCATGTTAAACAATGATTTTCCACATCTCTGACCATAACTCTCAGCCTCCAGAGGAATCTACTTTGCCTCACTTGAATTTTTCAGTTCTAGGAAACTCCTCACCCTAAACCTGTCTTTACTCCTCAGAGTAAACCTTTTCTGTAACTTCTATCAATAGCTGCAGGGTGAAACATTCCCTATCTTCTCCATCTGGAGACATCTCCCATCAAGGCTGCCCTGGAGTGGCTTTGTGTTGATGTAGCTGACCTAGATAATCATAGACAATATTCCCCAGAACTGAGAGTTTCTCTGACAGAATAGAGATTTCAAAATCCCAGATAGCTGCATGTCAATTTCATTTTGAGGAGCCAGGGTTAGCAATCAAAGTTAAGAATAAAACAAGCTTCCTGCAGGGCCAAGCCAACAGCTCCTGGGACCCAGACTACATGGCAGCTGACTGTTCTTTAGGTTGCAGAAAACCCCACTCCCATTCATCTTTGAACATGCAGCCCTGCGCTGTTCAGCTCAGAAAGCACCTCTGGTGGCAGTGCTTCCAGTTCCCTCCCTGTCTGCAGGGTGTACAGATTTTTCCCTAGAGGAAGAGCGCATTCTCTCGGATATTGGTCTCGTTGTTTAGTTCCGAATTCACCACTACAGACAGCAGGTGCATAGCAAACAGTTGTTAGATTAAAATCAGTGAATGACATCAACAAATTATTTCTTTAGGCATAAAAATAAAACCTTACATCTGCTAAAAAAAATGTGATTACAAATGGTATACACTGGGGAAAGTAGGCAGTGATCCCAAGGCCTAGTATAAACATGTGAAGTACCTTAGAAAGAAAAGTTCTTAAGCTACTGCTCTTAGATTACATTAGCAATTCAGTAATCATATGGAAGAGACAACTACTCAGATACGTGACTACGTTCAACAAATGCACATGAAACAATTGAGAGCATGGGTTTAAACAGTGACCTCCCCACCCTACCCAAGTCTACCCAATACTGAAGAGCTCCTCCATGAAGCCAGCACCAGCAAAGTCATGCCTAAACCTGACTCTTTCAACCACATGTGTAACTATCTAAAACCTAATCCATAAAAATTCTTTGCAAGACATAAAACTTAGATATAAAGGTAAAACAGAAACCCATCTGGCTACCTTCACACACACTCTCCAGAGAAAAGTATGTAGTCTGACTGATGTAGCCAGCACCTTCCATCAGGGAAGTCACACAGCCAATGAGCACTCGGGGGCTGGAGTTGGCCAACCCTTGGCTGTAGTTTTTGTTGTCATCTTCCCATTTATCAGAGACAGCTTCCACCTGCAAGACAAGAAATCACTCTTTAAACCATTATAAAAGGAGAAAAGAAAAGCAAACTACATCCCTCTCTGTCCATTTGGGCGGGAAGCCCAAGATCAAGGCATGGCAGACTTGGTGTCTGGTAAGAATCTATCCCCTGATCCACAGAAGATGCCTTCTAAAGGGATGAGGGGCCTCTCTGGGTCTCTTCTATAAGGGTATGAATCCCACTGGGCAGAGCCCTCATGACCCAATTTCCCTCAAAGACCTCACCTTGGGAGATGGGTTTTAACATACACATTTTGGGGGACAACCCTATAGCAATCCCTTAAGAATACAGATGCAAAAACCTTCACAAACTATTACCAAACGGAATGCAGCAGCATATCAAAAGGATTAAACACCATAACCAAGTGGGGTTTATCCCAGAATGCCAAAGTGGTTCAACATCTGAAACAATCAATATGTCACAATGATAATAAGAAAAAATCCTATGACCATGTCAGTAGTTGCAGAAAAGTATTTGACAAAATTCAATATCCTCTCACAATACAAATACACCATAAATAAGAAATGAAGGGAAACTTTCTCAACATGTCAAAGACCACAAATAAAGAGCACACAGTTAACATCAACGCAGTGCTGAAAGACAGAAAGTTTTTCCCTAAGCTCAAGGACAAGGCAAGGATGCCCACTCTCACTATCCTACTCCACACTGTACTGGAAGTCCTCACCAAAACAACTAGACAAGAAGAAGAAATAAATGGCATCCAAAATTAGAAAAGAAGTAAAATTATCTGTTCATAGATGGCTTGGTCTTGCATGTAGAAAATGCTAAAGATCTCACATAGTAAAAACTTCAAAATGGTTAGCGCTGGACTGGAGTTATGGTTCAAGTGATAGAGCATCTGCTTTGTGAGCACGAAGCCCTGAGGTCAAACCCCAGTGCCATCCAAAAAAAAAATTAGTGCTAATAAATAAATTTGGCTAAGTAGCAGGATACAAAGTCAACACACAAGAATTAGTTTTATTTATGAGTGGCCAATGAAAAATCTGAAAAGGAAATTAAGCATCAAAAGAATACTTAGGGTGGGTATGGTAGAACAAGTCTCTAATCCCAGCACTTGGGAGGCAAAATAAGGAGGATCATAAATTCAAAGCCAGCTACATACCAAGACCCTGTCTTGAAAAGTCAAAAAGAATAGAACACTTAGGAATGGATTTAACCAAGTAAACAGGAGACTGTACACTGAAAACTACAAACCACTGATGTTTAGGAAAGACCTAAACAAATGGAAAGACATCTGTGTCTTGGGCTGAGGAGTAAGGTGCAGGTGGGTAGCAAGAAATGTTTTGCTTTTCACCTCACAGCACCTGGGCCAGGGCTGCCTAAAGAACCTCCTGTGACAACAGGAACATGCACTATTTGTACTGTTCAGATCAGCAGTATTAGCTACATTCAGCACATGAAATAGGGCTAACAAAACTGAGAAACTAATTTTAAACTTATTTCAGTTTTAATAAAATTAAATAGCCACACACAGCTGGAGGCTACCACACTGAACGATGCAATTCTAGACTTTATTTTATTTTTACATATGTATGTATTTTTACACATATATATGCATGTACTTTTATATATATATATATATATACTACTGGAGTTTGAACTCAGGGCCTAATTCTTGCTAGGTAGGTGCTCTACCACTTGAGTCACACCCTTAGCCTTCATTTTTGTTTTGAGGTAAGTCTCACTATGTAGTCCAGGTTGGCCTCAAACTCATGATCCTTCTGCCTCAGCCTCCTAAGTGCTGGGATTACAGATGTGAGCCACCATGTCTGGCTGTACATATTATTTTTAAAACCTAGAAACAGTTTTAGAAGATGGGCATGTTGATGCCTACTGGTAATCACAGCACACAGGAAGCTGAGGCAGGAGGATCTCCTGTTGGAGACCAACCTGGTTACATAGCAAGATCCTGTATCAAAAAAACAAAAACCAACCAAACAAAAAAAAACCAGACAAGGGCTGGCGGAATGGCTGAAGTAACAGAGCACCTGCCTAGCAAGTGTGAAGCCCTGAGTTCAAACCTCGGTATCATCAAAAAAAAAAAAAAAAAAAAAGACCAAAACAAAAAACCCAGACAAAATGAAGCATTTAGATAGCACTTACTATAATAATAATAAATTATTTTTAAAAAGTAGTAAGTGTACAATAAATTCACTAGTTTCCAAATTACATTTAAAAATCAATAGCTTTCCTGTATAGCTATCCTTATCTCAACCAGCAAAAACCCTTGTTCCTTCCTATTATTGCTTATACTCTCTCTACAACAAAATTAGAGATAAGGGCAAAATAATTTCTGCCGGGTATCGAGGGGGTGGGGAGGAGAGGGAAGGGACAGAGTGGGTGGTAAGGGAGGGGGTGGGGGCAGGGGGGAGAAATGACCCAAGCCTTGTATGCACATATGAATAAAAAAAAAATCAATAGCTTTCCACCTGGTGCTGGTGGCACACACCTGTAATCATAGCTATTTGGTAGGCTGAGATCAGGAGCATCATGGCTTGAGGCCAGCCTGGGCAAATAGTGCATGAGACCTCATCTCTAAAACAACCAGAGAAAAATGGGCTGGAAGTGTGGCTCAAGTGGTAGAGTACCTGCTTTGCAAGCATGAAGCCCTGAGTTCAACTCAGATGGGACCACAGTCCCACCCCACTCTCAAAAATCAATAGCTTTCCTATTTAGAAAAAAATATACTATGTAGAATTCTATTAATAATGGAACAAACCCCCAAATGCTTGGAAATAAACTTGACAAGAAATGTATAGAACCTAAATGAGGAATACTACTATTCCTGCAAAAACATGAACACAAAGGAAAGTTCGAATAAATGGACAAATATAATTTATAGTCGAAAAACCCTATAATGACCAAATGTCAATAATCCTACATGGTACCCATAAATGCAGTACCATCCAAAGCAAGTCTAAGCAGAGAATTAACAATAAACTTATCCAGAACATGTGAAGAGACAGGAAAACTCCATCTATAAAAAAAGGAAAGGAAAGCTTTCTATCACCCATAACAGTGGCCACCCCACCAGGCCCCACAGAATAAACATCAGGACCCAGAGTCTCATGCATGTGGAATTCTGATACATGGAAAGGAACCTTCCATATCAGTAGGGGAAAAGTGGATAACTAATCGTTAGGAAAGGAACATCTGATTCTTTCTCTTGGTGTGTGTACTACAATAAATGCCAATCAGATTAAATATTTACCTGTCAATAAATGAATAATTTTCATAGGATAATATGAGTGAATGTTTGTAATAAGAAGTGGAACAAGCCTAAGGGTTTGAAATCCACATGGAAAAAATGAGACACATGTAACTACATAAAATGAAACTATAAAACAAAGTCAAAGCTGATCTGGGGAAGTATTTGTAACACTTTCATACAATAACTTTTCCTAAAAAGATCTAATGTCCCTAACACATAAGATTAAATAAAAGAAGAAGTTGAACAGAACAAAAAATGATCAAAGGATGATAATTCATAGAAAAATTAATGTACTTTAAGGCTTACATGCAAATTAAAATCATGAGGTCATTTTTTACTTGTTAGGTGGGCAAGGACCTCCAAGCTCAATGATATCTATGTCCTTGTCAACACCATCGCAGGTACTCTCTCACTCTGCTCCTGAGAGTATAATGAATATGTTATTGGATGCTGATTTGATGAAGACCATTAAACTGCTAAATCTGCATACCCTTTGATATAAGAATTCTACTTCCCAGAATTTATACTACAAAAACCTACTTTTACATGAAAAAGGCAGTTGCTGAATAATAGTTCACTAATTATCTTTGCTAATCAAATAATAAAGGGTCCAACCATTATCATTTTAACAATATTTTTTAAAACAGTAGAATAATAAAGAAAAGTTAAAGAGCATTTTCCATGGCATAAATTTAGAGGCAAACTTTACTTTCTGAATTATAAATTTCTATGATATTTGAATGGTTTAAATCACTTTTTAAAACGAAATCATTACAAAGAACAAAAGCTCCCCTTCACAGGTAGCCTCTTTTTTCTTCCCCTGGCCAGGGAATATCTGAGAGGTTACAAATGTAGAGAAGCATGGTGAGGAAAGCCTGTTCCTGAATTACTAAGACTTACCCTGATTGCTTTCAGTCCATTTGACACTTTATTTTCTTCCACAACTGCAATAACTTCCTGTCCGACATTCAGAAGCACTTTACTAGTCACAACCTCATTGGAGAAGTAGATCAAATCATCAATCATGCCATAATCGCTGCAGTACCTTGTCACCACACCCTGCACAGTTTTCAACCTGGTTTCACCTGAGACAGGTAAGGGAAGAGATTATATTGGCCACAAAAGCAAGCCCCACTACAATTACGCCCTACCAGAGAAAGGCAATGCATGTGTATCCATTGAGGACAAGAACCTAATGGGCTGGATTTGTCACAAAGAACCTGCCACTGAATGGAATGTTTGGGATGAAGAGTTTTTGAGGCAGACGTCCAAGTTCTGAAGGGCATAAGTGCTGGATGTGGTGGGAAGAGCCTGAACTCCAGACTCCAGACTGCCTGGGTTTGACTCTGAGCTCTTCTGCCATATGTAACCCTGGGCTTGGTCCTTAACCACTGTATGCCAGCTCTCTCTGTAACATGGAGAAAGTAATTGTCACTGCATGAGAGCTGATGAAGAGTCAAGAAGCAGAAAACACATGCAAAGTTCAGACCTCCAAGTGGCTGACACCGGGCAGGGTGCCCTGTTAATTGTTAAGACTTACATGAGCATCCAGGGAGACCACTGTTGTTTCTGTCATCTTCTCTCATCACCAAAAACAGCATCAGCACCAGACTCAGAAGATGGGGCAAGGTTTCAACAAGCATGGCAGAGGGCCTGGCAAAGTACGCCAGGTCCATGAGCAGTACAGGCCCTCAGCTATTCAAGAACTGCTGCTGCAGCCACCGCCCTTGGGTCCTCACTGCACCTGCCTGTGACTTCTCACAGGAAAAACCTTGGGAGACTTAGTGGTGCAGGAAGTCGGAGCTCATGCTATCCCTGAAAGCCAGTATTCCACAGATGCCACAGGGGGCATGAAGCCATCGCTCCAAGTTACAGCCAGCGGTGCGCATTAGCACATCTGCACAGAGGTGGCCTTTAGCACGCTGTAACCTGATGTCGTTTGGAGAATAAACTCCTTTCTGAGCTGATTTGGAAACTTGCATCTTTTTAGAGGTTAGTTAGCAAAAGCAACAGGGAACCAGCAAGCCTGAATACGGCCCCTACGCAGGGGGAGGAATCGGGAGAAAACAGCGGTAATTTCTGTGTACCGTTGAGAGCAGCGGGAAGGTGCGACCTGCCACCATCCTAAGATGGCGAGGAAGAACCCGAGAGGGGAGGAGGAGGAGCGTGATCTCATCGCCTTCTCAAAGGACAATTTAAGGTCAGGCTGTGGCTTTCGGAGCTCTGAAAGCTCACAGCTCAAGGGATGCTGGGGACAGAAGCAAGGCAGAGATGTGCAGAGACGTCCCGCCAGCTGCCTTGCACATGCACACCCACAGCGGGGCGGGGGAGAAAGAAAGACGGTAACCAAGGAAAAGGTCCTCTGAATTTGCCTGGGGTGGAATGGCTGGCAAGGGCAGTGCCCAGGCCTCTCAAGCCGCATCCTGGCGCGGGGAGCCCGGGGCCTCCAACACGCTTGGGTGGCCCTGGGTGTTCACAGGCCACTGCCCCCAGCCCCCCCACCCCGCCCACCCTACCCAAAGGGCTCTGTGCAGGGCGCCCACTCTCGCCCCACGCGCACCTTCCACGAGCTCCGGTCCTGGCTGCCCGGCCTCCTCCTCCAGACCATCCTCCCTCCTCCAGAAGAAGGCCACCAGCTTGGCCGCGAGGCGCAGCATGGCACCCACCCTGCCTGCCCGCTCGGCCTCGCCGTCTGCCCGAAGGCCAGCACGCGGAGGCCGCCTCAGCCAATGAGGGCGCCGCGCCTGCGCCTGCGCCTTCTACCTGTAGAATTCGGCCAATGGGGATCGCCATGCTTTGGCCTGAGCCTGCCTCCCATGAAAATCAGCCAATGGGGTCCTTGAGCGGGTTCGCCCGTTAGCTGTGAGAGGTTAGCGGTTGGCGTCCGTTAGCACGTAAGGGAAACCGAAGTGCCTTGTGGGAGTGACATCATGCTTGTTGGGCACAGCGTCCTGCCAGAAGGCCGGGGGCTTCGAGCAAGAGTCCGCGAGGCGCAGGCCTTGTGGGCGGGGCCTCGCGTGGGCGGGGCCTCGCGTGGGCGGGTGGGTGTGGCCTTGAGGCTGGGCATTCTTGCTGGGTCCCTGTTGGATGGAAGGACTCGATCGTGCGGTCTGTCGTTAGGAGTGGTTTTTGTAGACCTTCTTTATCAAGTTCAGGACATCCCTACTCTTCCTCTTTTTCCAAGAGTTTTCATCCTGCATGGGTGTGACATTTTCTCAAATGCTAAATGGAAGTGGTGATCACGTGCTTTTGTTAATAGGGTGGACTACACTGGTTGGTCTGCTCTCCTGGGAAAACTTTGGTCTTGGTCATGGTTCATTATCAAGGGTTTGGGACCTATGCTGATGAGGGTTACTAGCCTGTAGTTTTCTGTCTTTTGCGACACATCTGTCCGGTTTTGGTGTCACCCAAAGCTGGCTGGGATGGATTGGGAGTAGGTTTTCCCTCCTCTGTGAAAGGGCTGAGTAGAACTGATATCATTTATTCTTCCTGTGTTTGGCAGAAATCCCCAGTGAGCTCATTTGGGCCTGGAGGTCTTTGTGGGGAGGTTTTAAATTACAAAATTTGACTCCTGCCTTAGCTATTGGGATGTCCAGGTTGTTAATGTAACATTGAGTAAACTTTGGTGATTTTTGTCTTTTTAGGAATTTGTCCATTTCACCCAACATGACAAGTTATTGCAACAAAGTTTTCATATTTCCTTGTCTTTTTTTTTTTGGTGGGGGGTTGCTGGGGAAGATTTAACCCAGGGCCTTGCATATATTAGACAAGCACTCTACTCCAGCTCCCTTGTTGTCCCTTTAATGTCTGAATGACCCTGGCGCTGGTGGCTCACGTTTGTAATCCTAGCTACTTGGGAGGCTAAAATGAGGAGGATCAGGGTTCGAGGCCAGCCCAGGCAAATAGTTGTGAGACTCCAATCTCCAATAATAACCAGAGAAAAGTGGACTGGAGGTGTGTCTCAAGAGTGCTTGCTTTGCAAGTGTGAAGCCCTGAGTTCAAAACCTAAGCCCACAAAAAAAAAAAAAAAAAAAAAAAAACACCTTTCACTCCTGAGGTTGGTAATTTAAGTCATCTCTTTTGTTTTACTTGAACTGCCTAACCGGTATTTATCAATTTCATTATCAGTCCCAAAAGAAACTTTTGGTTTCATTGATCTTTACTGTTTATTTACTATTTCAGTGATTTCTGTTTTGATTATTTCTCATTTTCTACTTCTTTTTGTGCTGTTTCTAGCATCTCAGTGGAAATTTAGATAATCTTGAAATTTTTTCGTTTTCAAAATGCAAACACTTGAAACTAAAAATTTCTCTTTAAGTGTCAATTTAATTGCATACAGCATTTAACTTGCACTTTCACATTCTTCTTGTGATTTCTTTGCCCCGTGAGTTTTGTTGTTGTTGTTTGTTTTTAAGGTATATTGTTTAATATCCCTACCCGCCTTACTGGGGTTTGAACTCAGGGCTTTATACCCTAAGGCAGGCTCTCTACTGCACGAGCCACACCTCCAGCTCTGTTTTCTAAAAATTTAGGGATTTTCCTGATGATGTTCTATTACTGATTTCAGAATAAAATCTGAATGACTTCACATGTTGAAACAATGTGTATTCCTGCTGTGTTAGTTAGGTCTAATTTAGTTCCAGATCAGGCACTTGATTTAGTAGATCAAATCTGTCAGTTTAATTGCCAGCCTTCTTCCTGTGAGATGGGGGTGATAAGTCAAGCCTTAAACATTTATGGAGCACCATTAAGACTTCATCTGGGGTGTATTGCTGAGAATATACCCGGCAATGACAATGGTCCCAAGGATTTGTTGGATTGGGGAAAAGAGGCATCCTCAGAGAAGAGAACCTGCAACATGGGGGCTGAGCATCCCGTTCCAGCTCCTGCCCACCAACTGCAGTGTGTGGTGGGAGTTACTGCCTGGTGGAACTCCTTTAGCTCTAGCCTGAGTCACTTCCATGGGTCAGACTCTTCTGCATTTCCACCAGGATGCCTCACAGCCACTGCAGCCTCATCAAGTCCAAATCAGAATGTTTGATCCTCTCTCCAAGACTTTCCTATAGTCAGTGACTGAGTTCAGCCAATGCCTTGGCTCCGATGCTGAAGGCTGTGTAAATGTTGGAGCATGAATAGGACTCAGCCAGCAGAGGGAGGGAATGCATTTAGGAACAATAGAGTGTTTGAAGATCACATGGAAGAACAGGGCTTGCTCTAGCAGCCAATCCTGTAGGCAGCAAGGAGGACACCAGCAACTAAGTGACTCTGAATCTGGGGCCTTGAGGAATTTATGTTGCACTCTGAGTCCAGGCAACTCACTTGCATTTCTTTGTAGAGAACAACTTGTGAAAGGCACAGAATGGTGAAATCCGCTCAACATTTTCCTCAAACAAAAAGAAACACAGACAGGTTCAATCCAGCTGGACCAATTCCCACTAATTCCTTTGATTGCTTTGAAACTCAGTGAAAAACTCTGGGAGGTTTTTCAGCCCGTTCAAAATAAGTTCTTGATTTCCCAGGTAATAGTTGGAAGATTAGAACTTCTAATCTTCCTGCCTGGTTGAAAAGCTAAGACAGCTGAACCTCTCCAAACAGAAACCCAATGACTGTGCTCAGGCTGGGCCTGTGGCTCAAGGAGCCAGCTTTTCAAAATATTTTGGACTGAGCCTTTTTGCAGTGCGCACAAAGAAACTGTCGCTGTAACTGCCAGGGCGCCAGTGTCTCTGGACGAATGGAATACATTCATGTCCTTCTTTTCTGCCTAGTGAGCAGAAATAAAGGGGCATCAGGATCCTGCCTGCCCTTGGGGCTGCCAGGGGAACCAATGGTGAATTCCCAGCAGCTAAGGGGATGGTCAGGCCAAGTGGAGAACATAAAAGTTTATGTGACCTTGTGAAGATTTCCATCGTGTGATAATGGGGGACAGAGAGACTGCTGGAAAAGATGTGAAATATGGCCTTCAAATAAAAGTTATCTGCTCTGGGCACAGGGCTGGCTAGGATCCCATGCGTGCTGGACTCTCTTCTTAGCATACTGACTCTGTCCAGGCAAGTCTGCTGCAAGTGGTACCTGGGCGGCCCCTTCCTTCCCGCATTGGGTTAGGACAGCTCCCAGCCAGCAGTTACACAACCAACTCGAACGTTTCTAGGATCCACTGCTTCATCTCCTCATTGAGATTCAGGAAGCCGTGTGCCTTCCCCTGGCCCAAGTGCAGTTCTGCTGAGCTTTTGTTTCATTTGGGAATAGTTCTTGCTGGAAGCCGCTCACCCAGAGACCAGTGCTCCCCGACAGCAGACAGCAGTGGAGGTAAGCACCCGGGCCTTAGACCTCAGGTAGGTGTGTCTTTTGTAATTTTATGTTTAACTACCACCCCAGCTTAAGACACATGGGGTCCCCAGTACAGCATGGATCACAAAGCTGCTAATGAAAAGTAAAACATGTTGTACCTGAGGCCGTAGATCAGTGATGCAAGTGAAGCCTGAAGTCTGACCCTGAACCTAGACCATGGCAGGTTTGTCTTACAGAAAAGGGATTTTACTGGTTTTTAGGATTAAGTGCTTATTTTCTTCTTCAAACTCACAGCAATGTAGTGTGAACAATATATTTTTGTTAAAAATAAATATGTTCATAAACTGGGCAATGTACCTGGAGTCCCAGCTACTCAGGAGGCTGAGGCAGGAAGGAGATTGCTGAAGACCAGGAGTTTGAGGACAGCACAGCCTGGGCAATGTAGTGAAACTTTGTCTCAAAAAAAAGAAACAAGTATTCCTTGAAAACAACTTATTACAATTTAACTGTCAAAGTTGATAATTTCCTCACAGAGGAGTGAATGGTGGCCTGTGTCCGTGAGTCTCAGCATGGCTGTGGTGTCACCCCTTTTAGTGTGCAAGCATGACACGGGAGGGGCAGTTGAGGGAGGAGCTGGGCTACGACCGCATGCCCACGCTTGAGCGGGGACGTCCAGACCCTGGGCGGCAGGAGGCTGGCGGCTATGCCCCGGACGGGAAGCCCAAGAACCTTCAGCTGTCAAGGGGGCTGCCCCCGTGCTTCAGCTATAAGACCTGGGTCTTCTCTGTGTTGATGGGGGTGAGTAGCTCAACACCACCTCAGAGGTCTGCTCACACCTGCCCTTCCTGCAAAACCTGAACCAGATCAGGGCCCCCTGCCCTGAGAGTCACTTCCTCCCAGTTGGTCTGGACAGGAAGAGCTCCATACCAGTCCTGCTGTGGAGAGCCTCTGCTGTTGATGCATTGATTTTGCTTCTGTCCTCTGAATTATTTTTCTCAAATTATCTGTGACAAGGGCCTGTGCTCCCCTCACTGTGGTCTCCCACCGGTGGAGGACAGTCTAGCACGGCGCTGAGTCCAGCGTCCATCCACAGCATTTGCCATAACCCTGGACTCCTGTGGGGCTAGGGCTGTCCCGAGGTGTGGCTTGCGAGGCGGAAGGGCATCTCAGGCTCTGTGTCATCTCTGTGGAATGAACCCAGTGTTGTGGCCAAGGGGACAGTCAGGGCCACGGAGCAGGAGGGGCCGCAGGGGCATGGGGGGTGGGGCGGGGGGCACTGGAGGGCAAGTCTGAGCTAGCCTGGAGCAGGGCTGTGCCAAATACATGATGGGCTTTCCTGGGGCCGAGGACATCCCCATGTGGACATGTAGACTGCCAGGGAAATACCCTGAGGGTGCACAGTAGCCGAGGGCCAGACCACTGGATGCACTTCCTTTGAACTAGAACCTGAGTTCCATGTGGTCCTGGGCTGAGAATCCCTCCCTTCCTGTGTCCTGGGCTTTACTGGCCAGCCCCGAAGCACCCCCACAGTCCAGTCCTCTGCAGCAATTTTACATCTCAGATTGGAGTCCACTCCAGCTTCCTCCAGGACCCTCACAGCTTGAGAGTCCTAGGCCTGCAGACCCTGGCTTCAGGTGCCTTTTCCAGGTACCAGTTTGGATTAGCTTCGGCAGAGGCAGAGGGACAGGTGTTGTTTTCCAGGCTCTGGGCCTGGGTGGGATCCTGAAGCCCCTGAAATCTCATGGGTTGGGGTGAAGGTGTTCTCTGGGGAAAGGTACCATTTCTTGCTTTCAATTTGGAAACAGAGTCCCCTCCCTCTCTTCCCCAAATAACAGTGTGGAGGTTCCTGCTTGGCATGATGGAAGAAGATCCATTTTCTGGGCTGTGGCAGGGAGTAGTTCAGGTCAGGCAGGACCCAGGCACAGGCATGGCCGATGTTGGGGCAGGGTGTTGGTTAATGTGGGAAACAGTTAAACTTCAGTAAAGGGTTGGTTGCTCACTCCTTGAGTGTGTAATCCTCAGACAGAGCCACATTTAACCTGAACCTGTGTCTCTCTTTTGCAGAGCTGCCTGCTTGTGACCTCTGGGTTTTCGCTCTACCTGGGGAATGTATTCCCCTCCGAGATGGACTATTTGCGGTGTGCTGCAGGCTCTGTAAGCACCACTGCTCAGCCACACTTACCAGCACCCAAGTTCCCTGTCCTGTGTTCCAGTTTCTGTGCTCTGGGGTTTATAGTCTTCTGTTTCTCGTTTGGAAATCTCTCATGTGACTCATTACTTTTGAAAATGATCAGTAAAGACTGCCTGAATCTTATTCCGCAGACCCCTGCGTGAGAACTGGCCCTTTGGATTCTGCCCTTTGAATCTGCCCTTGCGTTGTCGGGAACTGCCCCCACCCCCAAAGCTTGGTCCCAAGCTGCTATCCCCAGCGCAGGCCCCATGTGAGCTTCTCCTGCCTCCTCACATCTAACACTGTTATGCCTCTGCCATTCTGCAGCCCTGTCTCCTGCTCCCTTAGGGTCTGGGGCCCGCTTCCCACAGAAACAAACTGCCTCACCTCCCCCACCTCCTGATCCCTTGACACCCTTCACCACCTCCTCCACTGGGCCTTGACCTAGCTTTGGGGTCACAGTGAGGTTAGAGTACATGCCTGCACTGGAGCCCCTAAGCAGTGGGGCCCCTGAGCACAGGAGACACCTCCATCTTCTTCAGGCAAGTTCTTCTTCCTTCTGGGTCATTCTTCAGCAGAGACCAAGTTACCCTCTGACTGCCAAGTGCATCCAGCTAGAATACTTTTTTCAGAATAAGTTATTCTAAAGTGTCCTTCAGTGTGGAGGAAACCCCTTACAATGCTTGTTTGCCAGTATGCCTTGGCTTATTCTGGAGACCTAAACATTATAATGCATTATTATGATTGTTATTTTAAATTTTGCAGAGCTAGAGTTCAAACTCAGGGCCTTGCAGTAAGAGCTCTATCCCTGAACTCTACCCCGTCTTGCAGTGCATTGTTTTCAGGTTGCCACCAGGACCAGCATGGTGCTCAGGTAAGTCCTTTGCTTACCCAGGCTCTGGTTTCTTTTCAGTGCATCCCTTCAGCAATTGTGGGCTTTGCTGTTGCCAGGAGGAACATCAATGCGGTGAGTTCAGCCCTCCGGCAGCCTCTGCAGACTCAGCAGCCCCATGGTAACTGGCTGTAGAGCTGTCAGGCAGGGAGGTGGGTAGTCCTCCTTAGGGCTGACAGGCCGTGTGTCTATGTGTCTCCATGGGCGTGCACACCCATGGATGAATGGTCCCAGAGAAGGTCCTGGTGGTCACCCCAGATGAGCGGGTTCCTGCCTTGTCCTCCCTCTTCCCTCTGCTGGCACTCAAGCCCCAATTCTTACAGGTACAATCTTTAGGATTTTTAGTTAATGACCTGGAATTTGGTTGATGTTGCCTTTTTTTTTTTTTTTTTTTTAGTTATTCAAAAAAGGAAACCTCTCCTGCCCTGTTTTTCAGATTCCCAACTTTCAGATATTGTTCGTTTCCACATTTGCTGTCACTACTACATGCTTAATCTGGTTTGGATGCAAACTGGTCCTGAATCCATCAGCAATAAATGTGAGTCTCTGGAAGGGCGCTTGGGTCACAACTGAGCCCACATCTGGCTCAGGCTGAACCAGTGTCAGCCATGTTGGTTGAATTGGAAACCCTTGGTAAATGTTTGTTGTAGGTCTTGAGTTGACAAGCATTGAGAATTTTGCCTACGTGCTGAAGGAAAGAACTGTCTCTCCTGAACTCTTTGAATTGATTCCATTGGATGGGTCTGTTGATAAATAATATTTCAATGACTCTTTCTCAGTAGGTCTTAAAAATTAAGTGATAGACTGGGGGTGTAGCTCAGGGGCAGAGCACTTGCCTAGTACAAGCAAGACCCTGAGTTCCGTCGCCAGCAACACACACACAAATTGACGGTAACATATTCCATATTGTGTCCAATCCATGATGCTGTTGATTGTTGGACACTGTGATTTTATGTGCTACTGAAAAAGTGAGAAAATACCACATAAGTTTTGATGCCCAAGATGAAATATCTCGGTGGAGATGAGGACATTTTAGCCAGTCTTATAAGGATGCATGATGATCCAAGGAACACTCAATCCGCGTGTGCAGAAGAGGTGGTTCCTGCTTACTCGACATTGGGATAATTAAGAGCATGTAGCAAGCTGGGTGTAGTGGTTCTCATACCCATAATCCCAGCTACTCAGGAGGCAGAGATGGGAAGGATCAGGGAGGATTGATGTTTGAGGCTCACCTGGGCAAAAAAAAAAAAAATGTTATTGAGATCCCCCCCATCTGAACAGATAAGCCAGGCATGGTGGCACACACCTGTGATTCTAGCTACATGGGAAGCCATAGGACAGAAAATCACCAACTGAGGCCCAACCCAGGCAAAAACATGAACCCTACCTGAAAAATAACTTAAAAACCATCAACCAAAAAAAGGCCGGAGGTATGGTTCAACTGGTAAAGTACCTGCTTAGCAAACTTGAGGCCCTAAGTTCAAACCCCAGTACCTCCAACAAACAAACACAAAGCATGTAGCAAGTTGCTGAGTGTGAAAATCAAAGTAAAACTGTAATTGTGCCAACAAAAACTTGAAAGAATAATCTAAGTGCAGAAAGCATTTTATAGAAATCAACATAAAAGGTTTCTGGGAATACACCTGTGAGAGATCTGTGAGGCTGTTTGGTAGAAATTATGATACTTCCTTAAACACACCCGGAACAAACAGAAGGTGAGGCTGTCCGGGAGACCCATGTCATAGGGAGGCTCCTCTGCATCCAGAACCTACAGGTCTGCACAGGGCCCCAAGAAGGACCCCCTTGAACAACAGGTTGGGATGTATCTTCACACAACCAGGATTATTAGAAAGCCGTGCTAGTGAGCAAGGGTGGTCTCGGCAGAGAAGCCATCACTGGACCCCAGTCATCCTGAAGCCACCACATGAGTGTGGACAGCAGGCTGAACCTGGGGCAGTTCTGGAAGGAGCATGTGGGCTGCAGGGAACCATCCTCCCCAACACACGCACACACACAACCTGCACAGCTCAGCACATATTTAGGCAACTCACGCTCTTCAGAGAGGATGCAGGCCATTTGGAGAGCAATTTGGGATTTACAGGCACACTCTGAAGATGTGTGGGCACGGTACCACCCACAGGTGCAAACTCTAGAGAAATGCTCACACACCTGTGACCAGGTCATGGAGGTCAGAGCAGTAACACTTGTCAACAACAACACCAAACCTAAACAGGTGATCCTCTCCCAGGATGGTGACAGAACAGGCGACTAAACTGTGGAAGATGCATAAAGCCACACCTGCTGGCTTCTGCTAGGTGTGGCCTCTTTCTCACCTGGAGCTTGTACCTGCAGAACCTCAGCCCTACCTAAGGCAGGTGTTAGAATCCACAGATAACCAGGGTCTCCATGGCCCAGGCAGAGGAACCTCAGGAATATAGCATTTGAACCATTTATGCTCAGAAGCAATGTCTTGTTGAAGGATATGTAAAAAGTAGTGTGATAGAGAGCCACAAAGTGAAAGGACATTCAGGGACATGGCTCCATCTGTGCAGGGCAATCTGCTCTAGGTGCCACACTGCTGTCCTCTTAGCCTACCACAAGTCCTCTAGTCTCTGCCAAGTTTTGGGAGTCCTCTTGGGTACATGCACTGCTGGCACCTGTCTGTAGGGCTCTCCTGTTCTGCCCTCTTCCACCTGCCCCCTCCCCGAGGCTCTCAACCACAGTGGGTACCCAAGTCTCACTGGTGGGAGGATGCACAGATCCACTGCCCCCGAGGCCCCACTCCCAGTGCCAGCCCCCTGGGGATGTTGTCAAAAGCAGGAAAGTAACATCATATACCGTGTGAACTCAGGTGTGGACCTTGTCTGAATTTTTCTCATCTTTCTTTTAGAATGGATTTTTGTAAATTGGAGTAGTGTCTGGAAACCTTGTTAAATCTTTAGTTATTTATTATGGTACTGGTGATCAAATCCAGGGACTAGTACATGCCTGGCAAGCACTCTACCTAGAGTTACCCCCGCCCTTTTCCTTTTCATTCTAAAATTTGATTTGTATCTTTATGGCAACTATGTTACTAGTCTTTCAAAGACCCAGCTTCTGTATGAGTTGAAGTCGGTTTTCTGTTACTTCCTCACTTCTGTCCCTGGCTTACCTTTTGCTCCTCTTACCCCTTGATGTCTTGGTTTCCATCAGCCTGATAATGCACATGGCTGCATGTTACCCTTCTGGCTGGTGTAGTCTGTCCCAGACCATGACATATGGTGTCTTCATCTTGGTTTGTTTTTTTTTTTTTTTTTTTTTTGCAGTACTGGGATTTGAACTCAGGGTCTTCTGCTTGCTAGGCAGGTACTCGACCACTTGAGCCACATTCCCAGCCCCTCATTGTCGTTTAGTTCTATGTGTTTGGAAGTTTTGCTCCCCACCCTCTGCTGTCCTGTCTGTACTCTGGGCAGCCATTGCTCTCTGGCCTGGGTGCCTCTGTGGCCAGGGATTACAGATGGCTATTAGAGAGAGGCTGGGGATTTTGTTCCCTGACTCTGCTTACTTTGGGATGGGTTAGTCTGGGCATGGTTCTCTGCCAAAGCAGGCGGCCCTCTGAATGGCTGCTCTGTTGGGAGCTCGCAGACCCCGTGGGAGCTGTGTTCTTTTCTTCCAACCTTGGTGGAGCCTCTTCATCCTGTGGATTTTCTCTCCCTAAATCCTACACTCTCTCCTTCTGAGTGTCCCATGTGCTTTTTGCCAGGACCTCAATGAAGCAGGCACTTGAGATTGTTTTTAAGGATCATAACTTACTGATTTCTAATATTACTAAATTATGATCAGACTACATAACCTAGAGTGTATTGATTCTTTGAAATTTACAAGGCTTGTTTTGCAGCCTAACAGATGATAGTGTTCTACAACTGCTATAAAAGAATGAGCAATCTTTGTTTTATTTTGCATGGAGAGTTCTGTAGATGCCTTATTAGCTGCATTTGTTTTAAAATGCAGTCTTGATTATCCTGCAGGCATGGTGAGGACAGCAGATCAGGAGGCCCCTTCCATTGAAAAGGGAGATTATTGCTCATAGATCCTAGAGGAGGGGGCACCCCACACCATGCTGGCCCCACAGTGCAGCACCAGGGAGGGGCACAGGCAGAAAGAATGAGGGGTGACATGGGCCAGAGCCTCCACTGAGGCTGCCATGAGAGGCAACAGGTGGGGCAGGTGAGAGATGTAGGACTGGCCAGTGAATGACTTCAGTGGGTGCTGGGCACAGGGCTGTCCCTGGTTACCTGGGGTGATGGCAGGTGGATAGTGGCATGGTGTGTTGGGGGGATGATGGAGAGGGAGCTGTGGTCAGGTGGTTTACATGCAGTATCATTTGTTGACTCCAGGAATTGACCATCCTAGGAGGGGCAGACTGTGCAGGTTAACCTGGCCCCAGGTGTCAAAGCCTCTGAAAAAAATACAGAAAAAGACATTGTTAATATAGCACTTTTCTGGTTTTAAGAGTTCTTATATTTTTACCTTTTTGATTTATCAGCTTCTGAGGAAAGTTTGTTGAATGCTTCACCCATGATTGTTGGTTTATCTATTTCTTTCTGCAGTTCTGTTGGTTATTGCTTTATGTATTTTGAGGCTCTGTTGTTAGTTTCATAAAATGCTTTCATAAGATTATTTTTTAAATATCAGTTACATTGATTTATTTCTTTATATTTAGTTAGTGATGGTTTTGGAGATTGAACCCCAGGCTTTGCATATGCCAGGATGTGCCCTACCACTGCGCTACACTCCCAGCCCAACTTCCTTCTTAAGCATATGAATATTGAACAAATAGATTTGTGTAGCCACCAGCAGGGTCAGAACCCACAAAGTTCAGCTGCCCTCCAAGCCTGGGGTTTGCAGTTTCTGGCAACTGCTGTAAATACTTGTGTCTAGGTCTTTGTGTAAACAAGGCTTAGATCAGGCATGGCAGATGAAGCCCTTGGGCCTGTGAACAATGATTCAGGATATTCTGAATGACATGTTCCACTGTGGAAGAGGCTACGTGAACTTTTACAGCCACAGACAAAAGAAAGTCATAAATGAATGCATTTACCAAACACATTGGTAGGGACAACAGGTAGGCGGTTACAACAGAGCAGGGAAATGTCTCATGGGTTTCCGATGTTACCACATTCTTCCCTTTAGGGTTGGTGGAAGCTGGAGGTCTGTTGTGTTTAACAACACATTCCAAATGTTTCATCCAATAGTCCCAAGGAAGTCAGGTCAGATAGAGGGAGAGGACTAAAGCCAGCCAAAGGTTATTTGGGATCTGCAACATCCCATCGCTCCACAATCATAACAACATTCTGTTCAGTCAATCAGTCTGCAGGACTTCAGAGAATTTGGGGTCCCAGGCTCAATTGTCCAGAGTATAACCTTGCTCAGCCTTTGAGTAAAAGTGGTTTTAAAAAAGCAAAATCCCAGCCAGGTGCTGGTGGTTCATGCCTGTAATCCTAGCTACTTGGGAGGCTGAGATCTGGAAGATCGAGGTTTGAGGCCAGCCTGGGCAGATAGTTCTCAAGATCTCCAAAATAGCCATGGAAAAGCATATTGGAAATGTGGCTCAAGCAATAGAGTGCCTGCTTTGCAAATATGAAGCCCTGAGTTCAAACCCCAGTCCCACCAAAAAAAAAAAAAAAAAAAAGCACCATGTGACCCGTGGCCTAATGGGGCCTATGATAGGCAAGCAGCACTGGTCTGGAGCCTGGAACAGCCTGCCCAGCGACTGTGCTGTGGGAGCCAGAGGGCAGTGGATTCCTGGGGAAGTGATACAGTGTCCCTGAAGTACATGATTCTTGTGCAGATTAACTTCAACCTCATTCTGCTCCTCTTGCTGGAGCTTCTCATGGCAGCCACAGTGATCATCTCTGCAAGGTCCAGCGAGGATCCGTGCAGGAGGAAGAAGGTGGGTCACCCAGAACAACCTCATCGTGCCCCCAGGGTGGGCCTCTCTGTGTCACCCAGAACAACCCCATCGAGCCCCCAGCGTGGGCCTCACTGTGTGAGGAGTCCCCAAGTGCAATGGGGCCATCAGAGGGACAGGCATGGGCAGGGGCTGGAGGCTGTCACCTGGGGAAATGACAAGGCAGCATCACTACCTCCCCAGTGGCCTCCTCTCACATGCTGTCCCCCCTGGTATCACAGGGGGACCAAATCTGCTAAAAATGTTGATCTGTGATCAAGGTGATTCAGCACATGACCACGTGCAAGGGACACCTGCTCCTGAAGCCTGCGGGCTGTGACCTAGAGATGGTCACATTTCAGAATGTCTCCCCACTCATACCCCAGGCAGCCAACCCTCTCCAAGCACCTGTGCCTTGCACACTATGGCTACATGAAGTCTTGCTTCTTCCTAGGGATCCATCTCTGAAGGCACCAACATTCTGGAAGAAGTGATGTTTCCCGCTCGGGTCCTCAAGTCCTACTCTGTAAGAAAAACCTCCCCCTTATTTTATCATATTGGGAGGGTGTGCATGAGGCTGGACCAGCCATCATATTTAGTTTTCCAGATGACTAAGTCGTGTTGAAGACCGGGCATGTCAGGCCCTGTGCCCAGTCTGGGAAAGACTCTCCAGCCCTTTTACAGTATTGCTGGCAACAAAGTACCTTGTCTTAAATGGATCTTAAAGGATCCTTAGTTTTAATGGGGCAGGCATGTTCTGGCTGGAACTCCAAGCCCTGTGAGTCCCTTTTCACCCTCAGTGCCCTGACCTGGGGACAGGCCACATGGCTGCTCTCTTCTGTTGATCGTGTTTAAGTCTTAGATGTCCTATTTGTTTTTTGGTTTTATTCTATTTGTTCTATTAGTGAAAGGTCAACTAAAAACCTCTCAATTCCAGACCTGAGCATGGTGTTACTAATTTCTCTTTGTGACTCTGTCTCCGTCTAGTGTGAGTTTGGGAGCCTACATTCTTAATGAGAAACAAGCTTGGAATTGCTGCCTGGCGAGTTTCCTGTTCTCATCATGAGGTGGTAACCCTCAGTGCCTTTAATAACACTCTGCCATAAGCCCATATCAACTATGGTTTAAGCACATCAGTTGTCATCAATCTGTGACCATTTATCTTTCTCTTTTTGAACTTTCTTGTCCTGATATTTTGGTATGTTTCTTATACACAGTGCTCAGGTGTATTTTAATTTTTTTCTACCTAACCTGTCATTCTCTTTTTTTAGCCTTTTGAATTTACCCCATTTCCTTTAAGAGTGGTTATTGTCATATTTATCGATCTCACTTTTTTGTTTTCTCTTTTCCCCATCCCCTTTTCTCCTTCCTTATCTTCTTTTGAATCAGTTAAAGCTTCTACCTTCTTTTCCCTCTAATTTAGAAGCAGAAGTTACACATCATTTTAGAGGTTTTCCTCCATGCTTTAAGAGGCCTCTTTGACAGATGCGGTGTCTGTGTCCACAGTTTGGGCCCTGCACCTGTTATCCAGTCGTAATGGCTGCTAACACTGCTTTTTCTCTCCTTTGTGCTGGCTCATCCAGCCAAGCTCATCTGTACCCTGATTTCCACTTCTTCTGCATTTCCACCCTCCTCTTTGGCCCAATTTATCTTCTACCTAGTGCATTTTCTTTAGACATTTTGTGAGAGGGTATCTGCTTTGGGTAGGCTTTCCAGTTTTTGCTGGTTCTTCTCATTCTTGAGACAAAGTTTTGCCCAGTAGAGAATTCCAGGCTGACAGTTTTCCCTGAACATCTGCTGATTCTGCCATTGCCTTCCTGTTTCTGGAGTTTTCCATTCTGTGTCATGTTCACTCTCAGGAATTCTGTTTTCTTTGTCCATCTTGGATCTTGTGCCTTCTGAAGGTGCAGAGGCCTGGCTGCATGGTTTTGTCCCCACCATGAGTCCCTGCAGCACAGCTCCTACTGGCTGGGCCAATTCCACGTCCATCTCTGGCAGCTGGCTTTGTGTGAGCCTCACTGCAGGTGAGATGGAGGACTCCCACCTCTATCTTCCCTCCTCAGGTTTGTCTACTGACTTCTCCACACTCATCCTGGCTGCTGGACCCAAGAAGGGCAGTCCAGCGAGCCCACTGCCTACCCCTGGGATGTCTACTCTGCACACTGCAGAATGAGGTGTCTCTCTCTCTCTCACAATGGTGTGAGGACCCAGCAAGGTGACCCTGTCCTGTTGTTCCCCTCTAGGTGGTAGAGGTGATTGCTGGCGTCTCTGCTGTCCTTGGTGGTATCATCGCTCTGAATGTGGAGGAGGCTGTCTCAGGCCCACACCTCTCAGTGACATTCTTTTGGATTTTAGTGGCCGTGAGTACTTCCTGGCTGGTCACCTTGTCCATTATCACTCACTGTCTCACCAGAACCCTGATAAGTGCAGACCATTCCTCTGTGTCCCCAGACATCAAGGGCCACTGCGGCCCTGGGACACAGGCATTTCCTTTCCCTTGCGGGTGTGGACAGGAGCTTTAGATCTGGAAGATGTGCCAGGTCAGGAGCTCAGCAGGCTGTGCTAAGCCCTCAGAGTCCCTGGAGGGCCCAGGAGGTCAGCCAGGGGTGCACCCAGCCCTCAGCCATTCTGTACTGCCTTCCTTCTTCCTGCTCCCATAGAGCTGAATCAAGCTCCTCAAAGTAAGTGGGAAAGTTGCTTCCTGTTTACAAAGAGGAGAGGTGTCTATCTAAGGGAGGAGCCCACTCACATGGTCAATGCTGATGGGCAGCTCCTCCCTGTCCAATCCTGAAGAAGCACCTGCCTGTCCCAGTGGAGGCCCCATTGCAGCCCAGGGATGCATCTCAGAAACGTCTAGGTCACAAGGGTGCCAGAGGCCAAAGGATATCCTATGACCTAAGGCCAACCATGATGCATAAATACTGACCCCAGACTAGGACAGACAAAAGACTCTGAAAACAGCACTGTTGAGACAACTGGACAATGCTGCTGAACCCACATCCATCAGAAGTGGCACTGCATTAATGTGAGGACTGGGCCTGAACACAGCATGCAGAATTGACAATGTTGGGGAGGTGACTCCAGGGGACTCAATGTCACTGCACCCTTGTTGCAGCTTTTCTACAGACTTACAGCTTGTAAGCAAATGTTCAAAAACAAAGAGCCACCATGCTTTCCCAGCCCATGGGAAAGATGAATTGCGTCAAAGCAGGAGAGCCCAAGCTTGGAATTGGCTTTTTGGATAGTCACCTCTAAAGTCCTTCTCTTTCTTTCCTCTCAGTGTTTCCCAAGTGCCATCGCCAGTCACGTGACAGCAGAATGCCCCAGCAAGTGTCTGGTAGGTAAGGCCTGCAGACCAGGCTCTGACCCACATCGGCAGCTGCAGGGGCTGCCCGGCTGGGCAGGGGCCTTAGAGGCAAGGCCACCTGGGCCAGTGGGAAGGCCAAGGCGGCACTGCCGCCCAGCAGACAACCCATGAGTATACCAAGGGCGCACTGGCCCCTGCCACCATGTCTGTGAAAACAAGAAGTGAGCACTTTGGCGGAAAGTCAGAAAGCCCTGTGGCTGTGCCTTCTGGGGGGTCAGCCAGCTTTTTGCTAGCATCTGTTGCTACCTTTGGGGCTGGAATGCCCTGTCAGATGAGTATCCATATGATTTGAGATTTGGGGGAGGTTAAAAGGATAGGTTTTGGAGGTGTGGGAGAGGTGAGGGATCCATAAGAGCTGTTCTGTCAGCAGACGGCAGAACTGTGTGTGTGACACGCAGCGGGCTTTGAATTAATGGGTAGTGAGCTTAGTGGAGCCACACGCTGACCCAGAACCTTGAGTTCTTCTGTCACTCGGTCTGCTTCTCACCCAGGTGGAGGTGCTGATTGCCATCAGCAGCCTCACGTCCCCGCTGCTGTTCACAGCCTCAGGATACTTGTCCTTCAGCGTGATGAGAGTCGTGGAGATTTTTAAAGATTACCCACCAGCCATCAAGGTTTGTATCCATTCATTTTATTTCAAAACTGCATTTTGTGTGAGTCTGAGACCTTGGGTATGGGGCAGATGGGCACCTGCCTGGACAGAGTGGCTTTGCCCTCTGCCTTGGGTGGAGCAGGTTTACATGCTATGTGAGATGATGGAGGTGATGAAGAACACCCATCTCTGACTGGTCAGTTCTGTCTTGCTGGCTAGCAGGCAGCTCTGCCTTGGTTTCTACCCAACCTGATTCTGCCCATCTTAGCACGGCCCTGAAAAAGGCCCACCTCCTTCACAGTGGCCCCAGGTTTTCTCTGAGCACCCACACATTTCAGGACCAGTTGGCATTTTATGAGACACCCTGTTGGGGCCTTGGTTAGAATGTTGTGAGTTTGTAGACAGATTTGAGAAGAATGGTAAGTGTCCTCACTTTGCCTTTGCCATGTAGAAATATCACCAAATGGGACTTCTCCTCGCTTCTCAATGACACTGCAGGGTTTCCTCTCCATGGTCAGGCACAGTGGGCCGCCATAGGGGAAAAACCTCTATGCTCAGGACGCATAGAATTCAATACTCTAAAATTACTCAAACTTACCTGGACCAAGTTGGGTGCCAGTGGCTCATATCTGTAATCTAGCTATTTGGAAGGCTGAGATGGGGAGGTTCATGGCTGGAGGCCAGTCCAGGCAAATAGTTTTCAAGACCCCATCTCCAAAATAATCAGAGCAAAATGGACTGGAGATGTGGCTCAAGTGGTTGAGTGTCTGCTTTGCAAACAGGAAGCCCTGAGTTCAAACCCCCGTGCTACTCCAGATCACAAGTTTATATTGGCATTTGCAATTCAAATTTAACACTCTAGGTTTTTCCTGACTTATTTTATATTTGCACCTCTTTGCTCTTACTCCAAATGTGTTACCTCCTGTTACTGATTTGTCTTAAAACACATATGAAATTGTGTATCACAAGAGACCAACATCACAGCCACCCACTGACCTAGGTGAAGTCTTCCTTTTTCCTTTATCATTCATCCCACTAAGGAGGGCGGTGACATGCTGTGTGAAATAATCCCCTTTTGTGGAAGTTATGCTATTGATTTGACATACAGTTAAGTTGAATAGTTTCTGGTTATATTCAATATTAGGCCTTGGTTCATTTTACCCTTCTTTTTTAAATATATAAAATATTTGTGTGACTCAAAAGACAAAGCTGTAAGGGAGGCTAGGGTGCCAGCCTTGTTTACCTGCTCTTCTTGTAAACATCCATATTATTACAAAACAGGTTGCACACTTAATCACTGTTCTGCGCTGGGGATCTTTCTGAACTTAATAACTTACCCTGGTGTTTTCTGAGTCCCCCAGGACCAGAGCTCTTCCATATTCTCTCATCCTATACAAATGTAACCCAGCCACCCTGATAGTCCCTAATGGTGGAAACTGGGTTATTTCCAGCAGTCTGCTGCTATGAGTAACTCCTGACAATCACCCTTTATGCATACTCCATTTTGAATCTGAGCAGCTATTGTGGGATCATCTGCTGGGTGAGGGACCACGGGTCACAGTGTAGATGCATCTACTGCAGGTCACAGCTCCGCCTGTCTGTGAAGCTGGGCAGCAGAGCCCTATTTCTTCACAGCCCTCTGCAGGGTGTATTGTGCTGTTTAATTTTATTTATTTATTTATTTTTTTTTTGGTGGCACTGGGGGTTGAACTCAAGGCCTCACACTTGCTAGGCAGGTGCTTTTACCAGCTGAGCCATTCCACCAGCCCTTATTGTGCTGTTTTATAACCCTGTGAGAGGCAAGAGGGTATGGCTGTCAGCAGAGGACCAGGGAGGACCTTTGACATTTCTTGCCCAGCAGTCACCTTTTCTAGCAGGGTCTGGAGAATTCTGATGATGTCGGGGACCACATGTGAAGGAGACACACAGTGGCCTCAGCCTGGCAGCTGCTCTCCCTACTGCCCTTATCACTCCTTCCCTGAATTGTGGCTGGACTCTAAGTCACCATCAAAAAAGCTTGTGCTTGGGTTTCCAGCTGGGTTTGTCAGGAGCACAGCAAAGCCATGGACCCAACTTGATTGTCTTTAACTCTTTCATTGGCAAGGCTCTCAGTACCACCAAAAAAACAACCATCTTCCCTCAGTCCCTTAATGCTGCCTTTGTTACATGCTGCTATCCCATCCTCTGTCACCGTCCACCTGTCCCTAAGGCAAAGACTACACACCTGCCTCCTTCCACTAGACAGGACTGGGCACCTACGTGCTGTCTGCTCCTCTCTTCAGGCTCCCCTAGCTCTTGTGGCCTGTTTGCTCTTCTACATGAATTCTAGACCCATGTGCCTGGCTTGCAAGGGCACCCTTGTGCTTTTTATGGGAACTGTGCCAACTTAATGCATTACCTTGAGAAGAGTTGCTCGTTAATCTTCCTTTTCTCCTTCTTCCACTGTGGCATTGGCCCTCTATTGTCTCCTCCCCCTCCCCTCCTCCTCCTCCTCTCTTTGAACTCACAATCCTCCTGCCTCAGCATCCTAAATGCTGGGGTTACAGGCATGCACTTGCCTTGACACTGTGTTTTTTAGTGTTAACACTTAGTTGCTTTGTGTTTCCTCTGCCAGTTCTGGAAGGACATCCCTGTGGGGAACGGAGGGTTCAGGGAGCTGTGCAGATGTTTCTGTGATCCCTGTGACTGCTCCCCTGAAGTGCAGTTCCATTTCTTCTGGCCCCTAGAACTCTCTTCCCCATCCTCCTCCTGCCCTCCCCCATTGTCCCTCTGGTCTGAGCACCTCCAGCCTTTTCCTCTCCAGCAGCTGATACTGCAGTTACTGTGCTGGTGGATCTGGCCCCACTGTCCGAGACCCCTGCCCTTGCAGTGCTTCAGCCCACGGCCCTCCAGAGCTGTGTGAACCTCAGGAACACTTTTGCTGCAGAAATGCCGTTGGAAGGTTGTAGTCATTTCTGCCACATGGTCTTGATGGCTCCTTATCATGGTTTTGGGGATGGGGGACTATGGCGAGGACACCAACAGCTGGCCTGTCCACAGAGTGTGGCAGCGGTCTGCTGGGTCCTTTTTTGTGCCTACCTGTGAAATGCAAACCAACAGGACTTGTTCCAGAATTGAGCTAGAATGGTTATTATTCAGATTACTGAAAGAACAGCACACGTTTGGACTGCCAGGGCTCAGAAGCTAGTGGGCACTGTGATCAATGGGAAGACAAAGGTGTGGGGACCATCTGCAGGGCCTGCCCGGCTAGTAGGCCTGCTCACATCTCCTCTGCCCTCCAGTCCTACGACCTGCTCCTGCTGCTGCTGCTGTTGGTGCTTCTGCTTCAGGGGGGCCTCAACACAGGTACGGCCATCCAGTGTGTGAGTTTCAAGGTCAGTGCAAGGATGCAGAGTGCGTCCTGGGACGCCCATACAGTCCCTCAGGAGCGGCCAGCAGGGGAGGTGAGTGGCATGTTCTTCCAGGGCGCCCCATTCTACGGGCCTCTGATGGCTCCTACAAGATGACTGATGCCTGTATTCCATCATGCTACTTTGCATTTTAAAAACACCCCAGAAAAATCTTGGAGAAGTTAAAATATGGAATCCATTATTTTTTAAATGTCTAGTCAAATACAAATCCATTCATGAAAAATATTATGGATCTGGGGTTTTGGTTCTGTTTTTATAGATACAACCTAGGCCTTTCAGGGTTCCCAAGGTCACAGGGTTTCCTTGCCTGGCCCTAGGAGGTTGCTCTGTAGTTCAAAGAGTGCCCCCTCCTGCACATAGGGCTCCCCACAGCTGGGCATTAATGCTGTCTGGCTTGGGGACTGGGGGTGTCACACCAGGCAATGGCTACCAGACCATAATCTCCCCTGACCCCTACCCTGAATCCTGATGTCCCACATTTGAGACCTCCCATGAGTTACCTATCCTGATGGCTTCTTCCCTGAGCAAACCTGCACACTGCCCTTAAGACACAGTGACCACAAGACCTCCAGTACCTGGCTGCTGTGAACCCCGGGAGGTGTCCTGTTAGGCCCTGGCTGTCAGGCCTCTTGTTTCATCCCACCTGGTTTTGTGTCATGACCAGGAAGCAGGAGAGCCAGATGACTATGTTGGTCTGGCCAGATTCCAGAACTGTCTGTCTTAGGGGCTCAGGGTGGGCAGCCAAGGGCAGCAACTGTCCTTCTCCCTATCTGGAGGTGTGTGTTACCTCTGCCTCAGGTGTCCTCATCCTGCTGCCAGGTGCATGCCTACCTTGAAGCCCTCCCTACTCCATACCTGGAAGGAGGGGGAGGGAGCATTGCTAAGAGCAAATAGAGGCCTTTATCCTTTTTCTGGAGGCCCAGAGGCTTCCTTCCTCCCTTCTTTCATATGCAGAGAAACCTCCAACAAGAGCAAGTTTGATGCAAAGGTCTGGCAGGTAATGCTGTCTCTCTCTGTCACAGGTGGCTAGAAGCCCCCTAAAGGAGTTTGACAAGGAGAAAGCCTGGAGAGCCGTTGTGGTGCAAATGGCCCAGTGACCTTAGGAAGAGGACAGAGTTGCAAAGCCCACCTGACTCCCAGCACATTCAACTGCACAGACTAACGTTGGACAGCTACTACTTCCTAACATGTCCTTTGCCCTTCGGTGAGGGCAACCCAGGCTGCGGGGTGGTTTTTGTTTCTTATCATAGTTTAACTTTGACACAGGTAAATGTTGACTCTTTTGTGCCTTGTTGGATGGGTTAGTTGTGCTTCTCAGGTAGCCCAGCTGCACCAGACTCCCTAGACTGAGAAGAGGTACTGGTGCTGCCAACCTAGAGCCCACAGATAGAAGTGTTTCAGTACCCTCTGGCCAGGCTTCCTTGGTCTGCCTTCTCGTCTGTCCCGTGTGTGTGTGTGTGTGTGTGTGTGTGTGTGTACAAGCTCTTCTCTGTCTGGTTTCATGTTGGGCTTTTCCCTTCTGAGATATGCTCTCACCAGACCCAGCCTGTCAAACACCATTTCCTAACAACAGCGGAAGACTGGATGTGCCCTCCCCATGGGGCTGCCATCATTTTCCCATGCGAAAGCCACACCCAAACCTCTGCCCTCTCTTCCTACTTGCCCCAGACAGTCCAGAAAGACCTGCCTCCTCACTGACCCTGGCTCATGTTCCTTGGTGCAGTGTGAACCCTGCATGGCCACTGGAGCAGTTCAGTATTCTCTGGAGGTAGGGCCAAGTCCAGGGCTTTGGAACTAGACTTGACCACATTGCCATGTCTGAACACCCAGTGATGGTGACAGGAGAGGCCGAGCTTGGTTCCTAGAAGATGGACCCCTGGAGAACTGATTCTCACTCACCCAAGGTTTAGCCCAGGGTCAAGGTCTCCTCTCCTCTGCTGTTTTGGTGTCTCTGGACACTAACATGCCCCCTGCATGGCCTGGTCTGCCACTGCCCATCTGCTAGGCTGCAGGGACAGTGTAAGTATGAGAATAACAGTAACTTTGACAAAGTAGCCTAGAGTTCCCATGCTCCAGGAGTATGGGATGACAAGGGCACCAATAAATCTACAGTAAGTAGGTCACCTTGTAAAAGTGGGAATGTAGTTTTAGGCAGCTAGTGCTTTCACTCATGAGTGCCATATGAGGAGATGAACATACAGCAAGGGACAGAAGGAAGACACTGTTTGCTCTTTACTGAGCTGGGATACTAACTGGTTCCCCATGAATTGGTAGAAAGGCCTTGAGATGCATTCAAGACAGAGCCGGACGGCCTGACCAGAGGGATGTGAGGATCCTTCCAGGCTTCTCACCTTCAACCTCAGTGACCTGAATTTTTAAATTTATTTTCAGTCAAACAAGAGGAATGCAGGTAAGACACCTGAAAGGTAGAAAGTGCCAAGCAAGGAAGCTCTGTCTCCAGCCCTGGGCAGCCTCTCTGCCATTCTCATCCTTAGCAGCTCCAGATATCAAGGACAAAGCCAGAGGCCAGCTAGGCCCAATCAGGCAGGCCATGAGCGGTCACTCTGGCCTGCCCACGTGCAAAACCCACGTGCAAAACCCACCTCTCCACAGGCTGGCTGTGGCCTTCCTGCAGCTCTGGCTAAGGCCAGGTGGGGTCTGCCCCTTGCACCTGGGGGTGGGAAGGGAGCCAACACCTGGGGCCAGAGACTTCAACTTTCAGAACCAGAATGAGGAAGCTGTAGGGCCAGTGCCGGCTTACATGTTATTTCAGAGGGCTTAAAAAAAAAAAAAGCAAAACTCAGACAAATGGGTTTTTAAAAAATTGTCTCTTTTGCCTGGCGCTGGTGGCTCATGCCTGTAATCCTAGCTACTCAGGAGGCAGAGGTCAGGAGGATTTCAGTTCAAAGCCAACCTGGGCAAATAGTTTGGGAGACCCTACCTTGAAAATACCCAACATAAAAAAGGGCTAGTGGAGTGGCTGAAAGTGTAGACCCTGAGTTCAAGCTTCAGTACCACACACAAAAAAAAGTCTCTTTTGTACACTTTCGTTTGATATAGTTTAATATGCTTGAACAATAAAATGCTAACATGCAAATGAGGCTGGTAGCTTGTTTAACGTGGGTGTCTGCATCCCAGGTTCTGGAAAGGTGGAGATGTACAACAGGAGGATGGATGGAGGTGAGGGTCATCTTTTTATTTATTCCTTGATTTATGTACCTGCGGAGGCAGGGCTTAAGACCAGCCTAGAGGCCGTGGTGAGTCAAGACAGAATCACCAGAAGCCATCCTCAGCCACTTGAAGGGAACAAAGCCTCAGAAATAAAGATACTTTTGAACCATATGAAGATGACCTTTAGGTTTTGGAAGTAACCAGCAGTGAAGACACTAACGGGGAGGGTGGGTCTTCCTCATCATACCACAAGATGCCAGCCTTGGAGGAGAGACAGAGAAAGGAACTGACCTGTTGAGGCTGGGTGCAAATCACTGGCTTCGAGGAAGGAACAGCCTTGGAACACCGGGGCAAGCCGCGCGGGTCGCCCATAAGTGGCCCTGGGGGAGCCAAGCCTGCTCTAGGTTCTTCTGCAGGATGGAGGACCTGCTCTCCCCACCGGATCGCCCCAGCTGGGGAGGAGACAACCCGTGCACAGACCATCTGGGAGGACCCTGGGCCAACCCCCACCTCCAGCCCAGAGTGGGCATCTGGTGGACAGCCAGGGAGCCGGCAGACGAAGCCAGGGTGGGGCTGGGTGTGACCCGCGGTCTTTGTGACTCGGCGGGGGCTGACTGCCAGGGCGGGTCTGCGTGACCCTGACGGCGGCGCAGGGCTGGAGCGCGTGACCGGGGCGGGGGTCGAGGTCACTCGCGGGCTCTCTGCAGACGCATGGCCCGCGCCGTCCCGGTCTCCGGCCCCTGCCCCCGCCCCTGCACGGGCTGCGCCTCGAACCGCAACCCAGGACCCGAACCCGAGCCTAGGCCCAGTCCAAGCGCCGGCGACTGCATCCCGCTGGAGCCCGTGCCCCGGGCGCCGCGTGCGCGACGCCTCCGCCGCAGCCCCCGCCGCCCCGCGCGCCCCCGCCGCCCCCGCCGCCCGCGCGCCCGCGCAGCCCTACGCCCCGGGCCGGCCGCCGCACCGCGCGCCCCGGGACCTGCCGCCCGCGCCGGGGGGCTGCACAATGCGCCGCGCAGCCCGGGCCGGTTGCCCGGGGCGACCGCAAGACGCCCGGCCGCGCGGCTGGGGGCAAAGGCGCGGCGCGCGCCTCGGGGCGGGTCCCGGGTGAGCACCGCCCCCTGGACTGGGCCCGACCCTCCTCCCAACCCAGACGGGATCGCCGTCCCGCCCGCGCTCGGAACCTCCAACCCTCCCTTTGGAACTGCAGACCTCTCTCAGAGCCCCAGAACTTCCCACCTTAGCCCGACACCGGCCCACTTCCACCCACCCCGCCCGAAGACTTGCTCTCCCTACTCCCCTCTTCTTGGAACCCCTTGACTGCCTCCCCTACCCTACCGCAGACCTGTCCCCCCGCCGTGCCCGTGACCTGTGTCCCTCCTCCAGGCCTGTCACCCCACCGTGCCCTTGACCCCGTCCTCCATCCCTGACCTGTCCCCCATCAACCCAGGCCTCCCCTCCACCCACCTCCAGACCTGTCCCCGCACCGTGCTAGTGACCGTCCCCCACCCCGACCTGGCCCCAGCCTTCCCAGCCTTGCTGCTGACCTCTGCTCCCGCAGGAGCCCGGAGCCGTAAGGACAAGCGGCAGGCTGGCATGGAGTCTGGTGAAAGGAAGAAGCTGTCATCCGCCTCGTCGGATGGAGATCACAGAGAAGAAAATAGTCTGTACCCCGCGTCCCGCGTCCCCTTCCTAGGGCTCACAGGGCTGTCCCCGCTTAATGAAAGGAGCAGGCGGGTGGCCGGGGTCACCGGGTGCGCAGGACGCAGGCGCCTCCCCAGGGCGCTCGGGGAAGCCTGGCGGGGTGCACGGGGACACGCGCAGGTGCTGCCGCCCCTGCCCCGGGTCCCCATCCGCGGACTTCTCAGACTTCTCCCGGGCAGTGGGAATTGGATGTGCGGGTGCTGTGCGTGTCCTGGTGGCACAGGGCGAGCCCGACGCTTCCTTTATTAGAGTAAGTCCCTGAGCCTGCCCTTCAGACGTGGTCCATGTTCACTGGCGAACACCTGGAAGTAAAATTGTGTTCCAGGCTGGGAATCTTAGCTCTAGAGGATGCTCGGCTTGCTGGCCAGGTGTTGCCCACCCGCCCGCCGCTGGAATTGGCCTTTCCATTTCCAGCTTTGTGGTGGGTGCTTCTCTCTGTGGTTTTGATTTGCATTTCTGATGTTGGAGTGCTTGTTCCAGGTCTTGGCTATTACTAAGGTGGACCTTACTGACTTGTAGGGATTCTTTGTATGGTCTGCCTACAAGTTTTTTGTCAGATCAATGTATTTACAAATATGTGAGGGCTTTTGTGTCTGGCCACTTCAGTCTCTTAATGATTCCTTCCATAATCAGAACGTGTAATTTTAATGAAGTCTTATTCTCAATCTTTTCTATTAGGCAGTGCTTTTGTGTCTCTTATGCCTCCTTCAGTTGTCCAGAAAGTAGTGTCCCATGATTCTTTTACAAGTTTTTTATTTTATTTTGGTGGTCTGGATTTGAACTCAGAACCTCACACTTGCTAGGCAGGTACTCTACCACTTAAGCCACTCCACCAGCCCTTTTCTAGAAGTTTTATCATTCCACTTTTCACATTTAGGTCTACAGCCCACAGAGATTGAAGGTCATGTATGGAGTGAGGTCGAGCTTGGTAGATCAGTGCCCCTTGCCTGGCACTGTCCCTTTGGGGTCAACCAGATGTAGGTCGTTTGGGGTTCTCTGTTCTACAGTCCTTCTGCCTGTGTTCAATACCAGCATTTTCGTTCCTAAGCTCTTTAATGTCTTACTATGTGCAGGTAGGTACGTTCTCTGGGACTTTTGCACTGCTGTGTAAGTTGTAGAATCAAATTAACTTACCCAAGTACAAATCCTGCTGTGTGGTTGTGGTCACAGTGAATCTGTGCATCAATTGACATCTTAGCAATATTAAACGTTCTAACTCACGAGCATGGAGTTCTTCAGTCCTCAGCAGTGTTCTGTAGCTTTCACTGTGCAGACATGCAAGACTTTTGTTAGATTGACTGTTTTTAAACCTGATTTTCTGTTTTTCAATGCGGCTAGAGATGGCATTTTTTTAGTTTATTTCATACTTTTCTTTGGTATGTGAAAATACAGTTGATGTTAGCATACTGCCTTGTGTTGGGTGTCTCACTAAATACACTTACTACTTCTAATAGATCTGTGTTTTCCACTTACACAATCGTCATCCACAAATCTTTTCAGTCCTTATGTCTGTTGCTTCCCTTTCTTGCCTTATTGCATTGGCTAGTGCTTTCAGTAACTGAGTAGAAATATGAATTGACATGTTCATTTTGTTCCCGAACTCATGGAAATCTATAATGTTCTGAGTTTTGTGGGAAGTTCCTTTTCATTGCTGGCTTAGTGACAGCAATGTCCTCTGTCCTCTGCATCTGTGATAATGTGTTGTCCCCCTCCGTTAACGTGGTGGACTATGTTGGCCAGCTTTTCAAATACTAACCCAAGTTTGCATTTCTGGGTTGAACTCCAGGTGGTCATGTTGGGTGTTCTTCTGTGTCACTGGATTTGATTGACAAATGCACTGTGTAGGTTTTCTGTGTCTGTCACGGTGTGGGGAGCAATCTGGCTGCACTATTCCTTCTTGTTCTGCCCTTGCAGTCATGTGTTGGTGTTAAATTAAATAGAATTGGGGATGTTTCCCATTTACCGGAGTGGTTTAAAGTTGGTTTTCCTTAAATACTTGGAAACATCAGCTTGTGATGTCCTGTAGACCTGGAGTTTTCATTCTGGGTGACGTTTGAATTACAGCATTAATTTCTTTAACAGAAATGGGCCTATCCAGGTCTTTATTTCTTTTGTTGTCTTTTATGTGTTTTTCAAGGAAAATGTGCGTTTCCTATGGGCTGTCAAAGTATGTTCTTGAAATCTTATCACCTTAATATCTGTAGTGACATGTCCTTTCCGTACTTGACGGTAATTCACGTTTTCTGTCTTTTCTTGGTCAGTCTAGTAACCAGTTAAAAAATAGTTTCAGAGATCCAACTTTTGGTTGTGTTAATTTTCTCTGTGGTGCATTATTTTTAATTTAGTTGAATTCTTTTCTTATCTTTATTATTTCTCAAGTAAATCTCTGATTTATTTGAGCAGAGTTTTCTTCCTAGCCTCTTGGGCTGCTATTTAGATAATTTTCAGTTTGTTTTCTTTTCTGAAGCATAAATCTCTCTCTTTTCACTACTTTAGCTGCCTCGTATGTTTTGATATGTCATATTTTCATTGTCATTAATTCAAATCATGTCTAATTTTCTGTTTGATTTCTCCTTTGACTGTTTTGTTTTAAAAGTGTGCTGCTTAATTTTTGAACATTTCAATTTTTCCCATGTGCCCTTGTATGTTACTTCTGGGTTTGACGGTTGTCAAAGAATTTAGTCTGTGTTTTAGTCAGTTTTATCATCAAAGTGAGTGACCAAATACCTGACAGAAACAAAAGGGAGGAAAGATTTATTTGGCTCATGCTTTCAGAGGTTTCAGTCCAGCGTGGCCGGGAGGGTGTGGGGGAGCAGGTCACATCACGGCCCCCAGGGACCTGCTTCCTCAACCAGGCGCACCATCCACAGGTCCACCACCTCCCGAGGGTCCTTTCAAATTTGAATCCATCAGTGATGAAACCCTTGCTTAGGTCAGAACTGCCAGGACCTAGTCCTCTCAGGTCACGCCCTCACAGACGCACCCAGAGGGGTGTTTGCTGATCTCCTAGGCGTCTCTCAACCCAACCAAGTTGACAGACTAACCACCTCATATCAGTTTTTTGAAATGTGTTGGGTTTGATGATTGACCCTGTGACCAGCACTGGAAACCATTCCCTGTGCACAAGGAAATTACCTGCAGTTGGAAGTGGTATCTGTGTGTGTTGTGCAGGCCCCCGTTGGTGAATCCTCACGTCCAGATTTACTGTGCTCCACTGAGTCTTTACTCTTTCCCTCACTCAAAGAAGCGGTTAGAATCCCCCAGTATGACTGTGGGTTTTCTATGCCAGTGCTTCTGTCAACTTGTGTATTTGTATATTTTAAAGCTGTGTTATTAGGTCTATACACATGTGGACTTTTTAAATCTTCCTGACATATTGGTCTTTTTATGTTATGGACTCTGTCTCTCTTCTGTCTTTAATAATGGTTTATTTAATTTTACTGTTTTCTAAATAGTCATTTGTATCTAGATGGTTAGTAGATATTTACTGTTTCTCTAAAAATGATGCCTTCTTACCTGACCACATTCTTTTCCACATTCAATAAAATTAGCAATAATTTCTTAGTAAATCCAACACCCAGAATACACTCCTATCTCCTCAGTTTCCCTCAGAGAACTTTCCAGTTGACTTATTCTCATCACACCACACGCTGCATAGCTCGTTCTGCCTCTGGATGTCTTTTTTTTGATTTAGAAGAGCAAGTCCTCCTGCCTTGTGTTTTCAAGACCTCAGCTTCACTGCTCAGGATGGCCTCTGTTCTGTGGGACCCCCACTTTGAGCACTGTCCAGTGCTGCCTCCTGGTGGTTTTGCATCTGTCCCTCTATCCACTGTACATGCCCTGGACCTGGAGGGGGCACCTGTTGCTTCGACTGGATTTGGCAGGTCATCTCAGGTGTGCTGGGTGCTCTGTTTTGCTCATTATCCAGCTGTCTCACTGTCATCGTTGCTGCTGGTGATGCTTGATCATCACTGGCCATTGCTGTGCTCAGCCCTGGTCAGGTGAGCAGGTGGGTGGCCAGGGTCACTGAGCACATAGAATGCCATGTTCCAGTGTCATTCCTTCAGTTGCTTTGAAGAGTGCATCCTCCTGCAAGTGGTATGCCCTGGGACCAGACTCTTAAGATGAGACTGGGTGCAGAAGGTTGACAGAGAGGCCTTGGCTCAGTGCCTGGGAGTCATGAAGAGCTCAAGTCTGGGAAGGGGAGAAGGAAGGCGTAATGCACACCCCCACCAGGATTCCTGTGGTGCTGTGACCGCCCTTCTGAAGGGAGTAACCTCCAGGAGGAGTGAGGCACAAGTGCTCCCTGCATGGTAGTAGTGCTTCCTTGGGGCATCCAGAAAGAAGCCGCCCACAGACCTCCTCCAGCTCCTTCCAAGGTCTGTTCAGGGTCTGGCCTCCAGGAATGGTGTTGGTATGACAGGCATTTCCCAGTGCCATGGACCTACTTGTGTGGATCGCTACTTTGAGCCTTTCTGGACATTGGGACTTGGTGCAATCAGCCTGTTTGGTCAACTGCCCCTACTTGCTGTGATGCTCTGGTGGCCTTGACCTGCCCACACAGCCTCTCCATGTCACCTGTGTTTCTTTGCTGCACCCTGCTGGTCTTTCACTCTCCCATCCACCCCTGACATTTCCTCCAGGGGCCCCAGTCCCTTCTGGTGGGGAGCAGGGTGGTGTCCAGAAACCAAAATGGCAGAGTTGGTGCCAGGATGTTTGTGTGTTTCCCAGGGAGCAGAGGATAGACATTCAGTTTTATTAATGATTTTTCTGCATTTATTGAGAACTGTCTATTGGAATTGATTTAAGCCCAGATGGACATTAACTTTCATCAATGGTGTTTTTGTTTATATCTTCTATTGTAATACATAATACAGATATTTCTTTTTCTTTTTCTTTTTCTTTTTTTTGGCAGAACTGGAGTTTGAACACAGGGCTTCATGCTTGGCAGGCTGGCACTCTACCACTTGAGCCACTCTGCCAGCCCTGTTTTGTGATGGTTTTTTTTTTTTTTTTTTTGAAGTAGGGTCTTGTGAACTATTTGCCTGGGGCTGGCTTCAAATTGCAATTTCCCTGATCTCTGCCTCCTGAGTAGCTGGGATTCCAGGTGTGAGCCACCGGCACCCGGCCAGATGTTTCTGTATTCATATCTGTATGATTTTTCTCTTCATGCACTGTATGCAGTGCTTACTTTTCAAGTGTGATGTCATTGCCCCTTTCTATATGACTTGTGTTGGGTCTTGTCACTTGTGTGTGAGTCCCACGGGTCTGTGATCTTACCTTTTTGCCACATCGTGGCTGGATTCAGACACCAGAGATAAGGTGTATATGATGAAAGCTGGTAGAATTCACCCAAAGGTCAGCAGGTCTGGCGTTTTCCTAATGGGAGGGTTTTAAACCTCAAATTTAATCTCTGTATTAGATAGAGTATTCTTTATGCCTTCTTTCTTCTTTATGTCTATTTGGATCATTAGTATCTTCCAAGGACTTTGTCAATTTTATCTAAATTTCAAATCTGTTGTCATGAAGTTCATAATACTCTACTGAATTTTTAAACACCAAAGGAGTTTTCCTGTCCTATTAGAATTTAATTTCATTAGTGATCTTCTGTGTGCTTTTTATCTTTATTAAGCAATCTCACCAATAAGTTATTTCAACCTGTGGCTTGGTTGAATGCTTTATTGTACTTAAAACTGTATTTCAGGGCTGGTGGAATGGCTTAAGCAGTAGAGAACCTGCCTAGCAAGCATGAAGCCCTGAGTTCAAACCTCAGGACCACCAAAACAAAAACTGTATCTCATTAATGTCTGTTCTTTATTATTTTTCTTATAGTTTGAGTTTAAATTTACTGTTTCATTGCAACCTCTTGGGTAGATGTGTCACTCAATGTTTTTTAGCCACTGTTATTTTCTAATAGGTACATATATTACTAGACATTTCTTTATAAATATATCTTTAACTACATCCTACCAGGTTTGATACTTGGTATTTTAATTCTCTTTGATTAAACATACACATGACTTTTAATCATGATTTCTTTTTATTTTTTGCAGACAGAGTTTTGGGGTTTAAACTCAGGCCCCTGAGCTTGCTAGGCAGGTACTCTAGCATGTAAGCCACACCCCCAGCCCTATTTTATTTTGTTATTTTTTGGATAGGATCTTGCACTTTTGCCCATGACTGGTCTTGGACCTCCATCCTAACTATGCCTCTAGGATTGCTAGGATTACAGAAGCTCACCACCACACAAAGCTTATTTGTTTAGATGGGGGTCTCAATAACTTTGCCCAGGCTGGCCTTGACCCAAGATCCTCCTGATCTCCTTTTGCCAAGTAGCTGAGAGTGCAGGCATGAGCCACCAACCAAGCTTTTGGCGTCTTTTTTGAAGTCTGTTGCTAATTTTGCAGATCATGCTAGTTTTCTGCAATTTTGTTCTGTTACTGATTCCTGGCTTAAATGCTGTGTGTATGAGGAACAGCATCTGTGTGATTCCGAAGCCTGGCCTTCCTCAGGGTCACTTTTAGTGACTTGTCCTGGAATCATGGATGGTCAGGCTGTGGCTCTGATGGTCAAAGCAAAGGATCTGACCTTGTTCGCTTTATTACTGAAAGATAAGCGGCAGCTTGTTAGTTTCTCCTCGCTCTGCTCACCTGTGCTGCATGTGTTTCAAGGCAGTGTTGTTTGGTCACCTTCACCATCACAGTGTCCTCATGCCCTTCCTGTGCACCCCTGCCCCTTGTTGTGGTCTCCATCTCTATAGAGGGGTTTTGTCAGTTTGGGGGCTGGTGCAAATGCTGGTCTCACTCTTTGTTTCTGGCTTGGAGAATGTTTTTCCCAGTCTGTGGTTTGCCTTTCCATTTTCTTAACAAAGTAGAATATTTTCATTTGACAAAGTCACCAGTTTACTGGTTTCATGGTTAAAGCCGTTTGCATGCCCGAGTGAGGTTGTGGAGTTTTCTTCCTGAGTGTTCTGCTAGAATCTCTGTGTGTCTGTCACACATCTCAGAATAATTTCTGAGCTTGTTGTCAGATAACTGTATGTCTACAGGGGTGTACAGTTCTAGTTCTGTACCCCTGAAGTACTTTGTACTTTAATCTAAGTCAGTTGGCTCCATGGCCACAGATTCTGTGTGACAGGAGCCACAGAAGGAGCAGGTGGGCAGGGCAGAGCGGGCACCTCCTGGGAGCTCTTGGTCATCCAGACCACCATGGGCACGCAGGGTGGGATGATTTGGGTAGAATATGTGCCTTTCAGAGATCCACCAGGCTGGAGGGATACCAAGGAGTAGCAGGGATGGGATAGGGCAGGTGTGAGGACCACATTTAGAGCTTGGAGAGTGAAGGACAGTAGTGGGGGGCAGGAGGCTGCACTGGTCAGCAGTGCCAGTGCTGCCTGGTGGGGACTCTCAGGGGTGGACCGAGGGAGGGCCTGGACCTGCCTGGCTGTGCCTGTGGGGATCCCAGTAGACATGGAGTAGAAAGGCTGGACTCTGCAGCATTTGATGTGTGCCTGTGGGGATCCTGGTGGTCATGGTCAGAGACTTGCCAAGAGAGACACTGGGCAGGTGGGGCACAGATGAGACCTCTGTGACTGTATGTCTGGTGTCTGGGGCTACAGGGTCACTGTTCAGAGCTTGCACACTCTGCTTTGGCTTGAATCCTATTTTCTTTTACAGAATTAAAACGAGGAATTTCCCAAGACACGTCTTCTTCCCCCAAATTAGACAAATACAAAATAGCAAGGCAATTAACAGAAAAAGCAATCAAGGTAAATGTTCCTAGGACTTGATGGGATGAGGATACTTTTCAAAAACAGAAGTTTAGTTTGGAATTTGGAAGGTGTGTCAGCCTGGCCAGCAGCCTCCTCCTGGAAGGTGGAGACCAGGGCCAACATCAGTTTTGGTTTTAGCTGGGTGGACTTTGAAACAGGTGGTGCTTGTCTGTCCTGCCTTGCTGTGTCTGTGCACCTCCAGCCTTTCTCTGTTTAACCTGCCAGGAAGCTCTAGGTTTCTGTGCCAGGGCCGTCCCTCAGTCCCTCAGAGAACCTCTTGGGTCAAGGCCCTCATGTGTGCAGAAGGCTTTGCCCCTCAGGAAATGAACTGTGACCTTCCTCGAGCCTGTGTGGAAAGCCAGTCCTACCTTCCACCTGGGCTGTAAGCAGGTCCTCTCAAGGACCTTGGCTCCAGGAAGGGTGCATTTGGGTCTCGGGGAGAAAGGGAAGGGGCTGGTGCTCTGGAAATGGGAGCAGCTATGAGTCTAACATCTAGAGAGGGTCAGATGGCTCTGGCAAAGGTGGCTGAGTATCCACTTCCACTACCCAGAGGGCCTGGATGGTGGGGAACATGAGAAGACTAATGCACATCAGTCATGAAAGCATGTCATTCCCTTAACACTCTGAGGCACAACAGGCACAAACCATACACAGCTGGACCTGCACAGTGCAATTGTGCACAGGCTGGACTCACCCAGATAGGAAACTAGGAACTGTCAATATAAGTCAGGCAGTCATGACAGACAACATTCTGTGCCCCCAGGAAGTCCCCAACTCCCACCCCAAAATCCTGGCAACCGCTGATGTGTGTGTCAGCTGCAAGATCCAGTGGCTATGCCTGACCTTTGCCGTCTCTAACCCTGCCAGTGACAGAGCCCAGGCTGTGTGCTCCACATTTGCCCAGCAGTTTGGCCCAGCAAGTGTCTATATGACTGTCAGGTGTTTTTGTGTCTATAACAAGACAACTGAGTCTGGGTACTTTATTAAGTAAACAACTTTGTTTGCCTCCCAGTTTGGGAGCCCAGGCCCAGGCATCCCTATCTGTTCAGCCTATGGCGAAGGCCTCTTCTGGCTGTATGACATCATGCAGATGGCACCATGGCAGGAGCAAGGAGCACATGCAGGAAGCAGACACACGGGAAGAAGGAGGCAGAGGGCAATTCAGGGCCAGTCTGCTCCTTTATGACAAACTTGCTGTTCTGAGAGCTGAGACCAACATTCACCTCTACTGAGGGCAGGCCCCAGTAATCCAGCCACATCCCCAGTAGGACCTCCCTCCTAAAGATCCCACCACCTCTGAAGCCCCCAAACTGGGACCATGCCTCGGCACATGAGCCCTCAGGGGACAAGCCACAGCCAAACCCTGGCAATGACCATCCTGCCCCTTGCACAGGCCTCAGCTGGGGAGACTGAGGTAGTGTGGCTCAGTGCGCCCACCTGCCTGCTTGTCTCCATGCAGGTGAGCCGTCTCCAGGGGGACAGCACAGGGGTCCAGCAGCTTCTGAACTGTCCTGCTCTGGTGGCCACATGTCCCTGCCCTTCCCAGGGTGCCCAGTAGTCCCTTCCTCCCTCCTTTTCAGACCTTGGGCACCCACAGCCTCACAAGCATGAGGGACTGTCACTTTTGTATAAAAGAAAGCCATGCAGGACCATCCCTCTGCTGCTCACCAGGTCCATAGGGCTGCACAGCTGCATCTCCCTTCCATCCTCCATGTCCAGATGTCCAGAGCTGGGGTGGCTTCCAGCAGCAAGAGACACCTGCTTTCCTGGTGGTGCTACAGCCTCCTGTTTGTATGTGTGTGAGTGTGAATGTGCACACGAGTGTGTGATGATAAGTGAAAGCACTTCTGTAACCCAGACCGCACGATGCATGCACACAGAGCAGTGACTCTCAGGGGGGGCCATGTCAGTGAGCCCCACCCCAACGCACACACTCATGCACACACACACTTGCACACGCACCTAGTGTGCTCCAGGCATCTCTGTATTCTCCCAGCACAGCATGCTGTCTGCTCTGAAAACCCCCCTTATGCAGAAACAGTTCCCTAGTCTCAGATGCTTTGGTTCAAACACACTCTGCTGTTTTAGGAAAAGAAGATTTTCTCCATCTATGGGCACTACCCCGTGATCCGGGCGGCACTGCGCAAGAAGGGCTGGGTGGAGAAGAAGTTCCACTTCATGCCCAAGATCCTCTCAAACATTGAGGATGAAGTGGTCGCTGGTAGAGTATCAGAGACGCCTCGTCCCGGGTAGGACTTTGGTCATCAAAGGGCTGGGGAGTCCCTCATCCCGGGTGTGGTGATGCCTTGCACCTCTCTCCACGTCTCCACTGCCCTCCTGGCCTCCCTGATCCCAGATGTCCACACCCTGGGCAAGCTAAACCTGGTTCTGGTTATTTCTCGGTGTCCCCGTATCCATGCCCAGCCCGGATGCCCCTCCTCCAGCTCCAGCTCCCCACACGCCACTCCTCAGGCTTCCACACTGCTGGGTGGCCCTCCCCAGACTCATGTGCAAGATGCCCTAAAGATTGCACGTGGCTGTCTCCACCCCCAGCCCCCACCCCAAGGGACATTTGGGCCTCCAGGTGGGATGCTGCTCTGGTAGGCAGAACCCCAAAGGGCACCTGCTCTACTGGGGGTGGCTTTACCTGGAGACACGGCTTCTAAAAGTAGGTAGATGAATGCTGTCCCGATGCTGCAGGCATGTGGCTAGGTGCCCACGCACCATCTCTCTCCCTTGTGCCTTGTTTACAGGTAGTAAATATGCTGAAATCAAAGAAAATCAGGAAATAGGCTTGGAGAAAACAGATGATATCCACGATGTGATGGTAAGTCCCTGCAGCCTGGTGTTAGGGTCTGTGGTCTTGCCATAGTAGGGTCCAGCAGCACTGAGGGTGGGAGTGTAGGCCTGTGCATCTGGTTCCCCTGCATCCTGGCCCCCAGCCCCTGCACTCCACATTCACACGGGCAGGAGTAACTTGTGCATAAACGGGGAAGACTGAGGGGTACTGAGTGGCAGGCTGGGGGTCCACAGCCTGGTCCAGCCCGTGCACTGCAGGATGAGAACAGGGCCTGGCCAGCAAGCAGATGGAGGTCTCCAGGTGTACACAGCTGCACTCAGGCCAGCCTGGCCCCTCCACAACTCCCACATGCTTGTCCACTAAAGAGGACAAAAAGGTTTACCCCAAAGTGGAGATATTTGTTGTGCATGGAATTTAAAAGACCAAATATCCAGAATGTACTTACAGACGAATTCACTATCAGCCATAAAAAGACAAATAGAAAAATGGACAGACTTGGCCAGCCACCTCACAAATGGACAACGAGCACATTATTTTAAGTTCATGAAGTTGATTCCATTTCCATAAGGCAGCATGTGTACTGACTGAGTTCAGGTTGTGCTAAAAGAGAACACCAGAGGCTGGGTAATTGATAAGCAATAGGAGTTTATTGGCTCGTGGTCCCAGAGTTTGGGAAGTCTGAGGTCAAGGAGCCGCATCTGGTGAAGGCTTTCTTGCTATGCCACCCATGGCAGAAGGGTAGGGAGGCAAGAGAGCGAGAGGAACCCTTTCATAATTGGCATTGATCCATCCATGAGGATGGAGCAGTCGGGACTCAAGACCTCCCAGCACCGTTGCCCCAGAGATTAAGCCTCCAGCATATGCTTTTGGGGACATGTTCAGACCATGGCATACACCCACTTAGCCATACTGGGCTGCGAGCAGTGGGCAGGGGAGCAGGGGTCTTGGCTCAGGCTGCTGTAACAAGCACCAGTTGGGCAGCTTCCAGCACAGACATGGCCTCGGTTCTGCAGAATGGACCTTTGGCACCAGGTGCTCTCTGCATGGCTCAGAGGTAGCCACCTCCTCACTGTGTTCTCACATGGTGGAAGGAGGGCAAGGGTCTCTCTGGCACCCCTTTATTAAAGCATGAATCCTATTTGTGAGGGCTCTACCCTCATGACCTCATTCTCCCAAGGCCTCACCTAAAGCCATCATATAGGGTGATATGTCAATATGTAAATTTGGGGGACCTCAGCTCTCCATTGATAGCACATGCGGGCAGTGGTGACCTGGTGAGTGGCCAGGAGGGGATGCGAATCTGCTGAATAAGTTCAACCTAGGATGTGGTATCATTGTGCCTTTTGTGTACTCTTCTAAAAGAATTCACAAGCTTTTAAAAATGGGAGCTGGCAAGCCAGGCACCGGTGACTCACGCTATAATCCTGCTACTCAGGAGGCAGATATCAGGAGGATCACGGTTCGAAGCCAGCCTAGGCAAATAGTTCACAAGACCCTATCTCGAAAAAACCCATCACAAAAAAATGGGCTGGTGGAGTGGCTCAAGGTGTAGGCTCTGAGTTCACATTCCAGGACTGCAAAAAAATAAATGGGGGCTGATGGAGTGGCATGGGACTTTCCATGGGGGAAAGCAACAACAGAGACTATCGACATCTCTCCTAAGGTAGACAAGGAGGTCAGATCAGGAATAAAGACCGCCCCCCCCCCCAGAAAAAGAAAAACCCAGAATGCCAAGAAGATGAGCTGGGCCATGGGAGTTTTGGCCCCACAGAATGGCCTCAGGGCATCAGCTCTACCCCAGGCCCTCACCCTGCTCTGAATGGTGGGTGAGAAGCCACCTTCCAGGGGCTCAGGAGGGGCGGGACACAAGCTCAGAGGCTTCCTGTGGACTGGAGCATCGCTGTCACCTGTTAGCAGGTGACACAACCCTGAGCCCCACAAAGCCAAGCTGGGGGCAGCTCAGATGCACCCTTGGCTCCAGGTCAGGGGAGGAAGCTGGTTTCTAGGGAGTGGAAACCCTTTGTGGCCTCGGTTGCTCCCACACCAGTACGTGTGTCCTAGGAACATGTGACCGTGGCCAAGATGGAAGCCTCAGTCAGAATTGTCACATGGCGTTTTAATATCAGGTTCTCACCCCTCTTGGCTCTGCCCCACTGCCCAGAGGAAGTGAACCCTGAGTGCTGAATGTTGACAGAGGTTTCTTCTTGCCAGTCTAGGATGGTAAAGAATGAGACACCACACTTCCTCTGGACTATCAAAAGGGATGTTGTTGACTATCACAGCCTGACCAGTGATCAGATGCTGAACCATTACGGCAAGACGGCTTCCTTCACCACCAAGGTGGGTTGGAGGGTCTGGGGTTTGCCTAGGGAGAGCAGGTGCAGCTCCAAGGGCTAGGCCTGTGGGGGAGGTGGCTTGTAGAGGCTGGCCTGCTCCATGTCCTCTTCAGGACTCCCCCAAGCCTCCTGCCGGCTGGCCACTTAATACCTATCCCACATGCCCACGACCCTCGGACATCCCTGTGCCTCTTGTTCTATCTCTGGTTGCTCTTGGGGCCACAAAAGCCCCCTCCTCAGGGCACACAGGCCAAACCAAAGATAGGTCCCAGGTGGTTGGCCAGTACTGGCCTTGTGGGCGATGTAGAACTGAGCTGCCACAGTGGCCCCTGACGTGCTGCTGTCTCTGGAGATCGGGCTGTGTGTGAACATGCGGAACCTGCCGTGGTACGTCCAGGCGAACCCCAACTCCTTCTTCCCTCGCTGCTATGGCCTCTGCACTGAGAGTGAGAAGCAGGAGTTCTTGGGTGAGTGACCAGTGGTCTCCTGATACCTGCCCAGGGACAGTACAACCAGAGGCAAGGACCTCTGGTCCACTTAGCGAGGCCACCCAGTTCAGAAGCTTTCATGGACAAGACAGAAAGGTGGGAGGAAGCATCTGAGGCCCATGGTGGCTGCGGGACTGGATGTCGTGTCTTAGCTCGAAGGGATTCGGGGAGGACTCAGGTACACACTCGCTCAGAGCAGCTGTGTGACCCCTGTCTCATTGGACAGCCTGCTGCTCAGAACCAGGCTGGGCCTTCAGCCCGGGTCTGCAGGACACACAGGTGTGTTCTGCTTCAGAGCTGGGTAAGTGCAGGCAAGATTGCAGGGCACAGGAGGGCTTGGCCACCAGAGTGTCCCGAGAGGCCCCCTGAGATGGGAGGACGCAGAGGGTCCTGGTGCTGTAGCAAAGGAATGCCTAGAAAGATCCCTTGGGCCCTACTGAGACAGGTTGTGGAGTGGCCTGAGGACAGAGGACCAGGAGAGGACAGTGGCTGGGAGGGAGGAGCCAGCAGGGAGGGGGTACGAACAGGCTGGTGAGTAGCCTGGATGGAGGCCAGCTGGAGGGAAGAAGTGAGGCCCCTACAGGGCTGGGAAACCTGACTGAGGGTGGCAGGGAGCCCCTTGCTGCCCAGCTGCATCCCCAGTCCCCAGTTCCAGAGAGGGCAGAGGGGGCGAGGCTCACTGTCCTTGCAGATGACTTCCGGCGCACAGTGGCTTCCAGCATCCTCAAGTGGGTTGTCAGCCACCAGAACTACAACAAAAGCAAGTCCAAGAGTAAGGAAGCCAAGCACAGTGACCCCATCAACAAGAAAGGTGTGCAGTGGACACAGTGGGCCTCCATGGCCAGTGGGGTAGGGCCTTCATGGCTGACAGGGCAGGGATGGGCACTGCCAGGATGGGGGTCCAGCAGCCTGGAAGAGTGGTGCCAACACTTCGGATTCATCTCATGAATCTGTTTTGTCTGTGGGTCTAAGACCTCAAAACTGTCCTATTTGTAGAGCTTACACAACACTTGAGGCACCCTCATCCTATAACCACACTAGAGTCGTGTCCCCACAGATGTCCAGCTGGTGGTCACAGCTATGATCTTTTTTTTTTGGTGGGACTGGGATTTGAACTCAGGGGTTTGTGCTTGCAAAGCAGGCACTCTATCACTTGAGCCACTCCTCTAGTCCATTTTGCTCTGGTTATTTGGAGATGGGATCTTGTGAACTATTTGCCTGGGCTGGCCTTGAACCACGATCCTCCAGATCTCAGCCTCCCAAGTATCTAGGATTACAGGTGTGAGCCCTGGTGCTCAGCTCAACAGATGTGCCCTTCTTAGTCTCTGCAGAGGGACCATGGAATAGGATCCTAGTGGTGGTGCTTCTATGTGATGTGACATGAACAGGTCACTATGATCTTAAGTTTTTGTTAATGTTGTTTGCTTTAACAAAGTTTATTTTGTTTTGTTTTGGTGGGGCTGCAGTTTGAATTCAGGGCTTTGCACTTGCAAAGCAGGCGCTGTACTCCTTGAGACACACCTCTAGTTGTTTTGCTCTGGTTATTTTTGAGATGGGATCTCTCAAACTGTTTGCCCAGTCTGGCTTCATCTCAGTCTTCGTGATATCAGCCTCCCAAGTAGCTAGGATTACAGGTGTGAGCCACTGGTGCTCAGCTCTAAGTGTGTTTTTTAAAAGCAGTTGTAGGCCCACAGCAAAACTGAGCAGAAGGCACATAGGTCTTCCATCCAGCCCATCCCTGTGAACCCCATCCACATCCCTGCTAGAGTGATGCAGTTTACACTGTATTTGAACAAACAGTGATTTGTCAATCAGCCAGCCCCAGGTGGATACAGTGAGTATCCACTTCTATACAGTGAGTGTAGAAGCAGAGCAGAAGAATTTGTAAAAGGTGAAGGTTGGAGCAATTGCCTTCTTTAGATTCTGGATGAGAGGGTGGAGACATAAAACTGAGGCCCACTTGGCCATCTGTGATGGGCTGAGCTAAGCCCTGGACCACTGGTCCTTTTGCTGTCTCCAGGACCAACCACTAGTCCTTGTTCTGCCTTTTCCAGAAAGTCATATTGTTGGAATCATAGCCTGTAGCCTTTCCAGACTAGCTCCATTTTCTGTGCAATGAGAATTAAAGGTTCTTCCATGTCTTTCCGTGACTTGATAGCTTGTTTTCCTTTCCTTGAGGTCCTTCCTGTTGACTCATGACTTGATAGTTGAGTGATAATTATTCCATTGTCTGGATTGCCACAGTTTATTTATCCACTCCCTTGCTGAAAGACATCTTGTTGGCAGCTGCTAGAAGCATGATTGCTGGATTGCTGGGTGTTATGGCAGAATGTGTAAGAAACTTCCAACTACGTGTGTGTGTTACTGGGGTTTGAACTCAGGGTCTTGCATTTACTACTTAAGCCATGTCCTCAGTTCTTGAGCCCTGATCCCAGTACTTGAGTCCTGTCCCTAGTACTGAGCCCTGATCCCAGTACTTAAGTCATGTCCTCAGTACTTGAGCTGTGTCCTCAGTACTTAAGTCAGGTCCCTGGTCCTTGAGCCCTGTCCCTGGTACTTGAGCCATGTCCCCAAATCCTTGAGCCATGTCTCCAGTCTTTTCAGCAGTAGTCTGTTTTTAGATAGGGTCTCACACTTTTGCCCAGACTAGCCTTGGACTGCGATCCAGCTACCTCCACTTCCCAAGCAGCTGGGACCACCGGTGTGTGCCCCATGCCCAGCTTCTGCCAACCACTCACTGAAGTGACCATGCCATTTTGCATTCCCAACAGCTATGAACAAGTGAGTTTCTGTTGCTCCCTTGTCAGCATTTGGTGTGTTAGTTTCTTGTTACTGTGACAAAATACCTGACATAAACAACTTAAAAGATGGAAGGATTTATTTTGACTTATGCTTCCAGAAATTAGAGTTCATGGATGCTGGATACGTTGCTTTTAGGCCTGTGCCAAGACAGAATATCATGACAAAAGAGCGTGATGGAGCAAAGCTGCTTACCTCTGGCAACAGAAAGCAGAGAGTGTACCAGAAGGGTCAGGGACAATTTATACCCCTCAAAGTCATGCCCCGGTGACCTACTTCTTCCAACCAGGGCCCATCTCCCATAGGCCATTCCACCTGTGGACTGGATGAACCCACTGATGACGTTAGGGTCCTTGTGATTGCCACTATCTGGGGACCAGGCCCTCAACACATGAGGCTTTTTAGGGGACACTTCATATCCAAACCACAGCCCATGTTGTCTGTCTTCTGGGTTTTCATCATTGTCACAGGTCTGTGTAGCAGAATCACTTTGTTCCCTAGTGACGTGTTGGTGTCTCTCCTCATGGAGTTACCACCTCATGTCGTCTTTGGTGATGCCTGTTCATATTGCACACCCAATTTTAAATTGGGTTGTTTGTGTTTTTATTGTGGAACTTCAGGAGCTCTTTGTGTCCTCGGGACAGCATTCCTTTTCCAGATCTGCAGTTAGTGCCTGTCTTCACAGTCTCATGACCACGACTTTCATACACCAGAAGCTTGTAATTTTAATTAAAATTAAACTTACCAATCATTGCTTTCACGGATCAAGTCTTTGAGTTGTAGCTAAAAAAGTCAACAAAATCCCAAGGTCGTATGATTTTCTTCTGTTTTTTTTCTAGGAGGTTAGTATTTTTCCATGTTCCATTTTATTTTATTTTATTTATTTTTTATTCATATGTGCATACAATGTTTGGGTCATTTCTCCCCCCTCCCCCCACTCCCTCCCTTACACCCCCCCGCCCCCTCCCTCTCCCCACCCCCATGTTCCATTTTAAATGATCTCTTTGGAGCTAATTTTTCTGAAAAGTGTGAGGTTTGTTTCTCAATTTGGTTTTTTACATGTGGACGTCCAGTTGTTCCATTGAATGAAAAGACTGTCTCTGCTGCATTGTTCCTCTTGTTCCCTTGTCAGAGATAAGTTGGCCATATTGGTGTGGGTCCTGTTGCCTGAGTCTGTGTGTCACACCAACACCACACTGCCCGGCTACAGTGGATGTGCAAGTCGTGAAGCCCTTTGACTGTGTTATTCTCTTTGGTCTTTGACTCCTCTGTATAACTTTAGAATCAGTTTGTTGATATCCACAAAGTAATTGGCTGTGATTTTGATTGGGATTGGGTATAGACCAAGCTGGGGAGAACTGACACCTGGGTAACATAGAGTGTTTCCTATTCATGCTTGTGGACCATGTCCCTGTCTGTTTAGTTTTCCTGAAAGTTCTCATACACATTTTGTTAGATTTATTTATACCTAAAGCATAGCATTTTGGGGAGTGCTAATATAAATGGCCCTCTGGGGTTTTTATTTCAAATTGTTCTTTGCCGCTATATAGGAAAATGACTGAAGTCACTTATTTCTTCCAGGAGTTAGATTGATTGATTGTCAATTGCTTTGTGTTATCTACATAGACAGTCATATCATCTGTGAATGAAGAACTTCATTTCTTCCTTCCCAACCTGTGCATCTTTTCTCTCCTTTTCTTGTCTTATTGCATTGGCTAGGATTTCCTATTGGTGATTTTTCTTTTCTTTTTTTGGCGGTACTGGGACTTGAACTCAGGGCCATCATGCTTGCTAAGCAGGTGCTTTGCCACCTGAGCCACTCCAGCCCTTAGGATTTCCTATTGAAAAGCAGCTGTGAGTAGGGAAATCCTTGCCTTTTTCCTGGTCTTAGCAGGAAAGCTGCTGAGTTCTCATCATTAAGTAGGGTGCGAGTTGTACTTTTTTTGGGGGGTGAGATGGGGGGTGAAATACTCTTTAGGACATTGAGGAAGTGCTCTTCTGTTTCTGGTGTGCTGAGAGTTCTCCTCAGAAAGGGTTGTATTTTGTCAAATGCCTTTTCTTCATCTGATTGTGTCATTTGCTTCTTTAACCTGTTGATGTGATTTGTTAATTGAAGCTTTTAAGTTAGGCTTGATGTAGTCAGACATGACATAAGGGTCACTTAGACAGGAATGGTGAAAAGGAGAGGGCAACCCGCATTGCAGGGTCAACAGGAAGGGGTGGACTGTCCAGGACACATGTGCGTAACCAGCAGGTGGAAAGAGGGGCACTTGTGGGCCAGAGCCTTTACTGGGGTCCACAGCATTTCTGAGATGAGTTTCCTGAGACAGGGTTGGATTGGGTCATTTGAAGGGAACGGGAGGTCAAGGATTTTCTAGCTTTTCATTGATTTCTGGCTTAATTCCCTTGTGGTCTGACAGGGTTTACATGGTCAGGATCACCAGGCTTACGGCAGAAGTAAGGTGGTCGTATGGTACTGTTGAAGGGGGCCTTATACATCTAGGTATAAACGGAAACTGGGTGGAGGCTGCCTCAAGTATGTAGGGCCAGGTGGCCAGTGACAGGAAAGATGGATACTGAGGTAATGTTAATATGATGACTACACATTTGACTGTCAAATATTGAACCAGCCTCCCATAACCCAGAACAAATTCTACTTGGTTATAATTATTTTTCCATTGTGGGACTCAAATTTCTAATATTTTATTGAGATTGTTGCATCTATGTTCAGAGAGGTATTGGTCTCTAATACTGAATCATTGTAATGTTTTTATCTGATTTGGAGATTAAAGTAATGTGATCTCGTAGAAGTGTTTCCTCTACTTTGTTTCTGGAAGAGATCGTAGAGAATTAATTTAATTCCTTTCTTAAATACTTGTAGGATCTACCAGAGAAGGCATCTGTGCATGGTTCTTTCTGTTTTAAAAAGTTTTTTTTTAAATTATATTCATATGTACATACAATGTTTGGGTCATTTCTCCCTCCTGCCCCCCGCCCCTCCTTCCCCCCCAA